AAGGACGCCTTGTTAAGTAACTAATAAGTTGTAAGTGTGTGTGTGTAATCAAGTGTGAGAGAAGGATACGAGGTCGCCTGAAGCCGGTGTAAGTGAGAAGAAGATGATCTGTTTGATGTCCCGTACGAAGCCAGGTCTGATGATGAACTGAAGACTTTTTTGGTCGAGGATTCACATCTCTCTCGTCCCAACTCCCAACAACTTGATAATGTTTTACTCACTATATTTACCACAACTCGTTGAAGAGCAAGCAGGCAGCAGAAGCAGCTTTCGCTCCCAACCAACGCGATGTTTTTGTGGGGCTGGATAACGTACGTGCATATGTATGTCCGTACGTACGTATGCAGACATAGTAGTTTCTCCTTATCACGTATTATCAGAGAGCTGAAACTCGTGTACGTAATGTGAGTTTGTAATGTGAGAGAACAGTTTTTGACGAAGGGTGTTGTACGGCCTGAGCATTGGACGGACTTTCTTCCGTGGATGTTTGGCCGTGACGGAGGAACGGGGCGGAAACTGAGGAGGAGTTCAGAAAGGTGTTGCCCTTTGGTGGGAGTTGTTCCTCTGAAGCTCAATTCTTGCTCCACTTTTACTTTCTTCTTCCCCGTCCAACAAAATCATACGTTTAAGCTTATGCACGTTTGCGATTAATCAGTCGCTTAAAACAATGCTGCCGTCAGGGTGCGATTTAACAGCGAAAAGGGAACGAGTGAAAATGCTGATCCTCTCAGATGCAGGCACACAGATTGCGAATCCCGTAACAGCAAAGTCTCAGTCGAGGTGATTTACATGCAAATTACTTAGAAATTGACCTGCCATTTGCTATTTTAGAGAAAATTATGCATTTATGGCTTCTGTGTGTGCAGAACGTATGCTTCGAAGACGATGCTGACACTACCACATTCGAATTTTGACTACGTCATCATATTGCATTGAAGGGCAATTAGTGACCGTAAGTATGCAGCCAAATACATATGCGTTGTATTTGTGAGTGACGTTGACATCCCAAACACCATTGATCCCACATCCTGTGGCTGTTGTAATCGAATCTGATGTCAGGTGGCATTATGGAAATCATGCCAAAGCCTTTTATTTCATCATCGGCTAATTTGTGATCAGAAGTCATTGAATATTTATTAGTTTTTTGTGCATAACAAATTTATGTACGTGTACTCCAATGTTTTTTTATAATTTAGATATATTTTTGTATGTGTACAAAATTTCCTTTTTCGCATTTCTTTATGCAAACCCAACAAGCCTAATAAATATTTAGTTGTACCCATGTTACTGAATAATTTGACGCCACAAAGAAAAATTGTATGTGCAGTCGTTAAAGACAAGTCTGTCGACAATAGGCAAAAATGGTCCTTCAAAAAATATTTACTATCGCAATTAGATGAATCTGTACATGTTAATTCAGAAATAAATAATTGAAATGCAAGGCACATGCAATAATTGTTGTCAATCTCAACTCTGACCTCCGTACGGCGAAGAAAAATGTTAATAAAATTTCCAACCAGTCTCATTTTAAAAATTTGGATGGCCATTTTATTAAAAACCTGGGTGGGGGCTTTCTACATTTTCATGACGTACCAGAACTTGCAAACCGACAGCGCAGCCTGATGATAAGGTTTATGCTCATATTTCGAGTTCCAAAACTACTTACTTTCCACTGATCGAATTGAAATAAACGTCGCCAGAGAGTGTTGCCTGCATGATCTTATTGCATTTGCTGTGATACCTACACACACGACACCCGAGAACGCATCAAACTTGATAGCATGTGATGATACTCATTGGCTTATAAAACTGCGATCCATCCTCATAACCACCATCTGACAAGTGATGCCAACCCCCATCTGCAAATTGCTAGAGTTCATTGGAAACTGGAGAATTTCAGTATGGAACTACTTATCTCGGGCCAATTGCAAATTGTAAGCGTCACCTATTTGCTCCCAGACTTCAAAATGCCTTAATTTCGTAGTGAGAGTGAGCAGACTCGTTAAATGTTCTTGCATCACCACCAAATGCCAAATTAGGTTTAAGTAGTTTAAATGAACCTTAAAAGTATTACCTAACCGGATCCATTCTTCTTAAATTTCCGTGTACATCTAGTTTAAAAAATACCTGTAATTTTACAAATTATCTGACCAACCACAAGAGTAACCACACGGTATATATCTGCTGGACTTTTATATAAAACTTGTCAAGAATATTTTTTATCCAGCAAGGATTTTAATGAAATTCCAACTTTTTCAGATTGACTTTTAATAAACGAGCAAGCACTAAAAGCTGCAATAAATCAAATTCCATTTCGCGAGTCCGAAAGATCAAGATCCTAATCACAATCCAGTCATGATATGTCACGCCACAAAAACGAGCCAACGGTCAAAAAGTAAATAAATCCGTTCGAAAATCCAATTGTACTCATGATTCACGTCGAGACAAAGAGGAATAAATGTACAATCAAAATGATGGTTAATGAAGAAACTGTCAAATAAAAAGCTGGACAGGTTGACGGTATGATCTCACAAATAATTTTCCAACCCTGCGTGCATGCAGATGATGATGATGATGATCGATCTAAATGAGGTTTGGTTACCTCATCCTCCTCATTTTCGTCCAGAGAGCGAAGCGAGATCGTGAATTGCAAATTGTGCAACTTTTATTATTACCAACAAATAAATAAACGGTCAACGAGGTCTCGTCTGGCACCTTAACCGCCAATTTGCCACCTGCAAAACACTGCAAGAATATAAAGATGCTGTGAGTGAATGATGCAGATGCATACGACGAGTAAAAAGTACAACGACCGACCCACCAAACCACCAGCATTATTATTATTGTGGCGCCCATGAATGTGTGCCACTGTCCACTCGTATAATAAATCAAGATTCAATAAAAGTGTCCAATTCGATACCCCTTTGAACACGTCCTCCCATGTAAAATGTGATCCGAGACCATTTTTACAGACCTCGCCAACCAAGAGTACAAACCTGAGGTCAGCCGACATCTGAGGGATGAGAACACGACGCGACGACTCTCATGCCATCCGCAAACGCGAATGCAGATCATCTTGACAAGTGCACACCAAGGAAGACGATTAATTCTCTTTGAGAACCTTGCACCTGTTCCTTTCCCAGGTGACCAACCCCAGAAGAGGCAAGTTTAGAAAAAGTTTCAAGCCTAATTACTTGCTCTACATGTTTTGCATAGCGTGATCAAGTCTCACTTTCACAACTTCACCAAGGATTCTGCTCCTACAAATTATGTTATTAGAAACTTGGGAAAGTTGAGACACATAAATTGTGAAACAGCCACATTTCACGAATAAATGGTGTAATTGAGTGTTCAGTTCACAATCGAATAGATATTCCTACATGCAAGAAAGAAAAGCCCAAAAACTGAAGTGGTGGCCGTGGCGTAGCTCCGACGCTCGTTGGCGAGAACCGGAATGCCATCTTCGCATCTGGCAAAACAACAGCGACTCTGAGCAGGAGCAGATGGCAAAATCGTTCTTTCCGTCTCACAAATTCCTCTCCCAACAAATATCTCACGTAATAGGTGAAAGTGAGACTGAGGAAAGTGAGACTGGGCTAAACTTACTCCTCACAGTGGTGAAAATTATCAATGTGCTAAGGCTACTGATTTTGATAAGCAGCACGGGAAAATATTGACTATTTTTGAACAAAAAGATTGAAATCCATGATTTATGTATTTCAGGATCTCTTTGTACTTATTCTGAGTCTGTTCTTTTTAATCGCGCATCCAGCAAAGTGACCACCCTTTTCTTTGTTCGTGTCGGATGGGAAGGCCTCTTGACCATCCTCAATTACACGAAGGGTACGTGTACTGACCAACGCAAGCAACCTGCCTGAGAGAGAAATGGGCCTTTATTGACTCGTGTCCTGAAGGAAAGCACTCTGCTCACAGCACGACTCCTTTCCTCCGTTATATTCCTAACCAAACTCATTGTGGTCAGTTTCAACTTTGTAACAATGGGCGAAACAAGAGAGTATCCAATATTTTGACACGATCCCATTAAAAATATCCTGCCACGTAAGATGAGTTTTACGGGATGAGCTGTACATATGGGTGTAATATTCCTTCTCAACAATATTCCTTATTTGAACCCGCTGTGTATCTTAAAATGGAAATGGAGCCCAACCTCTGCCGCCGCTGCTATCGACTAGTATTTTATTATTACATCACTACCAGGCTACGAACGACGCTTGACGTGCTGCAGCAACAATATAACAATAAAATTCTCCCTAAAACCCTGGCACTTTTAGAACTTGGTGACAACCCAACAATGCTGACAGCCACATTAAGATTTCAACTGCGCCCTATGCGAACTATTATTGTGCTCCTGCTGCTGACCGGCCATCAAATAATGTCAGGAAGGAAAGGACTTAAAAACCAGTGACTCAAAAAGGTGACAAGTTTTAAAAAACACGACTCAAGAAATGAAAGAGATTTCTGACAGGTTATTTGCCTACAAACAAATTCACTAATAATTGGATTTGGTGGATTCTAAGGCATTCCTTGCTTATCCCTGCTCAAAGATATTTGTTGATTCTGGTCGTTATAATCAGATTGACATTTTCAACGTCAATAATGAAATACTTGTTATTTCCAGACCAGCGATTGCCCATACAGTGGAAATTCTACATGGGCTAGAAATCATCACTTGACGCAAATATGTAATTTCTGGCATCCATTCGAATCGAGTCTGGCTTTAGTAGACGAAGGAAGTATGCAGTAAGTTTGCAGAAGGGGCCTAAAATTAGGTCAGACATGTCAAATTTGGGATCCGACATTCAATTCCCACAATTATGTGCATAGCACCAACGATTTGCCATTTAAACCACCGACACAAGTGAAGTGAATACGGAGCAAGTGTATGTGTTCCTACTTGTGTGGATACCAATACATGTAAAATTATTACACAGGAAAACCTTCACTTTTACCAAATTCTCGATTCGTTTCTTTCTCAGGAGTTGGATTCGTGGGAGTTCAGGTGTCTTTTCTCAACTCAAAGATTCCTCTTTGAGATTTGAGCTAAACTTGGAGAAGAAGAAGAAGGAGGAAGCCCTTTCAGTTTGCCCAGTAATCCAGAATGTGTAAGGAGGGGAGTAGGTCAGGTCCGTCCGTCCGTCCGTCGGTTGGGGTGGAAAAGTCGAATAAGGCACACACATTTTCTTCCTTGTTGCTTAATAATAGGGATGCAAAGTGTCTTCGGAAATAAGCAGCCTAAAAATATGCTCAATATATACTTCTACGTTTCGTACATTTGCAGATAAAACACGTTGCACCCAAATAACTATTGCATTACCCGAATTACTGTGTAAATAAGGAGATGCCAACCTTGAGCATCAGCAATTTTTTTCATGAAATCTCGAGATATATTTTTGTTGAATCCTCCAAAGCCTTGTCTCATTCTTTATCTTGGAGATCAATATCAAATGGGATGAAGAGACTGCAAGAAAATAAATGTGTGTGCGAGATACACAGGTTTTGTTGAAGAGCTCCACAATTCCTACCTTTGCTGATACATAGCCAATGGACCCTAAAAGAAAATTCATCCCATATCGTCGAATGCAAGGATGGATTTTTACTTTTATTCTATTAATAGAGTGTTTTACAGGCATTTCTCCTCTCGAGGTGTATGCAATGCAAGGGTACAGCGTGCGGGGTTGCGTAATCATGTGCACATTGAGGAGGAGAGACGATGGATGCAATTTTTGAACCTTTTTCGAATTGACAGGTCCTGTTGTCTTTCTTGACCCTTTGTTCAGGTAAAAGAGAAGGCATTATAGAAATAACCCACCACCACGTCTTATACACGGATCATTATGAACACTGAGCTGTACATAAGCACACACGGACGACCGTATATATTTTTGGCTTTTTCCCCAAAATACTTACAACTAAATACTTCAATTCTTCCAGACTTCAAACAAAAATGAGAATGCTTTTTTTGGAAAATAATGAATTCTTCCCGTCATTCTCCTCGTACATATATTTTTGAAAGATGAGATATTTAGGTCGACGGAAAATAAAAAAAACTCAGTGATTTTTATCCCTTCAAATACACCACGCGTATTAAGTTCCTGAAATAATGAGCCCAAAAAAGTTGTCCTGTTGCCCTACATAATTTTATTTACTTGGAACTACATATGTATGTCGAGCGATATCTAATATTCATTTAGGATCGGAAATTCACCTTCACTTTTATCGACGATTTATGTTCACCAACCACCAAGGAAGAGATCATTTAGGAGCGTGACGATTACACGTGAGGTACTCTGAACTTTATGTACTTTTACATATTAATTCGTATTAATTGCATTGAACTCCCAGCCACCTCTGCCTGCATCGCCCAACGATCGTTTTTTATGTCCGAAGCAGGCACACACACGGATGAACTCGCCGATGATGGGATTGCACTGCATGGGCATCGCACTCGCTGGCTCAATGATCAGTGCAAGAGGAGTCAGTTTGCGAAGGAGTGTCTTCTTTCCTTGCAGTTATGCATTATTCAGAAAAAGTTGCATTGCAACTACTCCTTCTTTTCCGGCGCAAGTTGCATTCTCATGCAGGGGGAAACTACAATATGCTCCGTACAACAAAGTGTCACAGTCTCTTGTCGAACAAAAAAAAGCCAGACTGCAGCAGACCAGACCCAGACGGACGACGACGAGCATAAGCAAACTCACTCTCACTCCAGTTCCACACACGACGACGAACGAAGAGAGAGATAAGTAAATGCCCATTTTTTATTATTAACTCTTTACACACTTGCACCAATGAATCCTGTGCTTAATGATCGCATCTCCATTTATTTGTCTGTCGTCTCGCGTTTATATTGTTAACGTGGTGGTGTGGTGGTTGGGAGGAGAGAAGAGTGGACACAAATCGTCCCAATCCAGTGCAAGCAACAAATGCACTGTTTTAAATAATGCATTTTAGAAATCCCGTGAGATCACGGCCGCATGAACTCTTCCATCTCGTCATCACCAGCCAACAACGGCCAGCAGCGTTGGCTTTTTTAAGGGAACTTTTGCAGACAGACACGAGCTCAACCTCAAACTCGTACTCGTTCAGATGTGCAGAATACGAGAGATTTGATGCACTATTATTATTATGATTTCTCAGCCCAGTTACCTGTTCCTATTGGAAAGGAGGGGAAATTAGTTGGGAGACAAGTAGGCATATATTCATCCGCAAGTCCAGTGCAGTGCATTGGCCTTGGTGTGGAAGGAGAAAAAGAAGGTGTGCGTAGGTACTGCTGAATCTCAGTCTGGCCTGGCAACAACAACAATGAGCCAGAAGAAGAAGAAGAAGGGAGACGACGACGACGATGATGACGATGAAACCAGACATCAGCAAACCTCGGATGATATGCACAAGAAAGAAGAGTTGTGCTGTTACTTTTTTACGAGACGTGTTTTTTATTCGCCAAGTACTTACGACGACGACGATCTGCATGTGCACATGGATGTGGAGGAGGAAGGAAAAGGCTTGTGTTTTCTTAGCATTAATTCCTGCAGCATCACGAGTTTTGTTGCACACACTAAAACCCAGCAGCAGCAGCACCAACCTAACCTAACACCTCGTCATTACATCACCTCGTATGCACACGCTTATTTTCTCCCAGGCCCGTCCTCCTCGATTTCAAACACTTTTACAGCACAGGAACGTGACCAAATGAGAAATTGATGTCTCACGGACACACACGATTCCTATCGTAAATATCAAATATCATCTTGGTCAATGGTCAAGCGGAGATGCAAATTAGCTTGAACGGTGATGATCTTATTCTTATTATTTTAATATCAGGGCAGTAATCGTCCCCTCGGTTCATCTAATTATGTGCAAATAAAATAAATAGTTTGGCATACAAGGACTCAAAAGAAGCATTCAGTGCGTGTCACAATTGATTCAATGACAGCTGCCAAAACTATAACTTCTTTTGATTCCTCAATGACCAAACAAATTATTATAAAGGTTGTGCACATGAGAATCGTCGTATGTACATACATTTGTACATACACCCATCGTCAGAGAAGACGTACATGGCGAATTACGAAGCACTTGGGTTAGGAAGTAATCGGCATGCTGAATTATTCAAATCGACATTAGCATGTAAAATGCAACAATTATAATGGCCCCTCTCTTATTATTGGCCTGTATTGGAAATAATCCAATATGCCATGTGCGCCCAGTAATTCAATTTTTCCTCTACTCGAGGGAGGTAATTAACAGTAAATTATCCGCTCAAGTTGCTCCTGCATGTTTAAATAGTTTGCATGCAAAGGGTCAGTTTAGATATTTATTCCAGCAGCACAAGGTAATATTTATGTGCCCTCGGATACCAGGATCTTCCTTCGTTAATAGCAGTTAATGTGTACTGGGTGACAATCTAGTGAATTATAAATATATAAAATATCGAACCAACCTGACACCTCTTTTAGAGTGGGTCCGCCTTTTTGTGCACTGATTTGTTTATCAACCCTCTTTTTCCTTCCTCCTGCACTTCCAGCTCCGTCCGAATAATCTGCAGTTGGTGGCACACCAGTTGCATGACAGAAGTAGTGAAGCCACGAACGGAATGATTTTTTCCTACCAAATATCCGACACCACCGAAGAAGTCTGTGCAGAGGGACCTTCACGAAACTTTTGGAAATAAGTTCTTTCCACCCAGAAAACTGCTCACGCACTATTTCGAAATTGGGAAAGAGCAGAGCGGAGAGCGAGGAGGACTTATGTAATGAGATTTTAGAGGAAGGGGACTTGGAGGAGAGCGACCCAACGTTGAGTAATCTGTAGGAAGATGCAGAAGACGACGACGAGGCATAAAAAGTGTGAGCATGGGATAGTGCACATTGCTTCGAGTCCTTGCTTTCTGGGGAGCTTATACAGAGAGCAGTTTTACCAGAGAGAGATGAAGACAGACATAACAATGCTCACGGGAAGAAGAAGTTGGTTGGAGTGCAAGTGTATTTGGAGACCGAGAGGATTTTCAAGATTCAAGTCCAACCTAAAAAATAAGTTTATTTGAGAGGATGGCTGGTTGGTCTCCTGGTAGTTTAAAGCATCCTTCTGGTACTTTAGTAAAAGTTCGAAACTAGCAAATGCCGACAATCTTGGCAACAACAGCGCCAGAGGATTACGCGACCACTAAACAATTTTGAGATTTTTTACATGCACCATATTTAGTAGACAGGTCAGTAGTGGTTCTGACTCCAACACAAACTTATGCAGAAAAAGCCAACTTACAAATCCGTTTCGTTAACGAGGTGTATGCACATCTTTCTTTAATTTTTTTGCTATTGGCGCATGAAAATGACAGTGTGTATAATTATTATGAGCTGGCTAATTACAGGTTCCGGCCTGAGAAGACACCACTGCTTAAAATTTCGCCAATGTCGAAACTTTACCACCACACAAGTCAAGATTCAGAGTCAGCCAGCCAACCAGCATCCTTCCATTATTCTCCACTCGAATATATTACACAGTCACCCGATACATTGCTATTATTGAATATCGACGTGTTTTTAGGTTCACACGCCCTTTTTGCCATTTTAGTACTCAGACATACATGCTGTTTAACATTGTTGGACGTTAATAAGGGTGATGTTGCAAAAAAAGACTTTGCAGCCTTACAGAGAAAATAAATGACGAGAAATCTCCCCCCTTTCGTCCATCGAGCACATCTGCAATCAACTCTCGTCTACAACTTTGGCATATTCGAGTTGCTTCTTGAAGGACCTGTGTAACATATTTGCATTAATATGGCTCTGCTTTTGGCTACCAAGAACTCTCTCAAGTCAAATCAACCGTCTGCAACATTGGATTTTTCATGTTATTACAATGTACATACACGCGAAATGTGCACAGATTTTTGCAACTTGATATGATCGTGCATGAGATGAGTTGTTTATTTCTAAGGTCTATTTCCTTTCGTGGCATCGGGTTTCACAGAAAAATTGACGTCCACCACCTTCACCAACAGGACGTTGTGAAACCTTGCGTTGACAAGCACATTTTCGTTGGTACAAGTTTTAAATGAGATGGTACCAAGTTATATAATTTAGCAAATAACTGGTCCATTCATCTTATTTTTCAGACCAAGAGGAATACACACTTAGCAGAAAAATCATTATGATCCCGGGTATGAAATTCTATCGTGGCAAATAAGAAAGAAACTGGTGTTGCCCAAATAATAATTCTGACCTTGTCAACAATTATTGTTTGGTTGAAACATGGTCGCGCGTATCATTACCCGATCATATCGAATGGTGACAACATTTCGGAGGTGACAAATTCCTCCAGGATGACTCGTGTAATTTCACACAATTGGCAATATCAATTGGCAAAATTCTTATGAAACCTTTATCCAGCAGAATTCCGTGACACTAATGATGACAAAATGTGTTTATTTACTTCCGACTTAATTGACGACAGTCGTACAATGCTTTTTGTGCTCCTTCCGACACCGCGCACAATATATGGTAACAAAATCTCTGACCTACCCAAACAATAAAAACTTTGTTGTTTTCTTATTGAACGGCATGCAATTGTTGCCTTTTTCTCACATTGTGCTCATTTCTTGCATGAGGAATAACACTGTGTGTGTGTACTTTAAGTCTTATTCTTGTATAGTTGACCACACAATACATATATGTATCACCGATATTGCAGGACAGACTTATGTATTTATGTTGCAAGTTTATACTTTGAGGCAAAAAAAAATATCCCATCCCAAAGTTACACAAGCTTGAGCATGGTACGTAAAATAATTTGTCTGTGACAGAGACGGAGGCAGAAGCGATTTTAACTTCTGAAAATTGACATTCGACCCAACCCTCTGGTTACGGATAATGACTCCCGTCCGCTAGAAAAGTTGAAAAAGTTTGTATTTTGTTCATCGGTCTGTTTAAAGCTGGTTTCTGGGCGGAAATTCAACTTACAAAACCTGGAGAAAACTATGGCGGAATGATTTAAAGCAATAATATGTGTCTCCCATAAAAGAAAAAGGCCTACGTAGTTCCATACATATGTATGTACGTACATACTACAGTTTTCTTACGTTAATACATTCTCTGTCATTTCGTCTCCTGGCCTGCTGGGAAAGAAAGAATCATCAGCAGACTGTGAAGCACAATAATTTTTTACCTGCAAGAATGTCGACGCAACTAAACACAATTTTGAGAAAGACAATCACTCGTTACGAAATCAAGCCACCAAAGTTGCAGCTAATTGTTCGGGAGTTCAGAACGACCTCTTGGGGTGACCATTGTGCAATACTCGTTTTAAAGAAAGGGACCCGATTTGAGGAATGATGAGACCAAAAATAGAAAAAGGCTCGAGATCACTCATCCGAAAAGATACAGTTTGCCAGAGCACACAGTTGGTCCCTCATCCACGCTGCCATATTCTGTCTCTAATTAGACATTAGACTGATTAGAAGACTCCTTTTGTTGCATGATGTTCTGTCAAACATTAGATTCAGACAAACTTTCAGACAACACGCTGCACGGCTGAGGTACAAATTAAATTATGTAACAAATCGAATGAATTTTTATACCTCGTGCATTTTTGAGTCAACCGAGCAGCACATTCTAATTTTTGGGGAAAATGTAAAACACGCTCGTACAATTTATGCGAACACAACGGTCGCTTTCACACTCAAGACAGGTTAGCAGGTTAATATCACTAAAGTACATGCAGTTTTCAGGCTGTAAATCTTTTTACGAGGTTCTCATTTTTTCTACTTAAAGTGGTTGTTGTAAAGAAGATGCATACGTTCGACGTATGTGGTCACTCTTGACATTGTGTAATAGTGGGCACATTGTACATACGTAATGCATACTGTGTTTCATCACTCCAGAGAATGAAGGAAAGATCAATCCAATTTATTCGGGGGCAACGAGAGAAGAACAAGCCATTCACTTCCTACGATTTGTCCGACTACTAACAAATGAACTACAATGACTCGGATCATATACATTTAGATAAAGTAAGAGCAGGAGAATGAAAACTCCAAAGGAAAAAGAGACGACGAGATCCATTTAAATTTACTCTACAGCACTTGTAAAGTCTCGAATCTTTTATGTGCATGGATACGATTTCTCTCATATTTCCGTACATGAGCAGAACAACTGGTCCAACTAATGGTCCAGAGATCGAGAGAGAGAAAAATTGCTAGGGCACAATTTGCCAGTATATTTGCCAAATATGATTATTCTTAGTAATCACACTACTCTATACTTTGTGGGACGAGGATGAGGTCTGATTGCCGGTGTCGCAATAATAGCTGAGAAGAAAATCTGAGACTGTATTGAAAATCAGGCTCTTTTGGTGTGGTTCGTTCAGTCGGAAAATATCTGACAAGACAGCGTCAGACGACAAGCAGGCAGGGAGAGGATCACGTTTTCCGTGTGTTCATAATACCGGAATTCGCGAGTCTAACCTGACCTGAGAAATGGAGTTGAGTTGTGCAAAAAGTGGCAGAGGCAAATAATAAACCAATAATAGTTGTCTTGTCTGTGCCATGGAGAGAGAGCGAGCGAGCACCCGGGTATCGGGTGGAATGAACCCTGCCTCCCAATGCCCGCCAGCTTCGGCAAAATCCCGAAACTCCGACGGCACAAGGAGACACTCGTTGACTCTCCGCATTTTTCCTCCAGTTCACTCATGGTTTGATGAAGATGTAGATTACCCAAATAAATCCATGCTCCCCTCGCTCAACGCTTGTTTGCACTAATGCACCCAAATCATTCACTCCGACTCCTTCCCTCCCATTAATCAAGAGGAAGCCAGGTCTCGTTCCCCACAAATATGAAACACGACCATGTGCACCTTCATACACAGGATTTATTAAGAGACACACTGCTCAATATTTCATTCCCACTCTGATTCGAGCAAGTCAAACAGATCATTTGTAGGAGAGAGAGAAAGCAGACGACTCGGAACACGGCAGGAACCTAACTTTCACCATCACTTCCGGTTTCTCCTCTACTTCACCAAACTACACGTGTTGAAAATGGGGAAGCGAGGTTGAATTAATGAATTATTGTCAGATATCGCTTAATTTCCCCAATTACTGCCAACCAGTTGGTTGCGCTTATTAAATGAATTCCCAGAACTTGAGCCTCTCTCCTTATCTCTTCTAAGGCTAATCAATATCAGCAAGAAGAAAATGCTACTTTACGTTGTGCAAAAGTTATGAGTGAGACGAGGCATATACATACGAAACTGGCAAACTTTTATTCACACGCCCACAGACAGACGCCTATTGTACAAAGGGACCAAAACCATAATAATAAAAATGATCCTGTTTTTCATCCTCTGTTGGAAAGTCGGAAAAAATGTTGAGCGGATAAATGGCAAATGTCGTGAAAACTTTCTCCTCTTCATAACTGCTTAACTTTCCCTTGTTGAAAAGCGGTTTTTTCTACTGGAATCTTGAAACGTGAAACTTGGCATGTGCTTATGTCCGCCAGTCCGTCTCGTCGTCTAGCAATGTGATAGGGGGGATTCTGCCCGAGTGTCAAATGCACTCTCCGTGGTGGACCTGAACCTCACAGAGGAAGTGGATCACAAGTGGTGGTGAGACTTGTAATAATTCAGAGACGAGGAATAATAAGCCGTGTGAAGAGGTGCCAATCAGAGCGGGATTCATTTTCATTCTCACCTTCACCCAATCCAATTGAAGTTCCAGTTAGCCGTACAAAAGAGAAAGTCTCCGTTTCCCACGCCACGAAGCTCACATTCAATTTCATCTCCTACTCAACGAGAAAGCCAAACCACGGCAGGGCAGAAATATCTGTGTTGGATATAATACAGGCGAGGACTATTGATCCAGCAGCCAAGCAAAACCTGCTGCTCGTGTTCATACGTACATACATGCACGGAAGTTATGAGTGAACTAGTTGCTGGCCGAATTTGGAGTTCAACTTTCCCCGTGAACGTCTAGCCCCGTGTCGTGCAGTCGCACTTGTGGAGAAACGACGGGGAGCAGAGTCTAGGGCAAGAGAAAGCCAGTTGGCCCAACTGGCCTAACATTCACCACTTGCTTGGCTCACTTGGCTGCATTGCAAATTCGCAAACTCGACATTATTCAAATGATCAATGCAGCAGAGAAGAGAGCAACAGTCCGCAACTTGTAATACACATATTACACATGTACTTGCGTCCTTATTCCTCGTTATGAAGAGCGACTTATTGGTTCAAGTGCCAATAATTTCGAAAATGGTTTTAGAATATTTCTGCATGGTGATGATATCGCTTGTCAAAGGAGATTAAGACCTTGTTTGCAGAGCCATTTACACCAGGAATTCAGTGTTGAATATCGTCGTAAAGCTCCTCCGACAACATTTATGCATTAGGCGTGGCAATGGAAGAAGAGATTATATATATTTTCTACTTATCGCTCAGTGAAATGATGGAAAAAAGCCAGAAAACCTGGCTAAAAACCGCATCATCATTTTGAGGCCCGTGTTGAGCAACTGAATACACCCGGGTAATAAAATATGACACCCGGTTTTCAGTTCCCATTTAAGTTTGGGTTGGATATTTAACTTATTGCCTTGTCTCTGCCTTGCACTCAAAAAACCTCCCTCCGTTTAAATGCATGCATAAACTGGAGGTTTTATTTTCATTAGACTTTGATGACGAGGCTGAGATGGACGGCTCATGCATTTATTTGGAAGGCAACGAACTTGGCTGGCTAGACGCTGGTGGAAGGAATATTTAATAATAATAAAGCATGAAAGTTGTACCCACCAATCCGTATATTTTCCTCACATTTTAAGCAATCGACAATTGACAAAAGTTTAATGAACATGTGTCTCAACACGACGGAGGCTAAATTGGACCTTAAATATGCATCGAATTTCAACATTTTCCATTTCCATGATTGTCCCGTGTAATTTTTTAGATTGAAAGTCAGTCAGTTGCTTGCTCAGTCTTGTGCAATTTTCTCATTACAATTAAATGTATAACCTCAACTGGTGGTGCAGCTCGAAAGTTGACATGAGTGTGTAGGTACGTCCGTATGCGAATAAGAATAATCAAAATTTATACAATAAGTTTGCCAAAGAGAAAGGTGAGACGTGTGTGTGTGCAGAATGGTGGTCACGACAATTTCATATTTGCGATCAATAAAGGTTGGCCACCTTTCTTCATTCATTCGCCTACTTCATCATGTTCTTTTAAAGTTTCAACTTTTCTCCTCGAGAAAGAAGAGAGATTCCAAGATAGCGCTCAAACAAATTCCTTCTTTCTCTTCGCACAAGCACTTAATGCGGGCGGACACAAAGTAATAATGATATCGGCTGCCCGGCCGGCGTGCGGTATTATCCGTCCACCATGCAGGGCCACCACCCTTCCTTCCGTAATTCCTTCCGTGTTTATTGCAAGAGCGGGTTTTATTCCCTTCCCGACTGATTTCAGACTTTCACGCAATGCTTTCTCCCCTTTCACCTGCTATCCGACAAGTGGTGACAATCGTACCTATTTGTTTTCGGGGTGTACTAACAAGTGAGTAGGAGGAGGATGGATTCCATTGTATGAATATAAGAATTGGCGAGTGAGGGGGCAGTAAGTAATGAATGAGAGGTTAATTAAAACCTTACCTTTGAGGATGTACTCATCATCACGGGGAGGATTAGAATGTTGAATCTGCACTTGTCCGCATCACTCACAAGACACTCACTCAACCACTTATCACTTATTGCCACTTGAATCTTCCATGCTGCACACATGCGAAATGAACCAATGTCAATAAAAGAATAAGAAATTGGATATTTCGGAGCTCTGTGATTAGTTAATTACGGGTTTGAACGAGTAAGATAAATTCCACCGCATGACTGCAATTGTCGTCTGAAACTGAAACTCAATTTGTGCTATCGGAGACCACCGCAATGATTAAGTTCGTAAATTAGTCAGTTCTCATTTAGTTTGCTTAAGCGACGGGCGACGTTCACATTAGGAATTCATGAAGTTTTGGACACATCACATCATGTCGTCCCTTGTTCATTCGTACACTTGTGTGCTAATTGTACGGATATATTTGGTTGTTGTTGGAGGGGAAAAGAGGTGTCGGGCGAAGGTGTTGCTTGGCTTGACATTTCATTTACCAAATTAAGCCAAAGTTTCATCACTCCTACACAAAATGTGACGAGTGGCTGATGATGAGATTTTTTTGTTGGAGTCACTTTCTCCCAGGTTGAGGATTTCTTTCTCTTCTCTCACTTTCAATTTGTTGATTTGTGGAAATATTTCCATGTTCTTTGTCACGATATAGTGACACTAATTTGTTTAAGGGATCTTGTTCCGACCGTTATTTTTGTGTGGGAATAAATTCTATAATAAATTTTTGCGAAGCCTAACCTAATTATGTACACGTAGGTAACGATACCTAGTGATCCATTAGAACCATGTAATATAAATAGCTATGCAATGACTAGAGTGCACAAAATACCGGTGGGTATGCTACACATGTATGGACCAGGTTTAGCCTCTGGGTTTGGAAGTAATAATTCACCTGTTGAGATTCGGGCTTGAAATGAGGGGAACAAGGAGTAAGAGGCGTTTTGTTAGCACATTTTTGAATTGTCACAGCGAAATAATCCACCAAGTGCCACCACGACCACTTTCAGAGCACAGAGGGTAAAAGGACGCAGGGTAATAAAAAAGAACGAATCTCACAGTCTAGACATTCCCTCGTTCAACTTCTCCATGCTCGTCACTAAAGACTACCTCATAAAAGTCTACATACATATTTACTGCCGGTTAGCATTTAGTGATATGTATTTAATAAAATCCCCCATGGATCAAAATGTGGACTTAAATCATCATTAAGTCGTCAATTGATTACACAATTCTTTCATTTTTTGATGCTTTCTCTTCAACCATGTAAAAAAAATAATAATGACACGGCGTATGTAAGGATCTGCTTCACCCAATCAACTAACTATTTATTACTATGAGCAAAAATTGCGGCGAGCCTTCTAAATACCAGCGCATATGAATGGAGAAAAGTGAGGTGTGTGTCCGTGCACGAAGAAACAGTGAAAATTCTGAAGTGGGTTTGATGTGCGAAATCTCGTCATTTTTAAGAATAGCGATGACTCCGGTTGTTCAAAATCTCGTTCCAAATAGTTTATTTTCACAGTATTGCATAGCACAATATAATATTAAACTGTTTGAGTGATAAATTAACTGCACTGTAAAAAGTTAAACACAAGATGATGATAATTTGTATATTACAATTCGGATGTTTATTTTGATTTTTGAGGCATAGAGTGCATGTAATTAATGTTATTCGCTCTGACGAGTGAGAGAGTTCTCCTTGATGGCAGAATGCATTTGGGAGTGCAAAAGTTGATAATAAGTAGTGTCCCAATGTGTTCAAAAGTGCGATTTAATTTGAGGAGCTTTAATAAGTGAGAAGATGAGCTTTTACTGGGCAAATAATGCATCACGACGAAATAAGTGTGACACATTTAATTAAGCCCAGAACCCAGTTAGACAAAAACACTGCACACAAAAAGGATTGTCACACAATTGCAGTTTTTGCAAACCTGGGATCGTTTGACTTTGTTCATGAAGAGTATTTAGTCCAGCCAACTCCTAGCCAACTGCTTCCTTTCCAACCAACCAGCCAGTCAGTCAAACCAACTATTACTACTACTCCACAGCACTCTTGACCAAGTTGAAGTTGCGAATTAGAGTTTGCAAAATTTTGTGTGCAGAATATTTTGCACAAGTGTCTAACTAACCGTTGTTGTCAGGAGGAAAGAGTTGAACAAGACCCCATAATAATAATACAACTACTTACGCCTGACTCCATGCTAAAGAGTACCAAACCAACATTCAGCCAACGAGCTCACAGCCACACTGATGACTGAACTCTGCTTTGCGGCAGACAGATAGACTTGCAAATTTCAAAGCAGCAGCAACCAAGAGAGAGAGAGAGACCAAGTAAAAGGCTTGAAAGGCACAATTCGCCAAAAATTCGACGAGCAGTGGAAGCCGGCAACTTGGCAATTTTTGAGTCGACTCAGTTTTGGCTCAAGAATTGCAAAAAAAGCCACGAGACTCGAGACACAGCAGTCAGTTCTCTCCTGGAAAGAGTTGAGTGGGGTCGGATTTTGCAAATGTTGAGGAGGCAATCCTACGTTAAATCCTACGTGGCCGATAGCTGCAAAATTGTTAAAGAGCCGTGACACTAGTACTGTTTTATTTTTACGTGGTTTTCATCGTGGACATCCGTGGTCCTCGTAGTCAGTTATTGTTACTGACCATCATTTTGGAGATCAGAGTTAAGCCGGTGTGATCCAGCCTCACGGAGGATATGTACATACATAAATGGGTTGGTTGAGAATAATAATACCGAGAAGATGCAGCCAGAAGTGCATCTTGGTTGCACTCAAGATCAGTCTGCAGTGATTGGGGAAGCGGATACAGGGCAGTAAAATAAGTACCTCTCTCCGACGCATTGCATAACAGGGCAAACGAGACTCGTAATATATTATATGCTCTGTTTGTATACACACATTGGCCAGACAGCACAACCGAGAGTGCATCGCTCCCTCTCTCTCAGTCTCGAGTGCAATCGCCCAATCTGCAAAGTATAATTTGCAATTTGCCAAACAGCCGCAGAGTGTCCACACCACAATATTAACTTGCCTCTCTTCTCGGGGTGAGGAAGGTTTGCAAAATGCAGAGTACAAAATCCGTGCATTAATGAGTTAGCGTTAGTGGTGGACTGTTTTCAACTACTGAAAAAAACATGATGTGATGATGGGGAGACTTTGCAAAAATAAGCTGAGCTATACATACATGCACACAAATGTATTTGTACACACACACAATGCGACAAATGGGCAATGTAATAAGCCCTGCTGATACCAGATTGAGAAAGTGAACCTCATCGCATTGGTTTTCATTACAACTCCGACCACGACGGCACCTTGCCCACACGTTATTGGCATTGATGACGAGAGTGCATGAGAAGCTCTTGTTCATTATGAGCGTTGGTTAGGTTTTGTGCTTTGGCCACCATTGCAAAAATTGATGCACGAACCTCTGCCGTGTATAATATTCGCAACTCTTTGTGATACGTGGTTCCATTAAGTGGTGGAGGGATGGGAACGTGTATGTGGCATCACTAGCCAAGAAGGAGCAGATCGCATGTACATGTGGACGAACGTACGAACGTCTGTATGTATATGCAGCAGAGTTCAAGCCGGAATATTTTTGCGAGTTAGCAGGAGGAGGATGCTGAGGATGGAGAGAGTGCGGGAGGGAGAGGAGGGGGGCCGGAGTCTACTAGGGCTTGGTGAGGTAGGGAAGTGTGGAAATGATATGAATGTGGAGCGGATAAGCCCAACCAAGGTTTGCGCTGGTCGAGTCGACGGAGTGTTCGCCAATCTTCTAGGCCAACCTGCCCAGCCGACGCTCACTCTCCCCACTTTTTGCACACTTCCACTCTCGCGAAGGCTGCAGAGCTCAGTTTCGCAAACCAGAGTTCTCATCCAGCCGGCCAATGCCAAACGCTGCTCTCTTGACTTGCCTCTCATGAAACCTGTTTCAGGGTATTGCAGTCGATTTTGGATGAAGCTATTGTGTTTCTCTTGGAGAGGACCGCTTTCCCTCAGTTTTTCACTTCTTGTCGTCCAGTCCATCTTATCCTCGTTTTTGCCACTCTCCTCGTCCTCGCATGTCGTCCTTTCTAAGGGCAGCAAGTATCTCTCAGTCCTCTTTAAATATTGGACTGACTGCGATGTGTGACCTACATATCTAATAATTTGGTGCATAATGCCATCCCCGAATCTTGGGCCGAGTTTCAGTTTCGATCCGGCGAGGAGTATTTAGGATGAGGAAAGTCATGTGCAATTTTTTGCACTCTTTATTGCATGCAGTGGAGAAGAATGAAGCCAATGCACCAGTTACATATGTACATACACACATGCAACAACTAATCCTAAGTATATGTAAGTACGTGTATGCCATCGGGGAGTTAGATACACACATGCATATATTTATTGACTTTGCTTTCAAGTAGAATAGAAAATCCGAAATTTCAATTTGTATTTATTTATCTGGCTGAGGCGCAAATTTTACCCACTTTGATTGCCAACACGAACCTATTGCTGAGGAAATTGAAACAAAGATACATTTGCACGTTCAAATTTTATTTGAAAATAATAGCTGAGAAGTTTAACAAGTACGTATGCATTCGTAGCATGAAATGCATAATCCTTTTGCTATCTAGTAGTTGTGTAAATACATTATTATTTCAGTGATTGAGCAGTTCCACATTATCAGTCTGGTGGTCAAAGATAAGCAATGTCTCAAGGCTGGCTAGACAGGCGTAAGCACGTAGAATAAAATCAACATCCAACTGTTTTGCATTATGTTTGGTTGACCGTTGCCTTAATTGCCCAACGTATTTATTTACTGGACGAGGATTTTTTATCAAATAAATAATAAATATCATGTAATGGCCTGAGCCAACAACATAACCTTTTCATGAATCAAGCAAGTATGTGCGTACTTAACGACTAGCTTTCATTTCGCAGCAGAAATATATGTAAATAAATTTATAAAATTCCTCACTATTTGAAGTGAAGATGAGATCTTCTTTAGTCCTCAACCCGGATCTAAAATCATGTAAAATCCATCTGAACGAGATGAGTCGAATGGCAATTTGACGTGTAAAATGTTGCCCTTTCTCCTCAAGTACATTTTTTGTGTTCTTATATCACAACTCGTAATGTATAAGCCTCCGTAGAGTCCAAAAATAATTCTTATACGTAAAATCCAAGTCCGTGTCCATAATCCATCTTAATGCGTCGGGTTAACATTCAATCAATTATTGTCAATCACGCAAGAGATTAGTCTTCCTGGAAAGAATTTCAAGTATTTTGGAGCAGCATACTTTAATCACGACGACGAACGGGATTTGAAACTTTTACCAAATAAACGGGGTTTGACTCTGGGTGAGGACTGAAAAATAAATGAAGATCTGACTGAATTCTTGCCAAGGAGTCATTTTCTCTGCAGTTTCTGAATTCTCACAGCCTGCAATAAAATGAGACGTCTCACACATCTCTCTTACGTTGTGAGTGACGCTATAATCCGACATACATATGCACACATAAGTACTTTAATATGTTTGGCATCGTATAGATCATTCTAACTGCGATGAAATAAAATGAAAAATATTACAACATTAATAATTATTAGGATAATATTTTATTTTCTCGTGTTAAAATTACTTTCTTTTTGTCAACATCTTTTTATATATATTTTAAAATAGAACAACTCTTACAGTTGAAAGTGCAGTACTTTGCATGGACATTTTCTTACTTAATTAGTAGTTATTATGAAGAACTGAGGTATTGTCAATTAGAGTGATGTTTCTGTCCACACGTATTATGCATGTATTATTTTTGTATATTATATTTGAATATGTTTTTCATATCACTATCACTATTACTTATTATACATACGTTCATTATGTACTCACATTTCCTGAAATAAAATATCGTGATATGGATTAGTTTAGTTTCGTACTTTCTCCAGGACAAGTATACTCCTCGATTATTATGAATCATGTAAATGCATATACTTATCATCGTGGCATTATATTTCTTTAGTAAATATCTATCTTACCCTCTACGCGCGACTGCAGATTATTTTATCAAATAGGGTTTGGTATGCTATTCTTCGGAATGTATAGTTACAAATGATCAAAAAATTGGGCTGTCGTTGGACTGCTGATATGCCTAGTAGTTAGTTATTGGGTGTTGGACGACTAACGTTAACATTATTTATGATTAAACTCGAACAATTAGACAACCGAAATAATAATGACGACAATATAATAAATCTAAACAACACAAGGGCAGTCATTCGTTTTTTTAAAGCTGCACGAATGAAACTCATCTGTTTCAAGTAATAATTCGTTGTACAAATTACAATTCCTATATAAAAAAACAACCACAGCGTCATATCCGTTTCCGAAAACAGAAGACGATACAGCACTCAAAGATTTTTTATAAAACAACAAACAAGGAGAAGTAAGAATATCGTTGTACTACTAATCTGAATACATGCATGCTGTCTTCGATGGCTGGCTGAATTCGTCAAAAATTATACTCATTTTGGATTCTAAAGTCACTTCAAGGAATGAAAGAGCACAATATACAAGTAACGTGATGAACATGAATCAAGTCATGATAATAATATTTTGTTTTACATCTAATTGCGAACACATTTGATTCGAGCACACTTTTGCGTATTTACACTTGTTATACAAACCCCACTAGCAGCGCAATCGAAAATTATATATCATCAATATAATGCTGCAACTGACTCTAAAGGGACATGCGCAAGTTCTCTTAGAAATCGTTTAATATGCCAGTTATGGTTATTACAAGTAGATCTACATTGCTACATTTATAACTTGCTAAAGTACTATTTACATAAAAATATATAGAAGATTCAACTAGCATTAAATGGCCCCTCAGTGTTAATTAATTGTCTCTAAACGCACGCAAAATGACACAAAGAAACGTTTCATGAGTTTTGATTTTTTTGAGTTCACAATCTATATAATCCCGTTCCAAGCCGTAGCATATGGCACACTCTTTACTTTAAATGACCAGATAAACGAAAACGCATCCCCAACTCGTTATAGCTTATGTAATAATAGTAGTTGAAGTAACGCCATGGGTCGTCGTGATATCCACTACTAACGCCTCCGTCTTCATCCATACCACTACTGCTCTCCAATAATAATAATAATGACGATTAACAACAATTAACAACCAGAAAATATTCCTAGATTTCTGCGCTTCTTGTAGAATCCGGAGACAGGTCGGGGTTTAGTAACATTAACTGTTCTGTTGTTAGTCCCATAAGTTCCTTGAGTTTGCGTTCTGAAAACAAAAATATTATATTGCTGTTAGTAAGCTAGCACATAACATGGCCAACACCGGCTCAATTTTGCAGACTAAAACTTTTGAAGAATAAAGATTTGCTACTCGGAATCGTCCATAAATATTTAATTGTTTCTTCCAGAGGGCCAGAATCTAACTTTGTATGAACAACTTACCAAACTTGTACACAAATCTCCTACCATGAACCTAGAAATTACAAAAAAAATTAGTCAATTATTAGTATACCACCCACTTATAATTAGACTGGATAGTGGATTATAACATTGTTACCTTTGCAATCATTCCGTCGTGGTAGTAATATCTATAAGTATGTATAGAATAATTAATTTTATTATAGCATAGCACATTACTATATTTAGTAATACGTACCTCAAAGCTCGACTGAGTTTTTCATAATTCATTTTTGGTTTATTCTTCCTTTCACCCCACATTTGAGCAACAAGTTCAGGATCATTCAGCTTGAATTCTAAAAATGTAATGTAATTCAAACGTAAAATCGTTGTACTTAAATGCATTTTCGCTATGCATGAATATGACGTACCTCCATCTGAACCCACCCATTGAATAACGTCTTTTCTCGACCTATCGCCTAAAAGTTCCAAAAGAAATTGCCATAGCTGAATTTGGCCATTATGTCCCGTCATTGTTGGCTTTTTAGTACTAATTTGAAGGCTGCCATTGGTACCTACAAATAATAAATGCAATTGAATTATTTTGTTTCGCTCAAGGTCTTAAAATTCACTAAATGCTAAATTAAGAGCATTATGCGTACTGGAATTAGAAGACGACGACGATGGTGTTCTTGGTTTACGTGCTGCTTTTTGAGCTTGTCGAGGAGGCTCTAAAACTGCAACAGCTACTTCAGGTAACACAGGAGAAGTGGTCGATCGGTGATTTACCTTGTCCACAACCGCTACACGTCAATGATAATAATACATGTATTAATCGTGCACTTACATCACCAAGACCGACTTATTTTTCTAATGTCATGCAATAAAGTTTAATAATTAAATTACCGAAAACATGGCATTTTCTTAACAACTCAATATGTGTCCAAAATAGATTTTGAGGATCATAAGGCACGCATTTTCGAAATTCTTCTTGTGTCATCTGACACAACTGCTTTCCGGTGAGGGTCCAAAATGCATCGGACAATTGTTTAATTTTGAACTCTTTAATGGCCCAAGTCAACCAGTGAATTATGTGGACTTCCGTCCATTGTGATGGATCTAAAAATGCAATCATAATATGTTTAGTAATTGGTGTTAATCAACAATTTTTTTCGAACACGCTTGATGGTTCACTAAACTATCGTTATAATAATATTTATATTGGGTACTTGCCACTTGGAAGTGAAATAGGAAACAATGAATTTATGTCTTCATAAATCATCCACTTTGATGGAATAGTTTCATTGCACAAATCTTCATCGACGGAATTACAACCATTGAGAGAGAGGTCCTCTGCTGTACTGCTGTTATCATCTGTATGATAATTTAATTAATAATTAACACTTGCATGGATTGATTGACGCTATTTATTTTTAATGCTTGACGTTATTACCTTCTTCAACTTCAACGTATTCATTTGGACAACGCAAAACGTCGACGATATTGATCCGATTCTGCCCAGCGACGTGGTTCAACTCTAATTTGACTTGAGCCATTCCCTCACTTTGAACGAAAAACAAAAACAGTTATACGAAAATTCGTAAAACAAAAGCTTGAAAACATTGAGATGAAAGTAATATTTTTGAAGATGCTACCTTTGAATGCACTGCTCTCCCAAAGACATGTGAGCTGAAAGCTGAAATACAAATATCAAAACACGTTAATACATTTGTACATACAGGAGAATGAAAAATTTTAAAAACTTCATAAGAAGACAATTCGGAGTGTCTATATTGAACTGCGTCAAATATTTGGAGAAAGAAGAACGAAGTTCAGTTAAACTCAAGAATGATATAATTTTCTTGAAACGATGCAGAAAGAACGATCTAACACCGGTTGGGTTACGAATAAACAATTTTTGGAATCACATACCCAAGTCAAACAAATTGTTGCAAAACATGGAGAAGACCCTACTGAAGCAACAGATCTATCTTAATTTCTCTAAATTAAAAAGATTGGAGGATTCGATCAACATCAAGAGGCGTCGTCTCACTACTCTCCCCCAAGACTTACGTGACCACATTTTTAAGTATATTGATGATGGTAAAATGGCTTTCAACTTACAGACCAAACGTAAGCACATAAATAAGATAGAAAATCTTTTAAAGAAAAAAGTCAAATTATGTACGGGGAACAATTCTCAAACCACAATGCCAACGACTAACTCAAACGAAGGAATGAATGAAATAAGCCGCAGTGTCCTCAACCTATCTCATCGTCAGTTAGATAGGAATGAAACCCGTGCCCTCGAACTTGGTCTAAACTTCGCCCTTCCCTATTTCAAGCACAAAGAATTAATTGTTGAAGCAGGAATCAACATTGAATTATGTATGGAAGATTTTGACACCAATGAAACGTTCAAAAACCATATAAGATCAGGTATCGCAAGGATTCTTCTCTCCGAGGTCAACAAAGCGGACAAATCCACTAAAGATTTTGACTGGTTGAAACCAATCTGCAACAATCTCAGAAATGACCAAAGCATTACAATTGTTCCTGCCGACAAAGGGAATTTAACTGTTGTGATGACCAAGACCGAGTATGACAACAAAATCGACACCTTATTGTTGGACCCAAGTTACTCCATTCTTGACGATCCCACCTCATCATTGGAAACTGAGATCAACAATTTGTCAAAAAATCTACTGAAAATGAAGAAATTAGATAAATCCCAACATCATTATATTTCGCCATCAAATTCGAAAATACCAAGATTTTACGGCTTACCGAAGGTACACAAACCCGATCTACCTTTCCGCCCCATTGTAGATTTCCGGTCTTCTCCGTCATACAACTTGGCTCACTTCTTAAACAAAATTCTCAAACCTGTCACAACCAATTTTCCCACGCACATCAAAAACTCATATGAATTTGCCAAAAGTATCAAGAATTTCGTCGTCCCACCCAATCATGAACTGGTATCGTTTGATGTAATCTCTTTATTCACTCGAGTACCGGTAGAAACAACTTTAAAATACATCAGAAAAAGATTGAATTCATCAACAAATTGGAAAACCATCACGAAATTAAATACTGAAGAAATTATGAAATTATTGCGCATCACAGTAAATTCCAACTATTTTACTTGGAATGGAAGGATTTATAAACAAAAAGATGGTACACCGATGGGATCACCGGTCTCTCCTGAATTTGCAGAGTTCTCTTTGCAAGACTTAGAAGAAGAAATTGTTCTTAAGCATCCAGATATCAAATTCTTCAAAAGATTTGTGGATGATTGTTTTGCATGTATACCGACTGGCTCCAAAGAACGGATACTACAAGACCTGAACAGCTATCATCCCAACCTACAATTCACATGTGAATCTGAAACAGATATGTCGATATCATTTCTGGACCTTTTAATATCTCGTGATGAAAACGGAAATTTGCATCGCCAAGTATATCGAAAACAGACCCATACAGGCAGATACCTAAACTACAACTCTTATCATCACCCGTCCCAAAAAATTGCAGTTATTGATGCCCTGGTCTATAGAGCTCTTTCCATTTGCGATGACGAATTCCTGGAAGAAGAACTAAAATTCATCACGAAATCTTTGACAACAAATTGCTATCCAAAACACCTAATCGACAAAAGAATATCAAAAATGAAACTAAAATTTACAAATGACCAACACCAAATCCAAAATAATGACGCACCTCGCATCATTCTTCCCTACATGGGTCCTCTCACCCATCGTTTGACGGGTTACCTAAGGAGAAAACTCCAGTGTCAATTTGGATACCTCACGGGAAAGAAAATTAAGCAAATCATCTGCTCCTACAAAGAAAAACCACCACCAGAAAAAATAGGGGTTTACCAGATCAAATGTTCATGCAGATCAAAATATATAGGAGAGACGCGTCGACCACTCGAGAAAAGAGTGAAAGAACATCTCAATGACATCAAAAAGAAAAACATTAAGTCAGCAGTGGCGTTACATATACTGGAAAATCCAAACCATATCATCAATACCGACTCAGCAAGTCTTATTATCCCGGAACGACGAAATTTTCATCGAAAATTTTTGGAAAGCCTTTACATAAAGAAAACGACCAACACTTTAAATCAAGACAATGGAATGAATATAAATCCCATTTGGTCTTCACTCATGGTACCCTTACTCAATAACCAATGACAACTCACTAACATTATTATTCATCCTTGATTTTAAATGTCAATCTCCAAAATATTATTTTTAAAAAAGTTGCCTGATGATGATGCAAGTGTGGCATCGAAAGCTTGTAATAAATTGCTTTACATACCAACAACCATGTCTTCCGAGAATTCTACTCTTAATTTTAAAAACATATTTCTACTGTTAAACTACCTTCATTTTATCTTGAAGCCAAATCTGACAATTTGAAAGATCAATTCCTAACTCTGTTTCTAAATTTGTCCGGAGTGTTGACACTGGTTGTTGAATATCCATAATTTGAGTGATGACCCCAGTTTTCAGATATGTTCCTTCCGGCAATCTGGAATTTTCTGCTTTGTCGCACATTGCTAGAAATTAGAGTAGTAAATAATCAAATATAGCATTTTTCTTGGAGTCACATAAAGGTCAAAAAGAGTGCCATTGTTGTTGTATTTATGCTGTAATTACCCCTGGCATCGAAGGAGATATTATTAATCGAATTGGGTACTGATTTTCGCTTCTTTTTCGAAGGCAACGACAAGTCCTCAGCGACACAAGTTATCGACAACGATGGATCCATGGTCAATTCCCTTTCTCGTTTGCCCGGAAATTGGCCGTGGCCTCGGTAGGAATTGAACTTCTGAAATAAATAAATAAACAAAAATGATAAATATTATGTCTAGATAATTTTATCCTTTATATGTAGAATATTAGTTTAGTAGTGTGTGTACAATGTTTGGCGAACAATAAAATTCATACATCAAGTAGCAGTCGTTCGTAGTATTCCATACTGGACTGAATACTCGAGTTTTTTTTGCAACCAGTTAAAAAAAACAATAAACTGAGCAAAAAAGAAGTGTTCTCTTGCTCAAGAGTGGATATATTGGTTCAGTAAACACTCTAGAAATTAATCAATGTGCAATAAATAAAGTTAATAGGAAGCCAATAATAATGCAATGGTAGCAAATAGAACAGAAACAATGAACAATCAAATAATGTGTTGAAATTTTTATTGCTTGGACCTGTTGGAATGTGTTTCACTTCCGCTCTCTATGTCTCTCAAAACCCACAAGAAGGACATTCTCCCTTGAGTATTCACCATCTTCAGCCGGCCCTTAAAGCGTCTAAAAAAGAACTGGCAACGCGTTTCTACCCCTTGTTAATAATAATACGGCTATAATGTATGGATATTATCAGTAAAAAAAATATGGTCAGTATGTCTCAAGGTATTTGCTAGCCGGTTCATAGTTCAAGTCAATCATGATAACTAATGAATAAAGTAAAATCAAAGTGTGAAGGTCTCATGCATTCCACCACGAGTAATTTACTAGCTATGAAAATAAAAGGAAACTTTATGCTTGCAACCATCAGCACCAACAAACAAGTCGTCAGTCAAATGACAATGATTTAAACATTTGAATTTGAATTGAAAGTTGGTTGAGGTTTAACATTTGCGAAGACCCGACAAGACTTTACATTCAATTCATCCTCATAAATAATTCAGTTTGGTATTCATTGACAACTTCCGGGAGGCTTCAGCTTTCTGCTGTTACTGCGCGTTCTCCTCCTCCAAACATCATTGCCTCTCAGGTCTCAGCTTTCATGATGATATGCAGTACTCGTAGCAGAAGTCGAGTCATCATTCAAATGACGATGATGCTGACGATAAGCTAAGCAGTGAAATGGAACACTAATCGAAACGAACCGGAAGTGATTAAACAACAAAACCCAATATTGTAATACCATGTATACTTCGTACGTATGTATACGGAGTTGTCGAATTATTTGAATTCTTCTTGATATGCATCTACTAACAGAAACTCACTAAAATTACGTTGACGTTTAATAGAATTATTACTTGATTTCTATGTCTGTCTATCGAGTCTAACCCGCAACATTGTTTACATTATGTAAATTACATACGATGAATGTCTCACAGTAGAGATGACTGGAATAAAATGGAGTCAAGCAGGAAACATGTAATCAGACAGAGAGATTTAAAGATGTGAAACCCCTCAAATTTGATGAAGAAGCATTAACATAAACTGCATTCACATTTGGTTATTGTTCCACTTATAAAAGTTATGATGTCCACACACACTGGTTGCGAAAAGCAGAGGACAGAACAAGTCTGCATGTTAAATATTAATATGATCAATGATGATCAAAGGAAGTATGTCTTGTGTGGTGTCCTTCACTTAATTCTTTCCACTTTTCCTCCTCCACCGCTTCCTCAATTTCACTTACACACCACCACAACGTTCATGCTCACGTTTCAAGAAAGAAGCCAGTCTTAGGACCTTAATAAATTGCCATTTTAGAAAATTATAATCATTTAAGCAAGCCAAGCACAGCATTCAAGCATACATGTGAACCGTTGGTGATGATGTGGTGGAAGTAAATATCTAAGTAGTAGAATTCGCGAAGAAGGAGGAGTGTGCAACCCACAGCTCCAGCCAAGCCAGGTAAATATGTGTAATTTGCATGCACGTAGGAAAGGAAGGAAAACCAATGCTGGAATATCATGCTGAATCGAGAATAAAGCAAAAAGTAAGAGATATGGAACAACAATATATCTCCGTAATCGGTGGTTGCAGGATGTTTTTTTTTGCGAAAGAAATGGCATACCCGTGTACGTACTAACTAACAAAATGCAAGAAGAGAGGAGTGGAGGAGTCTAGAACAATATCGTTCTCCATTATTATTTGAAACGGATGAAGCTCATTTCCTGTCAATTTATGCCACCCGTTACCAAAGTGTGCAGCGATGAATTGATTACTTGCCTTCGTTCTTTACGTCATCCTTACTCTTTTCTATTCTTTCAACTAACAAAACCACAACCAACGAAAATTCCAGCGGCGGTGTTATGTTGTGATACAACATGTAGAATGAATGGCGTAATAAAATCATAATAATATTCAACAGGTAGGATTAAGCATACCTCAAATTCCATCATTTTGCTTGCAGAGGGTTATTAGCGAAACAATTGCAAAGACTGATCCTGCGAAGAAGAGAAGGACCTTGAATTGACACTTCCTGTCTATATGGCTTATGCAGCAGCACCTTTCCCTTCCTGCTTGCCGTCTAACAATAGTGAACACGTGGCGGTTGAGCCGTCTCAATAATTGCAATTAATTGTAGTATCCGTTGTCTTTAATTCGTTGTCTATGGCTGGCGAATTCCCGAGTTATTGTAATAATATAATGCTGTTAAATTGTAATAATAACTCAATTTCCTCTTCTATCTGTACCACTATATGATATAATGAAGGTTTGTTCTTTATCTTCAGCTGCCACGAGAAATCAGTCCAATCAAGTTATCAGAGGTTATCCTCTAAAAAATCTAGTTGTATATAGTGTCCTCGTTCGTCCAGCCCCGTAATAATAATATTAGTAGCACAAATCCCACAACTTATTATCACTCATCATCACCGTATGTTATCTAATCTGCTCGTGAGTGCTTGAATTGGAACTGCTACTATTGTACTATATCAGCGTCGTTTTGGTGCCTCTTGTTCTGCAATATTTATCATTCGATTCAATTGTTGTGTTGGGAATTTATGCATGTATGATGAAGTAGCCTTTAGTGGGTGACTGTTAACTTAAATCGTCCAGGAATCTGAAGGCTTCTTTTTTTCAGTGTTTTGTTGGAGGCTGGCTTCCCGTTCGGGTTGATATTGCAGATAGATAACAAACCACAAGTGATTTGAGAAGTCGTCGTCGTCGTATATATAACCACCACTATGTAACACGTTCCAAATGGCAGAGACACAAGGATTTTAAACGCAATAACTTTACACAGAGCAGTGTGTGTGATGATCTTGAATCTTGGAATTATATGGGTTGCTAGTGCTGGAGGAAATGGCGAATAGCATCATCGTCATCAGTAGCAGCAGCAGCAATTGATAAAAAATGCTGGACGATTGGACCCTGGTTGTTGGTTTGCAATGGCACTTCTCATTTCTCTCGAGTGAATTCAGGCAGGGAGAGGAGGATGTTGGGAGTGCGAATCTTGTAGGCTTTTCCTTAAAAATGCAAAAATGCGAATATGATTGGATGGTATTTTATAAGTTGCTTGGAACTGGTAATAGTAGTGGTATCTATCTCTTGCTGGTTCGTTTCGTGATCGTCGTGGGCACAATCGAACATCAAATCAACCACGACTCAGCAACTGGTTTCGAGATTTTTTGCACCCTGCCTGCTGCTTGTTTCTTTCTTCTTCTTCTTGTTATTACGTCAACTCATGCATGTATTAGCGAGCCTCCTCGTTTCTTTAATGGCCATTCAATGTTAATACTTGTTGCTGATGTTGCTGCTGCGAGGAGTCGTCTGGCTTTGCTGGACGACGACGAAGACGATGTTTTGTGAAATGATGAAGAATGAGCTGAATGTCAATTTCCAGTTTGGTGTTGGCTTCTCTCCAGCTACGTTTCGTTTCAGGTATGGCAAATGCCCGGAGGCAGTGATACAGCTTGATGAGAATTTTGTGCACCTGACTCAATCTTTCCTTATTCTTATATGCAGCAGACCACTGAGACTTGAAATGTTGACGGGGAAAGGTTTTTTGGGTGAGATGAAGAAGATGACAGGTCCACTGGGATCTCTTTTGTTTTGTTGTTGGAGTTAATCAATTAATGATAGACTCTGGACTTTTTGGCTTTTAACTCGGCACTACTAGGGCAAAAAGAAATGTTCCCAATAAGCAATTCCTTCCTTGCCTGTACGGTTTTGGAGATAATATTTCCGAGGGTAGTTAGATCTATGTTGTAGTAGCACTGCTATTGCACTATCTTGGTCGACTTACTAATAATTCCAACTCCGCTACTCGACACTGCTGCGGAAAGCGGAATGATAATTAGCGTCGGATAACAATTTGTATAATGACGAGTGCATGTGGTGATGGGTGAGAGACAAGTATTGAACAATAATATGCAGATATAGTAAACTAAACTTGTAGTAGTACACAATTCTTCTATAATAATAATCAACTGTGCGCCTCCGTGAGTGTCAGGGACAGAGGATGGCGGAGGTTGAGAAGAGGAGAGGCAGGCAGCAATAGCAGAATATGAATTAAGAGGCAAATTGGTATTAACTTTAACGAGGTTTATCATGGATGGGAAGGAATTGATGGACTATGCTAAACAACTATATCTGTCTCTCTCCTCCGTCAAAGGAATTCAGAGAGAGATGAGAATTGGTTGATGGTTCTGTGTGGCGAATACGTACAAGGGCAGTAATAGTTTGCAGAAGGCAGCAGCAGCAGCAGAGAATTGAATTGCCACTTCCTTCCTGCTCTGCGCTCTCCAAATAAGCCAAATAAATAGCAACTTACATATGCACCACCACCGCCACGACGACGACACGACAACCAGCCAGCTAGATTATGCATTAACCAATTTGCTGAGCTGCTGTCAATCCCATTCACATTTTACGGGTCAACTAATAACTAACCAAACAACTAATGCGGATGCGTACATAATAAATATGTAATATGTTATACACTTATACATAACATACATATTCTTTTTTTCTGAATTCTTCAACACAATATACACGTCGACGGTCGACCCACAAAAAAACCCACCCACCCACTACTACACACCAAAAAGCTCTCAAATCACAAATTAACAAATGGTTAAACAACATTTGAAATTCATTGTCCCCGAATTAAGCAAAATGTCTTACCGTCGTCATAATGTATTTACGGCGCTGATTCTTTGATGTTTCTATTCTTCACAGTCTTGATGTTGCTGCCGTTTGAATTTAACAAAGCACTTTTTATATTTTCGATGATTTTATTGAGCAAAATTTTCCCCTCAATCATTTGAACACTTACTGCTTAAATATGTCTTATTCTCCTCTCCTCTCAAATGTCACAACGAATCCATCCAATTGACTTCCTTCCTGTTCTTTTCCACCACCATATCACCCAGCAGCACTGATACCACCACCACCACCATCAGCTTATCTTTAACCTTCTTATCACCATCATTTTGGTAAAGTTTACTTGGCGATGATGATGATGATGGAAGCAGCAGACACTTGACGAGCTCGAAAGAGAGAGAGAGAGAAGAGGGAGGAAGGAAACTCTTGCTGCCTGCCTGGTTGCTGGTGATGAAAGAGGAAGTAGTTTATATTGAACTCGATCCTCCATCCAACCAACAAAACTCTTCGCATTCCTTGTCCAGAAAAAGGGTCTTTCATTCACCCCATGACCTCCTCCCCTTAAATAATATGTTAAAACATCTCTGACTTCCCGTGAGTACAGTCATCCAGACTCGGAGATGCATCATTTATTGACGAATTTCCGGCGACATTGAATACGACATTTCTTGGCAAAGTAATCTGGCCGGGATGGATGGATGACCGAATGTGAAGGTGATGTTTTTGTCCCAGCCTGCGATGCGATGATGATGGTTTTGATTTTATTACCATGGGCTGACCAACAAACAACAAGCGGAAGGACCGGATTCCTGCTCCGGGCCCCCCATCCAACGCTTCAAGAAGTGCGTGGAGGTATTACCTGGCGAGTAAGAGAAATTATTGTAAGAGTTCAAGAGGACGGCAAAAAATGCAGGTGGAGGTTCTTCCTGGAATCAAAAGAAAGAATTTGCTGCTGAAGAGAAAGATTGAGTCTTGCATTTTGGTCCATCATCCAGGAAGCATAAGCGTCGTTAAATTACATTGACGATAGAATAATGGCAAAACTCGTCTTATTTAACTCGCTCAAAAGTTGAGGAAGAAAGGCTGAAAGTAAATAATAAGTGCCCAAAAAGCAGCTTCAACTAACTAACTGCTTTACTAGCTAGCGTAACGTTTCTTATTGGGCTCAGTAAAACAATGAGAAAAAAGTTTCATGGTCAAGGTTGTCATTGTAGTAGGAAGGAAACCTGCGACTTGCATCAGCTTTTAAGGAGATTTAATGTAAACCTCATTAATTTGCTGATATGTTTCGAAAAATATGAGAAAATTAAAACTTTTAATAATTTTTTTTTAGAATTTAAATTTCCTTTTCATACATTGTCGTAGCCGAAAATAATGTAATATAAAGAAGTCAGCTAAACACAATATGCAATCTTGCATGTTCTCATATCAGAAATTCAGTTATAAATTAATAGTTCTGCAAAAATCTTTAATTTTCTTAAAAATCTTTAAATAAATAAAAATTGATATAAAATTATTCAATCAACGCACAGTAAATTACTCTAATACAGCGCCCCCATATGCTTCTTTGTCGAACTTGGTGGTATAGTTCCGTCGAATATGCAAGCATCACGTCGCATTTGATAATATGCCAGTTTAAGTTATAAAGCGATTATGTAAAAAGTAATAATAAGTAAATGTTTCAAAAAGTGTCATCAGAATTTGGAGCGAAATCTGAGATTGACTCAAGGTCTCGATTTGAGGCAGATGCCGTATTTTTCGAGTGACGAGATTTTGGACGAGGTGGAAGCCATCATCGCAACTTCATCGCAACGAGGAGCATCAGCATTCCCATTTCCATTTCCAACTTCGGGCGAGTAGACATTTGCTCTTGCTCCGTAATTTTAAACATTTTCGATTCGATAAATAACTAATTCGCCATAATTTATTGGTGACGTGTCAACGGTAGGCATTAGCTATGCTAAGTCTAATCAAATTATAGCTCGTTTTAAGCAAGGGTCATCGCTGCAGAATTGAATGAGAAAATTTCGATATTTGTATTACTACCGACTTCACATCCAAAACTAAAACAGGGCGACAATTCTTGAGGTAATCTAAAAAGAAAGTTAATCCATATTTTTTAAATAGAACATTGTAAACCCGAATATGATGATCGTGTATCTTTACCTACATTGATTGATTTGTTATGATAATACAAAGTCGCTGATTGGGTTAGAATCTAGAGAAAAGTAATTTTGAATTCAACTAGGATGTAATATGTTGTTGAATTACATCCAGCTTTTTTGGTTGCCTATGGCCGTTTGTATATTATTTAATTTTTTGTGCAGGTAGAGGTCATCGCTTCGGCTGAACGAAGAAATTGGACACTTTGCGCTTGTCAAAATTGAATTCTCAACATATCATCGTTCGTCAATCACCAACCGCAAACAAACTATTATTTTTCATCATCTTCCTGTCGTCGGTGCCAATATTCGTGAGCTGCCTCTTTCTCTCCACCTCTCCTTTGGGCTCCACACTGTACGAAGTAGTCGTCATCCCCAGGTTGCCCTCTCCATTTGATTGACTTGGTCTCATTGCACTGCGTTCCTCCGTATCTATTTTTAAACTACTTCAACTCAAGTTCAAGACAAGTTAACTGAACTCCGTTTCCATTATGGTGAGTCGTTTTTTCTGGACATGCTTATTCTTTAGCCAGAATTCGAATATGATGATTTATCTTTACCTACATTGACTGATGTTTTATGATATTACGCTTTTTTTCTGATCGTTCAACACCCTATAATAACAAAATTGTGCGAGTAGCCGAAAATAATTGACGTGAAATATGACTTATTTTTTATTACTTGCAGCATTTTTCAAATGAGACTGTCCAAAAGGCCTACTTGGCCACGGAGGAGAATCCCTTCGACATGGACGCTTGGAACGTTCTCCTTCGGGAGTTGCAAACAAGGAAAATTGAAGATGTTAGACCACTGTTTGAGAAGTTGGCAAAGATTTTCCCAACGACGGGACGATTTTGGAAGATGTACATCGAGCAAGAGGTGAGATTTTTTTAAATCATCATTCTTCTCTGTTTCTTTCTATCAATACTTTTGCTGCTGATGCGCTGCTTTCATATGATGAGAATATGGATTCCCCCTCGTTCTCGAATGGTGGACGAAAAATCCGATTCTGATTTATATTGATAACCTGCTCTCTTGTGCTTTGGATCGGTTATTTATTATGGGTTATCTTTTATTGGTGCTACCTATTTGTATCTCCCCTAAAATTGCAATGTTCATTTGATAAAAATGTGGTTTTTGTATTCCAGATGAAAGCAAGACTTTACGACAAGGTAGAAAAGGTAAGCCATCATTATAGGCAAAGCCAAAAAATTCAATCAATTTCTTCAAACCAATCCATGAGCCCTCATCAGATGAACACCAAATGTTGTAATGGGAAATTCATCCGTGTTGCAGTGGGTGGTGTCTAATATCGTTCGTATGCCTTGACATAAATTTTTCTAATCTATCGCTAAAAAACTTATGTATCAATCAAAAGTTAGTCACTCCATGAAACACATTTTTTTTAGTGATTATAGTGTGTTCTTGCTCTCTTATTTTTAAGACTGAAACTGACTGTGATATTAGTACTTTGGTGGTGCGTACAATGAAAAAAAACTGGTATTTGAAATTAAAAACTTTACATTTTTTAACTGGAGTAAAATGAATTAAAAAAAACTGAATAAAACGAAACATTGATCTCAATACAAAGGGAGAAAGAGAAACAGATTAAGGCTGAGAAAATAAAGAAATGATCTGACCAACACAAATCCCCTGCCTTTCGTTGATTGATTTCGTCACTTGTGTGTGTTTTATTCAATTTGGCTCATTACTACGTACTGAAACTGAAAGCGTGTATTTATTATTGCGTAAAAACGTCGGCGGTTCGGTGAAATTTGTGAATTATTATTACAAGTATGTGTCGACTACTTGATCATTCTGTTCATGTTGGTTATTAACCAATATTATTTCCTTCCTTCATATCCAGACCATTTTCCTGCACATGTCCTTATCTTTCTATTTTGATTTTCATATTTTCAGAATTTCCTTCAGAAATTCCCGTACAGAGGGATCTCTGTAGCTAGAGTCAGTCAACAAGTGAATAAAATTTGCAATTTATGTATTTAAAACACTGGTTCCTGATTTGAGCATACGCAAAATTATGCACAAGTCTTTTATATATATGAGTAAGGGACTTTTGCAGATAGTATTTTAAATGCTTCCATTTTAGTAATTATGTTATGTTATCCTACACAAATTTTGATTTCCAATCACTCCAAGTTGTATAAAATATTTCCAAGTCGCCGCGACCGAAGGACGTCATATATCGATTGAGTTATGGAAATAGGTCTACTAGCAGATTCCCTTATTTTTATTTACAGAAATTTATAGACTTGTCTCATTCTTGTGGTTGCCACTACAAATACACTGAAAGTTTCATTATTAGTTTTTAGTTCTGGTGTTTCTTTTGTTGACAGCTGTTCACACGATGCTTAATCAAGGTGCTAAACATCGACTTGTGGCGCCTGTACCTGCAATATATTCGCGAGTCTAAGGCTGCACTCCCAACATACAAGTAAGTTCCACCTCTCCCTTCATCGAACCCTCCTCAATAGCACCGCATGCAATGATTTATCGCAATGATTGACCTGATTGACTGACGAATTATTATTCTTCTCTCGACAGAGAAAAAATGGCTCAGTCGTACGACTTTGCCCTGGATAAGATTGGGATGGATATTCAGTCCTTTTCCATTTGGAACGACTATGCAAATTTTCTGAAATCTGTAGAGGCATCCGGATCGTATGCGGAAAACCAAAGAATAAGCGCCGTTCGAAAGGTTGTAATAAACATTAACACATTGTATGAAAACTTGTATAAAACCATTTCCCTCCCGCATACATATGATAGGTATACCAAAAGGCTGTGATGACGCCAATGATCAGTGTGGAGACCTTGTGGAAGGACTACATTACGTTCGAACAGGGAATAAACCCTATAATTGCAGAAAAAATGTCAATGGAGAGATCTCGAGATTACATGAATGCTCGTAGAGTGGCAAAAGAACATGAAGCCATCACCAGAGGACTGAACCGCAGTTTTCCTTCTGTTCCTCCCACTGGTTCCCCAGAAGAAGTTCGTCAGGTATAATTTTACTACGAAATTAATCTTCTTCTATCATTTCACATTTGACAAACTAACTTTCTAAACGTGTCTATCCGTAGGTGGCACTTTGGAAAAAATATATCGCATGGGAAAAGAATAATCCTTTACGAACGGAGGATCTCACTCTGCTGGGTAAGAAAGTATATACTATAAGCACGCTATATTTATTTAGTGTCCTATTTTCTAATTAAATTAATCCACGTGTGTTTCTTTCATGTCAGCTCGACGTGTCATGTTTGCATACGACCAATGTTTACTCTGCCTCAGTCACCACCCTGATGTTTGGTACGAAGCAGCACTGTTCTTGGAGAACATTTCAAAACTGATGAATGAAAAGGGGGTAGGTTTTAAAAATTTTCTGGAAAGTAGTAATATTTCGATTGGTTTAGTTTTTTGTATTTGTTGTAACGATCTCTTTTCTTACAAATAATTTAGGATGCTGTATCAGCCAAAAAGTTTAGTGATCAAGCTGCAGATGTTTATGAAAATGCTATTACTGGCGTCCTCGGAAAAAATATGTTGCTGTATTTTACATATGCTGATTTTGAAGAGACGCGAGTCAAGTACGAGAAAGTACACACGATCTATCAGAGACTCTTGGATATCGAAGATATAGATCCAACTCTTGTACGTAAAGAAACTTGGAGATTATTGTTAAATTTGTTGTTTGACTTTATTGTATTATTATCAATAATTGCGAATTTGAGTGGGAATTTCATGATCCCTCCAATAACTGATTTGACTCTTTATAAAAATTTACGTAATTTACAATTTTTCTCCACATGCGTGACGATCGATTATTGCATTGGCATCAATCGCATTGTATACGTGACAGTGTTTAAATGAGAACAAAGTGTACGAGCATTGTATTTATTACAACACCCTCAAAATTTTGCGTAATTTTGACGAACTATTAGAACATGCACCTTTTCCTCATTTAAACACTGCATGTTGGCGATGTATATATGCACCAAACTCTGTATAACTACTCCACCTCAACGCCACAATAATGCCTCTTCAGTGCCATAATTATATTCGATGTGTAACACTCCTTCGCTTTATATTTTATTACTTATGTAATTATTGAAGTATGAAAATTTCGCCTTCTACGATTTTTAGGTGTACATTCAATACATGAAATTTGCCCGTCGAGCGGAAGGAATTAAGGTATGCAAATCATTTCTCATCGTCACATTCTCGTGACCATTTGCTCGTTGCTTCTTAAAGATGATTAAAAAAGTTTTCTCACAGTTGAAAAGTTATTTTATTCTGTTCCAATTTCCATGTACTGTTTGTGTTGCTGTTGTATCGACATCGTTGCGAATTAAGAATGCTCGTGCAATTTTCAAAAAGGCACGTGAAGACCCAAGGTCAAAGTATCCCATTTACGTTGCAGCCTCCCTTATGGAATACTATTGCAGCAAGGATCACAATATTGCCTTCAGAATCTTTGAGCTTGGACTCAAAAAATTTCCTGCAGAGGTAAGTTGATAAATAACCTATAAAACAATGACACGAGAAAAATATATTTTTTACCCCTTGCAGCAAGATTACATCATGTGTTATGTGGACTACTTGTCGCATTTGAATGGTATGTTAAAACATGAAGTTGATGTCACAAGATTTCTTGAAATGCTCCCTGTTTTCATAAATGACTCATCGTTATTTTGTTTCGCTTTCAGAGGACAATAACACACGGGTATTATTCGAGAGAGTTTTAACTTCTGGAAATCTATCTCCAGAAAAATCTGTGTAAGTAAATTTTAAAAGGTTTTGTATACGTATGCCTGGCAGATAAAATCTCAGTAATTATATAATTACATACTTATCCAGAGACATTTGGAACAAGTTCCTTGAATTCGAGTCAAATATCGGAGACCTTAGTAGCATAGTCAAAACGGAAAAGAGACGAAGCAATGTTCTGAATCAAGTGAGTCGAAATAAATTTAATATTTTTTTTGTACAGAAGGCAGTTGAATTTATAAAGAGCCAACATAACGCTTGCTTAATTTTTCCAGCTGAAAGAGTTTGAAGGAAAGGAAACTGCTCAAATCGTTGATCGATACAGATTCTTAGATTTGTTTCCTTGTACGACTGCTGAGCTAAGGTAATTTTAACCATATTTTATTATCCACACTGGTTGATTGAGGAAGAAACAAATAATATTTTATTTTACATATTTATTTATCCGCTCTATATAGATCAATTGGATACACTGAAGTTCTATCCTTCTCCTCCAGCTTCAAGGCACAGTTGCCTCAATTCAATGTTCCCGACGCTGCTGAGGCGGAGGAAGATGTTGAGGACAAGACCTCTCGACCTGATTTCTCTCAAATGATTCCATTCAAACCTAAGCTTAATGCTTATCCTGGAGAGCACATTATCCCAGGTATGTGCGCCATTCGTCGCCAAAAGCTTATTGAAAAATTTATTATACACACACATCAAATAAATTTTGTTTCGCAGGAGGAAGTTTTCCTATGCCTCCAGCAGCAGCACATCTCAACACGCTCCTCCCACCGCCCATGTATTTCCACGGCCCTTTTGTCGGAGTGGAAAAGCTCATGGACATTTTCGCAAGACTGCAACTACCTGAAGATGTTCCCACTGCAAATGGTGAAGGATGTGAACCATCACAGTTTGACTTGGCCAAATCTGTTCACTGGGTTGTTAATTCCGAAAATGAGAATCATCATAATAATAATCATCATCAAGGCCACCAAAATAATATGCGTGGTGGCGGGGGACGAAGGGGAGCCAAAAGACGGATCGGGATGGGAGGAGGAGCACAAAATCATCACGACAGCGAAGATGAAGACTCTGCTGTTGCCCCACCTCTCAACGACCTTTATCGTGTCAGACAACAAAAGCGACACAAATAATTATCTCTGATGTAGTGTTATCTTGCTACATCTGAAATACTACACACTAGTTCTTAGATTACATATTATACGCTGTACAGTTTATTTATACATACAAGATGATGTTAACATAATCCAATAATTATTTTTATAATAACAGGTGTAACTGGATTGATTTTTTTCAATATTTACTCAATTCGCATTAAAATTTTATTCAACAAAACAATAACAACAGCATTAAAATCGTTTACACAAATTCAACCTCTTAGTTTTCAAATATTCTTTATTAATGCTAGATAATGACGGAGAAAAAGTTGAATAAGCACTCATCATTCATCATCTTCAATCAGTCTGTCGTTTATAATTATATCCAACTCTATTTATATTGGTAACACTTCTTATTGTTACTATTATATACAAGTTATCGTATTTGTGTTATTTAGTTTAGAACTAACTTATGTTTAAAGATAACTAGTTAAATGTTTAAAAATCTCATGAAACGTTGCATGAAATATATATTTAAATACATATTTTTGTGTTTGAAATTTCCTGATTCGTGTGACGCTCGTCGTTTTATTAGATATGAAAAATAAAATAAATACAAACTAAACAAAATTTTCTTTATCTTCAAATATCGCATCTTCTTCTAGTTCAAGATCTACAATTAATGTATCGTCGTACGGGTTTTCTAACAGGGCTCCAACATAGAAACTTCCGCGAGCTCTGGAATAAATTATTTCGCATTTGAACTTTTGTGGTCATTTTTATTATTTATCTAACACATGAATTATAAATTAAAATCTAACTTTGTGCTGCACAAGTCTCCCATGTAAATTTCATTCCTTTGTCGGCATTTGCATATGTCTCTCTTAATTTCATCTTGACTTGGACATTTACACGCTGGGTACTTTTCTGACCCTATGGACTCGGCAAAATACTGCCAACTTCGAGAATGGCTGCATCCGTTTAGCACATCTGAAATGCATTGCAATCAAAAACTCGTTCCACTAAAAAATATGCAAGAGGTTAATAATCACAAATTTATAAGTATGATACCGTCCGTGAATTCGCATCCTGGTTGCGTTTTTCCGCCGTTGGCAAAAAAGTCGGCTGTTCCGGTATTCGAAACCATGCCCCAACCTCCAAGTTTTGCATTGGTATGAATAATCTAGAACAAAAAGGAATGCAAAATCTGCGAATATGTGTAATCATTGTAGTTCTACTAAATAAGCTCTGAAATAATAAATAATTAAATATGTACATCGACAAATTTTGCATCTCCCTTGTCTAACATGTATCTCATATCCTCTGGAGCCGTAGTCGACCCCGTCAATTGAGACCACATCAAGTCAAAACCTGCAATAAGCAAAAGTTTATGCACACTAGTCCTCGGGAAAACCAGTTAAGATCAACATTTGGGCGATGAATGCTTGCATTTTGTTAGGACGGTGCGAATGAATATTACCTGGCCCAGCCGGGTCCAATCCTTCCTTGCACAAAAAAAAACGTTACAGAAATACAGGGGAAGTATAAATTCGATAAGTATATTTATCACGGAGATATATTCACCCGTGATTCTCGCCAACTTGTCCCCGGTTTCTTCATGAAATAGACGCCCGCAAGTTCCTGAAAGATGGGCCCCAAGGCTAAATCCTGAAAATATGATGCGTATGTGTATGAACCCTTTAAACTATTTTTTTCGAGGATACTGGTCGATGGAGGGAGGAATGATAATTCGTAGCAATTTACCAATGAGGTGAACCTTGTCAGGATAAAGATTTCCTTGGTCATAGAGATTTATCAAAAAATTTGCGACAATTCTTCCCACTGCCAGCGTGGCTGATGCTGCAGAAGGATAAATAATGGTACGACTTATTGATGTCCAATCTACGATGATTATGTTTTCCTCGCTCTTTTGTTCCAGATACGCTATGCAATTCATTATAGAAATTACTTGTGTGGAATGACATGCAATTTTACTAAACTGGGTAAAAATTCCTACTATTCTTGATAGTAAAAACTCCGACGATAAGTTGAGTCAGTTTTGTTGTCGCATTTCTCACTTCCCCCAGAACGTCGAAAATCGGGCTTCCCGTGGGAGAAAAGCCGTGAATGAGTACCTTGAGACCTTTCGTCTTGTCAAAGTTTGTGTCTTCAATCCCCTCGCAATCAAGATTTATTATTTCCGGCACTTTACGATTCTTTTGTGTGAAAAGTAAAAATCGAATATCTCGAGTGTCTGGATCATTCAAATCATTGAGTTCAGTTTCTACGATGCCCGAGATGCTTTTCTGCACATCGCCAAGTATTTTTCCAGCATGGCTGACGGCTTCAGACGCCACACCATACACGCCTCCGACCAAACTGGTAAATGTCCCAACCTAGATTTTTCCATTGTCATATTTCTAGTCTGACACAATCAAGCGTATTCATGTAAAACGAAATTAATGCTCCTCACAGGATTCAAATTAAATAAATTTGATATGACATTGTTCTTTGTGTCGACCAACTCTGAAAGGATACCTCGTCCTTGTGCCACAGGTCTTTCCCAAGTGTGCTTTCTTCTGAAATTATGCTGATGATGTGAATGTCTTCGGTGGTGACCTCGTAATTGGGATCGGCTTCCTACCCTTGAATCGTCATTAGATGTGGAATAATGTCGTCGTACTCCGTCGTGTCTCCGTGCATGGATAGTAATTGCAAAACTAATAATCAGAAAGGAAAGAGCCAGAATTGACCTCATGTTGCCGATACGAGTTTTTGGTTAATGAAGTCTGCATACTAGTGCAGTGCATACTCAATAATACACATTATCATATGATATGTAGGTGTAGAAATCAATCGATGGGATAATGTGTTATAAATAATAATGCACATTGTCCTCTGACTGACCGTATGATAAACAGGAAGGGCTACACAGTTATGGCATTCATCGTATTCGATGGATGGGTCAAACTTATGAATGAAACAAATGTGGTCAATTAATACTTGATACTTAGGAATATGAGAACTATATAAACCTGTGTGTGAAACTTATGTGTTTACTTTATGTACTCGTTATTAATTTGATTTTTTGACTCGCTTATATATTTTTATTTGTGCTTTTAACTGATACAAAAAAAATAATACGTTTTGCATAAATAAATTGAGAATGAACACAAGCTTGAGACCATTAATTGTGATACATGGTCAACAAGCACATAGAGATCCCATCCATGAATCGTTTTAATACCGACCTTAGATGAGACTGACTGAAATAAGAACAACAATAAAAATATTATGCTTTTTTTCCTCGAATCGAGTAATTTATTTATATCATTCACTAACGATCTGACCACATCCAATTGACTTGCCGCGTCGGAATATACCTCCAGAAAAACTGCGGAACAGGGATCAACAAATATATACATAAATAATCATTCCTCAACCTTGCTGTCCAAAGCCAACAATCAATCACCCGTGGCTATCATTTACATTTATCATAAACTGACCTTTCATTTCCGCAATGGTCCAGTGCAAATGTTTGCATGGCTCAATATACTTTTCAACCAGATCAACAAAAAGCTCTTTCAGAGATTTATTGTGGTGCAATGAATAAGCCAGATTTATCAAGGTACGCGAATAAACCTGTTAAATAAAAGATACATTACGTATAATTTAGTGACAAATGTATCAATTTGTTGAGGAAGTAGCAATGTCAAACTCCTGAAACTCCACCTTAAAATTGTGATCCAGTTCCGCAAATATTTTGTCACTGACTCGATTCTTTAGTCTCTGACAGACCAACGCTTTATGTTCCTTCTCTTTTTCCAATATGATTCTTAGTTCTCTCAAGTCGACTAGAAATTCACGCTCAATGTCTGCAGTGGAATTATCGTCCATAATTGGTGAAGTCCAGTGTTGCATCAATGCGTACGCGCAATTACAAAAGTCAATAAAGGACAAATATTGCAATTTCTTCTTATTCGTTTCAAATCGGTAACCTGGATCCAAGTACAAACCAACCATTCAATTGGAGAGTCGGAAATTGAAAGTATTAGATAATAACTTCAAATGAACAAATTAATCTGTTGGTTGACTTGTTAAGGGTTCTACAGACCACGTCCGGCAAAATAAAGGTAAATATTTTAGACTTTCAAGAGTCGTCAACAATTAATCAAATAACAAGTTAACCATAATTAAAGCAACTAACTAAACATACCCGCAATAAAGACCACTGCGCAGTATTTCCTAAAATATCATAAATAATGAAGATACACAAAAACGTTAGTAATATTTACAATAGTATTTGTGATGGAACTACTTTGCTAATTCTTCCGAGAGGAGAAAGTGTATCTTGATATTTTGATGCATTGAGCCAGTCATTTCTTCTGTGGCTTTAAAAATTCGCTTGGCATTATCAAATTGTCTCCTAAAATATTTTAAAGAAATAATAATGATGTTATGTATATATAGTGTATCAATCGTAATTACTTGTTCTTAGTCAAAATAGTCTGCAGGTTGTTCTTGCAAACGTGATGCATATATGCATTACCTACCTGCATGACCTTAAATTTACACCCGTAGTTTCAGTTATCTTGTCCAGATCCTTCCTATGTCTGGTGGAGAGTTTGTTTCCCAGTATTTCTCGCATCACAATATCATCGAATTCGTAGAAGCTACATATTTATAATAGTATGGAAATACTAAACATATGCAAATCATCAATTCATATCATCATCGCCAACTCAGTTGACTTACTGGTCGATGAGCATTCTTTGCGTTTGACTGTCCATTTGAAAGGTCCATTGTTCAAAAATCCTTGGAGGCGTGTGGAGCAGCTTCTCCAAGAGGACGTACGTTCGGTAGTGGTCACAAACATCAGCCAGCAGAAAATCACTCGTTGCACCCGGAAAGGTTTGCAGGGCCCCACGTTGTTGAAGTACCACGGCTGCCTCTTGTGCTGCACATGAAAACACTTTTATGGTTAACTGAATTTCGCAGTTAATATCAATAGGCACACATTGAATACCTGAATTTCCTTCTATCCAGAGCTGAAATATTTCATGGTCCACAAAGGTGTGGTTCCCAATAAAGACATCGACCTCGGCCAACATCCTACTCTGACTGATTTTTCAACCTTCTAGATTTAAAGACTGCTTTGGTATTAGTCACATTTGAAGTGGCTGCTGGTTTATTTAATTTGCTAAAAATTTCCAGCATGTGCTTGCAAAAATAGAATCCTCAAATCCTCACTCGCAAAATCTAAAGAAGTGTCGACCCGCGTCGCGTTGTACGTCATCCGACGTCTCCAATAAAACAAAACTTTCTCGAATGCTGCAATTCATGAGCCTCCAAGAATTTTTTTCTAACAAATAAACGAATTAACGGTGTACATATATGCTCATAAAATATACAATTACTAATAATAATCAGCTATATGTAAGGATGAAATGCATGTAAAGAATATTAAGGAGGGTGTGCTTCATGGGAAAGGTGTTTTTTTATATAGAATGTCCGTCAATGCCATTCACCAATGATGACTAATTTCGAGTCCTTCTCTCATAAATTCTATGCTCATAATTATAAAAATAATATGGGCAAATAGCCCATGCATAGAAGTGTTTTTTTGTTTTTGGTGCAAACTGGATACATTGGGTGCCACTCATTCATTCAATCCTCCGGCTGATGATCGAGCAAGCAACAATAAATAACAATTGGAAAATTTCCAAACAATGGCACAACCAAAACAATTTTAATTCAAAGTGACACAGTGCGAAGGTACACAATGTATAATTTTACATTGTAAATTTCAGTAACAAACTTGATTAATATTTAATATAGATTAATTGATCAATAGATAATTCATTTGCACCATCTACAATTTGGAGGACATGTGCTAGAATGGTCTGTTGTAAATAACATTTGACTGGAAGAATAGTTGACAAAAATCATCCCTTCGCCATGCAATAACCAATAATTCGACAAGAACTAAGCTCCTAATGCCAATTTTGGAATGCCAATTTGGAAGTAAAACTGAATGATCATGGGGTCACCTCAGAGAGGACTCAGTGCCTTCCAATATGTTTGTCGACGCCATCATGGGGGAGACAACCAGTCTCATTTGGCGAGATTGGTGGTTGACCATCATTTTTCCGAATCTAATGGGATTCTGTTTAGGAAAAATTTATTGTCCCACTACGGATGCGTCAATGCGATCGAGTTCTCCGAAGACGGTAGTCTAATGGCCTCAGGTACTAAGCCATTGGCCTGCATTATGTATACGCAAATTAATTAACCACTAATAATTTATTAATAATAAATGATTAATAGGCGGTGACGATAGACGAGTATTAGTGTGGAATATTCATAAAGCAATTGTTGGGAATGACAAACCAGTCAGCTGCGATGCGGAACATCGAAGCAACGTTTTCGCTCTAGCGTTTGACTCCTCTCAACGGAGGATTATTTCTGCAGGAAATGATGATCAAGTCATTGTGCATGATATTCATACGTGGGTGCTAAGTAAATCTAATCTATTTGATTGAGTACTGTCTATACTTTTATAGTAATAGTAATTACTTTATCCTGTAGTGGGAAACCAGTGGAATTTTTTCGTATTGGAGAACAGCCAATATTCGGTGTTAGCACAGATCCATTAAATGATAACAATTTTGCGGTTGCTGGAGACGATGGAAGATTGCTTATATACGACATGCGGGATTCGAGTGGTCAGTAATAAAGCAACAATAACATAGGTCCCTGCATATGACTTGACAGTTGACACATGTGCATCTTTGCAGATCCATTTTCGCTCGCCAAATTCCATTCCGCATTTCATTCGGTAATGTTTCATCCTGTTGAACCTAGGCTTGTGCTAAGTGCGAATGCGAAAGAGGGGGCTGCGTTATGGGACGTCCGCATGCCGAAAAAGTACGTGAATTTTGGCAATTTACATTGCTATTCTCATTTGTGTGATTTATTAAATGTTGTCGCTCTTTAGAGTCCTCTTAAAGTACGGCGCTTCTCTTGAAATGGGTGATCAATGTTGTATGAATGCGCGTTTTAATAAAAACGGCTCCAACGTTTTGTCCTTGCGACGAAGACTTCCGCCAGTGATGTATTCGACACATTCAAGCTCACACTTGTTCCAATTCAACCATTCTAGCTTTTACAATAGTTGCACGATGAAAAGCTGCACTTTTGGTGGAGCTGACGATCAGCTCGTCATGTCTGGGTCCGATAATTTTGATCTTCACATCTGGGCAATTCCTCCAGAAGGGAGTAATCGTAAGAAAATATGTCCTATTTGGTTTGTGTGCTTATCAAACGCAGTATTGAATTGATGTGGGGTTACTCAACAGGCTGGGTGAACGAGGCTTCTCTGATTCTACGAGGGCATCGTTCCATCGTAAATCAAGTTCGCTATAACTACTCTCATAATCTGATTGCTTCCTCTGGTGTAGAAAAAATGATCAAGGTTTATTTTTATCACTAAATATCTGGTGATATCTGTAATCCGTACATTATGGTTTACCTCCTATTATGTATATACTTTCTAGATATGGAGCCCTTTCTCAATCCCAGACGAAACCTGTTGGACGGATGACGAACCAGCAGGAAGAACCTCAGAAAGTCCCAGACAAATTTATTCTCAAGTAAAAGTTTCCCATATTCATTGCTGAATTTTCATAGCTATTTTCTAACACAAAATTAGAAATTTTCATTAATGAAATTTATTCGTATGATACACACAGGAAGAATATGTTCGACTGTATATGCGAACTAGTCATGGCCATGTATGATAAAATATAAATTCCGTGTTAATTAATTTTGGTTATTTATAAATGTTGATGAATTTAAGCATCATTGCTTTGTACAGTTTTTCTCGCCATCCCACATTGACAATATGTCTCAGTCAGGGGGAAACACAAATGAGGATGCTCGCATGTTGGCCTTTTTTGATGCTCTGGTCCAACGGGACATTGCTGGATTGTCTGAGGAAAGTGATGTGGATTCAAATTATACAAATACTGTTTATAGTACCGAAAATTCAACATCTGACGACGAAGGTTATAAGTTAAACTTTTCCATCAATCAGGAAAGTTCGTCTCAATGGACCATTTTGTTTATGCAGGTGAACAAAACTCACAGTCTTTACAACATGGTTTGATGAACAGTGAGATAAGTCAGCAGCTTGCAACAGCAACAATCACCAGAGATGCTAACTCATCCTCGTCGTCCTCCTCCTCTTCCAACCATAATGACTACGACGAAGACGATGAACCGAGATTATTAGACTTTGAGGATTTACCCATTTCCGGCTCGGAATCAGATCAAGAATTACGTGATAGACAATCACCTCCACCTGATAATGTTCATCACGAGCAACAAAACAGTAATCCAGTCGCGAGTCCAGACTCTTCGGTAGGAAGTTCGGAACCAAATACGCTTACAAAGCTTATTGCAACCAGAGAGTCACAACTGAGGAAACTAGCATCGATTAAACAACCGTCGAGACCGAAACACAAAGAAGATGAGAGGGCACAGTTGAGGTCCAAAACAACAACTGCGTCAGCACGAGGTCATCCATCTAGTTCCGGTAAGTAAACCCATACTCTTGCATAGGTTCCAAACCTTTCATTCAGTACAAAACGTTACAAATAACATTTAACTAATTTTTATCGCGGAAGAAGTGCGAGGATCACCGTCTCCACTCCGAAATCGACGACGAAGCCTTCAAACGACGCCCATTTATGAAAGCTCGAATAATTCGGCCATATTACCCGACAGTAGGACGCAGCCTGGACCTAGTTATGAACTTATAAATAATCTAATGACCCGAAATCTTCAATCCACTCGCCTCGAAACCCAAACAACGCCAATCACTGTACAGTCTCGCAGTGACCCATTTTATTTGTCGTCGACGTCGTCGTCCTCTTCTTCTTCTTCCTCCTCCTCCTCCTCGTCTGGCTCTTCGACTGCTTCCGATGATGATATGAAATCTAAGTCTTCAAGAAAAAGTCGTGTTTCAAAACACCTCAAGATTCCTACTGGTATCGTAACAACAGTGAAGGAGTCTTCGAACTCATCCAACTCTAATTTAGAATTTACCAGGAAACGCAAACGAAGGAGGAAGCTATCCGGACTATCTGCTAATTGTTTCGCAAAAAAAGTAAAGTCTGAAGGAACTCCGTCTGATAGCGGAATTGATGTCTCTAAAAGTGATGCTGATTTAGACTTGCAACCTACAGCAAGTTGTTCTCACTCCACACCCACTTTTCTAGCTTTAGGAAACATAGAGTCGAGAGCGTCTCATTCATCGACAACAACAGCAATTGCTACTAGTGGTGAAGGGCAGTCGCATCAATATCAACATGACGATGATTCAGAATCTAGCGACTAACTAATCTTGTACGCATATATTTTTCCTCGGTTTTAGTGACGCCTTGAACCCAGATCACGTGATTTTTAGTGTGATAAAAAATAATTCTTCACTTTGACAAATTTGTAAATTCTCGCTACTCGCTGATGAAAACTCGAAATGTTTTATGTACATCCCATGACGCTGAAATAGTTATTTTAATTTTGAATTAAAACTTGCTTGTGCAAAACGCAAATATTTTACGGACGTGTTTGTTCAACACTTTTTTTATTTTTAGAAAAAGTCAAGAGTGAGGAGTGCTTACAACGTTAACCGCACACCCACTTTTTAAAACAAACATAACATGAATTTAAATTAAATGTTAACTTAGGGTGAAATTGTTCACTGGAATGATAAAATTTCTCGATAGAGTGTGATGTTGAGTTTTACATAATGCAAGTAAATATATTAGATTATGAACGGTAAATAAAGGTCTGCGTTTAGGCTCCTATTTAGCTTCCTTACGTGGCTAATGGAGTTTGTTTTGTACCGGTTACAAAGTTTTTTCGTGAATATTGAATTCGTAGACAATTTTTTTGTTTCAAGTATACAGTCAATAATTGGGGAACAATATATCGGTCATATAGTCACACATAGTAGTTTCATTTAGTTTTGTTTGTTAGTTGAAGTCAGCAAATGCCACCAACGCCAGTTCTTCAAGAGTCTACCGTCTCGAGTATTTGTCTCTATATACATAAAAATGAAATAATGATAGTGTTCCAAACTACGTCGAAAGTATTTAACAAAACGGGGTATTGTAAAAGTAGAGTAGAGACACTCCATAAAAGATTGTTTGATATGTGTTCTATAAAAGTTGGTTCTATTAAAATACTGGGTTGGAAGAATATTACAAGTAGGAAGAAAGTCGTTCCTGGTTGGTTCATCAATCAATGGTCCACGTTGCAAATCATAATAATACCAAGAGTAAAAGATACCACACAGTTCCATGATTCTAATCTACCTCTGACGATACACAAAGCTGCCATAAGTTGCAATTTGTTAGTAGTTTGAAAGCGTCATACCCTTGTTCTATGTTTGATACTACATTTTTATGTATAATTTCAGACTCAGGCCCAACACAATATGTAATTAGCGGCGGCGTTCTTGTTGTTGTTGTTGTGGCTGGAAACCTGCCAATCTTAATTCGATCATCTTATTATATTTTGGATATTTTTGTCACTAATATTATTAGTTGTCACTTAAATATTTCCTACTTATGATTATTAATATTGCGATTACAAAGGTTCACATCATATCTCTAACAAGTCTGCTAGTTGAATTAAAAGTCCATATTAAACTCGTGGTATTAATAATAAGATAACGCAGATAATGTAATAATAAGGGTAATACTATTATGTATGTTTCCTCCTAAAATGTATTACATTGAAACTTGGAATGTCTGCTGTCTCGCGAACGGGTTTGTTGGAGTTTGTCCAGTGCGAGCATGCGCATTTGCCCAGTCTGCGTCGAAGGGGTCCGCGCCCAGTGATTGTGACCGGGAGGGAGCTCCCCGATGCATAGGCCTAGCGTTTACTAAATTATTACTAGCTACGGGTCCTATATTGCTCACTTTTGCGTTGTTGTCAGAGATTTGGTTACTACTTTTGATATTGGAAGGACTGGCCGATTGTGATGCTTCAAAAATGTTTCTATTTCCGGAAGAAGCGGCAGAAGGTTTGGATATGAGAACGGAGGAAATTTGTGGAGCAGTTTTTACTGGGATATTCTCTTTGATCGGGGTTATTTTTGGTTGTAGAGGTGCTTTGGGTTCATGGCTCGCCGTCAAATTATTGATCCATGAATCTACTCCCGATTTGGTTGTCGTTGAAGACGTGGACGACGACAGTGAGTTTAACGTCGTACAAGTTGGAATCGTAGAGTTGGCAGTTGATAAAGCTGTAGTATTAAAGATGGGCAGGGTGGAATTCTTATTGTTCGAACCCACTTCTTCATCCCAGGGGTTTGTGAACTTTGTGGGGAACTTGTTAGAAGTAGATGAGTTGTGTCCTTTGGCCTAATAAAAATCCATACACAAATTACTAATAGTAATGTCAAATGCCAAGAAAATACAATCAATCAACCTCCACAAATTGTCATACCTTTCTTGTTGACTCGTCGTGATTTGCTGCAAGTAGCGATAAGCCCTGAGAGACCTGTTGACATAGTTCGGAAACCAAATCCTTGTTTTCGATTTTCATTGAAGGACCTAAATTCAGTTCGGAGGAGGTATTACTGGACGAAACTTCCGGAATTGTTCCTCCAGCTAAGGAGCCCACGGGCAACGAATGCAAACGATTGCGTTGCGTCCTTGGAGGTGGAGCAGGACTTGCAGACACTGAAAAAACGACAAAAATTAATAAAATAACGCACTCGTAGATTTACTGATAAAATTTAAGTACAAGTTTAGAGTACCTGGGGGTATAGAGTTTGAGGAAATGTTGGAGGACTGATTATTTCCGAAAATGTTTTGAGTCCGCTGGAGATTGGAGGGCAGTTCGTTCAATCGAAGGGACATTTGCCTTTTGAAGGGAGAGTGGTTCGAGAGTTGCGAAAATCCGCGGAAGGAACCCTGCCTTTCCAACATTTTGGGAGGAGCATGCGGCCTTTCTATCGCATGAGTCGGAGCTACCGGAGGTCGTGTTGCCGCATTATTAGCCGCCGTGTTATTTGCATTCATCGCACTCTCGGTGGACGAGGAGCTCAAGGAGTCGGTCATCGATGTGACTCTGAAAGACCCAGATCGGGTGAAAGTGGACGTTTTAGAGTCGTACGTCATCGTCACGCCGCACTCCTTTTCCCTTTTCTGCTTCCTTTCCAAACAAACTGCAAACGCACATCCGACCTGCAATCAATAATAAAGCGTCTCCAATATCATAATCCGTCCGCCTGTGTATGTATTTAGTAAAACACACGGTAACTTTGTCCAATCATACTTACCCCGTGACTCAGCCTTTCTCCCTGATTACGCCCAATTTAGAAAGATGGTGTTCATTTCATTCATGAGCCGATTTTCAAAGGATCCCCAGAGATTGAGACGGATGAGAGAGTCGGAAGAGTGAACATGAAAGAAAGACAAACCAAACAAGACAAAGATTATTATTTGGGCGTCCTGCTAAGTAATCAAACCCTGATCCATGTCGTCTCAACGTGATTCTATATACTTTCCCTTTGTGAGTTCATTTTATTCTCTTAGTTGATGCCTCGGGCCTAACACTAAAACTTAAATTTATAGAAGACTGGCACAAAAATGTGGGTTGTGGTAAAAGTCGGGAGAAACACAAAAAACATCAGTCGAGGATGAATGGGCTCATCACTTTCACCAACATTTTTGTCCATGTGCACCTACTCCTCTGTATTCCTCCCATTCTCCAAACTAGCTCTCCAAACCTATCTAAGGCATATATTTCTTATTTGTTCTTTGCTTCTGCTGCAAAGATTTTCTTTTAATTTCTTGAAGCACTTTTCACGTCTTCACTAATGCAGCAGAGCAGTCTCTTCAACACATAATTCATTTGGGTCATGATGATGAGCAACTGTGCAAACTTTCTCTTTTCTTTTCTCTTTACTTTCTCTCTTTCTCTCTCTAGTGGACAAGTTTGTGTTACATTTATTACGAAAACCACACTCACCGAGTCCTTTGTAGCAAGAAACCCATGGCACATCCACCTACACAGATTTATAGAGCTTAGTAATCAGTGTACGTAATAAATATTTGCCAAAATGACCATTACCTCCGAGTGGTCCCATCACGGCATATATAAGAAAATCCACGATCGTGGTTTCGGTCAGGGGCGCAGAATGAAACCTTCTCAATCGTTTGATCGACTATTAATCCCTGAAACGACAAGCACTTTTTAGAATCTCTCAATCTTACCGTTCGTATATTTGTTTAGCACACGGATCCGTGCACATATGTACGTAGATGTTTGCGCATATTCTTGACTTTTCATTAGAACACGGTTTCAATTGTCCGTATGTAGAATCAATTGCAAATTTCTGTTTGTTGGAAATCATTGGCTTCAGTTTACCTTCGTGTCATCTTCCACGACGCGAAGCCCATCTCCTGTGACGTACAAGTTTGCTTTCACCGGTCGTCTCCTCGAGCCCTGATTGAAAATTAAACATACGTTGCAGCAACCACAACCACGAAAGTTTGTGTGTGACAAAATTGGGAAATGAGGTGAAAACAACTCACCCTGAGGACTTTCATTGCCTCCTCGCAGACCTGCATCCCCCTCGACTCGAACACTTCGACGCAACCCAAGTACTGCAAGAGAGAAAATGAAGCATCGCAAAATTAGAATTCATCACCAACTGCATAAAATCCGAGAACAAGTCAAACAAACTTGGGTCAATTAATTCTCAGGAGGAACCCAACCAAACGACGATGGCTTTGTTTGATGATTTCTGCTAATCAAGAACTATAGACTCATGATACACACAGGCTCTGATCTGATGTGATGTGTTCAATGTTGTACATATCCCTGACCTTAATGCAGAGAGCAAACTGCTGTTCATGAAATTGTCATTCAGCGTGAGTGCTGTTACACAATACAATGGTTTACTGAATAGCGAGTTAATTATTCGGGTTGGGCGACCATTTGTTGTCTTCTTTCTTCTCAACTTTGAGTTTCCTCATTAACTTCAAACAGATTCTATAGAGTCATCCATTATTTTGTGGTCACTCATCAACTTGGGGCTAATAACACAGAGCAGATTTTCGCTTTGATTACACTACTGCTCTACTTCAGACTGATGTAACAATTTCCAAGTTGACTAATTTAGTAGAAAGTCCAAACGACAAGGTCATCTCACTTACTATTTGTACGCCTTTCCAATTTCTGTCATGAGGATGGGAGCTAACTCTACAAAGTGCTTAAAATGAAAATGAAATACATTTGGCTTGTGACTGCTTTTCCCCAAGTTTGTCATTGCAACATGCAAGCTAATCTATAATAGCGTGAAGTGAAACTTTTAAAACGAGGCATTACATATGCAAACCATACACGGGTGGGTGCCGAATGCATAAATACACAGCAGAGTTAGAATTGAACACAACTTTCTTCTGCAGATACATAACCTTTTGAAAACAAGTACACCATTACATAAGTGACTACACAGGAACCATTACGTATGTAGTCGTGACACAAAAGAGGAGGGTGAAAGATTTCTCGTGGAGAAAGTTGCCTCGGCGAAATATTTAGCAAAACTGCAGCTAGGAACAGACATGTATGGACAGCTATGTACATAGATGCCTAAAATGCTTCATAGATATACATAACGCTGATGACTGGAAATAAAAAGACTTACTTTGACGTGGAAGGTGCAATTCCCAGCACGAACGGCCTCCTCGTCGGCCTGAAAATAATACGTTAAGGTCAGTTTATACATATATTCAGCCGCATTGTGGTGTCTGAACATTTAATTTTTCTGTTCAAATTCCCGAAGAAATAATCATCTCGACAGTTACATAATTATATTTACTAGGAAGGAGAGACTACTCTAATATTAGCTTCCACCCAAGTGAAAGGTCAAGTTTTATCCCCAAACCCCTGAAATTACAATTTTAACATGCTTTCATGTCTCATCTTCCTGTCTCAAGCTTTCTCTATTTCTGGAGGCCAGCTAGCATACCAACTTCATGGACGTTGCGTGTCCATGAAGCTTATATTGACGTGATCCCTATGTAAGTCTCATAGCTCCCGAATATATATATATGTAAAGAACATTTTTGTCACGGAATGTACGCAGAAAAATTAACTGTCAACACAATGTGTAGTTGTTGTTATTGCATTGATGAATTAATAATTTTAAAAAAAGTCTTCTTACCTGCCATTGGTGTGGTTTGCTGCTCTCAGGACCATCCTTTTTGCGACGAAAGGATTCTCGTAATGACCGTCTCAACCGGTCCATCCGCTGCATCTTGACGACGACGACGAGACTTTTTTCTTACGTTAGACGCAAAGTAGTGGGAGGCAGACTTCAAATTAACAACTTATCCTGCTCCTTGGTTCGATGGTATTCGTCTCCAGGGTATGATTTGGACTTTGTTTCTGCAGAGTGCTTGTTTACTTTCCCTTGCTGCTTGTGTCAATAATTGACTTTCTCTCACTTCACGTCATGATGATGAGATTAGTTGGAGTTGCGAGTGGAGGAGGAGGATGGTCACCTGCAGAGAAAAGTGGAGATGGAAAATGAGCAAACAGAAGAAGAGGTCTGTAGACATGATAAATATATTTCGTGAGTGACATAATCATTTAAGACGAAGAGTTGTCCACCAACCACCCAAACCAGCCGTGTAACAACAACACCCAAGCACACAAAATGATAAATAAAAGACAAATGAGATTTGATGACAGGGAATGAACACAAACTTGTGGCAACAGTTTCGGGTTTTCAGTTCGTTATACTAGCCCATTGACGGCTGAACCATGGGGACATTTTCCCCAGAAATTCAGCAAAATCGTATTCTCCCCATGTTAATAAGACCCTCTTTCTCCAATCCTACATGCTAACGTCCCCAACTTCCGTCGCCACTGCGCTAGCCTCCAATTTATCTAAAGTGACTCATCGAATTAATCGGATCGGATGACTAAATGAGGTTGTGGTGTGGTTCTATTTCCGCAAGAGTAGCGAATTCAGGTACACGTTCTATGTAAATTGCTTACCTTGCAGACTGCACGTACCTTCGACATGCCAATCACGGCGACTATGTGGATGACACAACCTCTAATTGCGGTGCGGATATCACACACCAATAACAACACATGGCAGCAGAATTGCGCAAAATGAATGATCTGACTAATCAAGTTGAGCATTAGAGTCGCACATATATCTCGTTTAGTGGCACGTTCAGCTGTCCTGATATGTGCTTTCCTTTCATAAACCAATTTCACTTGATCAACATATTATTGTTTCCTACTTGTGGAAATCCGTGTCATGGACATCTTTAACTGTAACTAAGTAGTGCTGGGCCTGGGTGGCTTTGGTAAGAAGATGTAATTTCCTCCAAGCCCCATTATATGTACATTTACTTCATTTTATACTAGGCAGACTTTCAGCCACCCAATGCCAAAAGAAGCCGGCGGTAGGGAAAGGACCTTTATGCTGCTCCCTGGGAACCACTCTCTCTAATTAAGGTCTGGCCTCTGCATCACAGCCGAACCAAAATATCCTTATCGTTTTACTCTTACGGATTGTGATATAATTCAGCATCGATGGAGGACCGACATATGTCACAGTTTTGAATGAAAGTTGCTGGCTCGTTTGTACGAATATTAGAGATTTGAGTGAGATACATACATGCATCTTCAACCAGTAGAATGAACACAGCGGATTAAAGCAGAGTTGATTCAATCAAATCAATATATAAATGTTTGTGTCTGTTCTAGACAGGAAATGCAGTCCTGAGGCATTTTCCATGTCAAAACCTTCATGGAAATTCACCAGGTCTTGGTGGGCGTGTGATGAGGTTTTGCGTTACAAAGCTTTCAACTTTACACAATTTGGATCATTTATTCCGATCATCATGGTCTCGAGAGAATTTGGAATTTGCTTTGAGTTATGAATTAAAAACGGCTCGGTTTACACACAAAGAGCAAGAAGGGCGAGAAAACAATGGAATATCTTCACAGAAATTTGTGTTTAAAAGAACATTGCCGATAATAAATGTCTAGTTCATTTCAACCACCAAATTTTCTGCCTGCCTCAAAAGGATGATGTACATAAATATGTGATGAAATATACCTTTTGCACAGACTCATTAATTACTAGATTCTGCTAACCGGTACTTCAACTTAATAAAATCTCTCAGCACAGTCTGCTTAGCCCGAACCAAAATGTGTACACGTTTCAACTCCATCGATCTACAGAAATGGCAGACAGACATGACGGTTACGTAAGCCCTGGTTCTGGCTAAAAATGATAATAACGAATCTTGAAGCTCATTCGCACTGGCGCCATGTCCTGTTTATTGCAAAATTTTGGCCATTTATGATTCATTTCCTTGAATTAACTCGCCTATAAACACCGCTATCAAGTGAAGCTATTCAATTGCGAAAAGCTTCGCAGGATAATTGTGCAGTCTGGTTCAGACAAGCAAGTGTGATGAAGGTACAACAGTAAATTTTTCACAGGTAGGTATCTCCCCTCCTACAGCCCACCACCCACTCGTCGTATGTTATTACTACGACATTATCCATTGTCTTTGTGTTTGAGAAGATGTGAAAAAAAAATTAACACCATTTAAATCTATTCTCCAGTCCACATATGTACGACACAATAAATAAATAGAATAAAATACTACATAATTGCATTGCATGCATTATTCGAGGCCAGTTTATACAAACTAACGAGAAAGCGATGCCACAATATCATGGTCAATCTCACGTACTTAAATATGTAGGTGCCATGACCATGAGCTTAAATACACGTCTTACATATTATTCATTCATTATATTCTCCATCTTTGTGCTGGTCACATTTACGGTTGGCAATTCTTGGTCAACTTGTGTAGCATATAGAGCCGCATACGTAAGTACGTACTGTGTTAAACCCATTCTGCTTTTGAAATACAATGCTAATTCTCCATGAGTCAAGTTTAACGTCTAATGTTCATTGTCTGTCGTCCCATCCTCCATCCGGATTATTCGTCTTTCAATAATTCATGATATGATGCATTAAGCGTCAGGCAACGCGATGACTGCGCCGTGTTCGGCTGAAGACACGGGTACGACTGACGAGCGAAGGGTCCTTAAAATTTACATAAATCCTTCAACCTGTCAGAACAGACTCAAAACTCAATTCCAGATTCTTGGTCCCTGCTGCACTGCAGGCTGCAATGCTCACAACCTTCTTTGCCACTCCCCACCAGTGATTACAGCACATTCAAAGTCATCATAATACATAAGCTTCTGTTGCAATAATGGTGATCCTCAAGTAAAAACCTCAGCTATGTACAAGCTCAACCTCACTCTTGTAGTACACAAGAAATAAAATAACAAGAAAAGCAAAGCCGCCAAGAAACTTGGTAATAAGCAGGACATTCATGTGCCCGCAAAGAAATATGAAATGTATGGGGTGGATTTCGTAATGTTACTGCCAGGTACAAAAGTACGTGCGTGGACTATAAATTGCTTTGTCGGAAATTTGAAATTTAAGGTTTGGTGTGGATGAAAAGAAAGAAGAGAAGACATTTTTAGTAGCCGGCCACAAAAAAGTTTTCTCACTTTCGCAACTACACAACATATTAAAAACCATCGGATCGATAGTTTGTAAGCTTGGAAAACTTTACAGTTTAGAAAAAAAAGTTGAAATTCCAGCAACAATGGCTGCAAGTAATTCCCACGCAATAACTTTCAGCCCATATTATGTACGTATTTTTATTTGGTGGTGGTCATAAATGTCAATGTCAATACGTACAAATGGGCACTGATGAGTTTGAGATGGATGGTTTATTTAAGAATCGGTAGTAAGAATTCCTTGGCTGGAAGGAGCAGTAGTAGTGACTATAAAATTGCAATTCGATGTGGCCATTACACAAATGATAATCATAACTACAATACGACGACTACAGAGTTGTCTCCTATATCCAAATACCTCATCCGTCTAAATTCTGCTGAGCAGCGAGTAAAGAAATGTCACGTCCATGTTCTCTGCCGAGAAAGCAATTGCAAAATTACTATCTCGCTCATGGACGGAGCCAGTTTCTTCACGAGCGGATGAATGAGAAAACTCGGAGAGAAAGTTGGAAAGGCAAAGTGAAATTTTGTGTAATGTGCCAATGTACATACCTCGAGTAGTTGTGATCTTTCTCATTTTTCTACAATCAAGGACACTTTCATGAAGGCATGTGTTAGCCTACAAGACAAATTTAATTGCAAAAATAGACTAATAAATATTTCACCTAATGAAGGAAATCGCAGAAAATTCAACGCACAATTCGTATTTTCAATCGAGTACTCGAGTCTTCAACAACTTTTTTGTTGTTTAAAATATTTCATGTTTTTGAGAAGAACTTCTGACGCCAGCATTCACGTCACCAGACGCGACGCCCAATAACACCAGCTCCATTTGCAGCATTTGAAAGTCATGATTTCGTTTTGAAATCCAATCTCTGAGCGAGTTGAGATTTAATTTCAGAAAAGCTGGGTCAGAAATGGCTGTCATTCAGAAGATCAAGGAAAATCCCATCATTGAACACTATTTCCTTTTTATTGAATTTTTGCAATTTTTTGCTCCACTCTAATCCAGAAGACGAATAAGTTATGTGTATCACAAGGAGGACGCTCTTTCGCATGAGGTGAGAGCCAGCCAGAGCGGATGTACAATGTACATACGAACGTCGTACTTCTTGGCCAAGAAGGAAAAGAAGAGATCTTGTTTGCGAAATAAATCAATAATTTCCAACTTCTCGCCACCACCACTCGTTCCTCTTATTCGACTTTATTTTTTACGTACGTGATGTGATTCTAGGAACTACTTTTTTTTCTCGACGACGACCACTCCGCCAATTATTGAGCCTGTAATAATGCCTTGTTCCGAGACAGACAAATGACATTTTTCCTGATTAAGTTTTCTACTAGAACTCATCCTAAATTGGATTCCACTCTTCAAGCTTCTACCAATAACTGTTCTGCAGAGTGTATCTATTTATTTGTTTCATATATTGCAGCTTTAGGTTGAGATGCATTTGTGGATCCATTTGACCAATAGTTTTATAGAATTACAACATTATTGCAACGATAATTTGATTTGCCACCATCTTAAATTAGATTATGAAGAAATTATATATATAACCGTTCAAACATGGCCAATTTTTAATATAAATTCCGAAAGTGGCTCTGCCTGCTGATAAAACTGGTTTAGGCCCGTCTGTCTGGATTCCTTCAACAGTTTTGGATCCTGCATGCAGCACATTACACTGATTACACAGTTTTGCGAAATCTGGGCAACTCCAATCTTTCCCGTTCCCCTGAAGCTTAGACTAATAAGCCAATCCTCAAACAGGAATTATATTAATCTCCTTCGCTCTCTCCGAATAAGTAAAAAAGTAATCCAACTGTTGCAGTTGATTTAATGGCAAAGGACCACGATCACGCAGCCAGAACAAGTACAATTGTAAATCTCCGAGTGACTTGCATTATACATATGTAAAAACAGTAGCGGTTAGTAACCGCCGGTTACTGGACCATGAAGATTGTTGTGTCTCCGACCATTCCCAATGCAATTAAATCAACTTTTACCATTAAGACTTTAGACAACTGCTGCGGTGAATTAACCTCAAAGACAAACACTCGGTTTGTAATGCATCCAACTTTCTCATGTCTCAAAAATAATGCCAACAAATTACGTGAGTACTTCATGTTGTGACTTTGTGATGACCACCAACTGCATTACTGTAGTATTAAATAGCATTGTTGATGTGGATTTTTCAAAAATCATTCCAATATAAGCACCCATCATTATTCAGTTCCTTATTTATTATTATTCTCAATAAAAACTTATGAATGGAGTGAGAGAGCTTTGAAAGCCGAGAAGGTTACTTTAATGACGATACGAGTGAGTCCAGTAAAATAGTGACGACTTGAGAATTTTTGCGATGCCTACGTTAATTGAGACGACATTTACTTATAGGGCAACAAGCAGCAACAAGAAACAACTGGGAGGGTGAGTTGACGAAGCCTTGAACTGGAGTAACCTCACTCAAAGCAACAAAGTGACGATCGACAAGAATACGACAACCAAAGATGATGGGGATTTTATTTTGCCTTCTAAATTATTTATTTACCACACAGACACTGAAATTACTTACGTATATAATCTTGTGCGTGGTGATCACCCTATAAAAGGGGCTACATAATCTGTATGTTCGAATTGTTCAAAACCTTGCAGATTTATTTACTTGCTTACCATTATCGCAAATAATTCCAGATCATAAAACAATGTATAGTCTAATTTCAATCACAGAAACAACACGACTATAGTATGAAGTGGAAAACCGTAAATTTTGGGGCTCATAAAAAATCTTCTACGTTTGCAATAATGACGATCGATTAAATTGTTTAAGTTTTTTGCCTATAGCTTCAAAACTAGGTGTGTACACCTATCTAGATCATCACACGCACGACGTAGTACAAATATTAAAATTTTGTGAATGGGTACAAAATTGACATGTTTTTCCTCATTCGTATATACATATAAACCCATACTCCTTTATTTGTATGTTTACGCCTTTTTAAACAAATGAAAGAAAACAACCACAACGGAGAAGCTTATGTTATGGTTTACTGTTTACTTGTCTAATTAAATGTACGTAGAAGAAGTGCTTGGAATGCGGATGATAATTTTAATTATTAAACTTTTTGGAGTCATTTTTCACCAATGTACATAATATGCTTGACAAATATTCAAATATTCACTATTTCTCAAATATACCAAAAGTATTACAACAACTTCTTATGAACAACGATAAAAGGAACAACTGGAATTTCTGTAGATTTGGACCCCGGACTCACTGTTCATGATTTGGGAAACCTATTAATTTTGTGATTATTTGTCGGTAATGAATACCAACTTGCTGGCTCATTTCTGATCAAAGGAATTAACGTCGCAGAATGAATTATAATAAACGCACAAAGTAGTAATTTAATTTTGGACATACTGACTGACTATTGAATAAGGCAATACTGTGGAGTGTATTTGATATCAACCAACACAACCAATATTTGTTTTCCCTTCGTTTCCAGTAATAAGATAAAGTAATTCACTTTACAGGCAGACACTGCTAATCGTAAATACAGTGTTTGTTATCTCACTCGTTTGACACGCTTATAACTTTTATACCATTTCATTCGACACCAAATACCAAACACAAGCAATCAATATTAAAAATTAAGCTTAAAATCTTTTCTTCAAATTCAACCGTCTAAAACCTCAACCTAAGTCAAATATGCTGCTTACCTTGGATTTCTGTCCGTGTTTATCCAAAAGTTTGTCGTAGGAAAACTTGGTTCGAATAACTTCACTATATGCTTTAATCAAAATGTTGTTAATTTGGTGCGGGCAATGTCCGGTTAGCGAATATTCGGTGGATCAATTTTCTCTTAAAGCTGGGGCAGGTGTTGTGATGATGAGTCACAAAGGTACTTGCAGTTACAGTCACAAAATCACAACCAAATTGTTATTACGATGACCAGTTAATAAGTATACGACGGACACACCTGGCTGGCCAACGATTATTCAACTCCTTCACTTAACTCACTTTAATGCTAGTGTTCTACGTCTACCCACTTATTTTTGGAAAATTTACCAACATCTAGAGTTCAAGTATCAGTCCCTGCAGAGGTGTTGTGCCATCAGTTTGCAGTTGGAGTTTATTAGGGAGTAGCTTATTGTGCGATGCGATTCGCATTTTGTGTATCTCGCCGACTGAAAAGTAAAAGTAAATTAGCATCTCCGTCCCTGTTAAACGATGGAGGTTCCCACACATTCCCTCCCGTAGCCAAGCACACCTGAGAGGACAAGGGCCGTGCTATCGCTTTTGTGATAGAAACACCTTTGGTATCACCAACAGCGCTTCATTCCTCCGATGATATTTGCATCCATCCGTAACTCACACAGTAATAATAAAATATCTACCAACCAACTCAATGCTAAAAGCCCCGTCTGCCTCCTGCTTAAATCTCACATCCTGAATCAAAGCATTGTATACGTAATGTGTAGTATTGTATGGCATGTCTTTAAACCCTCTCGCTTATACTCGTAATGTATAAATGTTGATGTTTGCCAAGGTTTTGTTAGGAGCGTGCAATAAGTGAATATCAAATTTCCACCTGGAATGTGTCTTATACTAGGAGGAAATTCGCATTAAGGAAATTTTCATTTCAGGGGAAAATATACGCTAGACTATGGATGCCCCGTAAAACAACGGTGTTAAAATGATCAACCCTTCTTCTTTGCTTTGCTAACGTAGTACAAAAGAGTGGACAACAGATGAGTTTAGTGTGTAACGCTCAAAGATAATCAGCATTATATGCGGCAACTGACGCTAATACACATGCACACAGTGAAAGCATAATTTCCTAGGATAAAATCTAAAGGAGTTAAATATGTATCTAAACCGAATTTGTTCTCGGATCACGATTTTATTGAAATCTTAAATCATAAAGTGAGTTACAACAAGGATTGCTACTCTGACTTAACGAGATGAGAACGAGTAACAATTTTCTGTAGTATACAACTCGCAAATTCAATAGGGTAAAAGTTACCTTAAATTCCTTCCAGTATGGGGAGGATCGGAATACTACAGTTGGCCCATGTTGGCCCAACTTTACCGTTTAACTTACGATTTTTCCATAAGATGCAACAGCGTATGTATGAGAATCAACTCACCTCAAGCAAGAAAGGGCCTTGATGTTTTGCCCAGGTTGTTTGCCAATTTGGAGAATTGCGAAGTTGGTGAGGAGAGAGAAAGGAGGGAGAAAGTGTAGCGTTTGCGACGAAGTCTTGGCTATACTGAGGCTGCGGACGGAGCGATCGCCACGATTATATCAAAATGAGACTCCTCGCTCGCTCACTTTCTCCACTTTCTCTCCCGTCCGTCCGGGTTACTCGCGACGCTGGGAACACGTCTGTGTTCAAGGGCTTTGCATGAATTGATGATTGTGTGTGCACAATGGAACCACCCACACACGCCGCCAACCATTCCCCGCCCCACCAATCCCCACCTCACAACTTTAAACCGCTCAAAAGTCTGCCCAATTTTTGTACTCATGTGAACAATGCTTTGCATCGATTTTTGGCAAATTACGATAATTAGTCGCTTGTCACGCCATTCCTATGTTTCAGGTTAATGTCCGGGTGGACTTGGGAGAATGTTGTATGTATGCGTGCGTGGGTTTATTCGCCAGTTCATTTCGTGGATAAAACTTGATTCCCCTAAGACAAAAAGAGGCAGGAGAAAGAGAAAGCGAGAGACCCAGGCGAAATGGAATTGTCTTGAATAAAGTACAACAAAATATGTACATCGGCTCCAACTTTTTCTGACAATGTGGGACTCGGAGGAGTAGGGTTTGATAGCATTGGGGAGGAAAAAGTTTCTCCGAATTCTCGGAATGAACCTTTGCATGAATGCAAATTATCCTCCATTCTACTTTATTACGCGGCGTCATATTTTTCATGCATGCGTGCTTTCGCTAATCTGGTGGTGCGTGATTTAAATAGCAAAAATAAAAAATACCATTGCTGGGTTCGATTCTTTCCGTTTAGTTTTCTCGAGTCGCAAGATGCGAACTCAAGCGGAAAACCAATACGTGAAATTCAAATGAATGATATAATTTGTCAATTTTTCAAATATAGCGATGTTCACATCATCATGGTATTACAGTTAATTATAATAAGTCGTTACACACATGTATACTTACTTATGTACACGAGCAGCATGCATAATCGTCAATAATATCTTCATGTACACACACATGTACATACGTATGTGAATGTAGATATGTATCCAGAGAGGTGATCCTGAGTTTTTGTAGGCGTGGGTTTAGATTACCGGAGGATAGTGAATTGCAAGATGTCACGTATGTATGTATGTATTTGCTTGGTAAAATTGACACGCTGTGTCGCAATAGCCGTCAAACTTACGTATGACAGATTATTATGCAGACTTGACATCACATGTAATAAATTAGGTTTTCTGCCAGGTTTGTTTGGTTTGCCCAACGGGAGCGGTCATCTCGAGCAAAAGTGATGCCAGATTTTCTCATCAACTGAACAAAAATTGGTCATATTTGTGAAACTTGTCTTGATGTTTTTGCGTAGATTAGCTCGTTCTTCCTTTAGCTGCCTGATTTTGTGCTAATGTTTATGACTTTTCTTTTGATAACCTTTCTCCCCGCATAAATAGCTAATCAGAGCAACCACTTGGTATAAAAATACTCAAAAACTGTTCAGCAAGTAATTGACTTTGATTCATCATCCAGCGTCATCTGAGAAAGAGAGGAATCTGAGCTGATGATCCGGAATCGAGAGCGTGGATGCCAGAGAGCTTGCACAATTAAGCAATGTGCAGAAGGCGTACGTGTAAAGATAACGTGCATGTAAATTTTCCGTGGGCTAGAGTTCTGAAGGTTGGACAACCAAATCTTCATCTACGGACTGTCAATGATCTGTGGGCTGATAAGGCCACCTATTTATCTATAAGATGCACAACCTATATGTGTATTTCAAGTCTATTTGTTCATAGAAATACTTCTGCGTTCTACGGCCGAGAAACGCTTGATAAGTCGACCACTTAACTGCCTGTGCTGGACTTGACCAATACTGTTAAAAAGAGACGACATATTACGATGCCAAAGCATTAATTTTATCAATAGGACCATTTTTTTGGTAAAATTCAGGACTGAAAATTACATGTTTAGTGCATACGTAGGCCCAGTTATGAGTTCGCATCGGGTGACGGTATCAATACAAAACTCCCAAACATAATGAATACAATAAATACGTATGATGTGTTTTGACTTGGTCCGCGTACTCGAACTGTGTGTACATAGGCATCGCCTAGCAAAAAAGGGAACGTGCATTGATTGACCGTTCCTTGACCTGAGGGGTACAAGCACAAACCACAAACCACTTGCACACACCAAGAAAATTTTGTTTGGAACAATATTATTCAAATTTTAAAACGGGTTTCAACCTGCGTACCTACAAACACAATAATTGAAAAACAACGAGCAATATTGACGTCCATAGTCATGCCACTATTTATTTCCGTGATGTCATTCTCACCACCGCTATCTCAAAATAAAATGATCATTTACCCTAACTCTTCACTAACACTAATGATTTTATTGGAACGGTGAAATATTTTTTCGAAATAAAATAAGGATTCCAAAGGCCAGTCATTAACTGGAAATAAACCTGCGGAGACTTGCTCAATCTAATTAAAAGTAAAAGCCAAGATCCATGAGTCAACTTGGGCTGGGGATAAATTTAACGCTATGTAACTCGACATTGCAGAAGAATCTGGTCCTGTCCTGATTGGTCCAGTACTCACCGAAATTGCACCCCAAGAACCAAGCAATCCCATCTGCAACAACTGTACGCGTCAGTGACAGAAGGAGGTTCTCATGCAAAATGAATTTTCGCTCCCTAAATAATAATATTTCTGAAATATTTGTATTTTGTTCAATACGGAAATACGTATGAAGTCCATTTATTTATTGTCCATATGGAATATTCTGTTGACAAAAAATTGGCAAAGATTGAAACAGATGTTTGCTTTGTATAAAATAAACTCGCAGTTTTTTAGAGGATTGGTTAACTCTTACGTTGCAATGAACGCATATTAATTCCCATCGAGTTTCTCCAGACCGACCGACCCTGCCTCCGTCTTTGGACAACCTTCATTCAGATAAGTTTATAGGATAGAGAAATTAGGCAGCTAGGCAAGAATTGCATGGACGAGTCGCATGTTGTATTATGTATATACGAAGAACGAATTAAGAATACATAAAATTCCATTCATTTTCACACCACTATATAATTCTGTGCATATGTACATTAGGTGGACGTAGTGATTTTGGTCAACGTTACAAGGGGCTCCCCAAACGGAGGCGACGCAGTGTAACAAAGAATTCGGCTCAATACGTGTAAACATTATGTACCTCTGTAATATTTAATTGCTTCATGCAACGAGTGGCAGGTTGCAAGAATAATTTATAAGTTTCCGAGTTTTACATTTATAGTTGTTTGTACAAGGAATAAAAATAATGAGGGTGTCACGTGACAGAAGCATTCTACATATTTTGTATGACATTTGATACGGATTTTGATATTATTTCACTGAAATCATAATAATAATAATAATATATTTCATGCATTCGTTTTGACTTCGATGGGGTAGCACAGTCACAGTTTGGCTCGCATTACGTGTTAGACTCATCCTCAGTATTAGTGGTATAAGCACTAATTAAAATGACTTGGCCATTAGTGACTGCTACTGGTCAACCATGGCGGATCTTACTTGCTTTCAACAACTTACACAAACTTCGAACTTTGAACCCTTTGGATTTGGACACCTTCGATCATTTTTGACTTTGCGTCTTGTCGTGGATTTCCAGCTCTGCATTCATACCTCTGCTGCTAACTGGTTACTACGTACGTACATAATTCTTCAAGTCGATTACGTCCACAAAAGTCATATCATTCCGATCAGGATCATTTTGCATTAAGAACCTTTAAAACCGACCCCGAGTAATCCAAGTAAGATCAGTTCTCACTCAACTTTAGAGGCTACGGTCAGCCCCATTTCAGCAACGAACCAACACCAACACCTTAATGTGTAGTAAATAATTTGGAACTTTTCCATCCTTTCATTCACCACACAAACAAAACAAAACTGAATCGAATCTGAATCAACTCTGGAAAAATAAACAAAATTTAAAGGCTGATTTCACAACCCAAAATTTACAAAATACACACACGAGCATAAACGGTGCGTGGAAAGTTTTAGACAAGCAGCAGCAGGAACGTTGTTGCTCTCCTTTGATTCAGCCACCACGACAATTAATAAACAGTGCACTGACCAAGATCAAGAATTGCTCGTCCTTCGGTGTTGGTCGTTGCATCCTACGTCGTTTCACCATTTCAGTCGTGTCTGTCGTGGCGAAATTGATTTTAAATGGAAAAGGATCCTCCTCCTCCCAAGCTCAAATTTGAGCTTACCTTCAATCTGACTTTTCTGCACAACGTCTGCAGATTTTCCTCTCGAAATTGTGTGGAGGAAGAGTCCTTCTCACAAACCTCTGAAGGCTCACTTTTCCTCAGATGACTCAAAGTCAACAGCAACTGAGTAGGAATATTATTATTATTATTAATCAACAACCCTTCGTCGAGACCTCCTCGTCAGTATCAACAACGGTACCATCTCAACCAACTGCCTAGGAAGGAAGAAGACATAACAAATTTTATGTATAGTTAAGAACAAGTAGTTACCACATATTATCAGTCAAAATACGTTCAAGTCATCGAGAGGCATTTATTTTTTTAAGTCGTCGCCTTCATGTGAATTAAATCATAAGATCAGAATTAAGTCGTAGAGTGGGAGACAAGATGTGCATCCACTACAAAGTTCAAATGGGATTTATGGAATATCTTATCTCAATGTTTTGGTACCTCTGAACCAAGTCTTCTAATCTGATCTAATCCATTTTAAAACCTAACCCAACATATCAATAGTTAACCAATAGTTCTTCTAATTGTTAGCAAATATTTATTACCAGTGGAAATAGTTAAGCAACTTAGTATATAATTGTTAATCATCGCCATGTCACTGGATTTCTTGGCCGGATGTGTGGGGGGTAAATTGGCACATTAATCTTTAAGCGATTTTTTAACCAACTTTAGAAAATTTGTTTCATAATTTTTTTATAAAAACTTTTTAGGTGCTGCCGGGGTTATCGTGGGACATCCTCTGGATACTGTAAAAGTGAGCATCATTTTTCACTATTAAGCAAATAAAACCTGGTGAAGAACATGGATAAAAAGTTGGTCTGAGAACCCATTGAAAAGTGCCAATTCAAAGTCAAAGCTCATTCATAAGTATACACGGATATTGTATCGCAGTCCATGTAGCCAAGAGCACTTGGTCATCATGAGTGGTCAGCATGGACACAGTGCTTATCGCATAATAAGACACACTACATTCGGAATCTGTTATTTATTCCTCTCTTACGTCAAGCGACTCGTTTCATGGTGTGGGTTGAGAAATCTTATTTGCACAGGCATGCACGTTGATCTTCCAATACATATAAATGACACTTTTGGCTTTCTTATCTCAATTTATTCCATAATAGTTACGTAATGCGTATCATCACCGTCTCACTTTCCCCAACTGATCCCTTGTGAATTTGTTGTTGTTTTCGGAAACTTTTTTTATTGAATGAAGAATTACTTATTAATTATTGGATGGAAAATTAACCCCATGGAATAATTCTTATTGGAATTTGTATTAAGTATTTTGATGCATTTTTAGGTCCGCCTGCAGATTCAAAGTTCAGACAACATAAAATACAAAGGAACCTTTGACTGTCTCAGAACTATTGTGAAACACGAAGGCGTAAGCTAGCCAAAAATAAATAAATACGCACAGAAAAAAAAATCATTCATAAACTCAACAAGGTTTTGTATTTATTCAGTCACGAGGTTTGTACAAAGGAATCAGTTCCCCCCTTTTCGGAGTTGCTGGAGTAAACGCCTTAATTTTTGGAGTCTACGGTTCTTTGCGACCCTACGTTCACGGAGAACCCGGACATGGAGCGCTATGGGCGCATTTCGCTGCTGGTTCCGTGTCAGGGGCAGTGCAGTCCTTCATCGCGTCCCCAATGGAACTGGTCAAGACGAGAATGCAGGTCAACGAGTCTCAGGCCACCCCAAGCACCTCCTCCCCAAACAAAGCCCCCAGCTCGATGGAAGTGTTGCGATCCATCTACCAGAAGGAGGGTGGCCTCATACGCGGAGTATTTAAGGGATGGGGTGTGACCGTAGCCCGAGGTAAATAAGTCACAGGAATTTACTTTACTCTTTTTTATCACGATCTCTTAATAAATTTGTTAACAAATTCCAGAAATCCCAGGATTCGGAACATACTTTGCCACATATGAGGCCCTCACCACTCGAAGTGAGTACATTGTGATGGCAAAGCTTTTTGGGTTCATGATTTGGGTGAACGGCAGTATGTTGCTTTTGTTGATGATTGGATGAGTGAAATAATGAGCGCATTTGTCCCCAATGCCAAAGTCACGAAACAACTCCTCTCGCAGGTCAAGAAGTGGGCACTTTTGGAATGATGATGGCTGGCGGGCTAGCCGGCGTGATGTCCTGGATCGTCACGTTCCCAATTGACGTGGTCAAAACCAGGCTGCAGTCCGACGTGAGTGGCAAGTACAGCGGAGCCATTGACTGTCTCAAGAAGACGTACCAGGCGGAAGGCTACTCGGCTTTCTCCCGTGGTCTCGTCTCCACCGTCATCCGTGCTTTCCCCACCAACGCGGCCACCTTCACCGTCGTCACGTGGATCATGAGGTTTCAAACTTATTCCAAATCTATTTTTATTTCAAATTTTCTTTATATAATGAAGCCAGGCCACGTGATTTAATCTCCCTTCCTCTTATTCCAGATGGGCTGAAAGCAACCGGATTGACAGCGTGGAGGATGGGCGAGAGTACATCAAGGACATTCTCAGTGAATCCGCCAAGACCTTCGAAGGGTCGTTAAGACTTCCCCTGCCACATTACTACCTTTCCAGTACCACGAATGGCGACAGTGCCAACTTTTCACTCGCCTCCAGTTGCCTCAACCTCAGTACAAAATATGGACTCAACTCGCAACATTATTTCAACTTTTACGAAAGCCTGAGCAGCGGCAAGCAGGGCAGTGAAGAGCAGAATGGCCTCATTCGAGAGAAGTTCTCGGAAGCATTTCGAAACGAGAGAGTCACGGAACAGGCGAAGGCAGAGGCGGAGAGAGAAATCTTGATCAGGAATTTGACCCCATCTAATCCGGATACATCGAAGCCAACCGGTCCACTTCCTCTCAAAGTGGTCCAAGCTGGTAGTGTGGGAGAGGAATTCCAGCAGCAGCAAAAGTTGAGCCAAGAGGAAGACGTTGAGGTTGTTGGGGGTGCAGGAGGACACGATCCCAGCAGTTTTTTCGTCACGGATGATGGATCTCGAACCATTCTCATCCTAAACCTGGTGTGCAGATTGCAGTCCTTCATCCTTCACTTTTGGGACAATTTCCTTCCCAGAATTAAACTTTGCTCGTGTTGGGACGAACACTGCGTTTGTCTCAATTGAAGAGACGACAACAACACTTTTTTCCTTTCCCAGACGATTTAAATATATACGAAGGTAGTAAAGTGAATCCATTATGTAAGCTTATTTTTATGCTCGAGAGAGCACATTGATGCCACGCAGTTGACGCAGGTGTGCTGCTGAGTATACGACTTACGAAATTCTAATTTTCGGACGGGACTTTCATCAAACTTGTTCCGAGCTAATTAGCATATTGTGTTATTTGCTGCTACTTACTTACGTACCATTAAGATATTTTGTAAAACAAAACGCTGTTTTTTTACGTGATTTGTATGCAACATTTATTTGTGTAAATCTCATTTACATACATGGAGGCATGCAGTTCTCTAAATCGTATAAAAGTGTTTTGCTCTTTTATGAATAAGTTAAATTATGTAATTTCACTTAAAAATTGTCAAAAATATTGATGATGTGATGATGCCAAAAAGCTTGATGATAAATAAGCACAAGAAATCCGAATAAAATAAACACCTGCAGGAAAGCAAATCTATAAGCAACTCCAAAAACACTGAAATCAAAAGCTCGTGGAAACAATAAAAATGACTTCCTTTCAGAAGTTCTCTAGCCTGGAACAGCACTTTCTGTCCAAAAAATTCGTCATGTCATGGTCTTGAAGGGTGAGAATTACTCCTGGCAATTAACCCGTGCATCCCATAAATTCATTTCCTGTTGCTGCTTCAGCTTATGAGAACTCCTTTCCCTGTGACATAACTCGTGCAGATATTCCGTGCTCCACCACAATTACCTCCTCAGAGCTTTATTCGAAGACTGCCTCTCACCTTTACTGAAATTCCTAAGAGATGCATCATGCATAATAACAGCGTGCAGTGCATATAGCCATCCTCTCGGAATTCACTGCACGCCATGAGTATTTGTACCTCATGATGAGAGCTCCTCACCTCTTCATCTACGAGTCCAGCCACAGAAAGACGATTCTTGGAGCAGGCCAGGAGAGAAAATAGGCATCTTTTCAATCAGCTTTTGCTTGGCGTTCTCACCTGTGCCACCAGGGAAAATATTTCGAGGGTGCATTCAAAAACATTGATTGGACCGTAAGAAAAATCAACACTATGGAAAAGCTAGTTTTCACAAATCGAGAGTTAAAAGACTCGCACTTCCGGAATAATGAGCAAAAAAGTACGTAATTTAAGATGTATGCGTTGCACATATTTTGACTGAATCGTTCATGTTCCTGTGCATGTTACATACTTTACCAAGCACTGCACTAACAATGAGAAGTGAATTAACCCATGTGCATGCCACAACTTTTATTCCACCACTTGTTATACCTGATTTAACCAAGTAAAGCATAGCCAATGAGATTTTGAGATGCAATGGACGACTTGCCTGCTGCTCCCTTCTTAAACTTTTGGTCACAGCAGCATATGCCCAAGAAAGACAATCAGCATCAGCATCATCATCGCTTTATATTCAAATAAAATAGAGTTGGATTTACTCATCATATTATTATTATCGTGCTACACACAAACCAAATGCACTTTATGTACATTCATGGTCGGGTACCTTTCTTTTCTCTGGCTCCTCTACGCTTCTGTAGCAGGAGATCTGCTTAATCACTTATTTGTCTAATCTGGCTGGAGCAGGAGCATGACGATTTTAGATGTTCAGTAAGAATTCTTTGTGACTGGGTCAAGCCAATAAAATGACAAACTCTTAGGTTGTCAGTAATATCGGGTTCGAGTGAAATCAGTAAATTAGAGCGTTACATTTTTTTACACGGTGTAATTGGTACTTGTTACACGCAATTAGTGTCGTCCAGTAAAAAGTTCGTTAACATCCACCCACCAACCACTAACTATCAGCATTACGTGTACTGGAATAAATAAACAAATGAATACGGTGCCTGGTTAATATTGAGTGGTGAAGCTATTTATTAGTATGGTTCGTCGGTGAAAAGCAAGCGTGCACTTTCTCTCCCAAAAATGTCTCACCAGGGGTCGAGTCAAACTCCCAGCACAGAATTTCGACACCCAATGACCATGTCGGTCAACCCGAATGCCATAAATGTAGGAGGACAACCACAAAATCCGGGACTTTCTGTGGCCCCACTGCCAACGCACAGCGGCTCACATTCCAGTTCCAGCAGTACGAGCAGTGCAAATGATCTCACTGTGAAACCCGTTCGTCCCACGGACGTGTCCCGGCTAACCCATCCCGACCTGGTCACGCGAGTGAGAAAGCTCGAATCCGACCTAATCAAATTAGCATCAGACCACAATCACATGATCAGAGAGGCAAATCACCGGATCCAGGTCTTTATTTATTTATTTATTTATGCTGACAAAATTCACATCCAGTGTTACAGGAGTAAAATGCAAATCTTGTTGTTCCAGGGTCAAACTGTAGAAATTGCTCAAATGCGAACGACCATTGCCCGACTTGAAGAGGACAACGCGGAACTACGCGACCTTTGCTGCTTTCTTGATGATGATCGACAAAAAGGTCGCAAGTTGGCGAGGGAATGGCAACGATTTGGGCGATACACGGCCTCCGTGATGCGACAAGAAGTGGCTGCATATCAATCCAAACTTAGAGATCTAGACTTGAAGCAACACCAATTGGTCACGGACAACCAGGAGCTAAAAGTGTGTTGAACAGTTGGTTAAATTTTTGCAGATTGTAGAGATATTCTGTATTTGCAGGAGTTGTGTCTCTACTTGGACGAGGAGCGGTCCCAAAATTCGTGTGGGCAATGTGGGGCTGCATTCCGCCGAGATGACGGGGACGGGAGCAGCTCGACCAACCCCACGGAAGATTACCATCAATGCAATCTCACCAACGACTCGACCCTCAGCAATAATTCGTCCTCCAGCAGCACACAAGGAAATCTCTTGGATCGGGAGGACTTTACCCGAGAAAGAAATCTCAGCAGTACGTTGCATCCAATCCCAGCCAATTTTACTCGCGGCTGAAACCTCATAATTTCACTAAAACCATATTTCATTAGGTCAAATTGTGGAGTATGTGAAAAGGCTGGAAACTCGGGTTAACGAGCTGGAAAAACAGGAAACCGTCAACTGTCCTGAATCTGTCCTAAACGCATTGCAAGTATTGCAAGTGTGCCAAGGTAATTACTCTACAAATCAATTGTGGTATTACATGGACATTTACATAATAGGGTAATTTTATGCCTGCCTGCCTATTTAGGGCTCGAAGACAACGACATTGGTGACCAGGAGAAAGCACTCGTGCGACAAATGTGCAATGTATGTGCTCACATTTATTATAAATTCATTATGCATTTAATCAATTTATTTATTTAAACCAAATGTCTCTCCAGGTTGTTTGGAAAAAGTTAGAAGACAATCCGAAACTTTGATCCATTTTTCATCCGTATTAAAGGAGGTACGAAGGAAGATGTACAAAATATTTCATCAGTCGTTTACATGAGGACAAAAGGTGTTTGGAAATATCGAGCTGTTTCCTCTTTGACTAAATATATCTGGCTAATTGTATCATAATTGTTGTCAGTATTTATTATTGGAATGCATGTAGCATTGCAGGAATACACCTACACACATATATGCATACATGCAAGTATATGTATATGTTATGTACTTGTACATGTTCAGACGAGAGTAGTATTAGTAATTAGTATACATACATGGGAGTAAATGCCTACTTATATGATTGCAAAATTATTGCCCGATGAAATATTAACCTAACTTTGTTAGATAAGCTCGTATTTTTGTATTGACTGTCAGTGCGTTATATAAATAAGCACCGACAATGTTGTCGGTCAGCGGATAAAAACTGATATGGAAAATTTGTTTTTATGCATGTATTTTGTTGACCATCATACATAAACTTGAGCTTCACTTTACTCAAACCGAAACCACAAAACCGACAAACTGGACAAATCATGTTAAATAATGTTTATTGAAACAAAAACATGTTACACTTATTTGCTATTTATATTCTCATCAGAAATTTGTTCCAATGTAGAGATTAGATTGTTCAACCCGAAAATGTAGCCAGCATCTGGTCCTTCATGTTTCTTTTTGTCCAGTTCGGAGTACGTGGAATGAGCAAAGTCGATCATTGCTACCTCGACATCGACGATCATGCCCGATGAGTTATTCACGCCATCATCGACATCGTCGTCCCGGCCCTCGTAAGCAAGGAGAAGGGAACTCGTGTAGAATCTGAACGTGTCCAGAGTCAGCAGCACTTGGCGAAGCTCTCTTAACTTGCCCAACAATGTGTTGAGAGCGTCAACTCTGAGCCGGTGACCATTGCTCAGAAACTGTGTCAATCCATCATGGAAGCCGGACACGTTCAGTTTCTGCCCATAATATTTGTCTTGACAAACAAAACTACTCGATAAAGTTTGGTACACCTGCAAAAGTTAATTAAGGTGCGAGGTTTGTAGGGATTGTTTTCTAGCAGCTGCCAATTATGTATCTTCCAAATGTGTGTATATACATTGTCACAATAGTTTACGTTATCGCACCTGCATTCCACAAATCCTGACCCCCAGATGCACACTTGTTGAGTTTCCAGCTTTTGCACTTTTACTGCGTATTTTATCCTCAGATGCATCATCGCCATATTGTCGAGTGCCCATTTTTAAGTCAAGGACACAAGGATGTTCAAATCTTCGAGTTATGTTTTCCAGCAGGAGAAAGTCTGGCGTCGTCAGAAATAATTTACTCAAGGTCAATAAAAAGCGTCTTAAGATATGCTACCTTACTTTGAGGATGGTTCTGACTCTTGAGTTTGCTAAGCTGGCTTTTCTGACATTGAACTGCCCATGGATTGTGGAGAATTTCGGTGGGAGGGGTCCTACAACTGCTGCTACTATTACTACTCCCGCTGGTCATTGGAATTGATAAGGAGACGGAAGGACGTCTCTCCAATGCACTCGCCAGATTCCCATCCTGACTTAAATCCAGATCCGCTTTCTTCAATAAGCTTTCTTTACTATTGCCAAAGTCGGTTTGAATGTCAATGCTGCCAGATTTCTTGAGTCGGATACGTCTGCAGCATGCAAATCACTTACCACATTAATTTACAGAACAACCAGAAATTATTAATCTTTTCAAAATATTTTTTATACTGCGTACCGATTTCGTCCCCGTCTTTTTGTGGTGGACTCATGCAATTGATTTGTAGAAATTGATTTCGGTGCGTATGCATCCACTCGAATGTACCCATCCGAGTCTTCCACGAAACGCACCTGCATTAACACACGAGGAGTAAGTTAAGGTGGTCAACTGTGGGTATTCTATTACTTATTTACTTGAATGACACCCCGATATTCTGGCGTGAATGGTTTGAGACAGGTCGGCATCAGCTCATAAAACTGTAGTTCTCTCGCAATTAGAGGTTTACAAATTGTTCCTTCGTCCAAAATAAAAATGGACGAGTGGCCCCCCACTTGATGGAGAAAAGGTTCCAACTGTGACCCAATAATTTCTCATTGTGCTTAAAATATTGTGAGATTGTTAGAGTAAGACGGATATGAGTACACTATACCTCAATTTGGGTGAGTGAGAATTCTGTCTCAACTTTCTCATCGTGTTGAGTCTGAAGTACGCAAGTTGTCCCGATTGGTAGCATTGTGGGTGAGCGATCAGCAATTTTCAAACAATTTTAGTTGGAACAATTCTGTCTCTTTGATATCGGTTAATTGTACAAGTGATGAAACTACTTTGATTTGGTAGTGCACGCAGCGAAATTCAGCTCGGAAGTGAGCGAGGCCCACCACTTTGCTGTACACTCTTATAATAATATTTTACCAACAACAGCGTCAGAGTCGAATAATTACACTTCTGTGTTCGCATTGAACTGTTTTTGTTGTGGTCTAGACTTAATATAAGTATTTATGATGCTCCTCCTGACTGAGATAGGACGATAAGCGTGTAAAGCTTGTATAAACCCGAGAGGAGCATGCGAATAAGAGGATTATTTGGAACAGAATCAGATCAATGCAGAATTAGAATAGTTGGCAATGAAGAGAATCAGGACAAAAACATTGAGTTAATAAAATGTATATCATGCAAATGATATGGGTCTCACCAATCAACATTTAAAAGCAATAAATAATGAAGAAAAACATGCCGTTCTTCACGAACCGAGGACGAAACACGCAATCACACCACACAGAATCATTTATGCTGACTAAACAGTGAATATGACGACAACAACAACAATCAAATATACGCTTCATCGAATCTTAATGACATTCGAGAACAAAAAAAAGATGACGACTGCTTCTTGTAATTTGATTGTGTACACTATAATACGCTGATATAATTTAGCCACCGCATCTTTGTGGAAACCTGCATGCATTAATTAATTACTCGTTTGAACTAAACACAATCACTTTTTAAATGTCAAAGTCACCCACAATTTAACAATTTATTAAACGGTCGTTGCTTCGCATATTTTATGAGTAAACAGTTAATACCTGCTCGCTACAATAACGTTCTCTTTCACAAAAATAAAGACCAATTGATTTTCCATAGATTGAGATTGACTTTTTGACTACATAATTTTTCAGTGATATTTATTTACGAGACATTCCGTTTTCCAGCTCTGACTCTGCTTAAAAATGTAGAGGAGAGGATTGATGCTTATAAACTAGTAGTAGTATTTATATATACTGGGGTAGAACAATAGTCTTAACAAGATGTATCAGATAATAATAATAATTACATTAGAATTTGGATTGTAAGTAATAGCGTTGAGAGGTGGAATAATTATGATCCTACAATAATGTTGTTGATGGGGATGTGAATGAGTTTGACGAAAAATCCGATGAAACCCATGATGCAGAAACCGATCGCGGTGGCTGTAACACAAATTTATTTGATTTACAAATAAATAAGAGAATTTAATTGTTCTACTAAATCAAATACGAAAGACTCACCCATTGCGATTTTCTGAAATTCCTTTCGGTCCGGCTTTGTGCAACGTTTCACCAGCCGAAGAGAATCCTTGGCGAATTGACGCCCAGGCTCGACAAAGGACATGACTTGATCCATGACGTTGGTTGAGGTCTCGAAACTAAACAAGAAGCAAAATTATTATTAGCATAAGGAGTCCGTTAGTATAGAAAGTTAGTAAATATAGAAAGTACGGTGAAAGTTGAAACCATTCCTTAAAGTTAGTGAAAATTGAGAATCCATTAACCTTTTGCTTTTGCCAGAAATGAAATTGTATAAAACTTTTAATATTTGGTTATTCATGGAAAAATTCTAACACAATCTTTCATCTAATAATAATTAAAACCAAATTTCACAATTTCTCAAATACAATTTGAAAGTAAACAAGGAAGGACACTTATTGTAAATATTGTACTTAACTTCTACCAAGCTTACCTTTCTCAAAACTTGAAATGGGTTGAGGAAATGTCCGCAAAAACTCAATTAATTTCCAAAATATGTGGCGACACAAATTTATTGAGCAGAGAAGAAAATCAACCTTTCCGTCATCAAGTGGGATTCTCGAATGAATCGCACTTGCTTTGCTTACTTGCTCGTAACCTCTTTAGCATGAGAGGATCATTCACTTATCATGTACGCTAATACAGGATTAATCAACAAATCAAGTCAAAATCATACACATATTTTACGAATATTTCTAAGATTATAATTTATAAATTGAAAATTTATCTCAACTCATAATTTTCTCGACATGGTCATTGCATCAGCCAGTGACGTGTCAGCTTGTTCATCCAACTCACTTTCAACCGGTGTCCCGTTGTACAGATTACAATACATCTCTTTTTGCCATTTTGGTGTGTGGGGCGAAGTGGATTAAATAGTTGAACACCAACGCCACAGAGGTCACAAAAGACCATAAAAGATAGATGCTGTATCTCAAAAGAATGTCAATATGCAAATAAATGTGGCTACATATTTTTCTAAACCGTCCAAAATTATAGAGTTTATTTCTTCATTTGGTTTCAATACATGTGCATTCATTCCCGAGTTAAATTACATTTATTATTCTGCAAATAAATTAATTAGTTACTGCACATCTTTCTTTGGGAGGGGTTAAGGCTTCCAGTATTTTGTAATCATGTCAGCTCCCTAAAAGTCGAAATCAGAGAAAATATATAATACAAATTAATATAGGGAAACATTTTACAATGAAGCAAATATACCTTTTCTGCAATGACAATGGTCGGAGAGTTGGTATTTCCGACTGGAACAACGGGCATCACGCTGGCGTCCATGACTCGAAGGTACTGAATCCCATAAACACGGAGTTGGGAGTCCACGACGGAATATGGGTTATCCGCCCTTCCCATGGAGCAAGATCCCACAATGTGATGCAGAGTTATGGACAAATGTCGGGCGTAGCATTCCCAGTAGGCGTCACTTCTGAAGCGGACGTTTTCACATCCGGGGAAAACTTGGTCCGTGAACCTACCCCCAACTTGTTGGAATGCTGTCGAATTTTCTGTGAGTATACGAATGCACGAAGGTAATTACTTTTTGGCATGGAATTGGAGAATGAAGAAAGAAAGGAAAGCAAGGCAGATTTAAGACTAGGGAATTTGAATTAGCAATTTCGTAATAAATTCATTTTGCTAATTGCATCATCCCCACTCACCCACAATGTTCACAGCAATCTTCAGCCCATCCACGAGGACGTCGACATCTCGTTGATCCTCAAAGTAGTTGGGTTGGATGATGAGGGGTGCGGTGGGGTCATTGCTCTTCAGCTGGATGTAACCCCGAGCGAGGGGTCGACCAAGGGAGACGATTTGCATGAAGGAATCTCGACCCACGGCGTGCTTGTAGTATCGCGTGAGGAGCCCATGCTTTAGCCCAAATCCACGAGCAATGTCACTCGCAAAATTTTCCCCCACAGAAACTCCAATCATAATTGTTTGAATGTCCGGCCAGTCGCTCTCGTTATTCTGCTTGGCGTATTTCGTCGCATAAAAACCCATGGCTTGGGTGCCCGTTGTGGTCAGCACACCCGTCCCGTGAACCTATCCAACCAGGAGAAAAAGTAAGTCAGTAACTGTATCTCCCTCAAGGGCAGTAGTCCCGATCTATGTTTTACCAAGTATTCTGCAATCGATTGGGAATTGATGACATCCCGTTCAATCGAGAATGAGACAGGTTGATCAACAAAGAAGGGGCCAAGATAAGTGCTCATGTGATCCTACATCAAATTAATAATAGTTTTAAACTGCGGTGAAAGCATAAGATTCCCGTTTGGAGAAAGTATTAATACACATACATAGTAAATACACATGTCCAGAAATATACACAAAAAACAAATATTAATACTTAACACATATTTACTTTAATCTCGTAAACGGAGTTATTTTGCAAAATTTCCTCCGCATCTCACGCTCAAGGGAAATTAGCGAGAAGAAAACAGAAAGCAGGGCGGAGAAAGCAGAATAAGAAAACTTTCATACTCAAATTGTCATACTCGCGAAGTAATAAATTATTATACCAGTATTTCTGGTCATAACATTTTATACCTGAAGGTTTTGACCCACGCCTGGTAAATCCTGCTTAACGGGAATCTAACGATTCGTACAAAAATCGGTATTTTAATTTGCACTGGTACATTTATAATTTTTTTAAGCACTCACATTCAAAGAGTCCAAATGATCTTTGGGTCCAATTCCTGAGAGCAAGAGCAGTTTCGGTGAGTTCATGGCACCAGCAGACACGATGACCTCCTTGTTGGAGTACGCCCTCTTTTCATGCCCATGACGCTCGTACTCGACCCCATAAGCGCGATTATTGTTGTCAATCAGAATCTGTAACGAGCATTTTCATTGTTCAAAACTAGGAGAAAAAAATATGCTGTTCGCACCTTTTTGACAAGGGAGAATTTCCGTATAGTGAGAGATGGCCTGGTTCGAACGGAATTGATCATTGCTCCGTAAACGCCAAAACGACGCCCGTTCTTGATAGGGTAGAAAATGACGTCGAAACCTAAGTATTCCATTCATAAATATTTAGTAGTAGTAGGTAAACTACTTAATTGACAAAACACTTATAATTGTCTCACATACCGTCCGTGTATTTGCCATTCAAATCTGTTCGTGGATAACCAAGTTCTTGCGCCGCTTCTACAAATATTTCAGCCATTCCGACATAGTCCGGTTGCCTAATCGTAATTTCACCCCCTTTCCCATGTTGGCCATCTACAAATCAACATGAACAAATTCACAAATTCGATTTTGTTTTTGTTGAGATTTATTTTGATGATGAAGTGAAAGCGCTACACGCACTATTTTCCCAACGGCCTTCATAATTCTCCGATCTGAAATTGAAGCACGTGTTATCCAATAACAATGAATTATTTTCAAAGTGAAGGAAATTCTATGAGCTTTACATACTTCTTAAAGTACGGGAGGAGCGCATCGTAAGTCCAGCTATGAAGAAAAAAAGATTAGGTTAACAATTACTTCACGCGGATCATGGTTTGACATCGAACCTGGGATCACCGAGTATTTCTGCCCAGTTATCAAAGTCCTTGGGAGCTGTTGAAAGAAAGATTAACGTTTGGTGGCAACTTAATACGCTCTGCACGACGTACATGTTGACACCCTAACTTCCTGTAACCTCATAACATTTTACACAACAACTCAAAGTCTTACCTCCGCGTGATTGGATAAGGAAGTTGAGGTTGGCTGTTCCTCCTAAACCCTTCCCTTGGCTCCAGTGGCTCTTCTAAATACATCAATGATGACGAATTAATTTCACTTTCACGTCCCACAGAACGTGTAATAGTAATGATGACTTTGTAATAATACAAAGTCACTTAGCATCACGAGCATCGTACATTTCTTGGCAGAGCCCAACAACAGTGTTTCTGCGACACCGTTTTGTGATTCCAGTCAATCTCAGGGTAGCTCAGCATGAGGAGCGACATGGCAGGAATTTGTTGCCTGTGGAGAAAGCAAGCGTTACTAACTGACCCATTTTTTGTGTACCTCCAACTAACCAATCGTTCATTTCTCCCCCTGCCTCCAGCAAGAGCACTGAAAACTGTTCCGACAGTCGGGCAGCCACGGTCCCCCCGCCACTCCCACCTCCAACTATACACGTGCACCAAAGAGTCGTCCATTTATTAATGCATCATGGGGGCGCGATTCTTATATAAGAACAAGAATTACCAATGATAAAGTCAAAGTGGTCTTCCTCTTGACCCCAAAACGTTACGGCCGAGCTGCCCAGAGCATCTGAAACCCTGTCAAAGTTGGACCAACTTGAGAGATGCACACTGAGCGATGCCAAAACTGTGGTTAGGACTCCAATGGTGATCCCTACAAACCAAAATAAATAGCAAACTGGTTATGTAACTGGAGCGTGAGAAATACAGAGTTTGGTGACATGTGCAATACCCGCGAAGGGGTCCACGGGCGCGGGGGTGGGCAACATCGCGAAGGAGGGTTGTGGAAAACTATGCTCCTAGCAAAAAGTGAGTAACGGGATAGTTCAAAAGCAGTGACTCTGAATAGTAATACGAGTTGGAATTTTGGTGGCTATATGAGCGGACGGGATGATGAGTTTAATGAACCATTGGGCCGTGACGTCCAAAATGTAACAAAACCATGAACCACCGTCTTATTGCTTGATTAGCAATTATAGCAGACACTGTATATGAGCGGAGCAGGTGTGAGGGCCCATTGTTCTTCTGCTCTCAGCATGTTCCAACGCTGATTGGGTACCACATCTGAATATAATTGACTCTATAATAACTCCGTCCGAGATGTGTAACAATATTGTTTTGGCCCATGTCGCGCAGCGAGAATTTTTCCAGAAATTCTACTTTATAATCAGCGTCATGTACCTTTTATCCATAACCCGGAATCGGATAGATACTACGAAAAGTTATTTTTAGTCATAATTCATTCATCATCACTCATCAGGGGCAGTTAGAGTTCCACTGACATGTTATGAGCAGGATTTATGTACATACAAATGCACTACAGAAGCATAAAGTCTTATCCTCATAGGTACACATATCTGTAAGCATTGACTTTTATGAAAGCTAGATGAGGCCGTATCTGCCTCACGATCCAAATGGGATGGACGGACCCCAAAGGTAATGTGGAATGGCACACGAGGAGCAAGATTATTCGACACTTCGTCACAAGGGCGACTAATGTTACCTAGATACAGTAGTCAAGCAATCGTGGATAAGATAATCCACAGGCATGGATCAAACCCTCTAATTCTCAAGCAGATTTATTATTTGATGCTAAAAGTTTTGATCTTTACTAAGAACAAATTTGAATCTAAAATGGGAGATACTGACCCAACTATCACTGAAGAAGTGGTGCTTCAGGCATATGTCCTCAGCGAGGATACGCCCAGAGAGCCGCTGGAAAATGAGGGTGGAACGATTTGTAACCCATTTTTGATCAGGAACATGGGGTGTGCAAAGTGGCTCAAGATACCACAAAGTACATATTAACTTACTTACCACGTATTAGATACATACATATGCACTGCGTTGCTAAAAAATGACAAATTCAATCAGGTCGACTGATTGAGGAGGATGACCCAAAGTATAAGACCAACATTCTCGGAATTCGAAATTCTGGAGAGTTGTCTGGCCTTATCAACCACGGGCGAACGTGTTATGCCAACTCCACTCTCCAGTCATGGTTTCACAACCCGATCTTTCGACGGGCAATTTTGTCCATAGCAGCTGAAACTGAGAACCCGGGCAAGAAAGTTATCCTGGCCTTGCAGAAGATGTTTGCTCGTCTTAAATTCTCCATTTTCAAAGCCATCGATCCCGCAGAACTGTACGCAACACTGGATATGAATCAGACCGATGAGCATGACGCACAGGAATTTGCACTCAAACTCACCGACTTTTTGAGTGAGAGTGACGCCACTCTGAGGACCATTTTCGACACCAATCTCAACGGTTCCCTCCAGTACGAGCGGAAATGCTTGAGCTGTCAGGAGACTGCCGTAGTTAAGGAGAACTACTCCATCATCCGTCTCAACCCTTGCGACAGTCTGCAGCAAGCCTTGGGGGAAAAGCTGGAGGAGGAAAAGTTGGAGTATCGTTGCGAAAGTTGTGAGTTGGGGGTGGAGGCGAGTCGCACACTGCAGTTTCTCACCTTCCCACCCGTCCTCCAGTTTGAGGTCAACCGCTATCGGTACTGTCCCACGGCCCAGAGAAACATAAAGATCCAGAGCTCCTTCAACTTCCCCGACGTGATTGACTTTACGCCATACCTGGAACTCAAGGAGGGAGACTCGACAGAGAATAACAAATACACTGCATTCGCTGCCTTAGTCCACACTGGGTCAAGAGCTGACTGCGGTCACTTTGTCGTGAGGATAAGGAACCACACGACCGGCACTTGGCACCAATTTTCAGATGCAAGTTTGAACCAGTGGGACGCAGAGGAGGACGGGATGAACGCATCGGACAATGTTTACATGGTCATCTACATCCGACAGCTAGTTTTGACAGCCTTCCCGGACAATGACCTGACCACGTCTAACTCCGCAATCGAGGCTCGTCTCAAGACTGAGGTGGAGGAAGAGGACGAGTTGCTTCTTGCCAAGAAGAAAGCTGCTCACCATAATTTTATCCAGCGTTACAACCTGATTAATCTTGTAGCATCCACGCCTAAAATTGGTCCAGTGCGAGACTACTACTTCTTCTCAAACTGTTGGATTCGTGAATTTTTAAGAAGCATTGACTTTCCAGGAGACCTGATTCCTGTCAACAATCAGGTAATCGAGTTTAACAGATTTTGAAATAACTTGTACAAGTCTTAACTTTTCTCCCTCTTTAAGAGCATCATGTGTGTTCATGGGAAGGTCGCTCCTCCTAAACCCAATCCAACCACCGTGGCGTATAGGGTCGTCCCCCCAAAAATTGCTGTACGGAATGCTAATTTTAATTGAAAAAATCTGATCTATCTAATCTACAAAATTAAATTGTTTCCTATAATCAGGCGAAAATCTACGAAGTTTTTGGTGGTGGACCAGATTTACTTGTTGGTCGAAACCTTTGCCGACCGTGCGTGGACCTCATGAGAAAAAAGTTAGCCGAACAACAAAGAAAATCGGACGAGTTGGAGCAAATGGACACAGACGTTGAAATTGAAGGCATTTCTAATGATAAGAAAGACCAAGAGTTTTCCATCAACGTACGCTTGGCAAAGGTGGCTGGAGGAGATAATAAAAAGCCTCGCCAAAATGGGAGTCCTCTTCTCGTCGAGGGCGGCAGGACGCTTCAATGGCTGGTGTACCAGCTCGGTCTAATTCTGGACAGAAGCTGGCAAGAAATTTCGATCGAGTTCAACGGGGTGAAGCTGCTAGACCTGGACAAGTCAATTTCCGATCATGGAATTATACCTGACGCTGAAATTCAAGTCTGGACTCCTGACATGGACCATTATGACGACCAATAATTGCCCTAGGAATAAATTGCATGCTTTAGAAATATAAAAAAATGTATACGCTTCAAAAATTGCATACATAAATAGCCAAAGATTTGGCGACATGTATGACGTCATCCTGTTTTTTGCACTGCCGAACTAAATATGTATAATACAATACCGCTGTTCCCGAGTCTTTCCCCACCAGACCAACATCCATCCATGCACCCATATAGAGCATGCCACGCTGATGGGTCTACTACTTCTCTAATAAATGCGAGTCAAGGCTGACGTCTGCTTCAGTCCACGAGTCCACGAGAAGAGATGATGAGGTGAGAATTCGCAACAATCCGAACCACCTCATCTTCTGGTATGTTAAAGGAATGCAAATTGAGTACATTGGGGACAGCTCAGTGTTGAAAGATCAAGGACAATTGAAAGGGAAACCAACTGGATGAGAAGAAAGTGAGTTGACCACACTCATTGTGGTTTAGATCGTGCTCGTGAGTGAGTGAGTGAATTTTTGGTAGTTCACGAATTAAGTTTCATAATTTTCCAGGCATTTGTCCCTATTTATTATGAGACAAGTCCTGAATACACCAGTTGAACACGTCCTTATATTTAATTTGCTTGCCGTAAGTGTTTATAGAAGCAAAATATTTAGTGTGAATTTCCCGTCTGAGTCTGTGCATATTTACGCATCTGAAGATCACACCTACACGTGTGCACAGACCGCAAACTTACCTGCATATTAGCATATTAGACAGGTTGGTCTGTATAAAATTCGCTAAACCTGCTTATTGTTGGTAATAACACGGATACACACATTGTGGAGAGTGAGAGATTAAAAGAATGCCGATATGCATACAAACACGCTTCATTTTCAGAAAGTGGGTCATTGCTCGAATGCTTTGGATTGGAGTCATTTCACTCATACTCATTTAGATTGCACTAGGTTAGACATCTCCCCATTTTCAAAAAAACAGTACTATTAAAACACTGACCATTAATACTCTCTAACTGTTCTAGCAAAGCGTGTAATATTAATTTGTAAAAGCTTCAGTGTGAGGATTTCGGAGGCCGTATTTTTGCTGCTACATAAATACGAGCAAGCGGTATAACAAGTGAGGTGAGTATTTTGTCCGGTGCATAGCACATATCGGTTTGGCCCTGGTGCCAGCTTCTGCTAGGCACGGGAAACTATTGATTATTTCCGCGAAGAATTCACGGAAATCGTGTAATGATGCAAGAGGGTGACTCATCTCCTTGAGAAAATTCACCGCTATCTCCGTGTCCGTGTTCTCTTGGCTGGAGAAAAGGCTATCTTCATCTCAACCACATAGTTGAGTCATGCATTGTATAACTCATCATATTTACATACATTCAGGATCTCTGTATACACACAAAAAATGTCAAGTTGAGTTTCAGTGTCATAGTTCATAATTCAGTAAGCATTGTTCACATCTGGCTGAATATCGATCCTGAACTACTTGTCGCATTCGATTAATGAATGAACGAAATTGGGTCGTGTCACGAGGGATGATGACTTGAACTAATAATCCTTTAAATAATGGGATGACACACTAATAGTTCTGTTCCAGTCAGTGCTTGGTACACAGTAAAAACCCCATCACACGACTTGTAATGAATTCTGGGCGAATTCATTCGCGTAGAAAGAGTTCCCATGTAGGGTATGCAAGTGGGAAGCTTTATATTCAGGACAGAAAAACACCGTACATAAAAAATGATTTATTTTCATCCGAGTTTCATCACACAAGACGACGAGGGGATGATGTCATCAGACCATTTTGCTAACCCAGCAACCCATATTCAGCACATTCCATCGATTGCGTTGAATGCATGTGTATAAGGAACGAATCACAAAATTCCGAGCTGCACCACCCAGAAATATTTATGTGGGCAGGAGAAAACATGCCGTGCCCCTCTGTTTCTGTTGTACCAAATCTCTCTGTTATTAGCAGGTCATTCCAGTTTCCTTACGGGGTGATTATCATATCATGATTTCCTCTGCTGTGAGAAAGTCCTGCTACTGCAAACGTGTGGGCAGCCCTATAACCCGTACATATGTGTGTAGCAGCAATATAGCGCAGGATCCGACGTGTCGAGAGAGCCCGGAGAATCAGGAGAAAGAGAAGTCGAGAATAATGTCTGAGGTTTTGTTCTTGTCTGATTTATACGGCATGCCTACGTCCATGAGGGACAGCACACACGAGTGCAAGGCAACCCACAACTTTCCTCGCCTTTCTCCCGGCAATAAAGTTGTACTTTCCCCTCCACCAAAATTACTTTCCTCTCTCGCCAAATCCTGCAGTCATATTTTAATCAAGAGCTAAGATGTCGATATTTCGAAAGACTTTTATACTTATAATCGTAACAGCAGCCATGGATAAATTCCTCCATCCGGAAGTGTAAGTTGTAAGCACTACGTCGGTCTGTTCCTGGGGTAAGAACCTCACAAGTACATACATGCAGCAGCGCACTGTCAGTAAATATAGAGTCCCCACCATCACTAACCAGCTATACATGTACGTACAAAAGTACTTATTACATTTCTAATGGAAAGACTCTTGTCAAGTTACCACTAACAACTTTGACTTCCGAGCAGTTTCAAAACAAGAAAGAGTTCACGTTCACACAAACTAAAACCGAACGAATTCGTTTTATTTGCACAAGTCGTGTCCTTATTATTACGAGCAGGCTATATGGTTAAGGAGGAGGCGAAGTGATTTAATTTTAGAACAGATAGTCATTCCATTGCCGAGTCGAGCCAAATTAGACCGTGTGGTCGTCGTCTTTCCGCTGTGGCTGAACCAAGAGTACGGTACGGAACGTGTGCATATGTCGTAGTGTGAGACGTTGCAAGAAAAAGGCATTTTGTTCTTGGACGAGGAGTCAAAGACATTGCAGGAGAAAAAGACGAGGAAAAAATCATGAAGAGATAGATCAGTGCTGTCACTAGTCGTGGTCTCGAACCACATTTTTGCAGTAAAAACATAAGCAGCCTTCTTTTTGGGTCATTTCCAATCCATTCAGAGGCAGTTAGTTCTTACATGTTCTTGTTCTCTCCTCTCGTGGACCACAATTATGTGTCCCACTCACAAACAACGAGAAATCTGCAATACTTGCTTATCAGTCGGACGAGTAACTCTCCAAGTAAAGTGCTTTGTTTTTTCTATGGTTCACAGGTCGACGTGTTTGGAGTGAATGAAGGAATCAAAGCATGATCATCAGTCAGTGCTGTCGGTAGTGCTTCAAACCATACGGACGTTCAAAAAGAAGAAGAACGAGTGATCTTCTCATCATCATCAAGTTGTTCAACTGCGACGCAAAATACAAATGTCTTAGCTCACTAAAAATTACTCACGATTTGTGGAACATCTTTTTTTTTGTAAGTAAAGTTTGTGTCTGCTCCGTTTTGGCCAAATTCCGGCCTCTTCTCTAATTCCTTGCTAAGTATTTTTTATTTATTTATTATTATTCCTCAGCGTGTGACGAGTCTCTTATAATTTTTTGCAGGGTCTCCCTAAGTTGCTCCACCTTTATTCATTACTTTATTCTCGTTCGCTATATTGACAAATTGATTGACCTCTTGTGACCATGCCTGTCCCGGAATCTTCCTACAGTCGACGGTACGGTCGTGAGGATAGCAGCGCATACAGCAGCACCTACTCCCGGAGTACTTCGAGCAGTGCCCTTGGCGGAAGTGCTGGTCGGTCCTCCTACTTGAGCTACACTTCCAAAGCCACCTCCACCCTCCCCCCACGACCACCGACGTACGAGTACAGAAGCAAGTACGCAGACAGCAGCAGTATCGGAAGTCGCTTCCTCTCCAACTCTGCCAGTCGGGTGGGTGGTCGAGATTATGGGTCCTCAAACTCGTACCGAACCTCCGTTTCCCCCGTCAGAGCGTCAGCATCTTCCATCCGACGCCAACTCGAGGCCACGGCTCCCACGATTGCAGAGAGAATCAAAGCCATGGAATTAGGAGAAAGTTCGGATCAAGATGCTACCACTGCTGCTCCTTCGACAGGGTTTTCCTCACGAGTATCCCGACTGCGGTCGTCGCGAGGTGAAAGCATTTCAGCATCCAACGCCTACAGCAGCTCGTCCCCCTCATACTCACGTGACCGGAGTGGAAGCAGAGAGTTTGGCAGCAGTCCCCTTATTTCCAGCAGCTACAACTACGGGCGTGGTGGAGACAGTAGCAACAAGTCCTCCACAGAGAATCTTCATCGTAATAGCAGCCGAGTGTCGCCATCGCCAAATTCTGGACCCCCGCTGAGTCGGAGTGGGAGTGGCGCAGGGATGAAGAATGGGCTGTCGTCACGCCTGGGCTCGATTGAGGTAAATTCTGAAAATGCTACTACTTCTAGTAGTGCGTCCAAGGGTGTTACTACTGTTATTTCTGCTAATACTACCACCACTAGCACTACTACCACTCCTAAAACTGGCAGTGTTATTGTTGATGATGATATTGATGGGGTGGATAAGTGTGTGAAAGATGTAGAAAATAATGATCCGAACAGCATTGAGACCAATTCTTCCGTTGCTTCCTCCTCGTCCGTTAGTGCGACTAGTAATAATCAGGCTGCGATGAATGGCTTTCCGACCACTTCGAACAAAGTGAATAACGACGCTGAGAAAGATTTTGGGGTGTCAGGGGTGAGCAAAAGTGGGGGTGACGACTCTACCGCGGCACCTGCTAAGAAATCAACTGGTGGGAAATCATCATCCATCAATCCTTCTCGTGTAGTTTCATCATCGTCGCAGGCAGAAAAAGTACTCAACAATAGTAGTAGTAGTAGCAGTAGTAACAATATTAGTGGCGGTGTTGGTTCAATGGACGGCCACCCTTCCGATGGGTGTGACAGCAATGGGAATCCCATTTCTATAGTTACCGCTCTTGCCCCTTCCACCAAAATGGAGGACACTTCTCTGCTGGTCAAAGGGAGTGGTCTTGGTGGTAGTCGAAAGGGCAGCAGCTCCTCCCCTCTGGGTCCCTCCTGCACCACCACCACTGGAACAAAGGGTCCCAGTCGCTTCTTGAAAAAGTGCGAGTCCGACAACAACGCCAACAATTTACAAGAAGCCTGCAATGGAGAGCCTTCTGCCTCACACAAAAAGGAAAAGTCTCCGTATGATGCAGTTCTAAATTACAGTCCGAAATCCGCTTCACTCGCCTCCCGCAAACCGACCATCAACAAGTCGTCGTCCCCACCCAAAGTGATTTACCACACGATTCAAGTGGAAGAGGAGCCTCGCAACTCGGTGTCCCCCGAACCAGTTTACACTCTCACTGCGCGCCCCTCCCTGGATGGGACTGGACCCAAGATTGAAATAAAAAATGTGACCAAGACCAAGAAGACATCCTCTCCTTCGCCCTCTCTCTCGAACGAAACCGTGAGTGCCGATTTCAAAGTGACGCTGCCAAAGCTCAAGACTGCAGCGATTTCATCAACTTCGTTCGAAAACGGCCATAACAACGCTTCAAACGCTGGAGACGAAGATTCTGAAGAAAATTATTCCCAAAATAACAAGCTAATTACCGTAATAGATGTTGATAGTATGAATGCAACCAGAAAACCTGAATCAAAAGAAAGTTCTCCGGCCTTCTCTACGAATAAAAAGGAAGCGAGTCCCTTCACTGTGGACAAGGCTAAAGCTTCTCCCTCCACCACTCCAGATAAACAAGTAACCAAGACCAAAAGTGCCCTCGCAACAAGACGATCCCTCTCAAAATCTCGAGAAAGCACGCCAACTTCTTCCACAGCGAATAAGCTCAGCAACGGGGTCTCTCTGAAGGAAAAATCAGCAACTCTGCCTCCCACCATCAACGACAACGCTTCTGAGACGAAAACGACCAACGGGGAAGTTCACGTGGACAGCAGCAACATCAACAATTCAGATGTCCACATGGGACCTCACTCGAGCAAGTACAACGCTTACACGAACGGGAGTCAGCGAGACTCGCCCAACAGGAATGAGCGCTATGGGCGGAGCAGCCACGTGACCGCCGCCTCCACGAACAACGTCGCCGATTCCTCGGACAATGTAAGTGCCCTCTGCACTTGTACCACTGCTTTTCCCCACGACATCTTCGCCCCCTCCTCCCCGCATGACTCTGCATCATATCATCATTATTAACCAGCAGGCGCATGAGACTAGTGTAGAGAAGAGTTCCTTCCTGCTCTTACTTAGAGTAGATCATTAATGATGCTCATTTTAACATTTTTTTGTGTGCTTATTGTCCCATGGTCGCCGTGATGAGAATACATATGGCTGGAAAGAATAATGCATCCCCACTCACTCACTGTTACTGCACTTTTTCCGATTCTAACGGCTGGGGACATTGTTCCCTCTGTCCGTCGTCGTCTCGTGTAGACTTTTTTTGGCACGGCTTGCGATTCGACGTAACAAATTCCGAGCCGCACAAATGTGACTCGCAGTTCAGAAATTCATACAAGATTTAAATTCAGTTGTTCGACTTGGCTCGAGAGAGTTGTGTGTCGTCTGATATTTCTATTTTTGTTGCGTGGTCTCCTCATTGCATTTCAACGTGTAAGTAAGCAGTCAAGTTATTATTATTACATATTATTCTTTACGACGACGTGTCACTGTGTAGTCATTGACATAATTCATAAAGTCTTCAACTTGTAGAGACACTGCCTGTATGGCACAAATAGTAATTCTAATCTGCCCACAAGATGGCAAAACCGACGAGAAGAAAGTTTCAAAGTAATAAACAAGGTTCTCCATCGGAGGAGAAAGTTAGAGGATTTCATACAAAAGTGGAAAAGGGTGATTTTGTCGTTCCTGTTCATCATGACCTCACCTTTCCGTTGGGGAAGAGTCAAATCTCCGTTGCTGAGAGTGAGAGTTGGTCAACAACAATGGCACCATTCCGGCAACTGACGGTCCCAGCCTCAGCGTTCCTCTTCCAGCCTGATGCCAGCCCAATCGCTCTCGTCTCACAGTTTTCCAAAACAGTTCATGCTCTCTGTGTGACCTTCATGGTGCTGATTTTCGTCTGGTGGGGAGTAAGGAGAATATTGTCGCATCGTGTCGTAGGAGTGTCACCGCCAGCAGTCCCGGCGATTAAAATCAGCACCGGTTGTGGTTCAAATAAGGATCATGCCTGTCTGCCTGGAGGCAATGTATGGATTTTTCCACAAAAATCATCATTATTCCATCAGTGGAAGAACCGAGTAAGTGCATTTTGCAGTGTGTGCATCACATCACATAGTTATAATCCATAAGACGTTGCGTAATGCCGAAAATCACGGGCATAACATTTATGGTTAGTGGCGTCATATTATTGCGTTCATACATGTTTGCACGTGTTACTCGTGGAGAGCTGAATTCTCAATAATTCTCATATTTCATAAACATTTCGGTGAACATTAATGTTGTTACGAAATGTAATCACTGGTGCTTCTAAGAACTTAAAAGAATGGAAGCTGTACCTCCAGCAGCAGATATTTTATTAGTGATAAGTTTAGACATTTTGTATTTGCTAATGGATGTTAGGAATGGTAAATGCAGTTCTGTGATGAGTAATATTTATGCATGTACTTAACAGCCGGCGTCATCTCTGACCATTATTTTTGTCCAGGACATGTGTACGCGTGCAATAAAATTGTGTCAACACCACAAAGTCTGTGGCATATCAGAATTTCCATATTGTGAGATCATCCAATATGCAGCTGTGTGATCATACATTGTTTGAATAGAATCCTCCTGACAGCCATGCTAAATACATATTTAGGTAGATGTTCTATTTTTGTTGGTTGGGAGGGGGAAGCATATAGCGTTAAGTAAATGCCGTAAATCTAAGGAATCATTAACTCGATGACTTGGTCAATAGTCCAACACGACGAAAACAACAAAACCGTTGAACCACTGTATGTACATGTAGGCCGAGGGTTTTAAGCCAACGTAGCAGATTGTATCAATAATTATTGATTCAAGTGTGGCAATTAATGGACGAATGCCATTGATTCAACACTTGCACAGGTTACAATAATATCTGATAGTGGATCGACTCGTCGTCATTATTTATATGTATTAACCTCGGTGGGCAAGCAAAGAGTGGGGGTTTCCACCAAGTTGTTTTGCTGGTTGGCACACAATAACCCACCAGACGTGGTTTAAGTTAACCCTTTTCTTCCACCTGAGAACTTGACTCTTCATTATTCACAAAATTACCAAGTTGCCAATTCGAAGGTTACTTTGATACGTAAATATGTATGCTGGCTCAACTTGCTCAGGTTTTCCTGCTTCTATCATCACGTTCACCACCATCATCAGTTTGCGATCAACTATCGGTTGTTGGATAGGGAGATGAATTAAACTGTTTATCGAGTTTTACAAGCACGTGCAACTCGAGTATTTTGATTGCATAATTTTTAATCCTAGTTCAGGTGTCAGTTTTAAGGACGTCCGATTTTCATTCGGCTTTTGATGGGTATTAAACTTGCATGCACAAATGGAATCACAAAATTTTCTAGGCTGGCAAACTTACAGCGCAACTGAAAATGTTCGTGGTGAATTGTAAATGCAGGGAATTAAGTCCAGTCATATTTAGCCGAAAAAAATGAGCATATACAGACAGACATACATATTTTAACGATAGACACTGATCTGATTTCGACATGTAACACATTGCACGTAGTTGAAATCATTATATTGTCTTGCCTATCACTCCAGTCCACTAAAGAAAGTCAAAACCAGTGACTTGTACGTATTTTTTATGCCAAAAAACAGCTAGTGGTGTGGTGGATATACTGCATGCGGATTATTCCATTTCGTGGATTATTCCCACGATCAGAAATGTACACACGCCTTTTTAGGCAGCTCATTAGATTGTGGGTTTTTTACTGGCGTAGATTTAGAGACGAGCCTGCTGGACTTGTTGCCATTCACCCCAATAAGCAAACCAATGTAATAATTAGTTTGCTCATCCTTCATTATTTGATTCTATTCCAACTATTCTACATACTTGGGGCAGTAGTTATGCACAAATGTGGAGGTGGTTAAAAGGTAAACGTGCGGATACATCCGGATATAATAAATTGAGGAAACGGCCTTCAGCCTGAAGCCACGCCGATGCAACACATAATGACCACGACATGTCTACCACATCAGCCAGCCTGCATATATTTCCTTCCTGTCCTGGTCAACGCAAAAATTATGGCATGAAATGAACCAAAGTTTGGACATTGGTCATGGTATTTTTTTATGCGAATTCTACATCTAGTTCCTAGCTTTGCTTCGTCACTATGTGCTACGTAAAAGCCAGAGAAAAACAGCATCAAAAAGTTGATCTTGTGCGACGAGTATTTAGTAAATAAATAGGAAGAGACGATGCAAAAGTCAAGTGCATAAGCGGAAGCGATTCATTTCTGTATTATTTCATCTGTTTCGTTCCAACTTAAGTCGCAAATGTGCATACTCTCTGACGACAGTGACTTGTAAGATAAATAAGTAAGTAATGATGACGTGCAAATCTTTGCGAATAATTTTCCTTTCACTCGGAGATTAGATTGCAATTTATTAAATCGAATTTTTATCAGAGTGAAGGCTAAGTGTGTGGTTGGTTGGTAGGCATTATTCGTGTCATTCTTGATCTACACAAACATTGCTCTCTCTTTCCTTCGACGATAAATAATTTGCTGCTTCATTGACGAGGGAATGGCTTGCAATTTCGTAAACCAATTTGCATTTAAATTATATTTGTCGCTCTGTCCGTTTGGGGACTCCCTCGCATCATCGCAATCAATGCATTCATTCATTTACTACCAGAGTTGGTGGGTGGTGTAAATGGGATCGATGATGAGGCATCATCCACAAGTAAGAGCAGATCGTGGAGGGTGGGTGGGTGGGTGGTTGGCGGAAGGAAGTGAAGGAGAGCAACTTTGGTCCATTGTCTTTGTATCGTACGGTGAATGTCCACCAGACGTTGTGGCATTTCTGCATGTCTTCAATCCAAGAGTACGTATTCTTGAGTCGATGATTCTTGTTTGAATGCACCAACCAAGCGAAACAACAAGAACAAGTCCACACTGCTTGCAAGCAGATGGAAACCAGATTAGCAGAAAAATATCGCCTCCTCGAGAGATGTTATTTGGCAAATTGAATAATTTCACCTTCACCAACCAAACTTCATGCATACCTAAATACCTGGTTGTATAAGCATGTACATACGTAAGTAAGTAAGTACTAGCTAACGTACTTACGCATATAACAGGTTGATGATTTTTAGTTGTGGTGATGCACATATCATTTTCCCTCTTTGTTTCTCTCTCTTGATCTCAGCATTCGCACGGAATGGATTCGAGTCTAATATATTATGCAGTTCATAATAATATGCATAAGCGCACCTTTAAAGGAAAGAATGCGAGTATATATGTACGATTTGGCAACAAACTATTCTTAATTCATTCACGATAGCTACATCCCATCGCTGCTGCTGCTGCGGTTAGTTAGATGCATGCGATTGCAATGTAACAAGAAATCTGAGGAGGAAACTCAATGAGCAGAATTCCCCTTGATTGGTTTAAGGAATAAAAGATATGGATAAGTGATAATAAGTGCTGCTTCATTTTTTTGGATGGCTGATGGATGGAAAGGAAATCCCATAAGAAATTAGTAGTAAAATACCCCATCCACGTCCAGGTGTCATTTAAGAGGAACAGCTTCTCTCTTGCATCCTCACTGAATACGTGAATATGGGGAAGGAAGATTGGAAATTAGAATCACGTGCCTTCTAGAACAGTTGAAAATTTATTAATTAATATTCACCACCAACTCTGAATCTGTTTTCTAAAATTCTAAAAATACTTTATGCGCAGAGCAGGGTTATACTGTCAAAAATCTTGTTAAAACTGGGATTAAGCGGTCACTCAGTCATTTCATTGTATGGAGTCGTAGCTTGAATAAGTTTGGCGTGGTTTGAGATATTCTGCGTATTTTACCATATGCAGTCAGTTATCTAGGACCCACCAGAAGCCGAATATTGTCAGAATCGGTGTTCCACTTTCTCGACTCTTTATCGAATTTATGATAATCAAACAGAGTCAATATTAAGCACGGTCGAGAATTGAGGGTCAAACGTCGATTTTGATTAGGTTGGAAAGTTTTTGCCAGGTTTCTGACCTCCATTTTATTATCCTGCTCCCGTGCATGCAGGAGAATAATAATGGAGCTTCTGACTGACTTAATAATATAGCACATTAGTCCACGTACATATAAAAATACATACATAAGCAAGCGTGAGAAGTTGAAAAGTGCTGTTGTTGAGCCACTTTATCTTTAGGCATACATCTGCTTGCGAATAGTGACGTCGAGGCACAAGTAAAAGTCGTGCATCCAGTAATTACTGAATTCCACATTTGAATTTAGATCCAGATCCTCTTCAAATTCGCGTATAGTTTATTTAGATCCATTTTTTACAGAGTCCGAAATAATGGGTGGATGGTGAGCTACATAGTAAAGAACGCCTACTGGGAGTGGATGAGGAATGTCATGACATAACACACATAGAAATCTTTGAATTGCAAAGAACGACCTGTAGCATAGGTTGGCTGGCAGTGTTATCTTCCACTTCGTGAAGATCACAGGGAATTTCGCATTCCTCTCATCCAACGTGCTATCCCATCGTCGTCATATTCATCTCCTCTTTTTCAGTCAGTCAGTCAGGCCATCCCAAGCCAAAATTCCACACGTCCCAACTTCCACTATCTCAATAATTTGAATAGGCCGATCAGTTTGCATCAGTCCTCAGCCATTTAAACACACCATCCATTACAACATATTATAATACGTACGCTGCTAAATAACGACGAATGTGGGCCTGAGCTGGAACCTGTTTTTTATGCATTCGACGAGCACAGCTTCAGAGAATCTTTTTAGTCTTGTGGTGAAGCCGGTCGGGGTACGTTGTCGTCTCACCTCACCTCTCGTTTTCTTGTATCACTTACCATCAATACTAAATGGCAGTTTAATAACTAACTGTTCAAGTAATTCGTTAAAAACACCACCACGACGAACGACCATCATATTTCTTCAACCTGTTACTTGGTGCAAATTCAGCTTTGAAAGTTGATTTGAGGAATTTGGAAAGTATTTGTGTTTTTCGAGTTGTTGTGTTCTCTCCTTTTTTGTGATTTATTGAACATGTACGCAACATAGTACAATCTTTCAACTAGTATTGCAAACGACAAGTGAAACTGTGATGCCTTTGTGACCAAATTCACTAAAGTCTTCACGCTCTGGATTAAAGTTTGGAAAAGTTGGTCTTGCTCTTGGTCAACCTTGAGGATCACATCATTTACTAGAAGAAAAGCAACGACTGAGATTTTGAGTGTGGTACACTCGACCTGATTGTGAATTTAGGAGCATCAGTGTGATATTATTGTGACAGACTTGAAAATGCATCTCAAAGTGTTGATGATGAACTTTACTTTCCCTCAACCCATCAAAAGGCGACGGGCAAGTTTCAACATAAGTTGTGCTCAGGAGGCTTTAATTGAGGTACTGCAAACCAAGAATGTGCATTTACTATTTCATACTTTTATTAGCAAGACGAATACCTATGCTGTTTAAATAATCCTCTTGTGTAACACGCCTCGACTCTCATTACGATTCATTGTGAAAGACAAATCTTTTTAAGCTCAGGTGAGCCATGACGTGACGCCATGGCGCCACGCCATGGCGTCAAATATGAGTTTTACACGGAAATACGAATGAATCCTTCACCTGGGGTCCTAGTAGATTCTAAAAAACATAGTGGGTACCCTGGACTCAAACGACAGGTCGTGAGTGTCCCTTGTAAGACCACTTTATCTGCATTTATCTATCTGCTGATAATTTCCCTCTCATGCCCAATGTTTGATTGATGATAACAGGGACGCACTATTAATTTTGCATGTCAGATTATTTAACCTGTTGAACTGATAATTGAGATAAAATGCTGAGAATTTTTTAGCCTTAACAACTTGTGGTGATGATCTTTGCCTTGTTGTGTGTGTTGCAATTTGGGTATGACATGTCATGATCACCTATTATCTCACACTTTAGATTAGCGAATCTTTGTTGTCAAATTATCGTGTCATTCTCACTCGGGGATCAGGTCCCATGTACTAAATGCATGTTCGTGGGACTAGAGTGAGTGAAGACGAAGAAGAACAATGCCGACTTATTACGGATTGCATTTTTTGTGTGGGGGCAGTTCAAGGTGATTTGAATTTATACGAGAGCAAGAAACCAGCTCTGTCCAGAACAGCCTTGTTAGCACGGGGCCAATAAGCAACGATTTTTAATAAGTACAACAAGCAATTCTCAAAGAATGTATGTAGATCACCGCATGAATTCACATGCACATGACAAATGATGAATAATCAATGACTGCACTAGAGGTACGTGTACGTCACATAAATTGCATAATGTTAAATTATAGTAAAGTTTAATTGTGAACTTAATTTCGTTCTCTGGCATAATTTAGGATAGTAAAGTGTAGTACAGGCTGAAATTCATCTACACTTTTAGACCTCACTGGCACCACAGATTCGTCTGATTATTTAATTTTGAGACCTTGACATGTGAGCAATTCACAGCACAGGATGCATCCCATACACTTCAGCAGAGCCATTATCGTTTAATTGATGTCTGCCAATAGATGAATGGGTTTCCTCTTTTGTCTGGGATGCCGATTTAATTTTTTATTGACAGCTTATGTGTGTGATGCCTAAACTTTTATTTCATGCGTGTTTGCACAAGACATTCCTATTTTATTTCATTCAAGTGTTTCGATTTAGATAGCGTGCATGAGTACAGAATCCGAAAAAATCCATAATTTTAACAAAGGAATACTTTTTTCAGGAAAGTGATGCTTTGACCTCTTCCCCTCGTTCCAGTGGGAGGTTTCGCAGCAAAGATGGCTTCGAAAAAGCAGGACTTACCGGACTACGGAACATAGGAAACACGGTAAGATTATATAAATAATATGGATGATTCGTTTGGTTGATAAATTCGAATAAAACAATAATCTTGTTTTATTTTCTTAGTGTTTCATGAACACGGTCCTTCAGTGCTTAAGCAACACTAGACCTCTTCTCGAGTACGTTATGGGACATTACGACTCGGACATAAATCGATCGACGTCTGGGATGAAGGGCGCCCTAATGCGAGGTAATTATTCCTAATCCTCCGATGCCAAAGTGTAGTTAACCTAGAGTTAAGTAAATCTAATATTTTTGCACCACTCTCATCTTCCATAGCATTTGGAGAGCTCATTCACGAACTGTGGCGAGATCAGCGCGTGGTTGACACGTCCGCCTTCAAAGATTCGATTCAAAGATTTGCTCCCCGATTCATGGGATACAGGTAAGCTACTTGACGTTATCAGAGTGAATAAATGCCAATCACTCGCATCAATAGTGCGAGTTTATCCGGCTGCTGCTGCCAAAAATGATGATAACAAAATATAAAAAATTTCAGTCAGCAAGATGCTCAGGAATTCCTTCGATATTTGTTGGAAGGGCTGCACGAAGATGTCAATCGCGTCACGGCCAAACCCACACCCATCACCACAGACATTGACGAGTCCTTGAGGTGCGTAGGCCCCACAACAATCTAAAATTATAATAATAATTAATCATATTTGAGAGATATTTAAATACTGATTTTGTCCAACTATTTGTAGTGATGGTGAGAAAGCCACCGAATCCTGGAGGCGGTACATGCGCTACGAAAGTAGTCGAATCGTAGACATGTTCGTCGGGCAATTCAAGTCGACCTTAAAGTGCACCGTGTGTGGCCACTGCTCCGTGACCTTTGACCCATTTTGGGATCTATCACTCCCAATTCCCAGTCGATCCTCGACCGTTCGACTCTCCCAGTGTTTCGAACTCCTCACAAAGGAGGAAGTCCTTGATGGGGAGGAAAAGCCAACCTGCGCCAAGTGTCAGTGTCGCCGCAAGTGCACAAAGAGCTTGGCAATCCAAAAGTTTCCCAAAATTCTTGTCGTCCACTTGAAACGCTTCTCGCTGGCGGAGAGGTACCGTGGCAAACTTAGCACTCTAGTCGACTATCCGTTGAACGGACTTGACCTGACACCGTTCTCGTCGACGAGGGGAAATGTGGGAGCTTATAACTTGTACGGTGTCGCCAACCACTCGGGGTCAACCTATTCTGGTCACTACATCGCCTACTGTAAACATCCCTACTCGAACGAGTGGCATTGCTATAACGATTCGAGGTATTTTTTTTTACGTAATCAAGTAATAGTTGTCACATCGTCGTTAATTTGATTCTGAACAATGTGTTCTTTGTGTTGAAGGGTCTCCCCCATCAGTTCTCACAGCGTTGTTTCGCCCGAGGGATACGTCCTCTTTTACGAGCAAGTTGGACAGTCGTCACTTCTGTAACGTCAAACACTAGCCTGGAATTCAATATATAGTTACGGCGATGAATGGGGTGGTGCTGCTGCCCGCAAGACAATTTAACGTACTTGCCTCCCCTTACGCACACATACTCTTAATTTACATATGAAAACCTGCACAGAGTTTTACTCATGTGTCCATTTGGAATCCATTATTAGTCTCACTCTCTCCTCTGGACATTTTCAGTACTTGCCATAAGATTTTGTCACGTCTCACTCGCTATATGTAGGTTTACATTAAAAAAGTGGTTATATAATCTGCTCATACTATAATCCACCATTTACTCATTTTATTCTTCGACACGATAAGCCACCCACAAAAATAATTACCCTCCCGCTCTTTTAAATTTGTAGACAAGTTTTCTCTAAAAATAAGTTTATTACACTTTACACTTGCATGCTTCCAGTTTTTTTCTTATCGTCGTATCGCAAATGGTTATCACTGTAAAATAACAGCCGTCACGCTGGCGGTGGCGTCACTTAATTTATTGCCACAACATTGTCTGAAGATATGTATGGGCAGATGCATGCACATGTTGTACTTGAATGATGGAGAAAGCTAGGAAATGTATGATGATTATTGATGATGAACTTACCGTGTGTGCTAAACTAAGACTTTAACTATGCCATCAACAATACATACTTAAGTGTTAATTGATTAATGTGTTCCGTAAATCCTATATCTTTAAATGTATCCGATCTGCTGGTGGATGATGATCTTCCTTCAAGAAAGTAATAAGATTTTAATTGATAGAGTTATCGCCGGGGTGAATGGAAGACTGATCATTGAACTAATTTATTTATGTTTTTGAACTCACAATAATCAAGATAACTAGTGAGAACCACCACGAATACCTTGCACTATATGCTAATTATTTAGATAGCTATAATATTACATGTATACGTAGCTCACAGTTGTCTAATATGTAATAGAAAATAACGTCTATTTCGGAAGATGTGTCCAGTACATGAAAACATAAAGGCAGCTCAATACGCCAACTAATTATTCACTCTCAAATTGTCAGCAGAGTTATAAATTATTATTAAATATTACGTAAATAAATACGTCTATAGTGTAAAATCGATAGTTTTCAATATGTACTCAAACGCCTGATTTTGGCGAAGATCACATAATATTTATCAGACAGATTTATATATACGATAACAACAATGTGCCGTGATTGTAGCGGATGTACCTTCAAATAAACTAATTAATTATTAATTAATACATACATGTCCTTATTACAGACACGAATAAATAATATATTATACAAAGTCTAATCAATATATGTAGCTGCATGTGTAGCTTAACATATGTACCACTCTGTTAACCCACCATTGTAAGGATTTCACTAAACAGCAGGATAACGTTTTATGTACCTCCACGTTTTATGTTCACTCGTGATGATATCCGCCAAGTCAATATGATATTTGATTGTCGAAAATATGAGAACGAAACAGAATAAATTTTTAACTAAGATTCTGAATTGTCGCATTTTATTTATGAAAAAAGTGTGCATGTGTACAGTTACATCAAGCAATGTAAGCATCTTTATCCCATTGTTACAGGAGACACATTTTTGTGACAACGAGCAGGAAAGGTAAGGAGATGATGGATAAAGTGAATGCAGAAGAGGATCCCGATGACCCAAGTTGATTTTTTCGACCCCGTCGTTCCCCACATTTTTGGTCAATCGGCTTCACGTACGGTTCAAATTTTGGATACGACACGGAGTAATCCTGAAGAAAAGTAATAATTGCGCATTTCAAGAATTAATGATTGCACTTATTTTTTAACGATCATAAACATAAATTACTTCAAGAGGGATTCGTTTAAAGTGATGTCCAGTGCAGAAAGTGTCATACTTTCCTTCCCACCATTTTTTCCATACGGTTTTCGTCAATTCATTGTCGTTCCTCTGCCACCTGTAAGAATTTACAAGACGCATTTCATAATCTTGTCCAAGTTTTCCGTATAGTTTTTTTTATTACGGAAGATTTTCTACGAAATCCGCTACACTTGTCCTTCGATACTGCGAGGGTTCTGCCACGTCCAACAAGTCAAAAATATATTGGGGCCCGTTACTGTTATTTTTCAGAACGTAGGCATCATCTCCTGGGTCGTACATTTGATTTGGTCTGCACAAAAGGATAAGGACTTAATTATTATCAGGATATTTTCGGGGCATATGTAAACTTATGATGTATGGTTGCATAGAAAAATTTGGTCTACTTTGGTTTGTAAGGTAACTGCAATCTTTCCAAAACTTCGCCCTCGACCTCTCGAATTCCTAGGGCGTTGAAAAAGTTGTCAAAATCATACTGAGTTTTGCACAGAGCGAGTTGGACCCTCGGATAGATGTAGACGTAGCCTTGGCACATTTCGTCCTTCGTGCTCGTCCCCCCCTTTACGCAGACAAATCAGTCAATATTAAAGTCTCCCACATAAATTTGAATATTGATCCTTACATAAGTAATTTTACGCCTTCCCGTCGTATCAAATTCGCATTCCGTGAGGATTATATCTCCCGGATAGAGTTTCCTTGCCGGAGACACGATCCGGCTTTGTTGGTAATTGAAATCATAGTGATCATCCTACACCAAATTCATGCATTAATAAACAAATTTGAATATATATGCCTAATAAAAGGTCCGTAATTAACATGACTTGTTGCAACCTCACCTGAGCAAGTGGCTCAAGTTCTTGCCCATTGCGAATGTGACGAATTTTGATTTTCCTGGCGGTGAGGTGAGCGTGGAGGGTGGCGTGAGTGACGGTGACTCCTTCGGGGGGAAATGCTTTCTGGGTGCATTCGGACGTGCAGAAAGCAACATTTTTGAACCCATTGTAGCCTGGAGGAAGGAGGTGGAAGCCGTGGGAAAACCTCGTGTGAATCGTCACTGCCCCAATGTCGTTAGGCCTCGGCTTATCAGTCACAAAGATCCTCACGCCCGAGCTGTCTTCAACTGCGAGAGACAGGAAATGGGTGAGCGGATTGAAAAAATGCAACTCTAGTGGTTACATGCACATTGACATACATACATATATACAAGTTATGTAAATGAGGAATAATTTAATTACACTGTATTTTCTTTTCGTTGTTGTAATGGATTTCCAACATGAAATACGTTGTCCCATTGTTGTGCTCGCCTAAGCAAATACATTAAATGAGTGGTCCACACTTTTCGATTTTAATGGGAATAATGGACATCAATATCTCTTTACCCAAGGGAATTCCTCCTTCTTCTGGCAGCAAGAGTCCCTCTGCACCAGCCACCCACACAAAGGGCACCGTCATGCAGTACTGCCCCCACTCTGGAGGCATATTCTTCTGATAACAGTGACCCCCAGGATGGTCCAAGTACTTTTCGAATACTGCCTCTGGACCACCATCACTCTGGGGGACGTTACACTCGAAAAAGTTGATGTGGTGGACCCAGTCCTTGTTGGTTGGTTCAATCAGGGTTCGGAACTAAGGATGCGTTATGAATTGTGTAACGACAGTTAACAGTGCATGAAACGTAGGAATTTCGTGCTTCCTCTGGCTCACCCCAATAATCTGATGCTTAACATCGTACACGTGCGGGGATTTGACAATTTTGCAATAGTACGTCGTGTCCGAGTCGTCAGGAACAATTACCCGATTCATTTGGACATCCCAGTGTTTGACGTGAGGGTCGGAGTGATCATCGTCATCGGGAAACTTTTGAAGATGGGTGTCCACCTATTGTGGCCAAATCGTATATCAAATCACCAGATATATGCATCTGGGCTTAAGGAGACAATTTCGGCGAGTGGAGAGCATTGCTTTTCCGTCTCCAATTAATTTTGATAAATATGCATGCATAACAAAATGTCTTTTAAGTTTGGCTTTACTGTTCATCTACTTCATCTCTTCAGTTATTTTGCAGTAAATAAATTTAACGACATATGAAATTGTGTAAAATGCATACTTAAACAGTAACTTTTCTCACCTTGAGAAATACGCTCCTCCCTCCGCGGAAGTCTGGGCCGTGATAATTTGATTGAAATGATCCATCAGTGAAAATTTGGGGGTCTTCGGGGCTCGTGGCCCAAATTAGACGAACGGTGTCCTCCTACGTTCATACATTAACTTATATTCCGTCATTCGTCGAGGTCTTGTCTTAATCTTGGGGTTTAATGGCTTTTGAATAGCGTTCTATATTTCAGCCGGCGTGAAATAAATATGTGTTCCTACCGTAATTTCAAAGTCATGCTTGTCATCACAAGTATTCCACGGTCGACTGAACCTTACGGTCGTCCCGTGTTGAGTTTCCTCAGCCGATATCAATTCGTAATTGCTAACATCATCCTCAATCGGCATCGAGTTGCCTACAGCGTGCAAATCCTGCGCACGTACGTCATAAATTAGTTGTTGATATAGAACTTTAATCACACACCAAGCAACAATTTCATCGCATCAATTTCACAACAACTTGTACCCACTCCAATCAGAGCGAGGAAAAAGTGATGAATAAATCGGGCATCATCACATAACGCAGTCATTCTTATGTACATATTTACGTAGTTAATGGAAATAATACCTTGATGTGAGCTTTGCCCTCACCATCGACCCAAGCCATGACAATGTCGGAGCCCCTCATCCCCCCGTTTGGAGAAAATCCGATGGCCACGTATCCAGTTGTGGGAGCACTGATTTCCATGACCAGCTTGTCCTCGTCCTCATTATTGAATCGGACAGTGAATTTGTCGTTTAAAGTTAGGTCACGAGTCCAGACGATGGGGCCTTTTGGATCGGATGACGACGAAACCAAAGTTCCCAAATGGAGGGTGCAAAGAAAAATGAAAAACCTTCTCATCATGATGCGATTTTCCGTGCTTGTGAAGCTGGAAGACACAGCGAAAGACTGACTACATGAGAATTTGTTATCCGTTTGCAGATTTCTCACACACTCTCTCAGAGCATTTTGCAGAAAGCGATACACTATTATGGACTCCAGGATGATGCATGAATGGGATACACGCATTACATATGTACCTATATGACTAGGGCTAGTATCTTGCTAGTATCCTGCAAAAGTTGCACCATGTAAACCTAAGTTAACCATCGCTTTGTTTAGAAAAGGTAAAATTCTGTGAAAAAAATCCCACAGTTTTCCACTTGCTTCATATCATTTCATGTCAGTCCCACGGATAATCAGTCAGCAGCAAAGCAACCGGGTTGGATTATAGCGTCCTTTATGTTGGTAGAAACAACTTTGACAGGTTCCGTAAATATTTTTGTACGACGACTCGGCATACGGCAAATAGGAGGCTTTTCCAATTTGGCAAAAAAACAATGCGCGATTTTTACTCTGGCTTTGTTACAAGTGATGTCCACGATTTTATTACACATTAACTCAGCAGTGGTAGTGGCCTGTCGGAATAGTTTCAATATAGTCACGCTATGCACTTAATTGGATTCCACCACCACCACCAGTTCGACTGGAAATGAAATTGAAGTGATGGACTGACGGGTACCTGCTCAGTTGATAATGGAGTCATTATTATGTGCCATGTTAATGAGCTAAATAAATAAAGCTGCTGGTGCGTGATGTCTTCAATTGTGCTAGATTCTCTAAGATGGTATCAAAGCGTTATAATAGGTATCTCCAGCGCGTGTACATCGCATTTCAATATTTCATCTGCCCATCGATGTCAAATGGTCGAAAAAATGTGATACGGATGAAATATCCAACTTTATGCTCGTTATTTTATTCAGTAAATCATGCCAAGTTGATGAGACTCTGGAAGTACTTAAATAAAGAACGCTTGTTCATGCAGTTTCACCTTTCACCTTTTATTTATCTTAATGGGCGTGCATATATAGGTACATAGATTATATCACATACATACCCTCGCCTAAGTCTTAGAAACGTGAATGATATTTTGCAAAAAAAGCTCAGCCATTTTTTGCATTGGTTGTGAAATCAGTACGAAATTTGCATGAGGACAATGACAAATTCTGAAACTCTGAAGAGAAATTCGAGACAGGTTTGTCTCTCCATGTTGAAGTAGCGACCACATCTGAAATCTAGAAGCCGACAGGACTTGATGCGATACCAGTACAGCTCATACGACTGCTTCCCCTTCGGAATGTAACGCAACCCCTCCATCCAACTGTCAGTCAATGAAAATGCCAATGAATAATATTTTTGTTTTAAATTATTTAATTATTGCAAGTAATAAAATTTACCTATCGATGAAAGAGTCGGAGCGATGGTCCAAGTTGCCCATGGCGGGGAAGAAGGTTAGCATTCTCATGAGGAAGAGGGTGATAAGTACCATGTACAGGGTCACCCCACCGGGCGACATTGAGGAAAAGTACTGAATCACATTGAACCCTTGAATGGTGAGCATGAGCAAGTAGGCGAACTGGTGGCCGGGAATCATTCTCGCGAAACTGTGGTTGAAGGCTTCAATCAAACTTTCGACGCGAAGATAGCCCTCCAACCCGAACTCAATGTCGACCAAATTTTGGATTATTTTACTCATTTCCGTTTTGGGGAAAAATTCTTGGAGATCTTCTGCCCCTTGACCGAAAAGAGCACTTCCCTTCCGGTTGGCCTTGTCGAGAATGGCGCTGGCTGGGTGACTCCTCTCGTCCGCGTCAACCGTGGCGACGCTTCGATTATTGTTGTTGATGAGATCCGTCACTGGGACGTGATCACAAGTCCTAAACGTAAAATGGATAAGACAGCTCACAAAACTATAAAATAATAGCAAACGAAGGAAAATGTAAACGAAAACTCAGTGACGCCTTACCAGCGTGTCATCACCACGCCGCCTTTGTAGCTCAGAGTTTCAAGAATGTGACCCACAGAGCTGAAAATCTTTATGTTTAGTAACTGCTTATGGATAGTAACAAACAACAAATCAGAAACTAATTTTACCTGGACATGACCGTGGTGAGCACTTCAATAGCGTAGACGTTACTCCAAATTATGCTATAGATCCAGAGTTGATAGACAACTGTGATATGGCGAGATTATAATACAACACATAATGTACATAAGAGCATAGTTTTTATGAAGTTTTTATGAATTTCGTCACGAAAAGGCATACCGCTCAAGTAGAGGAATACTTCCGAATCCATCTCGGCCAGGGAGTAGAGATAGGCGTGGGACTTTGGGGCCATGTACGAATGACACCCCACCGCAACAGCCCCAATCAACCCAATGAACATGTAGTACTTTGAAATGAAGGAGAACCGATCCTTCTGTTTGAAGTGACACGTGGACATGGTGGGAGATTGTCTGTGCTTCCCAAGCCCACGAAATGTCGACCCTGCATTACATATGTACAAGCCAGTCAGGAATAATGTGAGATGCCGAATTATTGGTATAATAAGTGCCTGAGCACTTGCCAATTATCCTCCTCTCGAGATGACACCATTCATCCACGACGCCCGCAAAGTGTCGCTCTTCCCCCACAGATTTGAGATAGTTCGCAATGGGGAGTGTGGCCAAGAGCATCCAGGAAACCTGTGAAATGATGACCTCCAAGTCCAGCCCTTCCATGAAGGCGAAAAAGAGTTGGAAAAGTTGGAAAAAGGCGTGGAAGGTGGCCCCCGCAAAGTTGATGATGTACAACCAGTAGTACGGCCCCGAGGTGCATAGTTTGAGGCGTCTTGAGTGACCCTCCAAGTTGTACGGAAACGCTCCAAAGGTTTTTACGATTGAGAAATATGAGACATACGTTCCGTACGTGTCGCCCTCCATGTTGAAAAAAATTGTCGTGATTATTCTAAACTTCTCCTGTTAGTTGGAGTTGGGAGCAGTCCAGTGTAGTAGTTGTTGCGTCGACTAGTGCATGCAAATGCCACTAATCAGAAATGTGGACTATTTTTGAGACAACAACTGCGATAACTGCGTAACCTTTCTTCCTTGATGTATTATAAATGTGGAGCATGTTTTACCACCAGAATCACCTACCTCTTAATGAAAATCTAAATTTTAAGACCACCACTGCCGCGGCTAAACAAGCCACCTGCTATTTTGCCATTTTAAAATTTAATGCATCAATCCATGAACACTTCTAAGAAAGAACTATGCTTCCCTTCCGTGGTGATGGATGACATGCAATTTTTATCGGCCATTTATCACTCACACAAGTGCTCGATTACGCTATTCACCAACGTTTGAACTATGCACTTATAGTACTTCTGTTAACTCGACTGCCAAGAAGGTGAGAATGTTGAAGCGCAATCAAAAACATAATTAAGGTTTATACACACACTTCTTATCGTTGTTTTTTTTTGTCGCTATATGCGTATATAGTCTGCTGATTATAGAACGGAAGAACACCAACATATATAGTGTCCAGCAGTTTATAAGCTAAATACATCCATGAATATTTGGTATTCTTCAGAAAGACGCAAAACAATCTTAATTGCTTTAACAGGACAATAAAAATCCGTTGTATTAAAAAATGCACGAAATGGAGTTAGTAAAATTACATGTTATTTCGGTTTCGATATACGGTACAGTTTAAATACATAGGTTTGAAATAGTACAATTTTTAATGTGATAAAATACTCGTAGATTTTGGTAGTTGATTACTTTACTCAATTTGGGACCGATATAGGGAGGGATACTGTTGAATTATTGTGAGTGTTGCCATCATGTTCGCTCGGACAATGTTCAACAACCGAGAAATCTTAAACAGGTGTTGGACTACTTTTACAGCGAAAATGGTAAAACCTTTCTTTAGGGCAGAGAGGAGGATTATCTAGTTTTTTCTGGCCCATAATACTTCTTTGAACAAACCCATAATTGAATAATAATAAATTCTGGAGGAGCTTGAAAGCAGTAGTAACCTATACATATGTAGTACTAACAACTCGGATGGGATATTGAAATATATATGTATATACATATGTACGTTATACAAACTTTATACGGAGTTGACAAGAGATCCAACTATATGCTATGGTTAAAAACGAATTGTATAAAATTAGAATAGGGAATGAAATTAAAGTAAAATATAACTGACCACGTTAAATCAAGCACCAGACATGAACTTTCAAACTTTACAATCTGTGATCAACTCAAACAATATGCAACAGATCCAACAAGTATGATGCCCTAAATTAAAATTTCAATAAACTTTAAATTATAAGTTACTAATAGTGTGTACGACAAGGCTTCTTGGTTAACCTTGCTTATTCCCATTTGGAAAAGTACTCTTTAAAAATTGTGGACGAAAAGGAGAACAGGGCAGAGGAGTGACAATCGTGGGTGAGGAGATTGTCTTGTATGTAGGAGGGTACGGTTTGAAGATGAGGTTTGCACTATTACCACTCTGCATCTCCATTGGCTTTTTGGAACACATAATCTTTTCCGTTGAGGTTCATAATTCCATCTTTTAGATGAAACTTCCATTTATTTCTCGTTCTGGTAATCTGACATAAAAAACGAAATTAAGTGACGATCAAACACAAAAACATTAGTTTAATTTAATGGATTGATTAATATGCTAGCCAACCTTATCATACTGGCACACGACAACGTTTTCAATGTCGTAAAGTTTTTCTGTGGGATCGTCATTGTCTGATACATCGTCCCCTGAATTTAAAGGCTCCTGTAAAACAAATCCAACATCATTATAACTCACCAAGCTAGATAAATCATACTTAAATATATAAATGTACTTACCTCATCCTGAGTCTCCTCTTCCTCCTGTTGTTCTTCCTCTTCATCATCCTTATCATCGTTGTCATCGTCCTCATTTTCATCATCATCATCGTCGTCGTCATCACTTGACGTATCTCCTCCACCATCAATTTGAGGTATAGCATTGGTCATAATAGTTGGAAGTCTGTTGGGTTGGATGGGCCTCCCCAAAGAGAAGCCGGCATTCAACAAAGCCTGGTTAACTTGACCTTGGAGCGATGCAGCGGCCAATTCCGAAGGTAATGATAAAGTTCCTTGAATAGCGGGAAGCGATAAAATATCCTAAAAAATTCAAGACAATTAATGACGACCGTAATTACTAGAAAACCATAAATCAAACAATACGCTGTTCTGTCTGGGTTATAAATCCACACAAACCTGCAACTTATTAGAATGAATACAGGCCGCAGGAACATGGATGGTTATGGTCCGTTGAAACCCTGATGAGTCAGCCGGACCTCGAGGCATGGTTATCTGAATTGGAACAAGGGCTTGAGGGTCAGCAGACACCATTGGGAGTGGCTGAGGATGATGTGGAGCAGTCGCCGCAGGAAGAGGAGGAACGCTATTAGAGTTTGAATTCGACGATTGTGCATGAGAATTGTTGGAGCTGCTGTGACCACCTCCTGATCAATAAAATACAGGTTAGCTATCCATCAGAGCAACGGTACAGCTGAAACGTAAGGGCATAAGACATATAGCGAATTGTTGGTTGTACCTTTGGCTTTTCCATTAGCTGTGCTTGGACCTTGTGAGTCTGTCGAATCAATGGCTCGCGTCGCAACTAATTTGGACTCCCACAACATACGCAACTCCTGTTGGACCTGTTCATCTACCCCTTCGTCCAGAAAGGCCTCTCGAGTGCCACTTATCACGTCATCTATGACACTCTGGTACAGCTTATTCTGAAAAAAGTAATGGGAACCAATTCATCATTTAATGTCCTGCATCATTCATTAAATCATTTCTATTTCTGACTGACAGCAGGAGTTCATATGCATGCGTCAGTCAGTAGTCAGAGACATACTCTGTCCACCAGGGTGTTTGAACCCAGTTGACAATTACTCGTGAAAGTTTAATTGAAGCAGCAGACTAGCAGATGATATTATCATTAAATGCCGAATACCGCACATTTGAATCCTTTATTCCCTTCCTTTCATCGCAACATGAAATGAAATTAACTATGAACTGAATGAGCAAGTACCTACCAATTTCTTATTGCATAATAACGAAGAAACGTCATGAAAGCCAGTTCTGAAACCGGCCAGCAACAACTCAAAATCTGGAGAATGGCTAGATGTACTGTACAACGCTACCCTACTAGAACTTTTATTATCATTCCATATGATCTGAATCCAGCAATAAAACACCCTAAAAACAAGATCCACTAATAACCGATCGCAGAAAAATGACCTATCGCAGCAGTGAGCAATGTTTAAATTATTTATTTCCTAATTCATCCCACTTTGGGATAAACAAAAGGAAATAATGCCAGTCTCATCCTGTGTGATTTCATAGATAAGTACGGGTATCCTGCCATTATGTGGGTGCTCCTCCATGGAGTGAGTGAATGCTCCCCCGAAATAATTTTTGAACTTTTTGTCTGCTCATAATTTTGCCAGAAAAAGGGGGACATTTGTGGCGAAATGTTTACTTACCACTGAGTACTGGGCCTGCGAGTGGCTCATGGTGGGAGGAGGAGGAGGTGGTGGGGTTGACGAAAGAGTCGAAAAAAGAGGAGCGAAGAGGGCTGCGTGCTATCAGCCTGGCTGGTAGAAGAACACTCTCCTTATATACCTCCTGCCTCCTCGTTTTCCCCACCATCTTCTCAAACTGCACACTGTCCTAAATACACTCCAATTCCGTCAAATTTTGCCATAAATCACTTGGTATATAAAATTGACCCACAAGGTGGAGGGTAGCATCTGAGTGAATTTATTTTGGTTTCAGGGTGTAGGTGTGGTCGAAAGGGAGATTTTATAGAATTTTATAGTCTCGTATTCGCCCAAAACCCCCTCCGCCTTGAAGGGCCTCTAATGCTGCTCTAAATGTTGAATTAAATTAATTTATCCATTAAAATGTAATTGAAGGGTTTCATGTCTTTTATTCGAAACAATTGCACGAACTAGCCACCCTTTCTCAAACGGAGGAATTATTTTTTGGAATCCGAGGTCTTTAACAAAACTTATTATTGTCCAAGACTTTAGATGATTCTTGAAAAATCAATTATATGGAATTTTAACTAATTTTTGTGACCATTATCCGTATTGCTTGAGGCCCTACAAGAGCGTGAATTGTTTATGTATAGAAGCGAGTCGTTCAACAGTACATTTTAACCAGCATTACATAAGGGATGTGGGTTTTTGGGGGAATTTGAGACTTTTTGAAAATTCGACAAAAACCCCCATTTTCGACTACGCCTACTCCCTGAAACCAAAATACACTATACCAATATGCCATCTCACCCTGCGGGTCCATTTTAAATGCTAAATGATTTATGGCAATATTTTAAGGTATTTTCCATACAGTGCGTTGAAACGGACGAACTAGTATTTAAGGGGAGACAATCCCCAACTTGGCGCATTTTGCACATGTTGCCTGCTGCTCTCACTTCTACTTCAGCTCCACGTCGTCGCCATCATGATTTTCTTTCCCAAAAGTCCTACGCAATATACAATGATGAATGAAGATGAACTAAAATCAGCAAAATCATTATAATGGCCCATTTTCCAGGTAGTTGAGTTGGGTACTTTTGTTTTTTACCATTTGTGTATTATCATAAATATCACACTCCTATAAACGGCTAAGTTGTTTTCGTAAATCTGACTGATTGAAGATATGTAGTAAATGATTGGATTTGGTTGAGATTCCATACTGTATATGGTAAATGATAATGATAAGAGATGAGGTTATACAACTTAGGATTAGGATTATCTCACTACTAAAGTAAATATCCTGGTACTTGCATATTTGATATTACTGGTTAAATTTGCATTATTTCTAGAGAGTGAAACGAAACCCTGCTATGAGATCGTTCTGTCTGTCCGTTGGTACAAGAACTGGTGAACGAAAATTCATAAACTTGAAACTTTCAACATAAACTCCTAACGTCAAAGCACTCGGCGAATTCGACGATGGGTACTGTAGGTCGTAAGGTCATGGCTCCAGGTCATGATTTAAAAAATTAGAACACCATGTGAGGATTCAAATCGATCGATAGTATTAGGTTATTTGGACCTACGGTGGTCCGCTGACCGTGTGGACCATGTCAAACGTCACGTATTCAAAGCGTTTTAGCCATGCAAATTTTATAGACATTATGATAATCATTTTGACGTAAAAGGTTTCACTCTCTGGTTACATGCGGTATAACGATTTTTTTTTCAATCCACAACAAGTGTCAATTTCACCCGTGAGTTGCGGGAGCCACGAGTTCAAAAGTGTCATCAACAACAAAACCCATCACCGAAAATGTATTAATTTACACCTAATTCATAATTAAATAAATTCAAAATTATTCACTGCACAGAACGTATTCGAAATTTCTAAGCTTAAGTCAATTTATATCGAAGAAGCAATAGTTCTTCTAGCGTCGTAAAAAAGTGTTTGATTACTGCTACAAAAGATCAATAGTCATTGCAATGGTGTGTGTGTTTAAAAATTTAAAAAATAGTTATTTGTTACTATTTCGTCAATCTAGGTATTCTCAAAACTAGTTAAGTTGATATAAAATAATAGTGAATGAGTGGAACAGTGTGACACTCATTAACACTGAAAAATGATTGTTATCGTCAAGCTGAACTGTTAACATTTGTAATAAAAATTCAATTGCTTTCCATACAAGGCCAGGTAAATTAACAACATGCGATATGTAATATGTAATAAGCATTGGTTATCACAGTAATTTACTAAATAATTTTGTATACAATGACAGATAAAATGGAGGCATTTGAGTCAGAGGATGTCAAAATTGATGGGTGGGAGATACGATTGCCTTCCGATATTTGTACAAATAGACAAATTTTTGACGAAATATTCTCGATTGACACATGGAACAATGTTCTTACCCCAGAACAACGATGCCGTCTAACTGTACGTACCAACCAAAAATTATGTCATAACTACATAATCCGTCTTAATGATATTTTCTACTTTGCTTAGCAAATGCTGCCAAAAGAGATTGCTGCCTCCCCAGAAATGTCGAAGCAGACGATAGAAGGGTAATATATAAACCTCTAGATCGCTAAACAATATTCTTCCTGAGTTATCAGATTAGCATTTGACTCCTAAGAATGCTACTTATTCTCGTTCTTTCTATTGTCTTTTTCATCTAGATTCTTCAATGGGTCGTTAACCATGTTCTCTGAAGCTCCTCTGGATAATTTCTACGGCAAGTTAGAAAGTGGCCAGTTCGACCCGGTAGTAACAGAAATGAAGGCCAATATAAAACGAGAGCTACGAAAGGAGTCCATACGACAATTAAAAAATTATCATACAAGTAAGAGGACACATTCATATATAGTCATATATATTGTATGTGCTTGCGACTAATATTCTAAAATAACTAATGATAATACACGACATTCGCAGGTTTGTTGGAAGATATCGTGGTCTCCAGACAGAGATATATGAACAGATTAAAAGCTCGAATTATTCCCCTCACAAACAAGTCAAAACCAACCAAGGCTAAGCAACCTTTAAAACCAAAGAAACAAACTGGAGCTGGAGTACTTCAAAATGCATCATCCGAGTTGAATACAAAATTGTCCACTCCTATTGTGGGTGCTGGCACTGGGAAACAACCTAAAATGCCACAAACTCCAGTTAAACCGGTGACAAAGGTGGAGCCGCCGGACGCATCATTAAACCCTCTAAATGTTAAAAAGAGAAAAAACACAGAAGACCCCTTAGATTTAGCTGATAGTGGAAAACCTCTATATAAGAAAAATTCAAACATTGCTTCAAAACCAAAACCTTCCTTGTCAAAAGGGAAAACTGGCCCTACTACTACTTGCAGTGGAAACAAAATTGGTGGACAAAGTGCAAACGATCAAGTAGAAAACAAACCTGCTCCACCGCCACCAACATCACCAACAACAATTGTCGTGAAGGTGGAAAATTGCTCACCCTCGATAAGCGATATTAAATTGCAGCAGCAACAGCAGCAACAACAAGATCAACCAGTCATTATCGTCACCGCATCTCAAACACCTACACGCTTTATGCCGGCATCACATTCCTCAACCAGTTCTCCTGCTTCTTCTACAACTAAAAGTATTTTAAATGCTGCACTGACTTCGGATAAATTGGTGAAAAGTTCAACAAATTCGTCGTCCAGCATTTATACCAGTTCGACAAAGAGTTCGCCAATTTTGGCATCCCAATTGCAAGCCTCACCTCAAGTTTCTGTCAAGATGGAAGACAGCTTAAATTTCTTTAGTACTGAATCTGAAAATGATTCGGGCTGTATAACCCTCAATTACCAAAAATTAGAAGAAAAGTCTAGCGAGGACGATGAGCTGGAAAGTAGTTCAGATGAGTTTGAGGCAATACAACCCACTATCGGTTTTGGCTCTACGACTGCACTTCCTCCCACCTCAACCATTACAACAGCAATGTTAATGAGTTCCACTACTACGCCAACTTTGGCGAAAGTGATGTTGTCGTCGCCTGCTACTGGAATTAACACTACTTTTCCGTCTTCTTCCATTCTTCCAACATTGACAACGGCCGCAACAACCACTGCAATGACGACTGCATTAACTAACAAAATAATTCAAGTCCAACCACAACATCATCAGCAAGATGCAAGTGGAAATAGTTTCGTTACTGTAACTGTCTCCAGTGCGGGTAGTGGTGGTGGTAATAAGTTACAATCACACTCTAGCCCAGTGTACATTTTGAGTACGAAAACTTTAACTGACGGTCATCAATCGCATGGACGAATAATTCAAATTCCAAAGGATGCAATAAAGTCGATACCAATTTCAAGCCAACAATTGGCTTTGATGAACAGTCCGAAAATTATTGTCAAAGGAACTTCCTCATCATCTCCTCCTTCTTCTTCCTCCTCCTCGGGACTAGATCAGCAGCAGCAACAATTTATTCATCAAAGTTCCATTATTTCAAACCAGCCTCAAGAAATTATAAGAATCTCCAACGCGGATCTGCTTAATGCAAAAACTTCAGGCAACAGTGTTCATTATGTAACAAACTCTGGGAAAAACTTGATTTTACACCCTGTAACATCTTCAGGTTTAAACCAGCCATCTTCAGTCAAGATAATCTCATCAAGCAGTGGCAACCAACTCATTTCTTCCTGTTCCAATCATCCACTCACAACCTCTTCTTATGCAAATCTTAACATAGTAACTGCCAGTTCGGACCTTGGAGGGGGAGGGGTACAATTCGCAACGAATGCAAGCCAACCATTAAAATTGAATGATTTGTCGCTCAATTCGTCCAGCCTGTTGGAGACTGGGGAACTTAACCTGAGTTTGAGCTCATTAGGCAGCAGTTTAGGAGGACTTGGTGGCAGCATGACGGGAATGAATGTCAGCAATATTAGTGCTGGAAGTCTGGATGGTGGTATCATGGACACGGAGAATATGAAGCTAGAAATTGATAAAATTGATGACTTGTCAGTTTTGGATGGGACTTTCGACTCCATTCCGAATTTAAGTGATGAGCTCGATGGGCTAGACTTGGATTTGGTGGAGGGACTTTGTGATTTTGAGTATGTCCATTTAGATGTACATTTATATATCATTGACTGTTATAGAACTAATTGATTGTTTTTTTTTGTGCAGGGGACTGTTGTCGGGTAAGCACAATTTCTGGTTCGATTTCTTTTATTTGTCCACGGGATGTTCCACTCCAGTTTATTTAAATCCTTGGCTTTCGGAGAGGAGAGCGGAATTTTGCACAATATATTTTTTATGTATCTTTCAGACGAGAAAAGGTACCCAAGTTTTTTCTCCTTGATTCGGGAAGTGCTCTGTTCCACTCGAGACCATCGAATGACATTGCTGTGTCTGGAGAAAACAATACGAAAGTGGGCCGTTAGTCCAGGTGCAGCACTTAATGATTGGTTTCTAAACGTCTCCGATTGGAATAATGGTTTGGTAACGGCACTGAATTTCTTGGCTGGCACGTATCAAGGTATGGGTAAGAAAACTGTCGTCCAATCCAACTAAACCAAGTAATTACACATAGGTACTTTTCTTACATTATTTCCGATCCAATTTTTCAGATGTACACCCAGAAGACTTTGTCCCTTACATTGAGTACAAATACAAAACGAAATATTATCAAGTAATAATGATAATAATTTCCCATGAATAATTATTAGAAATAGATGAAACGATAAGGGTTGTATGTTTTCTTTCTAACTATTAATGATGCACTTTATGAATTTATAGTGGATTGGTGCTGGGCGGGATGGGGATAACAATTTGACACCTCTCTGCGGAATTTGGATGAGCAACTTGGAACGACTCCCTTCCGTAACATCGAAAATGGATGGAGAAACTGAAGATCAGGAGGAGGAAGATGAAGAAAATGAGGATTCGGAGCTCGCTGAAGATGCAAAAAAGAAAAATAAGAGACCGATAACTCCGCCACCTCCTCGTTGTGTGACCGATTGGACTGTACGACCCTCCACAGACGAAGAAAAAAACTTGTTTAGAGTGCAGGTATTTAATTTTATATTTTCCATTTTACAATTATGGACCACTATGTACATCATATAAACAATAATTCGGTTCCCCTTATCTGTGATTGTTTTTAAAAATTAGGAACGTTCGCGATTTGACAACCCTCATAAGGCATTCACGTACACTATGCATTGCTACGAGTCTGTTGTTGGGCCGGTAAAGGGTGTGTATTCTAGTCAGGTTGGAATGACCAATAAAGCAAGGGGACACTCGCTGCTGGTTGACTCAAGTAAGTTTTTAGCTTAACTTATTAATGTTTCTTATTAATCATTTTAAATCGCCTCTTATCTTCCCAGTTCCGATCGGCCCCCGTGTCCTCTCAGAGTCATGGGCCGTCGCCGGGGGTGTATACCCGTATGATCGACCTCCTTATGTTACTATACTGGCATTAGGTACCCAGCTTCTCTGTACTTGATTTCAATATTGTCACTTCGTTTTTAAACCCTTTGTGTTTTGTTGTTTTAGTACGTGATGCAGTGGCACGACTACCAAACGGTGAGGGAACACGATCTGAGATATGCGAAATGTTACGCGACTCTGCATTTCTTGCACCTGATGCGTCCAGCGTGACTCTAAATTCTGGTTTGTTTGACACTAAATCAACTATACCTGCACTATTCGTTGTGCTATATATAATATGTTGTTTTATTATTTTTTGTAGTTGTGAGTGGTGCATTGGACAGATTGCATTATGAAAGGTATCTCCTCACTTTTTCTCTGTACATGGAAATATATTCCTAAGTTTTACATATTTTATGTTTGTCAAATACCAGGGATCCTTGCGTACGATATGACTCTCATAAAAAGAGTTGGATATATCTGCATCGAGACAGGACTCAAGATCAATTTGGTAAACACATTATTTCTTATGACAGCTTAAGACCACTCATAATCCTAATAATTTTAACTTAGAACGTCTTCACCACAATCGAAGTTACACGAAATCCACAAAATCTAGAAACAACACTTCGCGAAAATCTCGTCGTTCAACCAAGGCTCCAACCCCCACATCGGCTTCATCTAGCACGGTCACCCCTGCATCTGCAGTTAGCTCCACGTGTTCTACGCCAGTTACATCAACATCACCCTCGTCAACTACTGCTGATAGCTGTACCACTGGGATGGACGATCTGTCTGTGCCAACACCCACGGCTGCTGAACCTATAAAGCTGATTACTACCACCATTCCTCTCCCACCACAGCAGGTTCAAAGTCAGTCTACTACTTCCGAGTCCGCCACTCTTGTTTCGGTAGAAAATTCTGCTCCAAGATCAGAAAATCAGACCAAGAGCGATGTGCCAAACACTTCCAATACAATGTTACAGACGATAAAATTAACGACATTACCAGTGAAACAGACAACGGCGTCGTCGTCATCAGCTGAGTCATCAACTTCTATGTCGATAAAAGTTGATGCTACACCGGTTCCAGTTCCGGTTCCAACTCCAACTCCAGTAATTCCACAACAACAACAACAACCCACACAATTTCTAGTCCAAACGACGTCATCCTCAATGTCTCCAGTCACTCAAAACACAATTCAGCTCCAGTCTGGTAGAACAGTGCAAATTCAAGGATTTCCCAGTATTGCTACCACATCAACCGGTGAAACCGTTATGGTCAGTGGAATACAGACCGGAACCACTTCTTCAGCAACACCTCAAGGGTGAGTAGATTCAAAATATTGTGAATATATTACAAAATTACTACATTGATGATATCACATTTTAGACAAATGTTATTTGGCCCTCAAACCGTTCTTCGTATTGCGAACGCGTTGAGATTGTCGCAAATGAGACTCCCTGGAAGTACAATGGCTCCTGGAAATATCCGTGTTCCCCAGCAGCATCGAATTCTGCTAACCAGAGGCGCAGTTCCAGGACAACCAGTATGCTTAACGTCGTTTATTTATGCCAATTCCCCAGAATAATATTAACTAATTTATCATCGTTTTGACGTACCTATTGCAGGGTATTCTTCTGGGACACACATCATCAGGGCAAACCGTTATCCTGTCGACTACTGGAGGGAATATAGGCAGCTTACAAACACTTTCGACATCAAGCAACCAAATTCTGTCTCAAATTCAACAGCAGCAGGAAACCATTGGAACAATATCAACTGGCAGTAATAATGGTGTAGAAATTGTTTCGACACCTCTCTCATCCTCGTCGTCACCTACAATGACAACTTATTCATTGAGACAAATGCTAGGAAAATCTTTGTCTCAAGCTTCACCCATCTTAAGTACAAACCAACCCTTGACTACTCAGAACATTAGTACAAGTAGTAGTGGTGGTCCTCTTAATTCTACACCAAAAATGCTCCAATTGAACATTGCGGGAGGATCTGGGCTGATGAAGTCGGCCATCATGACGTCAGCTAGCACGAGTACGCAACCGGTATCGACAGTAGTAAATGCTCCATCCTCAACCACCACTACTGCCATCGGCAGCGGCGACTTTGTTGTGACATCGTCAGGTCAAACACTCGCCGGAGTTCATCCTCAACGACATCCAGTTGGATATACTATTGCTACCGTGCGTGGAAATCCCATGTCCCTTCAGCTTGGCACCGGCAGTCAGGCTGCAACAATTAATCGGACTATTGGTGGGCAAACAATCCAACTTCAAGCTCTTGGCCAGAACCAAATGATGCAATCTATCCTTGCACAAAATCAGACAGCAGGCTCGGTTTCTGCACCATCTAACAATGGGGACACCGCAAGTGAAAGCAACCCCATGGCACTTGCGCCTAACACAACCCCAATCATAATACGATCTATGCAAGGTGACATTATGCTTCCTGGACATATTGCTTTAGGCAAAGGAGGTAAAAGTTTTAAATATAATCACATTATGAAACACATTTTGGGTGGAGGGTTGTTTTGGGGATTAATTTGATGTCATTCTAGGATATATCAGTTTAATTGACTTTTTGTATCACCATTTCCAGGAATCAAACTCTTTCCATTTCCGGTGGGAAATAAGACAATGTTGGCCAAGATAATCCCTCCTACCTCTGCTGCCTCTACCACGACTTCAGCACCATCACCACCAACCCAACCGAGGTTACCCATTACTATGAGTACTACAAAAACGTTGGCGACTACGACCACAACGGACATTCCTGTTATTACCACGTCTACTACTACCAGTTTCAACGCAAACGTTCCTACAACAAAACCAGCCAGTCCTTCTCAAACTTCTCAACAGCAGTAACCAACACCCAAACCGTTATGTAGCTTGTTCCATGGCTTCCGTAAAGTAGTCGCTAAGCATAATTGCATTGTTCTTTCTTCTGAATCTCATTCGTTATACTCATTAATAATAATAATATTTTACTATAGAAGACTTAAATATGTAAGAAAAATTCATGTCGAATTTCAGATTAAACGAGTTGTGATTATTAACCTATACATCCATGTTATTGACTAACCATGTAGTCACCTGATCTCGAAACCATTAATATTTTATGATGTGCATGCATATATGATATAGCCATATGCATGTAGCCACCGTTGACGTAAAAATATTTGGTGTTGAATCATATCAAATAATTACTATCAAAAAATAATTTAAAGCCATTAGCATATATGCAATTAAGCATTATTTACATAATGGTGTGACGTTGTTGAGTCAATTACCGAGTATGAAATGCAGAGCAGAGATAATTTCCTTATCAAACTTCGTTACTAAATAGCATGATTCCCAAAAACCCGAATTTCAAATGTGTCATTTACGTAACTTTTAATGACACGATATTAGAGCCGCTATAATTATTGCACCTGGGATGACACAAGCAAGGCAAAATACTTAGCAGTAAAAACTTTTAATGTGTCAATTATGCAAAAAAGTAAAAGTTCATTTTGTCCTTGCTGGCATATGTACATATGAAAAGAAATTGAGATTCAGTTGGTCGGCAAACTTGATGCAGCAATATCAATTCTCAACAGGATGAACAGGATGAGATTGCGAGGGATGGATGAGATGATTCAATAGGTGTGTGGTTGTGGTGTGGATTCCCAGAAAATTGCCATTCCGACTCTTTGAAAGTCACACTTGTAGGAATTTTACATAATTTAAGAAGCAGCCGTCTATTAAAATAAGCAATTATTGGGTGGTTCTGTCCAGCATCACTTTCTCCAGCGGTTCATCTGCAGCGCCTTCATTCATTCGAGAGAAAGACGATCCGGGAGCAGAAGTGGGTGCAAGGAAAATCCAAAAGCCCGAATTTTCCCTGTCCCGTGATCCCGTGTTCTGTTCTAAGCACAATTGTACAACGTAAGTTAAGTAGGTTGAGTTGAGCATTAGATCACAAATTGGCTCACGAGACCATAAGCAAAATTATCTCAGAGAAGATTACGGATTCCCTTGCTCACTACGCTGTGGCTGCAAGCAATACTAACGGTGTGTAATTTATATATATTTTTAGAAGACGGGTTGGTCCTAACTGTCCTAAGGTGGCCATCTCTTAAAGTTTTGCTTTAATTGTCCTTCCCCCGGTTTTTCTTGTCCTGCTGACTGTCGTAGGTTGGTTTTGTTGTCTCATTCTCATTGACCGAATCAATAGAGTTTTCAAGCGACCACGTCGTAAGAAGCAGGTCATATCCTATGTTAGGTTTTGGTCAGCTTGGTATCGTTTAATAGGATTCCTATTAAATAATTTTAAATAACTCCACTGATTTAAAAAAAATAAACTACCACAAGGATCAGATTAGATTATATACCGGGTGTGATAAGTTCAAGGTCAGTTTTTCAATGAACTTATACAATACAGCGAAAGGGCAAGGGTCTTGACTCTACTTGACATAATGTTATGCGTCAAATAAAAAAATAGCTATCTTCATTATAAAGTAATATTAATGTACGATTGCCGATAGCGGCCATTTTATTGCAATTATGCATTTTGAGTGTATACATTTTTTTCAATTTGCCCACAATTCATCATAAAAATTACTTTTTGGATCATTTCCCGAAATTATAGAAAAAAATATTAAAACTAATTAGAAGTTTATTAGTCTGTTTATGAAGAAATAATCTTGTTTATTAAGAAAGGATAAATGATATGCAATTTGGTGTAATACAAGAAGATACAAAATACCGAACATGATTTGCATTCTTTGAACATTCTTTGCATGGGTTTAAAATTTCTGACCAGCAGTAATTTCAATTTACCTTTATTCAGGTGTTAGTCACATCCAGTCGATCAGAATTTAATTTTTCATATCGCACGCTTTACAAGAGCGAAAGTGGATCTTGTAATAAAGTCAGTAATAAAGTAGAATGATGAAATATGCAATCGTGTTCGAAAACGACGTTGTCTAAGATACAGAAAAGATATAAATCCTATAAATTCGTTCCCATCTAAATAGAATGTACACTTATATTTTAATAAAACTGGAAATTTCTAATTAAGCATATATTTTGTTTGGCAGGAAAATAAAGGAATCGAAGTTTCAGGATGTACAGGTTTATTGTAAATTCGTCGTCTGCGGCGGCCAATACCTTGCTGAAGACGGGGTCGCCGAAGAGATCGTTACTGGCTGTGACGCACCGTTTGACTTCAACAACCGCTCCCACTGCTGGGAATTCTCTGGGCACCACCAAGGACCAGCAACAAAAGACATTTTCCACTGCTGCCGCAGAACCATTCCTTAATGGGAATAGTTCGGCTTATGTTGAGGAAATGTACAATGCCTGGCTACAAAACCCATCGTCTGTTCATGCCGTAAATTACTTCCATTCTAATATGTATCCTACATTGATTCCCCCACAATCTCTACATTTTCTTTCAATTTTTATAGAGCTGGGATAGTTTTTTCCGACAAACGCAAGGCGGTAATAATAATTCAACTATTATAAATTGAATATTACTTTAAATATTCAATGCAAACTTTATAGTTTACATATGTAACTATATTTATGGTAAATGGTCTTGGTTCTATGCACAATTTAATTTCATTCGAAAATTGCAGGAGCACAGCCAGGTGAAGGTAATGCATAGATTTATTCATTTAACATAACAATAAGAATAATCATTCAACTAACTTATTATTTTTCAGCATACATTCGACCTCCTTCAGGTAAGGTTCAATAAAAAGTTTTATTTATAAATCTGAAAATAAGTTAGAATAAAAATTACTAAACGACTATAGCTTAATTTTGTTAATTTCCTTGGCAGGTCTTGCCCCACCTGAACATAACACTCTTCCTTTATCTGCCTTTGGTGGTGGAACAGGTTTAGTTCCAGTTCCTATGGGGGGAGGAGTTCGGAGCTCAACACCCATTTCCGAAAAAATAATTGATGATCATTTGGCTGTTCAGGCCATTATTCGGAGCTACCAGGTACATATATTCGAATGCAATTTAAATGAGCTGGTCTTCTAGCTATAAATATATACTAACATTATGGGACGACTAGATATATAATACTACTACGCCATGACTCGTTTGATTAATATTTATTGGGACGCTTCTTTTTGGAGTCGACTTATCGACGCTAATCCACGGGCGAATATCTCGCTGCTTATTTATACTACATAAGTTTAGACGGGACCGGGGTTACTAAATTATACTTCTAATGGTGCTTGATCAATTCAATTCTTTTGCAAAATGAGATGGCAAAAACTTTTTATGGTTTTGTGCTTGTATTTATTTGTTATATATTTCTATTTCAGTATTTGATGTCTAATTTGTAAACGAAATATTTTCCAAAGTTGGCCAATGTGTAGTTCTCGTAGATTGTAGTATAAATCATGTATCTTTCTTTTCTTGGACGTTCAACGTTGTAATTCTGTATTTTTTGTCGTTTTGTGCAGCCATTGATATTTGCAGACGCACTGTTCCCTTCAATATATACATATTTATATATTTAGACATGGTAGTACACAGTAGTAGTAGTGACTCGTCATCATTTATGTGATAGAACGACAACAATTAATTAATTCAATAATATGCACACTGTTGGATAAAGTCATTGGACAATTTTCGTGTTTGACCTTTCTAATTCTAGAGTCGAGGCCATCATATTGCCAAACTAGATCCTTTGCAAATCGTGTATGCTGACCTGCACTCCAAGTCTGAACTTCATAATCCAAAGGAAATCGTCGTCAGAAATTACATGCATGGCTACGGTTAGTTTATTTCGTAGCTGTTGGTATAATTTTCAATGTTATATATATTTTCAATTTAGTTTTTAGAAAGTCATTATATTTAAATCAGATTGGCCAAAAAGTATAATGACAATGACAACCAAGATTATTTATAGGGTTTAATATATAGTGAATGGTGGATATATTTAAATATGAGTACGCTTTGCTTCAAGCTTATTGCGACCTTAATATGTGCATGTGTAATTATGAATATGATGATGATGATAACTGTGGCTTATACACACTCGTCTTATTTATTTTTCACTGCATTCTTTACATTGAACTGACAACCCCGTGTTTAATTTGGTGTACTTGAAAAGGGCATGTTTTTCACATGGTTAATGTGCTGTGATGGTGGTGTGATTACTACAACTAGATTCGAGGTCATAACATTGCACACCTGGACCCCCTAGGTATTTCAAGGTAGAGCACGTCCATTAAGAAATTTTCATGTATTATTCTTACAAACAATACAACCATGTTGTATATTTATACAATTTAGTGCTGATCTTGATGAGGGCATCCCTCTGGAGCTAATCTACAAATCCTATTCATTTGGTAATTTTCTTGGATTTTAAAGTACTGTACTCTCAGGTACATCATTAATGAGCTCATTTGTTTAGCAACAAATTTTTTCAGTTTACCTTAATCCAAAGTATTTAATAAATCAATCATCAGGTAGCTTGTTTTTCGAGTTGTTCTGCCAGAGTGTTAATATTGGTTTGCGTTTAACAACTTGTATTTGTTAGCATCATATCATCGGATTGTATGGTATGACTAATGTTATCGTGCCTTTCATTAATGCTCATAGAAAATGAATGACTAGTTTAGAAGAAAAACGTTGGTTGTACAAATAGTTTTTAAATTTTTCGTTTGTCACGTATGTAACCGTCAGCAAGAAGCACAGCGTATTTTGTTTTTATGCCGCCATACGCGATAAGAATTTCCTAAATTTCGAACAAAATTACAAAATTATTTTTTGTAATTTCTTATGCAAGCTGTAGGCATGTCATCATGTAATGTACTAATCTATTTTGTATTTTTAAACACTATGAACTGCAGAGGAGAAGGATATGGACCGAGTTTTCAAACTCCCAGGTAAGGCTCCAATATTATTCGAGGGGTAGCTGCACATATATTTCAAACAAAAATTTAATTCAATACGCAGCCACCACCTTCATTGGAGGCAAGGAGACATCTTTAAAGCTTCGTGATATTCTGAAGCGATTGGAAGACGCCTACTGTCGAAGCATTGGGGTGGAGTTTATGTACATTAACAGTTTGGATCAGTGCAACTGGATTCGAAAGAAAATGGAACCTCCAGGTGTGATGGAGTTTGACAACGAAACAAAGCGGCTCATCCTGGGTAATGTTTTATGAGACCAGTTATTGCAATTTACAATATTCATTATTTGTGTTATGACACTTACATTGATTATTTACAGCCCGAGTAACTCGAGCGTGGGGACTAGAAGCTTTCCTGGGTAAGCATCGTCTTCTTAATTGAAACCTTTTTGACTATCTTGTAATAGTTTATGTCTATTTTCATGATTAATACATATTTTGGTTGTCTAATTTGCAGCAAAGAAATGGTCTAGCGAGAAACGGTAATTGTTGCAACGCGTAACTGAAAACGTACACAATTTTTCTAATGTTTTAATAAAAATATATTTCAGATTTGGTCTCGAAGGTTGTGAGATGCTAATTCCAGCAATGAAGCAAATTATTGATAGATCCACAGAATTTGGGGTGGAGTCCGTCATCATGGGAATGCCGCATAGAGGACGCTTGAACGTGCTAGCCAACGTGTGTCGAAAACCACTGGAACAGATATTTTCTCAATTTGCTGCTCTGGAAGGTAGGTTGGGAATGAGTTTATTTTAAAGAAAATTTTACTGGCAAAATTTACACAAAATCTACGGGATTGTATACAAAACATGTTCCGACATGGTTTTTGGTTTGATGTCTGTTTGTAGCTGCTGATGAGGGAACGGGAGATGTGAAATACCACTTGGGAACTTATATCGAACGATTGAATCGTGTAACGAACAAGAATATTCGTCTAGCTGTCGTCGGTATGTTTTGTATTCAATACTTAATTTAATAATACCTATTTTGAGGACAAGTTTTTATAAAGTAAGCTCGTGGTTTAGTTTGTCATTTAATTATTGTTAAATGATTAGAAAGTTATTCACAGAAAGAGCTGATCATTGAAAATCAAATCATCAGAATGACCCACTACAACGGTCAAGGAACGACAAGTTAAAATTCTAAACAACATAATCTCGATCTCCAGTGCTTAGCAATATTTATGTGCTCATAAATTTTGTTGTCACGTTGAATGAGGAAGCCATTACGGCTTGGCCCTTCATTTCTGTAATAACAAGATCTGTAATTCCCAACGCCTCCATTACAATCGCCTAATTTTTATTATGATTAAATTCGTACTAACTAGTAAGTTAGTAAAATAGTGCATCCTTTTCTTTTCGAGTCATTTTCACTTCACTTTGCAGCTTTCTGTTCTTAATTGATGGGGAAAGCAGAGAAACTATATAACTTTTACTTTAAGTGGGTGTGGATGGAAGCATTTTTAATAGTTAAGTAATAACTGAAGGAATAATATTAACAAACTACATAGCTCTAACTTTTACTGAATGTATCATTTGTGACGTTGAAAAACACAGTGTCATTCATTTTCTACCTGCATATTAATTTTCGGGGCAATGTATCAAAATGTCATACTATTTCAACCTATCAACCTGATATTTTTTTCAATATGGAATTTTAATAAATCGTTTATTTCTTGTTTCAGCCAATCCTAGTCATCTTGGTATGCTACATGAATCTTCTAATTTTCGTTTTAATTTGCATTAGGAATAATTAATTATGTGTAAAATGACGATTTACAGAGGCTGTTGACCCAATTGTTCAGGGTAAAACGAGAGCTGAACAGTTTTACAGGGGAGACAACGAAGGAAAGAAGGTCATGTCTATTCTCCTTCATGGTGACGCAGCCTTTTGCGGTCAAGGAGTTGTAAGTGATATTCGTGTAGTTAATTAATTTGTTCCTTAAGAAGTAACCCCAAGTTTTCCTGACTCTTGAATATTATATTAGGTCTTTGAAACCTTCCACTTGTCTGATCTTCCTGACTACACAACTCATGGAACGGTTCATATTGTCGTGAACAACCAAATCGGCTTCACCACAGATCCCCGTCACTCAAGATCCAGTCCATACTGCACAGGTGAAATATTAATATTGATCTATGCAGTTCGAGGATCTAACTACTCATTCGTTTAGTTTAAATTTATTTTGAATTTATTAATTTTATTACAGATGTGGCAAGAGTGGTTAATGCTCCAATCTTCCATGTAAATGCTGATGATCCAGAAGCCGTCATGCATGTGTGCAATGTTGCAGCAGAGTGGAGAAATACTTTCCATAAGGACGTTGTTGTTGATTTGGTATGCATTAATAAATTACTATTTAATTTTTATTGATTACTATTTAGTCCTTGTAGTGAATATTTTGTCAAGAAACTATTATTTTCCGATAGGTTTGCTATCGCAAAAATGGACACAATGAAATCGACGAGCCAATGTTCACCCAGCCACTTATGTACAGGCAAATCAAGAGCACAAAGAACGTATTGGAGAAATATTCACACAAATTAAAGAATGAAGGTTAGAATTAACTTTAATAAAGTGCCGTTTACATATTGGTATTGGTCATTAGGATATTGATAATGTTTATGTTATTCGATACAGGTGTTGTTACTGAAGAAGAAATCAAGGATGTTAAAGAAAAGTATGAGCGAATTTTGGAGGAAGCTCACCTTGGTGCCCAGCAAGTCACGACAATCAAGTACAAAGATTGGTTAGATTCCCCATGGTCCGGATTTTTCGAGGGTACGAAATAAATTACACTAACGAGTTCTATCCAGCAAGTATCATCTTATGGTACTTATTTTGTGATTTTTTTTCGTTTTTGCAGGAAAGGATCCCATGAAGGTTTCTCCAACTGGGGTTCATGAAGAGACCCTTACCCACATTGGGAAGCGGTACAAAAACTATATCATATAGAAATTATTGGTATCTTGCTCCATTATAGTGTTATAATTTAAGTTGTTATTGGGCCTTGCAGATTCAGTTCTCCACCACCTAATGCGTCAGGCTTTGTCATCCACAAAGGATTAGAACGTATTTTGAAATCTCGAATGGAGATGGTGGAAAATCGACAGGTCGACTGGGCGTTGGCAGAAGCTATGGCTTTTGGCAGTTTGTTGAAGGAGGGAATTCATGTCAGGTTGAGTGGACAGGTATTTACGTACATATTTTGACACTGTATGAAGTCCATGTTCTCGGATTTTTGGAATGGCTACAATTATTTAGTTTGGTTGTCTGTTTGTATGTAGGACGTTGAGCGTGGAACTTTCAGCCATCGTCATCACGTTCTGCATCATCAAAATGTAGACAAGGCTACATACCGACCATTGTGTAATTTGTATCCCGACCAAGCCCCGTATATCGTTTGCAACTCGAGTTTGTCAGAGTTTGGAGTTTTAGGTATTTAATTGAAAAGACTTTTATGAAACTTTCCAAAGTACAGCAATTTTTATCTTCGTATAGGTTTCGAGCTTGGTTATTCAATGACCAATCCAAATGCTTTGGTTTGTTGGGAAGCTCAAGTGAGTAAATAATGTAACACATTGCTATCCTTTAATCAAACAATATTCATTGTATTAGTATACAATGTCTGCAAACAACATTCGGTGTTTAAGTTACTCCTAATTTAAAAGTTTTAGATAAGTCCTTTCCTTCAGCGAGATATTGTATCGAGACTTTGTTTTGAGTGACTCTTTGATTCTAAGCTTGTCTTGTGTAATTTGTGTCAATAGTTTGGAGACTTCAATAACACTGCGCAGTGCATCATTGATCAATTTATTTCGTCCGGACAATCCAAATGGGTGCGACAAACTGGGCTGGTTCTACTTTTACCTCATGGCCTCGAGGGAATGGGACCTGAACATTCTTCCGCAAGACCAGAACGGTGAGGAATAAACTTTAGCATTCAATTATTAAATAAAACATTAATTGCAATAATTTAATTTTGGAATACATAATTTGTATTAGATTCTTACAAATGTGTTCGGACGATCCTGATGTTATTCCAACGCCTAGTGATGACGTAGCCATTCGTCAACTGCACGACATTAACTGGATTGTGAGTTTTCATTGTTTTTTTAGAATGATGCAGGAGTTTATAGATTTTCCTCGGTTCGATTTGTCCAGGTCGCCAACTGCACAACGCCAGGAAACTACTTTCATATTTTGAGACGCCAGATTGCATTGCCATTTAGGAAACCTTTGATCATAATGACGCCCAAGTCTCTTCTCAGACATCCGGAGGCACGATCAAGCTTTGACGAAATGTTTTCTAGCACCGCTTTCCAACGAATTATTCCGGGTTAGTAACAATAACATTGACAAATTTAAACATTTGTAAATGCTCATTTATGCAAAAATATAACATGTTCACAGATCCTTTGGGACAACGTGATTGCAAAAAAGTTGTCTTCTCCACCGGAAAGGTTTGTTCATTTTTATTAAACTGTATTTAATTATGTGCGTCTGTAAAAAAATCATTTAAGACACTTTTGATAATTATCTATTTATTGTTAGGTCTACTATGACTTGAAGAAAGCCCGTAATGAACGCGGACTTGATAACGATGTTGCCCTTGTTAGGATTGAACAAGTCTCTCCCTTCCCATACGACCTGTTACTTGAAGTCGGCAAGCAACACCCAAATGCAAAATTCGTCTTTTCTCAGGAAGAGCACAAGAATCAAGGATGCTGGACATATATTGAGCCCAGGTTTAGAACTTTGTTCCCAGACAGGCCACTCACGTAAGGACTCTACTTTTCATACTTATTTTATACATATGAAATCTATCTATGTTTCAATTTATTATCTTGGCCTCATTATAGTTATGCTGGTCGAGTTGTGGCTGCATCTCCTGCCACTGGAAGCAAACATCAACATTACAAAGAGCAGGCTCAACTTTATGACGACACATTTAAATAGAGTTACTCTAATGCAAAATCTCTGTATAAAATAGTAGCACTTTTCGTTGCTAAAACTTTGCTTCAATAACTTCGCAATATCACGAACACTGACTAAATTTACTGATTGACTAGACATACTACGAAATCAACCGTATTTTAACATTGTTTTAAAATTGATGTGAATTCGGCTTTATAGCGTTGAATTAAAATATGTGATCTTCAGAAAGTCAACAGTAGAAACTCTAGTGTGTAAGGTAGGATCCTTAATTAGTTAATTATAATTATATGCGTAATGTGTCACTCCCTCTTACTTGGATGAGAACTAGAAGGGGACAGACAGTGTCGACGAACCAGACTTATTACCACTAGCTCTTACAATAGTTTATTTACATGATATTCTATGTATTACCCAATAAGTATTACTCTCTAGTTGTTGTTGAAACTTGGTTGAACCAAATCTCAGATTACTTTATCTATTTGTTGGGTGAATAGTATACCAACGTAGTTCTGGTAGGAGTCGAGTGGCATAGTCCTATAATACTTATTGATTGGTTAATGAAAATCTATAATTTCTTTGTAGTTCTAAACACGTAAGTGTCTAAAATAGACGTCGACACGGAGATACACTGAATTGAAATAAAGCACAAAATGTACACGAGTCTGATGTGATTTCTTCATTGATCATTATAATTTATTTATTTACACAATTAAATTGTGTATATTTGTATGATATAACACTAATACCTAATCAACAATAAGACATTTTAAAACTACTTATCTCCTGTACAGACTCTCATCCTCACAAGTACTCCAACTGGAATTCGTCCCCTGGCTGATATTTCACAACTTGGAAACCATCTGCTAAATAGCATGTCGGTCCCCCCGTGATAAGGAACGTTCGATCGTATCCCATGTACAGACCGTGGACGGAAAGTGCACTTCGCGACACCCAGTCCTGGACAATCTGCTTGGCCGTCGTGGACGCTCCTGCCGCAATTATCACCTTTCCAATGAGAAATAGTTTCCCAGCAGTGGACGAGATTCCGGCCAAACTTGCTAGAAAACTTGCCGACGCGATCCCTCCAGCCAAAAGTGTCAAAGCCGTCAGAGTTATGATCGTGATAGGAAATACGATGTCTTGAAATGTGTCGTAACCGTTCTCCCCATTCCATAGCTTTGCCTCCAAGGTGAACCAGACCTTACCGACTTCTCTGCAAAGCATATGAACAAATATCTTGTTAGCAAATTGATAAAGTGGTCATTATTTATTGTTAAATTTTACTTTTTTTACCTTTCAATGCATTGACCGGGTTGCATTTCGTTCTCATAGTAGAGGGGTGTTATTTGCTTCATTGCCATATTTAAGATGCACGTGCTATTATTGCAGATGGAGACCGTGCTACCCATTTTTGCAATCCTCCTCCGTTGAAATCAATCAGCAAACAGAGTGTATCAATGATAGATAATTACTGCTGCCTGTAGTAAAATTTATAAAAATTGTATTTACAATGCTGATACTGCAGATGATGTTTTTATTGGAAGGTTGGAAGGAAAGGTCCTTTGCAGGTACTTTTTTGGCTGTGTGTCCATACTATACAACTAATGCAGTTAGTTGTAAAGGTTCTCGGTTGTTGGGTCATTTCCTGCTTCTGCTCTACATATATTTTAGATACCACCTTCGCTACCACAATACACCAGTAGGAAATAATTCCGAGAAAAAGGGTCATTTTCCATTCAAGCAGATTTATGTACAGACATGCACTTAACCATATCGATCTGCCCCTTAATATAGTACCAACGAGATATATAGTAATATAAAGAACAGTACTCAAACGTATTTTTTTATTTACACAAGTGGAATGATAAAACAGTAATACATAGTATGTGTTGCATGCATATTTTGTTATAATGTACATAAATGTCTGATCAGTTAAAACGTACTTATTGTCCAGCAAAAGTCAATTCATGCAGATAAAACATAACATCATTACCTACGAGATTTTAAATATATGAATTTTAAATACATGGAATTGGCACACAACCACAACCGAGAAAATCAAACATTTAGATTTGTTGCAGATTTAGCACGACAATGCGAATGTTAAAGTAATTTAATTAATGCAGAATAGTGAACGCCTCCGTGTTTTCGACGTACTGATATTCTCTCCCTTCATCGATGAACGCGGGTGGTCCTCCCACTATGCGAATTATTTTGTCCGACCCCATGAAAATCCCGTGCCACACAGTCTGAGATCCACTCGCGGATAATTTTCTGGGTCGCCTCGGTTGAGCCCACGGGCAGGATGACCTTTCCCATGAGCACGTGCTGCGTGTCGTTGGTCTCCACGAGCTCACTCACCAGACCGGCCCTGGCTGCCACTCCACGAAGCCCCATCACAGCCGCCGTGGACATGGTCGTGATGGGTGCCACGAGCTCGCTAAAATCGTCATATTCGTTCAGACCGTTCCACAATTTGGCTTCTACGGAAAACCAGATTTTCCCAACTTCTCTGAAATTTAGAGACTTTTATTATCATGTGAGTGTTAGGATTAGATTAGTTTATTCCCAGGTCGATTCTCACCGTTTCACGACTTGACCAGGCAACACCTTGTTCTCATAATAAAGTGGAGTGGCTTGTTTCATGGCAATATTAAGAATGCAATTCGTTTCGTTCGCGATGCTGATGTTTGAGCCCATGTCTTGGGTAACAGTAGTACCAAGATTCAAGTTAGTTCAGACGATGTGCACAATTTTCGCTGAGAATGAGACCGCATTTTGAGCAACAAGTAAGAAGGACAAGTATTATTGTGGAAATGACTTCGTTGTTCAATTGAAAATAGCGAATATGTGTAAACCAGTAAGTCCGACTGGTGAACGTGACCCGCCCGGAATTTTTCTCGGTGCTTTTCGATTCGGGAGACCGGAAATAAATACATTCAATGAGCAAGAAGTCCGCATTCTTCGACTTTGTCAAATTCATAGTTGATTCATGTGTGCACAATTGTCACGCGAATATTTATACGCATGTTGCTGTCCTTAGACTACAGTAAATTAAACAAGTTTGACTGACTTTTAAAGCGAGTGATGTGCACATTATTCATACATACATATATGCAGATATATGATGATATGTACATATTTACATCCACAGAGAAAGTCCAGGTTGATTTGCATGAACCACTAATTTTGTACATACCCATACATGCAATTTATGAGTACAAGTTACACTAATTGAGTAGCTGAAGACGTACAGAAATTCAGTTCGAACTCCAGTTTCTTGCAATGCTTTAGTTTTATGCGACTACTTTTGTTTTTCTGTATTATTGAAGGGTGGAGGAATTAAATGCCAGTGTAATTCGGTAGACAAATATAGTAGTTATGTTCATACATTGAGGTTAGTAACACATCCGGGAAGATAATTTAAATAAAAGTACATTTTTAATGTAGAAATAAATTGAAAAGTGAATAAGTTAAAATAAATAAATAAATAATCGTATAGAGAAAAATTAAAGCACGTAATTGATAAAGCCATCGACGTTATTACTTCCAGTCTCAAAGATCTTTTCCACACTTTTCAATCTCATCCAGGAAATATGTTACGTCCTTCTCGTTAACTTCAGAGCTTTGAATCACCACTCTGAAGAAATTTTGGTATTGTCGCAATGGTTGATACGTGCACATCATGGTCTGACAAAAATTGTTAATATAATAATAAAAATAGCAATTTCATGCATTATGCAACCTACCCCTTGACGCATCATCCGTTCCTTGATTTTGGGAGCAATCTAATAAATACACAATTATGCAGAACTGCAATGATATACAAAATTGCATATAACTCATTAGAAATGACCAACTTTGTGAATTCTGTCCCAAAACTCTGGAGAACTTTGATTCATATCCTGCAGACTTGGAGGAATGTACCAAAAGACGACATTTGTGCATTCAGGATCCTCCAAGAGCAACTTGAAGCTGGGTCCACGTCGCCTCAACTCCTCCACGCAAAACTTTGCCAGTCCGAAGATATGGTCAATATGAGCTTCGAACCCGTCCTTTCCCTGCAAAATTTATGAAAATGAAAAGTTATTTCCTTTCCTGTTTGGTTTACCATTTATCGTACAACCTTTGCTTTCCACATCAACCAGAACTTGAGGACATCAGCTCGTCGTCCACATTGGATGTGCTTATCTCCCGTGTCGAATTGAGCCTCGTAAAACTTATCTTGCTGGAAAAGGTATGTCGCTGCATCAACATGAACGAAATTATGTAATGCCTATTATTTTACAAAAAATAATGTGCGAATGCTTGTACCTCTCGTCGCGTGGGCGTCGGTCGCAATGGTGCCATCCTTTAACAGAAATGTGGAGCATTGCTGGGGGGCGCATAGCAATTTGTGTGGATTCCATGTCACGGAATCTGCCCTGATGAATTCGCGACAATAGGAATGATTAGTTGACACTCAATTTGAGCGAGTATGAGGAAGCGAACCTACTTTTCAATTCCCTTCATCAAGTCCCTGTACGTATCTGACATCAGTGCACCGCCACCCCAACTGAACCAAAAAACAAATTAGTGAGAATTATATGGTCAGCTAATTGAGATCCATTATTCTTGAAAGCTGAAAACGTATCGTAAATCGTAGTATCGTAAATTTACTCACGCGCCATCCACGTGTAACCAGAGCCCATACTTTTTGCAAACCTCAGCAATTTCGTCAATTGGATCAAACGCCCCCAAAACCGTTGTTCCTAGTTTTTCATACATTTAATTAAAATCTGTTAAAGCTGAACAACTAGACATGCATACCGGCGGTCGCAGAGACAAGAAATGGGTCAAACCCTTTGTCGATGGAGCTCTGAATCTCCTTGTCCAGTTCGGTCACGTTCATCTTCCCACGAGAATCAACTTTCACTCCAACCACATTTTTCAAACCAATTCCTACACAGAAAACATGTGAATAACGGTGCCGATATAGGAAGGCCAAGTAATTCATATGCACACTATTTCACCCACCCTGAAAAGAGGCCAATTTCTTGAATGAGTAGTGAGCGTCTTCCGAGACAAACATTATCATGGGTTTTACTCCAGACAATCCCAATTCCTGTCGGTACAGCCACAATTATAGTTTTATATTAAAGGTCTCAGTATGGATACCGTAAAAAACGGTTACTTTAATTTCCGGTCGCTTCTTATATCTGGCGACGGAGATGGCGTATCCATTTGCAAGTGACCCGCCCGGACAGAACAAACCGTCCCCTTGATTTTTTGGAAATCCGATAATATTTCGCATCCTCTCAAACACCTGCGAAAAATTATAAGTCAAACAAATACAAGTCACAAAGTTTTTGCTTATGGGGAGTGAAAGTTGGTTTGGAGAAAGTTGGATTGAATTTCCATTTTAGCCTCGTCCTTAAAATTTAGACGCGGTGTGCATGTACATTTTTGATAAAAATGATTCATCATCATTACTCACTTCCAACTCCATGAGTGTAAAGACGGGTGCAACCTCGTACGTGTACACGGAACCATTGAGGGCAGACGCTACCTAATTTAACAGTTAAATTTATTAATTACAGAATTAGTTTTAATGCTGGACAAAGTAGTAATCTTACCCATTCTGCAGCGACGCCATAGGGGTCAATACTGCGTAGGTCAGAGAATAAACAGACTGATAACTAGGCTCTCAAAAAAAACTTGAGATTTCTTAACTTACCCCGAGTAGAGCTGATTAATAAAGTACGGGTGCCCTGTTTTGACGCTGTACTTGATAACGTCCTTGACCAAGTCGAGAAGAACGTCATGATTATGAGCTGGATCTCGTCCCAACTTCAAGTTGAGAATTTTCCAGAGATCGTGAGGCTGCTCGAACCTGACGACGGGCTGATCTCGCTGAATCCCCTCAAACAAGGCGTCCTTCAAAATTATCTCAAACACGTCGCGAAAGAACTTTTCGTGAACTTCCCTCTCCGGATACGTCTTGTAGTATTTGGGATTCTCCGTTAGAACTTTGGACTCGCTCACTTTTTCTGTCCCATTTTCAGAAACTTTGGCATCTCCCATTTTTAGAGTCAGGAAGCTTACTTGGTGAAAATCTACACCATGAAGAAGGGCGTGAATGAATGGTGGTGGTAGCAGACGGTGAATGAGAATGCTAGAGGCTGAATTGTCAGTTATTATATGCACAACTTTAGTTTTTGGCAATGACCCGAATGACGCTATAATTTTGTTCACTCCTCTCCAACGCTAATTGCAAAACGTAATGTGTCACAGTCAATGGTCAACGCAATGAAATTTCTGTGTATTTGGGGAACACTGAATTGTAACAAAACAGCTTTAACATTGACTCACATTTCGCTTTTCATGCACTGACATGATACAAAATCATAAAGTTATTGTAGAAAAAAGAGGAAGCCATTGGGTTTTCCTGGACTGTAAGAGGATGCTGTGGCATCGAAACCGCCTGCCTAATAACCATAATATCTAATACACAGCTACTACTACGTACGTACACAAGTCCAGTAGTTACCTCACCACGATTTAGACAATATGTACGTAATTGCATGTATGCTTCTGCTGCCAATGACAGCCTATCATCAATGACCTAATTTACCGTGCAAAATATTAGCACCCTTCAATCATCAATTCTCCAACCAATGATTTTCGATCAGAAGCATACGAGTTCCGACACCTGGCATGAAGAATCATACGCAAAACATAAAGAAACACTGATTTGGTTAATTTATTACCATTTCCACCCAATGTATAATAACAAGGAAGGTAAAAATGCATGCATCCGTTTGGTTTGATGACGGCCATTGTGAAGGTGAATGATAAATACATGCTCTGTATGCATCTTGAAAAAAGGTACGATTTGTTTTGGCCGTGAAAAGTAATATTTCATTGCATAATGCCAAGTTCACTCATTTTTTACATGCACAATTTGTTTGCTTATTATTATATCATAACGAACTATGTAACACAAAACAGTGGGTTTAAATAATTGTTTGTCAAGTGCGAACAGAAATAATAAGCTACATAATTACTTGGTAAACGAGCGAGGTTCGCAAATCGTGGTCGCTCAAGCTCATCGTGACCCTGTCTGCTCACCCATTATTGTTGTTCGCCACTCGTAGCAGTAGATTCTCATTCGTAGCATCAACACACATTGGTTTGTGGTCAATTACTGTGCAGAACGTGTACTCATTGCGACTGCATTTGGAATGGCACGGGTCACCGCACTGGCCTAAAATTCCAGCAAAAATTTAGAAAAATATTGTTTTTTAAAAGAATCTCCTGCATAAATTAATGTTAATATTCTGACCATGAATGCAGGCCATGTTGGATGGACAGTCGTGGTCTTTAAAGCATTTTGGAGTACACGCTGGAGGAATTCCATTGTAGCCTGAGACCAATAATTATGTATTTTAGTATTATTTATTCGGTTAAATATGACAGATATCCATGTATTTTAGTGTAGCTATTCGTACCTGGAAGGCAATGACACACGGCCCGACTTCTGCTAACATGACAAGATGCCATTCTGCAAACAATGAAGTTTGCTATTAAAGTACACTCTTAAATTCGCAACTTAGAATTTTTTAAACGCATACGTTCCACAAGGACTTGGGTTGCATGGACCAACACGCCGTTTGTTCACCAAGCTGTATGGACCTGCAGATGTTTTAGAAGGGACATGTGAGATGTGTGTTAAAGAATAATGCGTAAGTTGTGCAAGATTGGCTACCTGCATGCCCCACGGTGGAGGTGCTATTGACTTCCTGCGCAGAAAAGCAACGCTTCCAGGGTTGTCCAACATTCGGACACCAACATGTCGCACGATGACGTTTGGCTTCACATTTTGCACCAGTATGAACAGCACAAACATGATTGCAAGGATTGACGCAGAACCCATGAAGGCCACAGCTCATGTCGTCCGGACAGTCGGCATCCGTGTCGCATTCATCCCCCTCAACTAATAGCACATATTTTCACATGAAATTAATGAAGATTGTTACAGAATTATAAATAAAAATATGACCACTAACATGGAGGGCGAGGTGGAACCTGGAAAGTATAGAAAAAAATATTAGTTAAAGCAAAGTAGTTTTAACTTTAAGATTGAAACGTGAACAAAGTCTGGAATTAAATTTCAATTAATAAATATTCCACCAAGAACGTACCTGCACGCACCAAAAGTATGGCTGCACAAAAGAGAATGAATTGTAGATTTATGTAAACTTAATGTAAATAGCTTGTGGAACATAAAATCAGGTACTTACGTCTCCAGTGAACCCTGCCGGACAGTAGCAAGAAGGAATTCGGTTCCGTACTTAAAAAGCAAGGCGAATAGATTATTAGTTTCCGTTATAGCACATAAATCCAGCACAATTCGTCACTTACTGATACATTCAGCCGCATTGCCGCAAGTGCCGATGCAGGGTGATTGGCATTTTGCGTTGATGCAGCTTTCCGTTCCAATGCACTGGGTATCGTTTTCGCATGCGGTGAGATTCATCGGCGTCTTCACCTTGACGCACTCGGCGATTCCGTCCCCTTCGTAACCCTTCAGACATTTACATTCCGGATTTCCTTCCTCCACCACGCACACGGCATTCGAGGCACAGTGCATCGTCGTGCAGGCGTGGACACACCGCCCGTTTAGACAAGTTTGGTCACTCTTCCCACATTCGAAGGCACTCACACAAGCCTTGCAGTTCGGGGGGTTGCCCACATATCCGGCCAGACAGCGACACACGGGCTTCAAGAGAGAGGAAAAACTCTTAAAATAACTCTCTTAATTTTTAGTACGCATTTTGAAGTCATAAATCCTTGAAGTCTTGAGAAATATTTACTGACGATTTGTGTACATGTCATGACCTTACCCCCACGGTGGACTCAATACACTGGGAATTCTGACCGCAGACGCGAATGGGGTCACGGCCACAATATGAACCTAATAAATAGTTTTATGTATATTTTACACATTAAGAAGTGTCGTGCTTTGTGCGTACAACTGACCTGAATTAAGGAGACAATTTCCATCATCTACAATAAAATAAATTATGTTATCAGAAGATGCCACCAAGTCGAATTTTAGTTTATAAAACAAGCTTCATGATCATGAAATTCATGTGTTTGTCATTTTGTTTGTAATAAACCACATTTTAAATGTGTGATGAGTGAACTTATTTCTTACCTGCCGGATAAGTATTGACCTCGCAGTTGCACCGAGGTTTGTGCTCGATAACTTCACACTTCTTCCACAGCCCTTTGCAATAGCCGACACACGGATCCCGACAGTAGCCATTGACACAGGCTTCATTCGGTTGACAGTCAACGTCCAGATTGCATCTTGCAGCGATCTCGTCTATTTAGAACGTTTCCATACAGTTTTACATAATGGATGCTTCCATCCTGTCATCTTAAATCCAGTACTGATTTCTTACCTTCGACAACTGCAGCACATGCATCAAATGGATTTCCCGTATACCCAGGAACGCATACACACGTCTAAATTACATGTTGCCGTTGTACTAATTAGTAATTAAATAGCTAATTAATGGTTTAGAGATATTACATACCGCGTGATGTCTCACAACCCAGCATTTAGCGTTGGCCCCACATTTTACGCCCTCGCAAGGGTCCCGACAGTTGTTGCCTTTGCATGCCAAGTCCGCCGGACACTGCTCGTTGTCGTTGCAATAAGAAGCTATATATTCACAATTATATACGTTGTTGAACTGAGTTTAATGCAATCAATTCTTAGACATAAAGTTGTGTAGTTTCATAAGGAAGCATTTAGAAAATCGTAAATCATGATCATAAGGGCATGAACTACCTTTGCATTGGAAAAATGGATCTCCATTAAAACCTCTCAGACATCGACATACGGGAAAATGGTTCACAACTTTGCATTCGGCTCCCACTCCGCAAATTCCTTGGCACGGGTCTTTGCACAAACCCCTGAAAGAGACCATTTAACAAATCTACATATCTTCTGCCTGGTCATGATGACACTGCTGAAATGATTATACATACTTGACACAAGAGAACTGCGAAGGACAATCCGCATTGGCTGCGCAGGACAGTGGTCTGCATTTCGGTGGTGCACCAATGTGATGAGGCATGCAGGCACACAGGACCTGTCAAATTGCAAATTAACTGCGTTATTAAAATGCAAATTATTCTGCAATTATTCTGCCGCACCGTTTGGGCCGTTCCATTCGTGTTCCCAACGTTGGAATGGTTAGGGTCGGGACGAGCCTGCCATTTTTTGAGGGCACGCGAAATAGTCTGACTCCAGTCGAATCCGGAGTCTTCACTTCGCCTCTTGAGATTGTCCACTTGGAGACATTGGCTGTAAGGACCGCACACACCGGGGTCTTCGCAGGGTGGGGCTAAGTCACAACAATTATTCGTATATTTTTTTGTCCAATTGCAACATGTATAATTTTAATCAAGGGCTGAGATGGTCACCTCTTCCGGCAAATATTTCCGCAAATAGCACGAGGAGAAAAAGCAATGGAAGTTGCAAGTTGGAGTAATACCGCATTTTGATAATGGGATTGATTGATTGATTGGGTCCGTAGGCGAACCCTCCCAATTATTAAGTTAAGCAAATGGGCTCAAATAATAGTAATATTCTGTTGAGTCACAATCCGCAAGTGGTCAAGTGGAGGAAATGCCGTGGAGAAGATTCATTATTACGAGAGAAGAGGTATTAGTTGTGATCATAGCATTCGAATTGTTGAGTTGAGCTCATCCACATGAGTCTCGCTTGGTGTGGCTTCATTGTTGTGGGAGAAGGAGTCCTGGTCACTGTCTCGTAACAAATGGGTTCAAAAGTTGCCCAACATGTTTTTACACCTTCTGCGAATGGAAAAGTTATTGAACTTGGAAACATATCAAAAAGTGTATCTCCATTTTATACGCAACACGCCAAACGCTATATGTGTACATACACATAGCTGCATATGTAATATGAGATTTAACTGCTACGTAATATTGTAAGTTATGCTGCTTGTTGGATGTTTGATGTGCATTATTTAATATTTAATCATGTGGACAGTTGGAAATTAACCACAAAATACATACGTAAGTACATACACAATGAATGAAGCCCGTGAAATTCGAGTCTAAAAATATGCAAGGATGGGCGACCGAGATACTATCTGAATACATTGACTCGAGGAACAAACGTGACTTTTGCAGTTCGATTAAATCTGACAAGCACGACCCACACCAACGACAAAATAGGAAGTTGTTTTAGCAATATCGCTAAAATGGAGTGCTTCATGCATTCTTGTGGTAGGTTTTTATGGCGTATGTATATCCCAGCGTGAAGCAATGCCGGGTAGATTACCGCATAGTTCGTATGGATTCCTATAAGAAAGAGTATGTACTGTGCTGGCTGAGATTTTCAATTTTGATTATTGTACGAAGACGTTTGCGGTTCTTCAACTATTATTGTCAGAAGAAAGATGTGCCCAAGTAACATGACCATTCAGGGAATAAAACATTCTGGCGTCCTGATGCCTCGGCTTATTTGAATCTTGACCCTCTCTCGCCAAAGATATTCCTTGAGGAACTCTGAATTAAAAATGAGAGTGGTTCTCGTGTTTGCAGGCATTCTTGGGACCGGGCTTTCCTTGAACATTCCACGCGACAGGTCTCACTCCGGAACTTCAGGTGAATATAATCCACAGTCTAATTCCGTCCCAGTGCATATGTACAACGTCCAAAGTTAGGCTATATATGCACATTATAATTAAGTAACTCCACTATTTCAGATCCTTGTTCATTGTCCCCGTGTGCAAAGAACGCAATTTGTAAAACATCTCCGAATGGGTTGGCTTTCTGCAATTGTCAGAGCGGCTTCACGGGAAATGCATTCGAGAGCTGTCAAGAATTAGAGCCTGGAAATTCAGCAGTATTGGGGGCTGCTGGTAAACAATTCTCATGCTAAATCTGTTTTGCATATTAATAAATGTTACTTAATTTTATAGTTGCTGGATCGGGCTCACCCATCCCACAAATTTTAGAAACCACACCCATGCACTCTGGTCAATCTGGTCAAGTATCAACTAATCCTAACCAATCTTCGTTGAAGGTGATCTATGACCTCGAAGGGACTCAGAAAACTCCGGGAATGTTTACTGTCGAGTATCAACCCTCATCGGACGTTGACATTAGTCGAATTCCAATTCTTGGATCATCGCCCACAACGCAATTGACAACCCAGCCAATGGACCATCAGCCCAATTTTCATGTCCAGTCCCCCGTTATTCTCCACGAGACTGTTGTTCACACGCCACACATTCAACGCCGTCCTTCATCAGACCATGAAAACCAGCATTCTTCGTCGCCGCAGCACTCCGCGGTTGCTGATCCCATGGGACAGTACACTAACTGCGTAACTGTCAAGGGTGTCATTGTTTGTGCAGATAACTCAGGTTGGTTTCATTATGCATATCATGAAACTTTATGATTGAGAATGAATTTTCTATAAAATTCACTTACTTTTCACTAGCTGACAATTCAATGGGTGGAAGTAGACGGATTGAACCAGAAGTCAGTCATACCACCCACACGTTACTACCACCACTTCCTTCACGCCATCAGAATCACCACAACCTCAATAATTTAAACCAATTGTCCCACCAAATTCCAACCGTAGCTAAAAACTGCAACACAATGTGCGGCATCAACTCTGTGTGTCGCATGATAAAGCACACCCCCGTGTGTGGATGTCCAGTGGACCATACTGGTGATCCTGGCGTGCGATGTGACCCTATTGAAAAGCAGGAGGAAAAGTCTGGTTGTCAAAAGCACACGGAATGTGCTCCTACTCAAGTTTGTGCCGACTCAAAGTGTTTGGACCCATGCAAAGACGTCGCTCAGTTTGGCGTGGGGAGGGACCCAGTCGTTGGAGGAGGAAATGCCTCACCTATCTGCGGAACAAACGCTAATTGCATGGTTATTCATCACACTCCTTTGTGTGGATGCGTGGAAGGGTATTATGGGAACCCGTATGTGGGATGCGTAGCCTAAGTTTTCTTGTACATATGTAAATTGTATGCTGTATCGACATTAAATAAACATTCAGTAGTCTCTGATGGATACATTTTTCGTGCGCCGGGTTTAATTGAAATCTGTCTGTTTTTTTGAACCGCACAGAATAAATTGCAAAATATGGCATTAAAATAAGGAGCATTTTTGCAGAGGTGTGCTTTAGATAGGTATCAGCAGACAAATGCAGCTCACTCGCCTACTCGTTTAGCACTATTTCTTGCTATTTACAAAACAAAATTGTTGAAAGTCATTGTCCACGTTGTCACCCGGAAGGCGAAATGCAACGGCGTATAATGACATTTAAACCCGGAATTAGCCCCGATTGGTCACCACTAGTAAAAATTTCCAAGTATAATTCCCATTGTTCGCAACCTCAAGCCCAAGCGAGGTAAGTAGGGCAGGGCGTCATTCTCATTTCACCTTTGACAGGACAGCAAAGCCATGAGGGTGCTATCCGTCGCTACCGTTTCTCTCGCCCTACTGGCAGGTAAGCTCACAATATGTTTCCCACACACCCACCAAATTACGTTGCTGAACTGAATTTTCATGCACAAATTTTAGTCGTGACTGCAAAACCCACCGCGGAAGCTGATCCAGGTATGTCCAACGCCACGTCCACTATTGATCATGCATAATAAGCCATATGTGGATTAACTATTGCTGGAACTTTATTGTCACAGGGTTCAGGTCCAAGCGTAACACTGGAGCCATTGGTAAGCACTTTTCTCTGAACGATACAAATATCTCGAGTGATAACATATGGAGAAAACGCCTTGGTTTCAGCCCAAGCGCATGCACGAGGTGTTCGAGATACTGGATCTTCCTCACAATGGAGTGACCTTCAAACACAGCAGACCTTCATGAAGAAGGAGGAGCACACCATCCAAACCATCCAGTCCAAGGTCGTCCAACGTTTCCAGGGTCAAAGTGCACAATGGTCTCAACAATCCTCAGAGACTCAACAGTTGTCGGAACAAATCTCGAAAAATGTCCAAATGCAGAGTAGCAGCAGCAGTAGCAGTAGCAGCAGTTCATCTTCTGCACAGAAATACCAGTCACAATTCAATTCTGAAAGACAAGAGTTCCAAAAGGCGGAACAAATCTATAAATCGGAACAGTCGTCCATCACCTCCAAAATTCAGACCCTGCAGACAGAGTTGTCCGAACTGGAACAGAGGAATGAGCAAACCATTTCTCAACGGTCCACAATGTCCGAGGAGCAATTCCAACAATACCAAACTGAATTCAAAAACAGACAAGAGCAAATCAACGGAGAACTCAACGGCTTGGTATGACCCACTTTCACACGCGTTGGTCGAGCAAGTAATTTCACTGCATTTCTCTCCATACAGCTCGGTAAAGCCAAGAAGGACGAACAGGCCAACAACTTCTTACAGGAGAAGCAGGACCAATGGCAAAATGGATGGGCAGCTAACCCAGTGGTCGGAAACCCAGCCGCTGCTGGAGGACCTAACAATGGGGGAGGAATTGGTGGAAGTGGCGCAGGAGGAGGCGCGGGAGGAGGAGGAGCTGGTGGTGGTGCTGGTGGTGGTGCTGCTGCTGGTGGTGGTGGTGGTGGCGCTGCTGGTGGCGCTGCGGGTGGCGCTGGGATGTCCATGTCTGGAGTATCCTTGGACCCCGCAACTTGGGAAAAGACTCACGACCAAGCATGGGGCAACTTTGAAAATTTCATGGGTTAGCTAAAAAATTGAAATATCAAAATTTTTTTCTCTCTCTCTGCTTGTATTTGTCAAATTTGTTCTTATAAGCATTATCTGAATTTGTGGAAAATTAGGTAAATGGCAGAATTGGACTAACGTAAGTGGATTTAATTCTTCAGCTTTTTACATGGAACCACTAATTGCCTAATTAACTCTTAACTGTAGGATCCTAATGCTGGAAACTACAAGTTGGCCAACAAGCAATTTGGTGCTTTCGACAATGGAGAGTTCAACGTGGAGAAGCAGAGCGCAGAGTTCTTTGGACCTGACCACGTCAGAAACGACTGGAAGTTTGGAAACTACACGACGAATGCTGGATTCGGAGCAATTGGTCCCTACGGAAATGGTGGTGGTGGTGACGGTGGGGCAGGAGGCGGTGGGGGCGGCGGCGGTGGTGGTGGGGACGGAGGAGCTGGTGGTGCTGGGGGTGGTGCCGGTGGAGCCTCTGGAGGAAGTTACAGTCGTGGGGATGCCTTCTGGGATGGCATGGCTGAGATGTGGCGCAAGGAGGTTGGGGAGTTTTTCGACTCCATGTTGCTTCACTTCAAGCAGAGCAGGTCCAAGATCCTTGCGGGTGGGATCAAATATGAGTCCGGAATCGATGTCAACGCCCGACTCTAATCATCAAAGTCATCATCTTTCTTCACTCTCACAGCACTATTATTATTGGCTTTCGAACTATATCAATTTTATAATATTGGCCCGCACATTTACCTTACATCTCGTCAATAAAATATATACAAAGTTGGTCTTATAAATCTGATTGCAATTTATTACAAGTAAAGTAAAAATCACGGGTTTAAACTGGCTTCACAACCAAACTCTACATCTTGTAAGCTAAACTGGAATATTGAGCGTATGGTCCTTTGCTACTGCTTTTTCCTCCTCTTCCTCAGAATATGCATGCAAAGCTGTCAAATATGCAAAGCAGTTATTTCGATAATAAATACGCAGATGATCAGTGTTTTAATTAAAATATGTAATATGCAAGTCACACCTTGAATCCTCGTGGCCGAGACGTAGTTTAGTATGTTATCCGGGTCGTAGTGAAACTGGTCCCGTCCAACAAATGATTTTCTTCTTTGCTTTGGATTTGTGGGTAGCGTTGTTGGTTCGGCGTAGTGATAAAGTCGGAGTCGTTTTCGGTTTTTGGGACCTGGCGGAGGCGTGGGTGGCGAAGGAGGTCGTGTTGGTCGAGGGAAAAAAGCGCTAAGAATGAGGTCCAGTATTTGAGGTACAAAGAGACAGAAAATGATTGATCCAAAAAGAAGGATCGCCAACGTTGGAGATGGACCTGAAACATAAATTCATAAACATTTTTAATTTTAATTTTTAACGTCCTCCAACAACCAAATTCGAAACACGGGTTCATTGTTCAACACAACATGCTTAAAAATACACCGACGCCGCATTCCTCACTCTACTTTCTTATCTACTGATAACGAAAGCTTGGCGTCCCTTTGTCATCGAGGGAGCAAAATGAAGAAGTTCTCACACAACTCGTCTGCACTGTCAGCGAGTTTCACGTGTTTTTCTTCCTCTCTCCTCCACATTTTCCAAACTTTCCACCTCCTTCCATCCTTTACCTCTTTGTTTAAGTCCTTGTCAGGGCGCAAAGATGGCCCCAAAAAGAAGAACCTCCCGGAGAACAACTCGGAACCGCCCTCTTGACACTGACCACCCCCAAATGGAAAACACGAGTGATGTTGACGACTCGGATTTGTCCCCTGATACTATTTACTATTATTAATTATCTTGAATTTATTGTTTTTTAGGTTGTAGGAGTTTGAGGAAGCGAAAGAAGGTGTTGTACAAGTATGACGACTCGGAATCTGCCTCCGATACCGACCACTCCCCTATGGAAAGCACGAATGAAGGTGACGATTCGGATTCTGACCACGGACAAGCCCACCCCCACTCCAATCACATGAATGATGATGAAGACTCGGCCCATTCCAATGACACCGACCACTCAAATTCTGAGACGGAGCCCACCTCTGACCCCGAACACCAATCTGCGGGTCAAGTGGATGACGACCAACTCTCCCCTCGTTCCACACAACACTCTGCGGACGAAGAGGAGGAATATATTTTTGACGCACCCCCATCTCCACCACCACCACCACCGCGACTCATGTTGACGTACGGAGATCGCGTCACAGAGTACGCCGTTCCACCTCCCCCACCGTTTGAAGATGCGACAACTGCCACCTTTGACCTCTTCATCCAGTATGGGAACGGAGCACAAGTCAGAGTGCATCCAATGGGTAATTAAAGTCGGATTGTTTATTATGATGATAATAAGTGGCCCAACAAATATAGATTATGTTGAATGAGTGACTTATGTTTTTTAGCTAATCTATCACCACCACCACCCTCATTATTTCCTGTTCCTCCACCACCCCCACCAGCAGAAATTGAATTGTGGCGTCCACCCAAGGGGACGCTAAAGTGCATCTTCGATGCTATCAAGGCTCACCTGAGATGGGGGGACAATCCAGGAGAGACGGATGCAAACTTGGGAGAAAGTGAGGAGTTCGTGGAACTGATGGAGTCTCTTCCGGTTCGTGGCACCCACACTTTGGGAATTGGAACTCCCCGCACCACCCCCATTCGAAACGGGGACAACAACAACATTTGGATTAAATGGCAGGGTGACGAGGTGAAAGCCATTATGTACAGAGTTCAAACAGAGCCCTCATTCAGTTGGCAAGCATCAGAAAAAATGTGCACTGTTCCTAACTGCTGGTTGAACTCTAGGGTAATTCGTTTTTCACACATTCTTCCTATTTAGTTCCCTTGTACATGTTATTATCGTGATCATACATATTATATTTCACAGGATAGAGTGGTAGGATACTGCCGTCTAGATTCGTCCAAATTCCGTGAGGTCTTGCTGTTGAGGGACACCACCAATCTGCAACCCAACATCATCGTCCTCCATCCAATCTTACGCATGACTCCACACGATGAAGACACCATCAATAAGATACTCCGAGGTACCCCTATAAGTGAGAGCTTCACAACCATTACCAAGTACATTACTACACGTCCCAACTGCCGGTTTGTGACGGATATGCGACAGGGTTTTGCCACAACCCTCTCGTTGGGGAAATTCAACACTTTAACTGTAAATAACCATTTCTTCGTCTGTTATGTTTCGATTTTATAATAATTAGTAAAATGAATAATAATAATGAATGATTAATAAACTTCTGTTTCGAATAGGTTGCAACGTGCATCATGACCTTTTTCCACAACAATGCTTTCCCCAATTCCACTCACCCTATGATTCGGCTGAGGATGGGCTGGATTGCCTTCCAAGATGCTGACTGGAAAGAAGTTCGGAAGATTCTTGCCAAGAACAAGTTCAAATTTATTGTGACCCCAGCTACCAACCAACTCACCCCTGATGAAATGTTCCCAGCCCGTATCAAAACGAAGCAAGACCACACTTACCAAGGTGATGATGGAAATGGCGGAGTGAAGGATGGGATAACCACGTCAAAGACACATGTCCACAATTCAGGTGCAAGTAAAGGGAATGCTCTACCCCACATGCCACTTGCACAACATCTTCAGAGCGTCGTGACGCTCTACCAGGACATTCTGGATGACCCCGAGGAGACTGAGACACGCACCAAACACGCAGAATTTATGGGGATTTTGGCCACGTTGATGGGGACAATTTTGGAGCAAGACTTCAAAGGACATCGAATGCGACCCTTGACTGAAAAACTTACCCATTATGATACAGTATTTGACTTCAACGTGTTTGGAAGACTTTTCCAATTTAAAACTGGATGTACAATTGTTGTAAGGAGAGTCGGGAATGGCATCCCAATAATTAATGGACAACCTCAATTTGTTTGGTAGAATGTTGCAATATTACTTATTTTGTTCACTTTTAGTCGTTAATCCCTTTATAATTTGAAACATGAATGAATTACTTGAATTTCGTCTTTATCAATAAATGTGATTATTATGTCATGTTTCAATATGCGAATTATGTTGTTTGCGTTTCTTATGTCATCACCCTCTCTTATACAATATCCCATAAGCATATTTTTAAATCGCATAGAAGAACGCATGATTCATTTCACCTTGGCAATCTGATTAAACACAAATGCCAAATTTATAGTTTGTACGTCTGGATGAGCACAGGAGTACCCCGATCCATATTACAGTAAGGGATAGCAGGGGATAATTTTTATTACTTGGCGAATCTTGGAGAAAGTCTTCCTCGTCGTCCACACTGTTGCGACGATAATAATACGAGTTTTTTCGGTGTAATTTGTCTCGATCCTAAATATTTATTGAAGTGCAAAATTTTAGTTTTTAGTTTGTAGTTTTGTAGTGATGCCAAAAATCTCTGCACAAATCAACGAGCATAGCATACGTACATAATCCGCTGTCCAAACAGTATTCCAACTATTGTTGTGTGTGCATTTGGAGGTGTCATTTGGATCATAACTGGTCCACGTCTAGAATAATGTTAGAAATTTGTTGAAATTATTATTACTATTAAAATTATTATGAAATAAATTTATGTACTTACTTCAACGTAGTAGGGGAAGTAAACCAAGTGTTTGAGTCGTTCCTTAGGACGTTTGTACCTAAACCTCACCATTCTATTCCCGTGCTTGATTCGAGCGTGCAAATGAAAGTTTTGACCAATTTATATAGTTGTAGAGAGATTATGGTAGAGACAAGGTCCTGAATTCAGGACCTTGGGTAGAGAGATTATAGGTATTTGGCACTTTACCGTTCTATACATACATACATGAAGCACCGCACCATAGACACGGTGTCAAATAATTAATGTTGTTGTTCCATAATTCAGTAGCCAGCCCTGAGTATCAAAACAGTAGGGAGAAGGATAACACTGGTCAAGCCAATTTCTAATTCAAATGATCATTGTAGCCCTGAGAATGTCGCATCAATTAAGATGATTGAAAAAATACAGATAGTTTCATGTTTTATTAAAGTAAATTAAAGTTGTAAGGGGTGAGTAATGTTCTGGATTGATTTCCAATTTCAAGTTACTATAATTGAGGTCAATACTGCACTACATTTGCATTCAGGAAAATAAATGTGTCACTGACTAACATGCATGATCTAAATATGCTGACTAATAAAATAATAAATCTGGGACAGGGACATGGAGAAAGGTGACACAGTTTATGTAAAAATGTTTAAATGTGTCAACTTTCTCCATGTCCCTCTCTGTGTCATGTCTCATATATGCACGTATCTATATATGACGGTGAATTTTGTGATGACGAATTTATCATGTAGATATAAATATAAACAAGATTCTTACCGAATCAATGTCACAAATCACGCAAAATCGATCACGAGTAAATTAAATTATGGTTGAACCACTTTTTCATAATTTATGGAGCGTGACGATGTCCACGTTTTACAAAAAATGCCATATATAACAGGAAATGATCGTCATTCTGCTGGGAAATAATATCTCAGTCTCGCAAGACTATCGCAGAAGTTGGACTATCGTCGCAGCTCACGAACGTTTGCTTTTCCGTGAAGGGAAAGCCACTTTCTCCCGTAGCTCAAAATGTCGTATCAAGCTCAAGGAAAGTTGATCGCCATCTTAGAACTGGTGACAATTTTAAGCTCTTATCCTAAGCAATTCTTCACGGATTAACTGCATGGTTGGTAATTTTATTCGTAGATTGTGTGCTCATGCTGTCTCATGGGAGTGGTTGTAGCTGCGGTAGGTACACAAATCTTGGGTGCTCTGTTTTTCAGAAAGTATTATTCTGTCCTTGCAATCAGGTCATGTTTTCCATGAAGAAGGAAGAACTGTCCAAGGATGAACCCAAGCTGGAGAAATACCCAAACCTCCGAGAGTTCGTCGAAAGCTCTTGTAAATAAATATACATTTTGCACAGCCAGTCACCAGAAATTATTCTGATTCTCTGTCGTGTCGATTTTTAAACACAAAGTACTTTGATTATAAAATTCTTGAAAATTTAGCAACGGAGCAGGCCATGACATTTCTCATCCCAGGAGTTTACCTCACAGTGGAACTTATACTGGCTGGCATGCTGTACATTGGTGCGTCCGAGATCAAGCCTGCCTTATTGAAGACCTGGGTGGGATTGACCCTCTTGATGGGTACGCACATATGTCCGAGCAGTTATATACGGTTCCACATTTTATTAAAATTATTAAAATGCATATTCAATTTCTATGCATAGCTGCCGTCGGGGTAGTGTTTGCCGGTTTTGGAATTGTTTCAGCCCAGGATAAATTGGCCCCAATCGCTATCACTGCTTTCGGTAAGATACAGAAAATGCACATGAAATTAAATTTGTTTCAATAACTTACTCTCAATAAACCACGTCCGGCAGGCTATCTCTTCACGGCTTGGTCCATTTTGGTGGGATTCCAATTATCCAAACAAACTAAATCGGAAGGGGAACATTGAGTGAAATCATAACTTTTGAGGTTGAATATTAGGATCCTTCGATGTTTGTCTTGTAATATCAGTTGCAATAATAAAAAAACACAATTTTTACGGAAATTCGTCCTGTACTTTATTTCATTTATCCACGACTTTCGACTGTATACAAACATTTTCATGTGATCTCATATGCTATTAACTACTATTAAGTAATATGCGCATACAAATTTACTAGAGGTAGGTATGATATGGTAGAGGTAGATATGCATCATCTTTTCATCTTTTTTGCCAGCTACTCCGCACTGTTCGTCGTCGTCGGAGGCGCACCCGTGGCGTCGTTCGAACCGTCCGTGACGGGAGTAAGGTCAGATCCAGGTTGCGCCCCTTCAGCAGAAACCTCACCTCGTTCGCCAGCTGCGGCCGCGACGGCTTCTTCGGCCTCTTCCAGCTCAATCTGGTGCTGGATCTGGCGTTTCAACTTTATGATGTTGAGAATGAAGTCGTCCAGTTTTTCTGGTCAACGTACAAATTCAAAGAATCAGACCAGACACAACAAACATATGTCAGCGTGACATATCACGTGATAGAAATACCATGCAGAATGAGCACCATTATATTTAGTTATAATTGATTAATTATTAATTACCGTAGCCAGAAAGTTCCTTCAAGTATTTGAGCGTGTCGTCCAAAACTCCCTTCGACTTTCCAATCCAGACACTTTCATGGTCTGCAACGACAACATTAGTAACAAAATTGTCATCAATCTCAATGCCTCTTTAGAGAAAGTCTTACTCAGATCTTTGGGTGCGTTAAGACGGCGACGAACTTTGTCCAACCAGCGCATTGCGAATTTACGAACAATCTCCCACTTTTTGCGTGTAATCTCCTTCGCCATCTCGATCCTGGCGGCTAAGGTATTGCAATAATGATAACAGTGCATTTTTAAGATTTTGCTAGTTTTAAGGTATTACAAGTACGTATATCAATTCATCTTACGCAGCATAGCCCTGTCATGTTCCACGCGTCGCTGACGTTTGCTAGCGTTTGTCTCATTTTCCACCCGCAAGGCTTCCTCCAACTGACGATTTCGTTCCATTTTCGCCCTTCCAAATTCCAACTTGCTATCCAACCAGTTAATCTTGGCCAGTTCGGTTGTCTTTGCTGCCAAAATAATATTGTTCCTTTTTCTCGTCTCCGCTTGGACATCGACTACAGACGCGTTCTTTAATATTTCCCGTTGAACCATCATCCTCTCGAATCGAAGGCGATAAAGTCTCTCTGCAGTTTTCTTGTCCCGCTGATAACCCATCATGACCTATGAGAGGGTAAATACATGAATAACACCCTCATAAGCTTTCTGCTTAACTACAGTTAAGAAATTAATTTGCATGAAATAAATAACTTACACGGATCAGATTTTCTTGCGCTTTTTGCTCACGAAAGTGCGTCATCTGAGTTTCTATATGTCGTTCTCGATTGTAATGTTTGTGCATCCTATTTTGTCGGGCCTCCCTCTGAAATGCTTTGGCTCTGATTCTCCTAGAATTCAAAAAGGCTTGACGGCCCATCGTGCTGCTCAAGTAATTCTGAATGTTGACCATCTGCTGTCGCTGGTACTTCCAGTCCGAGTCCCGTCGAAATACGGCATCACCAACTTCATCGTTGAACATGGTGCCGAGATAGCCTCGAAACTGGTTAAACTCTCGGTGTGAGCAGAACACCTCGTTCCGCTCGTTGATGAAACCTTGTTTCCCGAGGAAGGATTTGACACCTGGTTGGAACAAGTACGTCCTTACGCTTGGGTCATGGAGCGCATTGTATGGAGTGGTCACAACTCGATCTTGGTTGCGCTGGTCGTACACCGTGTAGAAAGGGTGACACCGGTGAAGAGGTTCTCCCAACTTGCCACGAGCATAGTAAATGTATTTTTCTGGTGCCTTAACATAAGGGATTTTCAACTTCATGTCCATTTCGAACCATGATGGGAGTGCGGTGGGTGGGACGCTTCCTTCAGGACGAGGAATCTGATCCCGAATGAGGTCCAAACGGGTCTTTCTCCGAATCGTGAGCTTATCACAGTGAGGAATCGCCTTCGTATCCAGCGTGCTCCGAATTCCTTTCGTACCACAGAGCTGTTTCATGGCTGGGGTGGTGTGGGGTCGGACGAAGAGCTTCATCCGCTTCATTTCAACGGAGTCGTCGACAGGGGCGAGGTAGCCTTCCTCGTACTCATCGTACTCGTCTTCATCATACAAACCAGTGGCTGAGGGTGCCGTGGACGGAACGACGGCCATTATTCACAGTTTGGAAGTAGATCAGTGGGAGCTGAATTCTTCGTATTGTTTACAAACAAATCTTGTGTAGTACAAAGGGTGATATTGCTTACGGACCTCTCACTTATTATCGTGCCTTGTCGAAAAAAAATTTTACAGGTACTTATGTAAAATAATTTATAATACAAATAATCCCTTTGGTTGCCATATTGATCAGGGTCAAAGTATTCTTTTGGAATTATTTATCTATATTTGACCGTCGTGTTATCTTGATACAAGGCAAAGTTGGATTATTGAACCAAAGCCCAGTCAAGTTACAAGTCATGAACTCCTTGCAGAAAATACGGAAAACTCTCCTGACTGCTCCAGAGTTTGAGGGACGTCACCCAAGCCAAGAGCATACAGGATTTTTTACGCCCAAAAGAGCCAAGAGTGTTCCTAACTTTGCTCTTGACTTGGCTGGCGAGGATGAAAATGGGGGTGTTGTCCCATTGCCCGTAATCAGAGACAGCGATGATGACGGTGGCGACAGAGCGACATGCAAATGTGGTTAAGTCAAGATATTTACTTAAATTTTCATACTTTTTCAATGACTTCAATAAAATGTAAAATAATTTGCTCGTTCTTTATGCAGCTAAGAAGCTACGATCAACGTTTAAGCGGAGACTTCGGATATTCAATGAGGTGTCTGCCACGAACTTAAAAATTGGAACTGGGGCGGAAGCTGGACTGTGGGACAATTGGGGTGTTTATTATTAAATATTTTATATTATAAAGTATTATTTTATAATATTTTATATTATTATTAGGTGTTTATTATTGCTCCAGTCGATTTGGACGATTTGCAAATCTCAACACATCATATTTCTCATTGGCTTCGCTCTTCGTCATTAGTCAGCACAATAACTTTAAAGCATGCACATTTTGACGTGTCGTGAATTATAATGTAGTTTCTCCAACTAAACCAACAGGTCAAGGCTCAATAATGTTCAACCTAATTTATTACATGCGTATGCACGGTGGCGTTGCTTTCCTGGTAGTTCTGGTGTTGGTGTACGTAAGGTAAACGATCATTTTTGGGCATAAAACATTTTTAACCTAACGCTTATCTTGATTGTCTCATTTTTATTGGCATAGTGTCGGCTATCCAATGTACGTCTTTGGTAAGCATTATTTTCTGCCCCAACTAGTACATGATACACAATGTTTTTAAGTTCTAATTAATTTTCATGGGCACTGATATAGAAACAATTATGGGACAGTACAGCGCCAGAAAACCATTGATGATGCTGCGTTTCATGTTGCCAGCTCTTACGGGTACACTTTTCTTACTCCAAATAAAGACATTTCTTAAAATTCCTACTTTGTGCGCACAGGGATTGGCCCAGCGCTGTATTTGCGGACACTTGTGAAGGCTGTGAACGCTCTTGGGACATTTTTATACTGTGCAATTCTGGCGTTTAGCATGTTCTTCTGCAGGAGTGACAACGTTCTCGGTATGGAAAATCTATAACTTTCTTTACCTCTTGCCACGATCGAATATATGGGACGTATTTTTCATAAAGTTTACAGATTTCTTGATGCGGAAGTCAGAAATAAAAAGTTCCATTTATTTTTTCTGAACGTCAGCAGAGCAGAGGGTGGGACCCTTGAACATGATTTGTACCATTGGTGGTATCTCATTATCTTCACAGTTGCATTACTGGTAACCAATTTAATGCGATTTTTATTAACATTGAACACATTCAAGGAATATTGTACGCATGATTTTGCAGATTCTCGTCGGTCAGAACTTGAAACTGCTGGGGCAGGTGGCAATGCTTGTTGTTCGTGTCCTCCTTTTAGCAATGACCGGTTATCTGCTGGTGGGATTATCCAGGATATCTGAAGCCAAAGGCAATTCCGTAGTCTACGGCCCCCTGCTAGAAACACTCCGTCCTTCGTGGATGAAAATATTTAAAGGGAAGGCCTGGATGGACGCCATGATTTTCGTGATACAGTCACTAGAACTGGGGACATTGGTCCAGGTTGGCTCTTTATTCTACTCCAGATATTTGAAATTGATAAGCAAGAGAACGCGCCTCACTTAAAGCATTCGTTCCCTTGCAGCCCTATTTGGCTTCCAAAAACTTTTTTCATTACCGATGCCACAGGTACATTTGCACGTTAATATTTATAAATAAGGACTGGAAGATTCTTTGTATGACTTGTTGAACATGGAGCTACAAAAAAAAATTATTTATAACCAGGGATGGTTTGTACCTTATCCTGTTGGCGATGGCTTGGAATTTCGCCTCCAGCATTGCAGCATTGTCTTGGCTTGGATATGTCGGAGTCAACAAGATTCAGATGAAGAATGCGAATGAGCACCTTTTCGGCCACTATGGCCTCACAATCGTCTTTATGCTGAAGCATCTTCAGGCAAGTTAAAATTATTATCGTCTTCACAATGGTCATGACGTTTCATACTTTCCGAAAAATCTTATAAGTATGTATGATTTTCTTTTGGTGTTAGGCTGAAATGACGGGTCAAGTGCAAGGAGATCTGTTATTCTTTAATGGTTGTTTTTACGCAATTGTTGGTGTTGCAGGTATGTATAAGTTACATGATTAGTACATACATACATACTTTAAATATATGTATGCATGTTTTAGTCTGATTTTTATAGTAAAAATTCAAATTTTTTCCGCAGCATTGTGTGCATTTCTGGTCTACATTATCATAATTGTGGATTGTTCCTATCCTGAAAGTGGTCAGTTGATTTTGAAAGCGCTGATCTTGGTGGTGATTGTGACCTTCTTCGGCACCATCGTCCCAATCCTTGTGATGCAACCTGTCAGAACTAGAAATAATTAAATACGCATTACTATTTCATGTTCTTCTGAAACATTAAAATGATTAAAAAAAATAACTTTAAAATTTCAGGACGGATTGCGATACCTCATTTTCCTCAATTACTACGTGCACAGGGGTTGGAGCCCTTATTTCATACTTGGCTGCTACTTTGGTGCAGTTGCGTTCGGACATGACATGGGAAAATTTATCCACGACTTTCTCAACATTATTCACTTGAAAGGTTACCAGTCCAAGCAGCATTCTTACCATGTTCCAAGAACCCTACGATACTTTGTGCTGGGCTTCCTCGGAGTGAGCATTAAAAAATTACAATGTAAGTAGCCTTAATAATTATTGGGCCTATTCGACAGGTGGGAATGATCTGCTCCATGTTTGGTCGACAATATCCTTATGAGGGTTTCACTGACTGGAGTGGAAGTGGAAAGTACATTGGAGCCCTGATTTCATCGTGTCCTCTGCTAGTTGTGATCACGATTGGGATTTATCAACGAGCCAAGTTAGGGGTCAGTCCAGTATTCAGTTCTGCAATTATTGAATAGTTTTTCATAGCGTCTGAATTTCTACACAATAAAGGGTTTGCATGCACGACCCTTTTGTAACTAAATTCATCTTCATTTCTAATGTATGTTGGTAGAAACCATCACTGAAGCCACATCGGGATTGGTATAAGAACAAACATCATAAAAACGTCTGTTTTGCAGACTTTGCCCACTTTAAAGGAATTCCGGCCCTGAGGGACCCCGACAGGCGACTTGGGGATGGTATGCATATTATCCTCGTTTTATGTACAAACTTGATGGAATTTCAATTGTAATTTATAGGCGACAAGAATGGGGATGATGTTGAATCTGTCCCTTGATTTGTGTGTTTATTGTTACATTTATTTCCTAAAAACGACTCAATGTATCCGCTTAGAAATAACATTCGATTAAAATTATATGATACACAACATTTGGTTAAGAACATAGTACATCTAAACGTGACAAGAACTTCTTGTATTCTTGATCCGTCAATGCCGGAAAGTCGCTCATTGACGCTTTCAACTCGTTCGATGCCAGAACAACCTGCAAATTATTCTTATGGTAAAAATAACTCTACAAGCTGTAGAAATAATAATCTGACCAATTATCCAGCCGTTTGGTCGGCGAACGCGCCACGCGTCATGTGTCCAACACCACAGTGTTAGAATATCACTGTGGAGTAGGACATCTGACCTCGATTCGTGACCTCGTGGCGCGTTCGCTGACCAAACGGTTGGATAATAGCATCATTTACCGTAAATTCATTAAAAACCGAGAAATATATTTCCAAGTCTCGAATATTTGGTAGTGAAATAACTTTCCACGGAGTCTTTTCGTTTTTGACCAAGTCGTAAATCTGGATCCCTTCTTTCAAGGCGACATAGATCACGGAGAGGCGTTTCTTACTAAAGTGAACTCTCAAAGGTTGAGCGTCGCAGTTAATGGTCAACAATACTTTGCGATACTGAAGGGAATACAGTCGACATTTTCCGTCCGTTGACCCAGTCTAAAATATTCAGTATTCGACATCTTTATCACTTCAATGCTTGTTTCATGCTGCAAAGAATAGTAAACAATACTAACCAGGAGGATGTTCAAAGATGAGTTAATGTCCATCGCAGTGATCGACGTATTATATTCGGGTGGATAGTATTTTTGAATAAACAGCTTTTTTGAAACAATTGTGTCGTCTCCGCTTCGTCCTCCTTTCTCTTCGCTTCCAGTGAATCCATCACCTTCACCGTTTGATAAATTTCTATTGATTTTTTCAGATGTCATTTTGTAGTATTCTCGAACTTTAGCTTCGTCCTTTTTATTCTTCAGAAAGCTTGAGCGAATGGCGAAGCCGTTTACGGTCCCACAAATAAAATCCGGAATTGTTGTAGTGGAACCAATATTCTTGTTTGGGTCATTTGTTGGGGTCATGAATGTTGACACGAGTAAAACTTTCTCTGCTAAAGAGTCATTCAGATTGAGGGTAGTTTTGTGACATATATTCAGTCTGGACCAGTACGCCGTGTGTTTTGGGTACTGAGGATTCTCAATTATTTCACTGGAACGAAGTACGGACCAAGATTTAAATATACCGGAACGATCCATGGACAAAATCTATTAGCATTCAATTTTTAGGTTGCCACGATATGTCAAGCATCGTTTCAATGAAGTTTGCATAATTGCGAATATAGAAAGACTGCACTAGAAAACTTACCATTGAAGAGTCCTCTGTTTGTGAAACAACATTGATTCCTACAATTGCCTCCTTATGACTCTGATCCAATAGAGCTACATAAATTCGTAAAACGAAGCAGAATATGTATGCACAAAAATTAAGTGTGTGTCTTGTGAGCCTTTCGAATATTTATTTACCAGTGTCGATAGTTGCAGTTCGAATAGTTTGATCCTGGTAAAGTTTGTGATAGTCTTGATGCTCATCCAAGTCCCAAATCGCTAACCCACCATCTCGACCTCCAGCCACCACCAAGTGACCGTACACAAACAGCGTTATGGCAGTAACTTTGCCCCACATACGTAAAAAGTACTTGGGACAACTTGGTTCTTTCACATTCCAAATGGTTATCACACTTTTTGCATCACTTTTCCTGCATGAAATTAGATGTGCAATTTATTCATAGGACAACGGGGTGGCCAACTCATGCATACATTTTTATTTTTATCAACCTAATTACCTACGGGACTTTTCAACCGGATAAAAATTGGCACACGCCACAAAATCACCAGAACATGTGAGACATGCCATTTCCAAGCTGTTGAAAACCGCTAAACCCCGGCTCAGCTTGGCCTCCGAACGGGATCCTACAGCTTGACCATCGGAAAGGGCTAAACGCTTTTGTGATTCTAAAACGTACAACACTTTGCGACTCGCTCTTGAGATAAATTTTGAAATTCTACTCCAACTCGTCCCCACTTCGTACTCCCACTGCACTTGTTGTAAGCTGGGCTTGCTCCAAGTTTGGTCCCCCTTTTTCTCCTCGTATTGAACATTTGCTATGCCAGGTTCTCCACCAACGCCCAATGATTCCTGCATAATATAAATGAGTAAATGTAGCGTCATCTCAAGATATTTGTAAAATGAAGCATACCTCACGAAGAATATGGATATCAGACTGCTGAGCTTGATCAGTTGACCACGCTGGAGGTTTTTGTGTCCATTTGTGCCAAGATAGAGCACGATCCGTCTGACCAGAAAAGTTTGTTTGAAGTTTTTCTGTTTGCACTGATTTCTAAACGTTGACGTCACAATATCAATTGCCATTGCAAAAGAAATATAAAAAAGTGATATTGCATTACGTGATGGCTAAGTGTTCCAAATACGGAAAATGCATACTGCTCGGGCGAGTTTTCTAAATGGAATAACGTCACCGAATTGATTTTATGGAGCACTATCAGTTGTTGCAGTTTCTGTGATCGCGTCAGTTTATTTTCCTGTGAAATAAATCAACCATATTTATGCACAAATTTACTCAATTAATTGCAAGAAATCATTAAATGTGAACCTTTCCTTTTTCTGCTTTAGCACTTTCAAAATCAAATGTACGACGACGTGGACCTGCTGGATCAGCAATGCTATTCGAATGTGTTGGAAAATTTGGTGGAGATGTAGTAGAGATATTCTCTGAACGGTTGTATGAAACTTGTTGTTGTGTCGATTTGGTTTCCTCTCCAGCTTCTGCAAGTTTTCTGACACCCGAAGCACCGCCCGTGTTTCGAAAAAATCCTGGTTGGTTTGTCGGTAGAGAAGCTATTGAATAGTGCTGATCAATTAATGCTTCGTCGTCTTCAGACGATTCCACCAAGAAGTCTGGACCACGTTGTCCCTCCAGTTCACTCACGTCGTCCTGGTCATCCATCTCTGCAGCATATTTTTGTTTAGATACATCTGGGCCTTCTGCATCTCTTGTGGTAGATTGGGCATCATTAGTGTCGTCGTCAGTGCTGGGGTCTTGCTCAAAATCAGACTGATAGTCCTCCTAACGTTACATTAAAAGGCAAATCATTATTGTTGCGCGCTAGTCAGCAATTTTTAATCGTAAATATGTACTTCAAAGTCCTCATCGTAATCTACATCACCCTCAGCTTCCACTTTACTAGGTAATTTGCCTATTTGGGACGGGCTAGACGTTGTTTTAGTTATTTGCGAGAGGGACACGCTGGATTTCTGTATAGCTTGAGGCGTAGTCGTTGCTTTCAGTCGTTGTTGTTGTGGGGCAGTTATATTTTGTCCTAGTCGGGTATTTGGAGACTTTTGAACCGGAATGACTCCGCGTGTAGACTTTGTATTTGAGGGCACGCTGTTGGTTGGTTGTTGTCCTTGTTTTGGTTTGTTCAATTTTTTCGGTACAGTCGTCGTTGTCGCCGTATTCGCCGGTGGGGGTTTGCTCATTGTGGCGTTGATTGGTCCGTACTTCTCTGCGTACGACGCCTTAGATGCGGCAATGATGGACGATGGTTTTCCAGGTTTCCCAACGACACTTTTCGGTTTTGTGGATCCATACGCTTTCTCCAGAGATGATGATGCTTTAGTACTGGCAGTGGCAGTACTAATTTTTCCACGTTCAGGTTCTGCAGGTATTGCTGCTGCATTCTTACTTTTGTTGCCAGACGTACTGGGTATCGATTTCTTGTCCTAAATGGAAAGTTTAAAATGGTCAATCAATACGTGTTAAATTATAAATGGTGCTGAATAGTTTATGAATAATTGTAGCCTTAGTGCAGAATTTGCTGTCCCTTTCCCAGCCAATTATCACGAACATGCAATTCATACCTGTGTTCGGCGCATCTTTTCTATTTCAAATGTTTCAAAAAGGTTGACTATATTTTGAAAAACATCCGATTGATCAAAGGGTTATTTTTAAACTAGAAAATGACACCAGTAAGTTTTCATTGAGTGGAGAAAGTTTCAGAGGTGAAAGTTAGTCAACATGCATGCACCGTAACCATGCAACGTCTGCATAAACATGCGACAGCTCGTTGCCCAAATCCCAATGGCAAGTCAAACTCATAATAGCGTCCAAAGCAAAGCCTTGTGCATGTATTACTGTATCTACTTGATTGAACATATTTTTAAGATTTATGAACTCACGAAACATCCAGAAGAGACAAATAATTCTCAGAGTTAATTATCAGAGACAAAATAACGTATCTGCTCGTTCTATCTCAAAATTTATAAAATTACACACGTTGTTGCATCACAAAAAATTGTATCATTTTACAGTATGCATTTTACATTTGAATGTATGACATCATCTGAACACTATTTTGCATAATTACTCAAATCTCTAACCCGAAGTATAGATGAAAATGTCACTTATCGCATGCTTGTCGCACAAGGACCATGGAACCGAACCCCATCGAGTGTGATTCTCTGCGGTAATTGTTTGTACACACTTTGCACAAACTTTGCGCACACTCAACGTTCAAGTTTTTAAAAGAAGTAAGAACAAAGAATTTAAAGTCATAGTCTCTTCTAGTTGATAACGCCTCGAATATCAAGCCAAGATGGATTATCTCGACCTTGGCTCCTCCGATTCAGACGAGGAGGATATTTCTCGTGGTGAAGCTGGTGGTGCCATGGACAGGTATTTAGTAAAGAGCTGTGCATTATGTATATAATTTTTTAGGATAATAACTATTAACTTTGACTAACTATTGATCTTTGGATATATTTATATTTGTGTATAGCGACGAAGAAGAACGGATCGATAACAATCGAATTTTGAAAATGTTAAGCCTTAAATCCGCACAAACTTCGAATTCGAAAAGTGCCCAGAAAATGTTGGACTTTGAAGCAGAGATGGAGGCCGAACTGGATCGGAGAGCGTCCCTAATTGAAAACGAAGGTGGACTGGAACACCAGCGGTCACTAAATCGGTCTTCTTCTTCATCGTCCCTTCATTCCTTGGGTGGAGGTAGCAATAAAAAGTTAGCTATTCTTGGAGATGCACCGCCGCCTGGTCGTCCAAGCTGTATGGCTGGAACGTCGTCATCTTCTGGACAGAAGAGGGTAAAATTTCAGTCGGACACCAATTCAGTAGTGGGAAAAGAAGTTATCGAGGCTGGAACAATAAGTACTCCTGCAATCTCGACTAATCCCCTTCCTGAGGGATCAAACGTCGGACAAGAAAATAATTCATGTTACGACAACATCTACTTTGACTCTGATGAAAGTGATGGAGAGAATGAAGATTTGCAAAAACACCGCAAAGCAAAGAGAAAGCTCTTGTCAAATGACGAGCTGTTCTATGACCCAGACTCCGACGTTGCTGATCAAGCTTGGGTGGATAAGCAACGACGTCGCTACTGCAGGCCTGTACCTGGAAAGAAACCACCCAAAGGGTCAGTAAATTCAGCGACGGCGACTAATACCGCTACTTCTGCAACATCCTCGTCATCATCATCAGCTACAAAAGCCAATTCTACCAGCGCCAGTGCCACACCTTTGGAGGAAACCTCAGCTTCAGAAACACCAACTACCACTGAGGTTCCACTTCCTAGTACAGATGCTGTTTTAAATTGTCCAGCTTGCTTTACCGTGTTATGCATGGATTGTCAAAGACACGAGTTTTATTCAGGCCAGTTTAGAGCAATGTTTGCAATGAATTGCAAAATCGATCGTAGTGAAACGTTAACTGTTCCATTAAAAATTAGCAAGTCCAAGGGGAAGAGGGATAGGAAAAAGGGTTTGCCTGCAGAGGAAACAATGTCCAATGTTCCAAGTTCAGACTCGGACAAGTTTTTTCCTGTGCGGTGTAGGGTGTGCAATTCTCAGGTAGCTGTTTATGATTCTGAGGAAATTTATCATTTTTTCAACTGCTTGGCTTCCCATCCTTGATTAATGGACTAACGTATAGGATAATATGCAATTTTTGTATTTTCAGTTACATTGGTATATGATTAAAGTATGAATATTAAAGATTAAATAACGCAAACTAAATATAATATTTAGGTTTTGTGATATTTATTTCAAAGACCAATTTGTCGACCTACACAATTTATCAACCGATTGACTCACATAAGTACATGGCATATATTTATGAGGGATAGTTATTATATATGCATGAATAATTATGTAAAGTAAATACTCTTACTAATCCTGAGTGTGTACACTAAAGCCATGTTTGAATCAAAGAAAGCTACATCTCAACCGGGTCAAGCTTGGAACTCATTGAAGTGGAGTGTAAGGTTAGTATATAATAGAGTTGAATATCAAATGATTTTGGAAATCATGAGTGTACAAAAGTTTAGATTTCTTAGAAGGAAACAGTTTTCATAACATCATGGATCCAAAGCCAAAGGTCCGCTTCATCGCATCCCAGTAATACTTATCCCATCCTTCTTTAGTTCGTTCTAGATCAGATTCGGGAACTCCCTGTTGAATTAATAAATAAATCTTCATCATCAAGAAGAGTGAGAGGATCAAGAAAAGACTACTCTGAGCCCGATAGTTATGATGGCGACGACAATAGTGACCCGGAATAGAATGATATTCTCCAAAACAAGCATGAATTTATATCGCCAATGTCCAACCTAACTATAACCTAACCTTTTGTCGAACGGTGATTTCGGTTGAGTCTGATTTTTGTGTAATTGTAAAAGTTACACGAGAGAAAATCCCATCTGGCCAAGATTTAAATCGCCAGTCCTGCACAATTTTATTGGGTTCTTCGAGCTCTAATATCTTTCCATGCACGTTTCCTCCAAACATTTCGAAGGTTCCACCAACTTTGGGCTCCATTCGTCCTGAACCATTCGTAAAAGCGGCAAACATCTAAAACATTCATTTAACACATTATAGTTTAAATTATTTCAATCATCGCCATTATAATGAATGTGTGATAATTCAGTTGATCCTAAAGGTACCTCAGGTCGCGTAAGAGCATTGTAAACGTCCTGGGCAGCACATTTCATTGTTGAAGACGTTTTTAGATCAGTTAAATTTAATTTCACTGGTTCTGTTGATTTCCTTTCTGTTTTGACTCCATTTTTTGGGACACTAGGTGTGGACGAGTCTTCCAAAGTAAGATTAGACATGCATGAATTAGTGGAACTAGTGCCGGATTCCTTCTTGGGCAGAATCATTCCTTGCGTAAATTCTGTGAAACGCACAAACAATTTATCTATTTAGCTCATTTATATTTTGCATTTTTTGTTTCATTTTGCTTCAATACCTTGCTGAAGAGCTTCAACATATTTCTCTAATAGGGCTTGAATTTGCTTTGTGCCATCAATTCGAAGGGCTTTTTTAAGAAGTTCAGCATCTGCGAGCTTAGACTCTGTCAAAAATTGAATCTAAAAAGCAACAAAGCAAATTAACGTGCTTAAAAAAATTGCAGATTGGGATTTGAATTTAAATGTTGCGTCCTCACATCTAGATCGTTGATACCATTTTCATCACTTAGATTTGGGATTTCTACAGTTCCTGAGATAGTTTCACTTGATTCGTTATTAAGTTTAGCCTTCCATTTAAGTCGCAATTCCCACTCAAAGAAAATTATAATTTTTGCCTTCCTATTATCTGTAATATTGAAAACAAGTAACGAAATCAGATCGAGTAAGTGATGCACAAAGAAATATATTATGTAATAAAATAATGGATGCCTGACATCCTCTAGATAATTTATTTAAAAAATGATATATTATTGACAACACTGATTTTATCTAACTAATAAGTCATGGGTCACCTGAATTTTCAGGCTTACTGGATTGTATCACAGAATTATTAATTGTACAAATTGTTATAAAAAATTTATTTAACTCACTTGCAGACGCATCTCCTTCACATTTTTCTAACTCCGTTATCTTGCAAGTCCCTGAGATTCAAAAAATTTCGACAAACATTAATGACCAGTTTATTCTTGAATTAATGAAGTAAAGATAAACTATGTAGGTGAAATTGCACATGTATTATGGGCAGATGGTTATACATACCAACGGTTGTTTCAATTTTAAAATCGGTGAACAATTCTTTCAACTTATCCTTGGACCATTGACAGGCATTTTTTTCGGTCCTAAAAACAGATCAACCACGAGCTGTTATTATGTAATTAACTTGATGTTATTTTTATATTGTATTTTATACCAATGCCAGTTGTTAACATTTGTAGCATCTGGCCTTTCCTCAACTTTAATCAATCAAAAAAATTAAACAAACTGAGACGGTTTTAACTTTACTTTTGTAACTTTGAACAATTACCTATCCAACGCGGGTCCCCTTCTCCCCATTTTGCCATCTTTATAAACAATAATTAGCCTAAAACAGAAAAGTACAATGCATAATTTGTGATGTTAATTGAAGTGAAACAAATTCAAGAATGACCGAAATGAATTGCCGACTTGTTAACTTACGCAATAACCGACACGACAGAATAGAGAAAAGCTGTCTAACACACCCGAACACACGTGTGTTTTGTGGGGGTGAGGTCAACAGGGTCACTGGGCCTTAGTTTTGAGGGAGCATGGAACGACTCTTATCCGGTGCATGGATGATGACTGGAAATTCAAGAGAGGAACCAGAAAGAAACCATGTGAAGATTCTAGAATTCGTTTTAGGGCCGTTCACCGTTCGCACATTCGTTGGAAACTGCCAATCCGAAGGAATAGGAATTTCTCAATTTCCTCCGCCACCATCACCCCCAGGGTCATGGTCCTCCTTCCAAAAATAACGGTATAACATTATTATTATGAATCTTATCAGGGTGTACAAAACATTTGCCATTTGCGAATACACCTTTTGAATAAAAAGTTTGTCAGATTCGTTCAATTTGCTTGACTGATAAAACGACTGTTACCAATTAATAACCAATTAATAATTCAATTTCATGAATCAAGTGTTTCAATGCATGGTGGGTGGAAGTTCATAAACCGGAAGACCCATTATTCATTCATTCATTCATGATAAGTATTCATATAAGTATTCATATGGTTAGTTCAGGGTAGTCTCATCTTGACCCTTCCATTGTAAAGGGCCTGTCAGGCAGACCCTTTTACGAAGGAAAATTCTATCCAAGGCACAAAATATGGGAACATTTTGGGGTGGAGGATGAGTGAGCGTGAGGTCCGTGATGGTGGTGGAGGCAGAAAGCCTATAGTTTTGGTATAATAATAAAGCCTCTCATATTTCGGAGTAGCGGCCGCATCGTCTATCCATTCCTTCTTCTTGTTCATTCTTGGACAAAACTGGCTCCACTCTCGCCTTGCTCTCTCTCGCTCTCCTGTGAAATAAAATTATTCCCCTTCGTCCTGTCAAAACAAGGACGCAGAGGTCACAGTAAAAAACTTATCATTGGCAAGGCCGTGCGCCTGGATACTGTTTCATTAACAAGAGGTGGCTGAGTATCATTCGCTGGTCAGGCAGGAAGCGAATAAAGACGATACGTGACTTGCCCAGGTAATATGAATAAAAAATTATTATTACCCACCCTTTATATTTAGTTTGTGATTGACTGGAGTTTTTCGTTGTCGGTGAATAAATGTTTAGCATCGGTGACGAGGACGTTCTTTTCATTAATTTGTACTAAAATATTATAATCACACTATGATAGTGTCACTATCTCCTGATCCTCAAGAAAATGTGAAATGGCAGTTTGCAATCGAAAGCTAGACAATAAGCTATTATTTTTACCAAAACTCCTTTGTACTTAATGTTAGGTTATTGGTTATTGCTGATGAGAACAGAGTATGTACAAGTAGTGCAACAATGCTGTGCTATTAATTGTAAATCATCATTTTCAGACACGGTGGGCGATAATACGGACACTAGCAATAAGGCTGGGACACTAGTGGCAGTATGTCGGCAAAAGGAGATGATGATGGGCCCAGGGTCTACATTCCTCCTTCTCGGGAGGAAATAGCCGGAAGTTTTCAATGGTGAGAATTGAAAACTATATCAATTATCCAGTTATATTGAATATTGGTTTGCTCTATGTCAGGATTAATAATTATAACGTGTTACAACACAGGACCAATCGGAATGCTCGGGACTGGTCTAAAATCAAATTCAGAGAACTCTTTAAGGATCAACAGTTTGACACAAATGCAGGTCTGTATTATTTCAAATACGTAAATCATAAATAATGATGGGGTCAAATAAATAAAATACTGCCTTTGCGTTTCAGGAGTTTGCAAAATTACCGATATAGATAAATGTGAAGGTGATGCGTACGCAGTTCGGAACCAAGGGTACTCTGCAGTGTATGACTGGACTATAAAACTAAAATGGCAAGGAAGGCCTAAAGAAGCTCAAGAGTTAGCAGTGACTGGGACAATAGAGATTAGCAATTTTAGTTCCAGTAGCAGTGCAAATGATCTCAAGGTAAGCAAGCCATGATATATAGCTTGGACCTTGAAAGTTAGTACTTTTGTCTGGCTGAATCCATAGGAATAAATTAAATTGATAATCTGTTGTGTTTCTGTGCAGATACAATTGCAGACTGATATTCGTCGACCGGAATCGGATAGGTTGATGGCAGCGTTTCGTTCCGTCGTCATACCCAGATTGCGTGGCCATCTCGAAAATTATGTTTATTTCCTTCTGGACGTTCTAAGGGCCCCAAGTCGCACTTCCGCACCTGCCAAACCCAAACCTCACGTTTGGCTTAAAACAAATCAACCGGACGTTGCTGAAAGTGAAACCTCCAACAGTCAAGCTCCTTCGCATATCGACATATTCCAAGAGCGTGAAGGAGGTGTGTGTTTTTTCATATCCTTTACAAATTTTGCAGGTCACTTGTCACTATGAACTAATTCAAATACTATAACATTACAATATGTCTGTAATAGCTGGTGGGATGCGCGTTGGACGGGATTTCCAATCCAAAATCCCTCCGTTACTTTCCTTAGAAGGTATAATAAAAACGTTCATGTACAACTAATTTAATTATATAATTTTAAGAAGGGCTAACCAATAATGAACAGTATAAAATATAACGACTAATACTTTAAACTTCCTCTTCTTATAATTCTTATAGATAGGCAATCCCCCCAAGAAAATAATGATAAAGCTCTTCTGGTTTGGTCACCTCCTGTCCACATGAGCGAGGAAGAGAGTGAGTAGTTATTTATGTTTTATTAAAGTAACATTTTACTTCTTGTTTAATATATATTTATCATTTATACTTCTTTATTTATATAGTTGAAAGGTATTTGGAAATATCACGAGACAAATACCAATATTCTGGAGAACAAGCCTTGGGGTTGCTATTTTGGCATCGATATGATGTCGAAAAATCGTTACAAGATCTTGGAAATTTTACACCCCATCCAGAGGAATGGACTGTTGAGGATAAGGTTCTTTTTGAACAAGCCTTCCAGTTTCATGGAAAAGCCTTTGACCGTATTCGTCAGATGGTATTCATTACACTTTGCTTTTAATTATGCGCATTTCTATCATAAGATATAGTGATTGATGATATAACGAATTTTGCAGTTACCTGACAAGTCCATGTCCAATCTTATCAGATACTATTACAAATGGAAGAAGTTCAAAAATAAGACTAGCGTGATGGATCGACAAGCAAAGAAATTTTCCCAAGAAGACGGGGAAGAAGCTCCATTGGGAGCAACGAATAACAATAACAACAAACACTCCACTTCCGCCGCTGGTGGGCCGACGTACAAGACTTCCTCTCATCATGGAAATGGGTCATCAGACGTGGAGAGCGATGAAGTAATAGAATTAGAGGAGGACGAATTTTACGAATAATAAGTTTATACTACATACTACTTTACGGATTTTATTATGGCTAAGATGTCGTCTATATAGTTAGCTATAATCAATATAGGGTTTCCCAATATATCTCCTTCTTTTTGTTCGGACATTGTTATGAACGAACATTTAACGATCTTATTGTAAACTGATGTGATGTGACTGCTTCGTCGGAATCGGAAAGTCTGGTTATCTCAAAAAATATTCTCTTGCACACACAAGTTTTCTCCCGTTCCCGATTTGCATTTCTACGGGTTGAATCTCGTCTATTTGTACTTACTACTTTCTAGGCTACATAATTATCATACCTTAATATCCCTTCATTTATTACAGACAATTCCTATACTGTTCCATTTTAGATTTCATAAATGGAATAAATTTGGAAATTACTTACATATGCCAAACCACACAAATTAAAGTATTAATAAACTAATTAAATGACTTGTAATAATAATGAAACTTGTAACTTTTATTATATGGTTTTAGGGAATGATAGGCCTTGCGTCATAACTAGAAAAAAATTGTAGTAGTACCAAAACAGAAGCATATACATATTCGACCTATCACTAGTAGCTAATGAAATGAATTAATTTTTTCTAAAAATACTTTCGTATTTCACTTGACAGAAAAAGGGAAGAGGAGATTTATGTTCAAATTGCGGAATTCCATGCAAATGGCTGGTCGTGAACGAGGATATGTGCAACACTTGCTTTTTGTATTGGAAGTACGTATTGAACAAAATTTTAAAATAGAAATTTCAATGTAGAAATAAATATTAATTCTCTGATTTTTTTGTTACTGATTGTTAGGAAATCTGGTGGATCATTTAGGCCATTAACAGGCCCACAGAAGCGAGGTGAAAGGCAGGTAGAGGAAAAGATTTGTATATATATTATTCACATTGTACAATTTCATTCTCATGAAAAACGTGTGTATTGACATATTGAAGTAAGCAAGGCTTCTCCTCATTCTTTTAGTCATCAGCATTTAAAAAATCAACATAGGAGACAAAATCAGTTTTTCTCTCATGAATTCTCTTCCTTGTATTTGATAAACTGTTGTTGGTACTTTTTGCTTCCTACTGGCGCAGATTTTGGGTGCATTGCGTCAGCGTAGGTCTCCTCCGAAAGGAATGTCCATCAACCATGACGATTTAAATACCCTAGCTACTTCCCCTCCACAAACTGAGAATGTTACAATTCAAGGGTTGGAAAAAGCTGTTCTCGATGAAAAATGCAAAGTATTATTAATCATCTCTATTAATTGCCTCTTTAATGTCACGGTTTCCCATAATTATGTTTACAATTATGAAATTGACATTAGGTTCAGATAAAGAAACAAGAGATTGAAATGTTAAAACGGGGCCTTCCGAAGGACGGAATGGGCATGTATCGCCCAAAGGATAACCTTCCCTCGTCAAGTGCAAGTGCCACTACTAGAACTAAAGTAGTCACTCCGCACTGGTCCCAAGAAGAGCTCCTAATGGCTACACAAGGTTTGGCTCTGGAGGACTCTCATAACTAATTTGCTGTTATTATAGTTTTCTTTGTTGAAGAACTTCTAATTTGCGTGAATTAAAATGGTTTTACTCCTGATACTTTTAGTGCATGTCTTCAGTCTATATTTAGTCATGTCATTATTTTAACAACCATATTCCCATCTCATTTATTAATCTGTTAAGCTTTTGATCTGTATGTTTTTTTTAGACTAGCAGCATTTTCTTTTATTGTTCAAATTGATTAATTATTCTCATGTTGCATTGTCCGCATTTCTAGGAGTACGTCGTTATGGCCGAGATTTTCAAAAAATTGCAAAAGTACTTGGAACGAAAACCGAAGCTCACATGAAATGTTTTTACACCACACACAAGAAGCGTTACAATTTGGATCAATTAATTAAAGAGTATGAGTTGGAGAACGAAAACCATTCAGAGAAGTAAATGAATATTAGAATAATTATGATTCTTTAAAGATACTTAATGTCAAACATTGGGAAAGGTTTAATTATGATAATTGGCGAAATAAAAATCGCATACATATATTTGTGTTGAAATTATTGATAGCTTAAATTATTTTTAGGCTATTTCGCTTTTTAAAAGTTCTCTAACACAACGAAAAAGTGGAATATATTTATACACTCCTTATGTTTGTCCAATAAAAAAAGTTACAAAATTGGTCGGTAAAGTTAAAATCAAGTTACTGTCTGTTCAGCTCTATTGGTCCATTAAGTTTTCGTCCAGAGTCACCTCACCTGGTTGGCAGTGAAAGTGAAGGACGAACCCATCCGGATACCGCACAAATGCACTGAAATTAAATATTATGTATGTATATTCACAATGGTTTCCATATTTTGTGGGATATATATTGATATAAAGTACACACTTTTGGCTAGCAATTTTCTTATTGCACATTGCGCATGGAGTACTTTCATCCAGATAAAATCTTTCAGCTTCGACTCCACTTTTTTCGCCAGAAGCCTAAATAAACAGTAATGCGAAGTTTAGTTTCAAATTATTTAAATCCAACAACATTACACGATATATATTTACATAATAAAGGCTGAAATAATCTTACTCTTAGGAACTCTGCTTTGATTAGCCCTTTTTGAATCAAGTACTTTCTCTTTTCTGAAAGTCGGTTTTGAACACTGGTCATGAGAAATTTCTGAATATCTGACAATTGGACTTCATCTGGTAAACAGCTTAGCACCTTAATATATTCAAAAATAATAACAATCATAATTTAAATCAGATATTTTACTATAAAATGTGTAAAACTGCAATAAATTGTACTTGAATTGGGTCAAGATAAGGAGCGTAATCTTTTAGCAACATCATTACACTTGGAATGTCAGATACATGGGGTGAAAGCTCAAGGGAAAGTCCAGGGAGGGAGACTGGAGTAGGCCCGCTGAGTAACATTTTCATTAAAACTGAAAATACTTCTTTTTTAGAGACATCACTCTTCTCGTAGATCATTTTACAGTACTCCATCGCCTTTCTAGGGTCCTTCAACACTGTCACGTAAATAGCTAGCACTTGATCATGTCTTCCCATTCGCTCAAGAACCATGGCCCGCTCTTCAAACATGCCTAGAAATGAAAATCATGGAAATTAATTGAATTGAATGATGATTTTTTTAAAATTACGCAATATTAATGCCGAGCTACTTACACTCGTATGGAAAATGAACAAGGACAATTTCTGGTGAGTAATATTGCGACTTTTGAAGAAAGAGACGCAGAGTTTCCAAAAACTTGGTTTTGAGTGACGGCTCTGTTTCCTCCATATACTTGTCCAAGTACTCGTTAACTAAAGCATTATGGAACAGAGAATTCTTTTCATCCCAGACATTAATGATATGCTCGAGATATCCGATTTTGCTGCGAGGAAAATTTTTGGAAATAAAATCAAAAACACGAGGACGCGAGAGTTGATCAACTTCTTGCAAATCTTCAGTAAATATTTTTAGCCCCTTTTCAGGATTTTCTTCAAAAATATATTTTGCAAATTCAAGGATTAAATCCATTTCTTCTCTTCCTAGCTTTTGTAGGTACTCAATCACTCCGTCTGTATCATTCTGTTTTAATAGCGTTTCTAGAGCCTGAAATATACAAATTAAGCCAATATAAAGCGTACCAGGTGTGGGAATCGAACAGTTTAAAAAGTATACCTTGCGGTGATTTCCTTTTGTTTGGTATAAAATAATCAGTTCGTTGAATTTCTTGTGTTTAATCAAAGCCCGTTCTGTTTCATCAATATGACAGTGATTGTCCTTCAATCGGAGCAATGAGGCAACAAGGGATTCCTTTGACTATAACAAAAACGTAATATATGCATAAACAAATTATATTGTTCATATTAGTACTAACAGTAAATTACTATCTGATTCCTCTATTTTATTATGGCTGAAAATAACAAGCAACATACCTGGAGATAACACTTGAGCAGAGTTGTATCAATAATTTGCAGCAATTGTTTCTTAGATTTTATAATTGTAGCACCTTCAACAATCGAAGCAGACTCGGTTACTGTTTGACTTGAATTTCCTAGCAGTACCGTACGACTCTAAATAATTCATAAAAAATAACCAAACTCAATTCTTATTGAATTAGGTAATACTGAATACATAGGATACTTACATTGGTTAAAAACATGATTAGATTGGCCATTGCACCATCAATATCAACTCCCCTGAGTTCTGGAACAACTCCTGGGTAGTCAATCTGGAGTCGAAACTCCTGAGGTAGTAATCCAGGATACAGCCCAATAACATGCGAGGCATCTAAACGGAATAATTGGGTAAGGAATTGCGGGATAATTTTATGGAAAATATAAGTCTACCTGTCCCAAGTTCCATAAAAATTGTCATTGCCTCTTTATATTTTCGGTTGCAAAATAGATAAAAGGCGAACAGGTTTTTAATTTGAGTGATTTTCTTTTGTTTCTCAGATGGAACCTCTTTCCATATATTCGCAAGTCCTAAAGCGAGCTCAAAATGATTTTGCTTCACAAATAGATCCATTTGTGCGACCACAGGGGTTGATTTTAAAGCCCATAAAGAATCATGCGACGCCACATAAATGAATCCACTTTTCGGAGAACAGGCCAGCTTTGCTTGTGCGATATTAAATAAGTCAATTTTGAGTTTTGGTTTATACGTTCTAACTTCCATGCCGAAACCACCAAGTACTCCAATAAAATATGGCTCATCATACACTAAGTAACAGATTGAAATCATTAAAAATGTGACTTTAAGCTTGTCAATAATTAGAAATTACGTTATTTATACCTAGAGAAATGGGATGCTCTGTCCAGGTAATTACAGGATTTTTTTCCTTCATGTTCTTTTCTTCTGTCGCTTCTTGTTGAGATTTCTTGACTTCGGATTTGTTGGTCAGCTTAAACAAGAAACAATGTTTATCATTTACTGCGGCATATTCAGTTGGAGACACAGGCGTTATTATCGGCTCTCCATATTTGCTACTACGAGAACAAACGTCTTTCTGTTTGCCAGATAACATCTAAAACAAGTAAGAAACGAAACTATTTTCAAGGATTATACTTTGTATTTCATAAACAAATATTATGAAAGTGTACTAACATCGATTTCACAATACTCATTCTTGAACCCAAGCACAATAACTTCTTTGCACCAGGCCAATGCTCTTGGACAATCTGGAATGGCTAAATCATCACGGAGTGGAAAAAAACTTCTATTTTTCCAGTAGTAAAACTGAAGAGACCGATTAATCGCAACACACATGCGGACAGTTATTGAGGGACCACCAGTTAATGACATTTGTCTCTAAAAGAACAACATCTTCACATTTATAACTACATGCATTTTCATTCGTACTAATTATCACGTTATTTCATTAAACACAAATGATTACCTGAATATTTAAAGCAAATATTGAAGCTCCTTTCGTTCCGTCAATGGAACTTATACATTTGCAATGATACATTGACAAATCATGAGTGCTTATACCCTCTGGAAAATAATCATTCTAATAAGTATATCGTATTTTATTTTCTTATCCAGTTTGAATTGTATTTCACCTGTAGTGAGCGCAATCAATATTTTGTGCTCTGGAATAACATCTAACTGAATCACAGATTTCCGCGTTGCAGTTGTGCCTATAGCTGTCGTAAAGTTTTTGTTGGATAAAGTAATTTCAATGTCTGCGTGCAGCTTTGCTTGATTCCGGAATGTGATTTTGTATATCAGCAAATGTCCCTCTTTAGACCCGACAATGACGAAATCATCTAGCAATGCATAAATCATGTGCTTAATTCGTTTCCCACATGGTCAAATAATTTGACTCAAATTATTCCAAATTATTAAATGGCATACCATAACCAGTCATGCATTCGATATGCAAAGGTAATCCACTGATAAGACCGCACATTTCATAAACATTGTTCCCACTCGAGCACACCAGCTTATTGCTCGACTCCAAGCTCGTTGCAGAGGCCGAAGTAGTTAAAGTAGTCATGTTAATTTACTCAAAATTTGTATAGCTATTTTATTCTTTCTTTGCACCAAGCAAACAGACAAACATATTGCAAACAATCTTATAGCTAACTGGTTACACTAAAAGTTGTAAATATACTCAAATAATCGAGTCAAAACTTTAAAGTTGTTGTTAAAAATATGAAGAGCACAAACTCAAGTTTGTCGCAGATGATATTTCCTCCCTGTTGTTTTGATTATGGGTCAAAATTTGAGAACCGCGCGGGCAAGAGCTGGGGCACTTTGGCCTCGCTGCATGAGTCACCCTTCAAAATAATAATACAATTTCCCAAGGGGCGGATCCAGCTATTTTGCTCTTTCCTGCTTTTAATCCTTACAAACAAATTCACAAAATCTGATCCAAACCAATTTTAAAATTTTACCCTCATTCCTCTTCCAACCTTTCCTTCAAGCCGGCTTCGTATGATGCATTTACCAAGATCGTCCCATGCATTATCATAGGGCGTGTCGGTGGCCCATATTATACTACATACCTCGAATGCAGTTTTGGGGTGCATCCAAAATGATTAATTTCTCAGAAAATGAAGACTAATTTGCAAAATAATAATTCGTACAGTAGTATAGTCAATCTTGCTACAAATTACTTTGCCAATGAGACAGCGTATTTTAGTTCTCTGGAGAACATTTAAAATTAGCAATAATTTAGTAGGCATGATTCCTTTCAATAGTGCTGCAATTCTGTGAGGAAAAATTGTTGGGTAGCTTTTGCACAGTAAATACTGAATAAATACTAATTTGCATTGTTTCCAGTTATGTAATCGAGGGTTGACGTGAATTGTGCATGTTCCGCGAGCAGCACTCTTTACATCCAGCCCTGAGAGCGGCCTTCATTGGACGGGATTGGGCTTGGTCTGCTCTGTCTGCTGCTGAAAGTCCATACAATAACAATGGCGATTTGAAGACCGACAATTGGGAGCTATCGAAATTGTTTAAAGTGCAAGTGTGTGAAGTGAGCGAGTGAGGTGTGGGAGTGAGTGATCATCGGTTCCATAACCACACAGCTGTCTTATCTTCTTATCGCTTATCATCATTGTTTACCATTCCTCTCACTTATCCACTTTTTTAACTAGAGAGCATCATCCCAAATAGACAACATCAAAACAATAATTTTCTCCGACAACCCATTTGTAAATAATCATTTTAAATTGCGGAAAACTTATGAACTCACAATTTATGAATTCGCCTTAAAATAGTAATATTTCTGTGGGCAGCTATTTGTTTGGGTGCAGCTTTTGTGCAAATTTTGTCTTTCTTGTCGTCGTCGTGCAGGCAGCTAACTGCAAACTACATATTTTAATTACAAAAAGACTGATCTTGGTGTAACATAGCTTTCGACGAAAGGCTTTTTTAATTGATCTGGAACTGGTGGATATCAAAAAAGAATCTCTCACCTCTCGAAACACAAACTCTTTTAAAATAACGAAAATCTCATCCAAGAAACCTCAGAAGAAGGATTGACGACGACTTTTAATTGTTTCCTGAAACGCTTCATGTTCTTACTATTCTGATTTTTAATTTTCCCAACTACACAGGTGAGCTTTTGTATTGAGTTGTCATATCATACTTTATAAAATTTAAGGGGTTTGGATTTAATAATTTTGAAGCCCGGTGAGGTACGTTCAAAATTCCAACTGTATTATATCTGAAAAAATAAGGGCTGAGGCCAGTTGAGGCCCTTGTTTCGGATTGCTGTTTGTCCCAAATATAACTAATGTTCACAAAAATAAGCAGGCTTTGGTTAAACTTTGTTCAAGAAGCATTTTTTTACCTCATAAGCATAAAAGCAATTGGGAGTGTGATAATTATTAGACACTGTTAATTAGTTGATTACATCCAACCTAGTGAAACTCGAGTTTAAAGTTTATTGCTGATAAAGTATGGAAAGATAATGATCGGGTCATGGTTTGGTTAAGAACCGGCCGGCGTAATATTACGGTTGGTTTAGTTTGCGGTAATTGGTTAGTTAGATAGCTCAGCTTGACATCATGTGACTCAAACTTGCGGATAATTGCTCTTATGTTAAAGGAATCGTGGACTTTTCAAATATAATTTTTTTTACTAGTTTCCCCTGTTTGTTGTAATTCCAGCGAAATTTTGGTCCACTTTACTTTGGGATAAGTACATTCCTCAACTAGCGACATGCGATTACCAAAATCCATTTGATTCGAAAACATTATTTCTAGTTCGTGCACTGTATACCAAAATTTTTATGATTTCATAACATCAAGCCGAGTGGTTCGTGTTTATTTACAACACGAAAGCTAACAGAAAGAGCAAAAAAATACGGACAGAACGAATATGATGAACATAGCAAGTTGTTGATTAGATTTCACTTGCAGCACATCACAGAATGCAAGCAGCCAAGTATTCATTTTCATAAAAAAATTAATTTACTTGTAGATAGAAGAAGGTTTAATAATTTGGGTTCTATTCTATTACTCATACTTGGCAATTTTTTGGGCACTGGGAAGAAAGCGAACGTCATCCGAAAATATTCATTGGTGTGAACAATTCAGAAAATAAAGAGCAAAAGTTATGTATGTCATTCCAAATTAATTGCGTGATTTTGTTTTGGGCAGGCTTGGCTGTTATTTATGCCAAGTTGAAGCTTAGGAAAGAGTGTGTTGGCAATGTATGCAAAATGAAGTGAAATTAACAGCTCTGTAAATAATATAACAGAATCATGATCATCAAGTCTTCTCTCTCTGGCTTTTAGTCGTTGAGATTACTAAAGTTGAAGACTTTGCTGCTAAACTGCATTTTGTATACAAATTATATAAACGTAAGATACAAATACACACCTATTTAGTTCCAAGCTAGTTGCCACAATCATGGAATTCATGTCTAGTCTGTTCTTATACATCCATGTGTCTAGTCGACAAGCTAAATGGCACTACTTTTTATGGGTGAAACATCAAACAAACAGGTTGTGTGATGGTGATGATGGTGCGAATTTGGTAAAAGAGCGTGCCTGCCTAGTTTAGTTGGTTAGTGGTTTGTTTTATGACCCTTCCTCCTTTTGATCCTTGCTCATCACAACTACGTCTAAATGTGAAGATGACGTTATCATTGTCAATATTGTCTCATCCTCGCACGTTACACATTAACATTCAGTATTCAGTGTGAGTGTAAATGGGATTTAAATAATAATAATAAAATTATTAATATGTGAAGAGAAGGATGAGGAAGGATTTTGAGTGTTCAGTCGATGTGTGGGATCAGTGGGATGTATTATGCAGTTTCATGCATGCCAAAAATTAATACTTTGTTTTAAAGCGAGGCAAGGTCGATTTTGTGTTTAAATTAATCAGGGTTGCATACATATTACGTATACATCTCATGCACTGGTTTTCGTCTACAACTTGTTATTACAATTTGTTCACTGCAAACTATGTGAATGTTGGACTCTGATAAATGTACAAGCTTCAATTAGCAAAGTTTCATCTTTCCCACATCCTAATACTAACTAACTAACGCTGGAGACTAGAAATACGTTTGCATGTATGTATGTGCCAGCCATGTACCTTGCAGTTAGCGCAGCTTATTATTTATTATGAACTAACAACTAATTGGCACAAACATGTTGATGAAGAAGTATGCACGATGAGCAACGAGTCGGTCGATTCATGGCATGGCTGATGGGCGAATGTTTATGCAACTTATTTTGTTGATGAGTCAATTCAATACCGTCCCCTAATCAAAGTTTGGTGAGGATTTGTTATGTCATCGCATCACATACACACATCACTCTCCACTCTTTGGGAGACCTCATTTGTATGCCTGGTAATCTGCTGCCGACCAACTTTACCATTGGCTTGCATTGGTGATTATGTGAAGTAAACGTGGCATTATTCTGCCCAAGAGCCATATCCGCTTGTCGTTTGGAGTTGATCATGTATCTTATCATCAATGAGATTAAATCCATAGTCGAGTGTTAACCATGGTACATAAACTTTGCTTATAAATCCTGCGTAAAGTGGTGGTGAGAATGTGAACTCGACATTCATTAGCAGCGACTCCAACTCTACAATAAGGGAACGTCCATATATTACGTCATCATTTTAGTGGGTGGGTGGTTTTGGTCTTCCTATCTTTCCCATGTTAAAAATCCCTATCCCTTAAGGTTTACGTTGGATGGGTGGGTGATAAAATCGAGAATTTTTGATGACGTAATATATGGATAAGCCCTAACATGAAAAGCCATGTGTAGATTTTGGCAGCCACCAAATGAAATCCCCCACCCACAGGTTTAGGTCAGGTTTCCGCAGTATAGGGGTATAAGAGTTGTTAAGAATGAGTACCACAGTCAGTACGAGTACTTTCTCCTCCTCAGTCCGCCACCCATCCGTTGTGCTGATGAATTCCGGCGGCTTACTACAGCTCTTCTCATATTACTTTCTCTTCCGTTAGTGTAATATTGTGCACTCTGCTATATGACGATGAGAAAGAGAGCAGAGTATTGAATCACAGATGAAAACGTTGGCTAGTCTCGGAAATGCTCAAATATTCGTGGTCGTACCGAATTCCATACTACTGCATGGGATGACCCAGCTTTTTCGACGCTCTCATCCGCTCCATTTTCCTCCTACCTTCTTTAATCCACCCGCACCACCAAAAAACGAGGGCATGTAACCGGAATCACGTTCAATAATATCCATAAACCCGACCCAACCATGCACAAATGTAATATCATAAAGTAGGAATTCGTTTCATGCAGAGTTACATAAGACTGAGGAGTCCAAATCCTTTACTTCAAGTAAAGTTTCGTGAATGAGTCGTTTCGTTGCATGGAAGTTTTGAGAATGAGTGAGTGGGATGCTTTTTGTTTTATTTTTGTCTTTAAAGGCTAACTTGAACCAGACACATTTTTCTCCCTCGAAATAACAAGCATGCATTCCTCCTTCATTTCGCCGTGCATCGTATTTTTGTATTTATTTATATGTGGACATGCGTACCATGTTTAATAATTCTTGACTATTATTTGGACGAGTCTCAGGAGTGGGTGGGGCGGGGCAGCAGACTGCACGGTTGGCTGACTCACGACACAAATTGTTCAAAAATTGTATATGCATCAAAGTATAAATTTACATACACACAGATCAGATCTGTGCTTTGTATTAATTGTATTGTCGTAATCATGTCAATTTACCTGTGTGCAAAATATGTACATGAATGGATTTGGATCTTTGGCAGCTGAAACTTTCTACATTTTGGGGTTTCTAGCTTACCCTAAATTCCTTAAACAACTCTATTTGACCGGTTTGGTTTATATGACGGGTTTCGTGCCATGGTTGTATCCTTTCCAGGGATCCATTATTTCATGGTTTGTTTAAGCAGATGTAGCATGATAGTTGGATGGGTAGAATTTGTTTTAATTGCGCCTGAAGGGGGTGCACTAATGTGTCCAGGATCAATACTGGGTTGGTTTGTTATTGTCGTTACCTGCGGAATGTCCACAATTTTTTGATCAGAAAGATGCTGCTGCTGGATAAATATTGATGGAAAGAAAGTCAGGAATGTCTTACATAATTAGGAATGCAATCATTTTCTTATGAGTTATGTTTGTGATGGATAAAACACATTTCGCTCAACCAGACTGAACCGTCACATGATACATTTATATTAACGAGCAGTTAATGCGAGATACAAATGCCTATTCCTTTTTAATTGATTAAACGGCAGACTAACCACACCCCACTCAATGGAATGTTCTCTAGAATGCCAAATTTTACCAAACAGCAACAACGATGATGACATCGTTGTTGTTCTTTGCTAAAAGTCATGCAAACCTTCAGTAAAATTTTTAGGACGAGTTTTTGAAAACTACTCGTAATCACGAAAGCTCCGTGCCCCGTGCATTTCTGATTTTTTGAATCCGTTGGATTATGACTCTTGATGCAATTACAATTAAAACATTTTTATGTTGCAGGTTGTTTTACTAATTGACAGCGAGGATGACGACAGATATCAGTGTGAACGTCCGATGGGACCCCCAAACGCAACAAGACATTTACGAAGATATCGAGTACGATGGAGGAAACTCCTCATCTCGACTCTTTGAAAGATCCCGTATCAAAGCTCTTGCCGGTGAGTTTTTTGTACATCATGTTTAAAAGAAGTAATTACAGGTGTATCTTTATCATTAAACGACCTTAACTCGAATGTCAGGATGAGTAAATAATTTTGCGAGGAATGATTAGGGACAAAATAAATTCGGAATTAGCGTTTACAGTCCTCCGGTCCCTGTCTCATGGTAGTAAATAAATATATACTCAAATGTATGCTTGTTTGTAGTGTAATCGAAATGAACAAGTGCGGAAAGGGTCGTATCTCACCACACTGTTTACATTTGCTCGGGATAAGTTTATTTAAGAACGGAGATTTGTCTACAGAATGAAGTGATGATTGAATCCCACGGGAAATGTTGGTTTTGTTATTGCACACCACTGGCGAGAAGGTTAAGTGAGTAGGGATCCAGTAAACATTACTATTTTTTGACACTGATACTACCACTCCACACTAATTGTTCAGTTAGTTACTTGTGGTGGAAATGCAGGCAAATATTTCCTTAGCTTAACATCGAGTGTCGGAGGCGAATTATTATTATAGATTACATATTATGTGACAAATAAAATTGTTCTTTGGTCAACCTCAACCACTCGTGTTGTTGTAACTTCAATTCCGGCGTTGGAGAGTCGGATTCATGTACTATGCAAAACTTTAAACAGTATTTATAATTGTGTATGCAACACGATTCATATTATGCAAATTAGATACACATTATTAAATGAAACCGAATGCATGCATGTATGGCAGTTAGTATTAGTAATAGACAGGATCGGAACCTACATTTGCTGGTGGTTATTATATTGTGCTGCAAAGAGATTTGTTCTTATCGTCAGAAAACCACTTGATAAATTTGTGTGCACGTATTATGTTACGGAGGAGGACTTTGCAATAAAATGTAATGTCATAATAATAACTGCAACTAAAGAAGGATGTTATTTCTGGGCGCCGGCCGGTTTGTACTTACATTATGCATATTATATTTCATAATCTAATCTAGACTACTGGCTGGAACAACTCATTTTGGTTAATGTTATACTTCATAGTGGTCATATTTTGAGTGGATGGATGGGTGAAAGATAAAGATAAAGGAATGTTTGAAGAGGAAATCGGTTCGTTCTGTTTGCCAATGGATATTGTACATAGCAATGTAATTGACTTACTTTGGGCTGAACCAAACCAGGGGATCCCGTATCCAAAAGTTTGTCAAGTGTTATAGTGGGTGGTGTAGTAAGTCAACTGCAGTTTTAAGAATTGTAGTGCATCACTGCATCTTCCCCTTTTGAATTGCATATGTCTGCATAACTAGAATTGGGTGATTCAAAAGTGTCCGCATTATGAAACAATAGTAATAACTGCCCTGGTGTGTACTAGTAGCATTTCACCAAAGTGAACTAGTGCCTAGCATAGTTTATTTATATAGTAAGAATAGTTACATAAATCCATAGTGGAAATTCGAAGTTTGTCAAATATAATGGCCACGCCACTGTCGGAAAGCAACGGGGATTTCATCCCCTCTCCGTCCCCGTCCCCCAGTTATCCCCCAGTGTTTTCTCCGACTGCCATTGTCAAGAGCAATGTTAGTAGCATACGAACCTTCTCGTTTGAAAATGGAGGAAACGATTCGATGAACAGAGAGGAGTTGAAACACGTGGAAGCAATTGTTTATGAGCGTTATATTCGTGATCTTAAAGGTAGATCAAATTGATACGATAGAGGAGATCAGGATTACATAATTGCCAAATATAAATGCATGATTGGACAATGTGATATTTAAATACTCAATTGTGGTGTCCTGTATTTTTTTGCAGACGAACGAGAGACAGTCCAGAAAAAGACATTTACGAAATGGATAAATTCTCACCTGGTTCGAGTAAGTAAAGCAAATTATATTTATCCTCTATTTTTTTACATCTTGTTGTAGTGTTCACCATTTTAAATTGTATATATTTTCTAATTACAGGTTTCATGCCGAATCAGCGACCTTTATACAGACCTTCGAGATGGAAAAATGCTCCTCAAATTACTGGAAGTTCTTTCAGGAGAAAGACTTGTAAGAATCAATCCAATTAACCAGGAAAAAAATTATTCATGTATATTTTTTATTTGTGCTTTCAGCCTCGACCAACCAAAGGAAAAATGCGAATTCACTGCCTGGAAAACGTAGACAAAGTAAGCAAATAATGTTTATATGATATAATTAAGATAGAACTTAATTCTACTTCGAAGTATGAAGTGTCATAAAATACAAGTAATGCTCCGTCGTACGCTAACATGTCGTTTTTATTTTTTATTCTAGGCATTGAGTTTCCTGAAAGAACAGAGAGTGCATTTGGAAAATATGGGATCCCATGACATTGTTGACGGCAGTTCCCGTTTAACTCTGGGTCTCATTTGGACAATTATTCTCCGATTTCAGGTTTCTGATTATTTCGTGTGGATTTTGATGCGTCGCTTTATTTTGCTATAAATCCATTAAAATGTGGCGGATATCTATCTAGCTTTCTTATACATCTGCCTCCTATTGCTTGTTACTCTCCTCCTCCATGTAGATGGGTAATGTGATAGGAAACCTTCCTATTCTCGACGATCTTGAATTCCTCGATTTCTGTCAAGGTGTAAACTATGAATGGAATTCTATCAAACCTGTCCTGAGACAACACTATCCTCATTTGTTCCATGACCGCTTATGGGTAACACTCAAAACTTCCCGAATCCTTACCTTCCTTGCTTTGCATACATCAATAGTTTGATTTATTTGATCTTCAAGAATTCCAAGATGTTGATATTTGTATGAACTAAAGAGATCAGGCTAATAATAATTCTCTCAACATTTTAAATTTAGATTCAAGATATCACATTTGAGCAAGTGGATAGTAAAGAGACTAAATCCGCCAAGGTGAATAGTTGATACTCAATTTGTCATATTTATACAGAAACACTATCGTCCCCAAACGAAATGTCACCTAATAAATTATGTTTTTTTTTACCAAGGACGCTCTCCTGCTATGGTGCCAGATGAAAACTGCGGGCTACTCGAATGTCAATATTCGAAACTTTACGACTTCTTGGAGGGATGGGCTAGCCTTCAACGCATTAATTCATAAACACCGACCAGACTTGATTCAGTATGAAAAACTGACCCATAGCAATGCTATGCACAATTTAAACAATGGTAAGGATGGTATTAATTTCACATTTATTATGTAATATTATTTTATAAATATTTACAATATATATTTTTTAATTTTAAAGCGTTTAATGTCGCCGAGTCAAAATTGGGTCTCACCAAACTTTTGGACGGTAAGTTGAAAATTTTATTACAAATTGATAATAGGTCTCAATAATAATCTGTTCGCTTTCAGCCGAGGATGTTTTTGTGGAGCAGGTATATAGATTTGCACATTTTACAACAACACTTTGTACATGTGTGATTCTACCAAGTTCAACAAGAATCTATGCATTTACACGGATGTTGTATTATTAAATAGCTAAAAATTCCTAGCGATAACTAACCTTTATTATTACATAGCCTGATGAAAAGTCAATCATTACCTACGTGGTTACGTACTACCATTACTTCTCCAAACTGAAGCAAGAGACTGTGCAGGGAAAACGTATCAGCAAGGTCACTTGATTTTCGCGTTTATTTTTCATCCTTGAAAACTTGATTATTGTTTAAAACTAAAATTCTTGGGAATTGTGGGCAGGTTGTGGGCATTGCGATGGAAAATGACCGAATGGTCAAAGAATATGAAGGACTCACCTCAGACTTACTCAAGTGGATTGAGCAGACCATCGAACAACTTGGAGACAGGAAGTTTGCTAACTCCTTGGGTGGCGTGCAGCAACAGTTGGGACAGTTCAACAATTACAGAACTGTGGAAAAGCCTCCAAAATTCGACGAGAAGGGCAATTTGGAAGTACTCCTTTTCACACTACAGTCACGGTATCTTCACTTTCACTACGGTCCCATACTCGTTTGTTTTTAAAAATTCTAATACAATTTTTTCTTCAAGAATGCGAGCAAATAACCAAAAACCCTACACTCCGAGAGAAGGAAAGTTGATTTCCGATATTAATAAAGCTTGGGAACGTCTTGAGAAGGCGGAGCACGAACGGTTAGTAAACTAATGATTTAAACGTGATTTATAACTCAAGTTCTAATAATAATTTCGAATTTATGCTACAGAGAGTTGGCCCTCCGAGAAGAACTCATCCGGCAAGAAAAACTGGAGCAACTTGCTGCTCGTTTCAATGTAAGAAATCGAAACATTGTCATATATTTTTTAGTTATCTGTACATTGAATGAATTTTAAATTAAACTAAATTAATATGCAATTAATATTTGTAGAGAAAGGCCAGTATGCGAGAAACTTGGCTGAGTGAAAATCAACGCCTTGTGTCGCAAGACAATTTTGGCTTCGATCTTCCCGCAGTTGAAGCCGCTGCTAAAAAGCATGAAGCAATTGAAACCGACATTTTTGCATACGAAGAGCGCGTACTTGCCGTCGTCGCTGTTGGTAATTAGTCCTCTTCTACTTACAATTCACCATAGTGCATTGATTCATTCATAAAATACACCATTTAAATTTCAAATCAATTTTCAGCCCAAGAATTGGAAGCAGAGAATTATCATGACATTGAAAGAATTAATAGCAGAAGGGAAAATGTGTTACGATTGTGGGAGTACCTGCTCGAGTTACTCCGGGCACGCCGTCTACGATTGGAAGCATCTCTCCAGGTCTGTACTATAAAGTAGAATCTATAAACGTTATTTATTCAATTACTAATTGCCTAAACCATTGTTTTTTGCTTCTTTCTTCAGTTACAACAAGGATTCCAGGTTAGTATTCGTTTGAATTATATAGTTGCCTGTCAAGCTTCCATTAAGAATAAATACTATAATGTATGGTCGAATGTGAGTGTCATCATTATAATCGTGTTTCTTGGTTGTAGGAGATGCTTTACATTTTGGATTCAATGGGTAAGTTATAAGTAACAAATCATCCCTTACGCTGAAAATGGCTCGTTAATATTAGTTTTGTCCTTCAATAGAGGAAATAAAAATGCGTCTCTTGTCCGACGACTACGGCAAACATCTCATGGGAGTTGAAGATTTGTTGCAAAAACATTCTTTGGTAGAAGTAAGTAAATTGCTGTAATAATTGGTGACTGGTAACTAATAATTATGATTAATGTGAAATTCTCACCTTTACTTAGGCTGACATTAATGTTCTTGGGGACCGAGTGAAGGCGGTTGTTCAGAACTCTCAGAGATTTATTTCCGATGACATGGACACAACCGGTTTGGAGGGATATCGACCCGCTGACCCAACCGCTGTTATGGAACGAGTGCAACAATTGGAAGAAGCCTATGCGGAGCTCGTGAAACTGGCAATAGAGAGACGTACTCGACTAGAAGAAAGCCGTAAATTATGGCAATTCTATTGGGATATGGCAGAAGAGGAGAACTGGATCAAGGAGAAAGAAAACATTTTGTCCCAGGCTGATATTGGTCATGACCTCACAACTGTGCACCTTCTCCTCTCCAAGCAGAAAGCCCTAGAGAGTGAGATTAGTAATCATGAAGGACAACTCAACAGCGTTGTCAGTGTTGGTCAAGATCTCGTCGACTCCCAACAATTTGGAGCCGATAAAGTTCAAGAGCGATTACAAGAGATCACTAGTCTTTGGCAAAATCTCAGAGACCTCTTGGTCTACAGAAAGAATCGTCTCACTGAGGCTGTCGACTACCACCAGTTTTTCACCGATGCTGATGATGTCGATACATGGATGCTCGACATGCTTCGGTTGGTGTCCAGTGAGGATGTAGGTCGGGATGAATCGAACGTGCAGTCGTTACTCAAGAAGCACGATGACGTTACTGAAGAACTAAAGAACTACACGAGCACTATTGACGCCCTTCATCAACAAGCACAACAACTTGGAGAACAGGACCGAGACAGCCCGGAGGTCGTGGAGAGACTTGCCAGCATTGATCGTCGATACAAGGAGCTTACTGAATTAGCAAAGCTCCGCAAACAGAGACTGCTGGATGCATTATCACTCTATAAACTCTTCTCAGAGTCGGAGGGAGTCGAACAATGGGTTGCAGAGAAGGAACGAATGTTGGACACCATGGTGCCTGCAAAGGACATTGAAGACGTTGAAATTCTAAAGCATCGTTATGACGGTTTCGACAAAGAAATGAATGCAAATGCATCCCGAGTTGCCGTGGTCAATCAACTTGCGCGTCAACTCCTTCATGTGGAACATCCCAATTCTGAGGAAATTGTGAGCCGGCAAAATCAACTGAATGCCAAATGGTCGGAATTGCGAGAGAAGGCTGAAGCTAAACGAGACGAGCTGAACTCTGCTCATGGACTTCAAACGTTCCACATTGAGTGTCGCGAGACAATTGCATGGATTGAGGATAAGACTCGTATATTGGAAGAAACGGCAAATCTGGAAATGGACTTGTCTGGCATCATGACTTTACAACGGCGACTTTCGGGAATGGAGCGTGATTTGGCAGCAATTCAAGCCAAATTGGAAGCTCTCGAGAAGGAGGCTGACCGAATTGCTGACGAACATCCTGAAGAAGCTGCTGTGATTCGAGAGCGCATTGATCAGATCCGAACAGTATGGGAACAACTAACTCAAATGTTGAAAGAACGTGATTCCAAACTTGAGGAAGCCGGAGACCTTCACCGATTCCTCCGAGACCTTGATCACTTCCAGGCTTGGCTAACAAAAACACAAACGGAAATTGCATCCGAGGATGCTCCAATCAGTCTGGCCGACGCAGAAAAACTCCTCAGTCAACATCAAAATATCAAGGACGAAATCGAGAACTATGTCGAGGACTATGAGAAGATGATGGAGTACGGAGAGCGAATTTTTACGGATCCTTCCACTCAAAGCGATCCTCAGTACATGTTCCTTCGTGAGCGTTTGAAGGTTTGATAAAAACTGTTTTAAACTTGAAATTTAAATAAATTACATAAATTAATAAATCAGGAAATTTAATAAATATTCTAATATTTTAAAGGCCTTGAAGGATGGTTGGGACGAACTTCGACAAATGTGGGACAACCGCCAGGACTTTTTGTCTCAGAATCTTAATTTACAAATTTTCATGCGCGATGCAAAACAGGCTGAAGTTCTCTTGTCACAGCAAGAACACATCTTGTCCAAGGATGAAACTCCCTCCAATTTGGAGCAGGCAGAGAGTCTAATCAAGCGACATGAAGCTCTGCTTACAACAATGGATGCTAACGACGAAAAGATCAATGGAGTAATTCAGTTTGCTTCCAACATGTGTCGTGAAGGTCATTCACAAGCCGACAAGATAGCAAAGAAGGCGGACAGCATCCGCGAAAGACGAGATAACAATAAGCAAAAGGCATTAGAGCAGCTAGAGAAACTTAAGGAACAACTTCAACTTCACCAGTTCTTGCAAGACTGCGAAGAGTTGGGTGAATGGGTACAAGAGAAGAGCATGATTGCTCAAGATGAGACATACCGAAGTGCTAAGACGGTTCATAGCAAATGGACTCGCCACCAAGCTTTCGAAGCTGAAATTGCGTCCAACAAGGATAGACTTACTGCCATTCAGGAAGCCGCACAACTCCTAATGCAAGAAAAACCAGAGTTCGCTCAGTATCTCAAACCTAAGGTTTCAGAACTTGAAAGTCATTTTGATGACTTGGAAAGGTCCACCAAAGAAAAGGGCGAGAGATTGTTTGATGCTAACCGTCAAGTTTTGTATGAACAAACTTGTGATGATATCGACACCTGGATTACTGATCTGGAAAAGCAAATAGACCAAGGCGATTATGGTGCAGATTTAGCATCTGTCAACATTCTAATGCAGAAACAACAAATGATTGAAACTCAAATGGCTGTGAAGGCGAAACAAGTCACAGAGCTTGAAAACCAAGCCGAATACCTTAAGCAAATGGACCCTGACAAGGTGGAGGAGATTGTTGCAAAGAAGTCTACCGTGGAAAGCAGATTTTCCAAGCTAAAGGATCCCTTAGTGCAAAGAAAGCAACAACTTGAGAAGAAGAAGGAAGCATACCAATTCCGTCGAGGTTAGGTTTTTAAAGAATTTACATTTCAAATGTATTAACGAAAATACTACGAATGGAATGGATCATTTTATAAGAGTGCTTGATAATATGATGCATTTCATCTTTTTTAAATTCGTACTAACTTAATGTTTTTTTCCCGTTAAGATGTTGAGGATGAGAAGTTGTGGTGCGACGAGAAAATTCCCCTGGCTAACTCGAACGACTTGGGCAATAGTCTGTACAATGTTACCATTTTGAAGAAGAAGAACAAGTCGATGATGAATGAAATTGAGAACCATGAGCCCAGAATCATTACAATTATTCGTAACGGAGAGAAGCTGATAGATGAAGGACATCAAGATTCCGATGAGTTTGAGAGATTAAATAACGAACTGAAAAAGAAATGGGACGAACTAAAGGATGCCGTTGATCAACGGAAGGAAAGACTAATTCAGTCCGAAAGAGCCCAGCAATATTTGTTTGACGCGTCTGAGGCTGAAGCCTGGATGTCGGAGCAAGAACTTTACATGATGGCGGAAGATAGAGGCAAAGACGAGATTTCCGCTCAAAATCTAATAAAGAAACACGAAGCCTTGGAGAATGACATTGACGACTATGCGGACACTATTCGACAACTGGGTGAAACTGCTCGACAACTCATTTTACAAGAGCATCCAGAAAGCGATAATATTGGTCTGAAGCAAGCCCAAGTTGATAAACTTTATGCCGGTAAAAATATAGTTGCTTTTGTAAATTATGGTCGATGAAACTTATGAAAATTACTGAAAATGTATGCATAAATTTTCTTTCTGCTTTCCAGGCCTTAAAGATTTGGCACATGAGCGAAGATCTAAACTCGAAGAAGCATTGAAACTGTTTATGCTGAATAGAGAAGTTGATGACTTGGAACAATGGATTGCTGAACGTGAGGTTGTCGCTAGTTCACATGAATTAGGACAGGACTATGACCATGTCACGATGTTATGGGAGCGATTTAAGGAATTTGCACGAGAGACGGAATCCACCGGAAATGAACGAGTTGCCTTAGTCAACGAAATGGCTGGTAAGTACTACTTGTTAAGAGCTACTTTCTAAATGCCTAAGCATATTACAGTTACAACTGGTTAATTAATTATTTATTGCTTAACAAATTGCAGATGGACTCATTGCCAGCAAACATTCAGACGCAGGTGGGTACAATTCTGTGTGGTTTGGTTAGGTTTTGATAAAATAGAGGCCATTCGTCGCTGTCCGGTTGAGAAATCACAGAAGTTGTCTCCTTCAAACCATGAAATTTGATGTCGACAACTTCTGTTTCCGGCGGTTTTGCACGAACTACGACTCTTAATATTTTGTATATGTATGTTAAGTAAGTGCTGTAATTGGTGTACCTTATAATATTTGTAATAATATATATTTTAGCAACCATTGCCGAATGGAAAGATGGACTGAACGAAGCATGGGCTGACCTCCTTGAACTGATCGACACTCGCACGCAAATGCTGGGTTAGGTTATTGTTTTTGTAACGAATATTTATCGTAGAAACATTGAAACTCTTGCTAATTAAATTTTTTCATAAATCTAGCTGCTTCCAGAGAACTCCACAAGTTCTTCCATGACTGCAAAGACGTACTGGGAAGAATTGCAGAGAAACACTGCTTCTTGAACAGGTAAGTTTGATTATATGGCAAAGAAACATGAAAGGTGTAAGGTTTACTACTTTATGACTAATATAGTGATGAAGTTGGTCGAGATACCGGTTCCGTCTCTGCGCTGCAGAGGAAACACGTGCAGTACATGCAAGACCTCCAAGCTCTACAGTCCGAGGTTAGTATCACTATTTCGAAATGCTAATAGACAGTCAAATAATTAATAACATAAAAACAAACCATAGGTTGAGCAAATTCAAGACGATTCGCGAAAACTGCAAGCCGCATATGCTGGTGACAAGGCGAAGGAGATTACCAACCGAGAAGCTGAAGTTGTTAATGCATGGATGAATCTCCAAGGTTGGTTTCACCTGCATTTGGAATTACTATGTAGAGCTCCAATTTGTACATTGTTTTAGGAATGTGCGAGGCTAGAAAAGTCAAACTCGGTGATACTGGAGATTTATTCCGATTCTTCAACATGGTCAGAACATTGATGCTCTGGATGGATGATGTAATTATCCAGATGAATACCTCTGAGAAGCCGAGGTATTTAGTGACTATCATTTAAGGGGTGGCTGTAATTCTATGCACGGCAGGAATTTACTTATCTATTTTCTATCTGATAATCATCAGGGATGTCAGCGGTGTCGAGTTGCTGATGAACAACCACCAGAGTCTAAAGGCTGAAGTTGACGCAAGGTTAGGAATAATAATTTGATGCGAATTGCATTTAACTTCCTCTGTCCAAATGTAATATTCTGATGGTTTTGCAGGGAGGATAACTTTTCCGCATGTTTCCGCCTTGGAAAAGAACTTTTGTCTCGTAGTCATTATGCCGCAAACGAAATCAAAGAAAAGGTCGTTGGTCTGACAAATCAAAGGAATGGCATGCTGCACCGATGGGAAGAACGATGGGAACATCTTCAACTGAGTGAGTAGCATTAAAATCAGTTATATAGCGTTATATGACGTTATTGACATCATTATTGCATTTTGTGAACTTGTAGTCCTGGAAGTTTACCAATTTGCTCGCGACGCAGCAGTTGCCGAGGCATGGTTGATTGCCCAAGAACCATACTTGTTGAGTTCCGACTTAGGTAAAGGCTTTGATTTGACCCTACAACTTATTGTTCTTACACACGCAAAGAATATTTTGATTTATTTATTTTTCATATTAGGATACACAATTGATGAAGTTGAAAATCTGATAAAGAAACACGAAGCATTCGAGAAGTCTGCACAAGCGCAGGAAGAACGATTTATTGCACTGGAACGATTAACCACGGTATTAATAATTTCCTTTTGTGAATGTTTAGTCAAGTATGGTCGCCATATCGTTGGTACAATAATTTCCAATTGAATGTTCGCTCCAGATTGTATCCACTTAAAAAGATAATAGTGATTTTAGTCCCGTATCGTCTTCAATTAGACTTGTTGGATATATTTTCTTCAATCTAACTCTATCCCTCTTGATTTATGTTCATACTAGCTGGAAATAAGAGAGCACGAAAAGAGTATGGGGCAGGAAGGGGGATACTACCCTTATGAAATGGTGACCAATTTCTATTTTCTGCAGTGTTTAGCAACGCTAACTGTTGATTAACTCAAATTAACAGAATTTCGCTTTCAATTTCACTGTTCATCTAATGATTTATTTTTGTTTAACTAAATTTTCCCAAATCAATGTGCTACGTGCACACATTTATATTTCTAAAAAATGTATATATGTGGATTCCTATTTTGCCGATGAGGAAGGAGCAAAATAATTTAGTACATGTCTGTTCACAAAAACCAAGGCTGCAAACTAACCTAAAGTGATATGCATTGTTTACAGTTTGAAATTCGAGATCGAGAAAAAAGAAAACGAGACGATGAAGAACGAAGACGTGCCGAAGAAATTGCAAAGAAATCGCCTCCCAAGTCACCCGATGAACGGGACGCTGGCAGTCGGTCACCTGAACAAACTTCACGAGACACCTCTGTTCACTCTCCACCCTCGGCCGGTATTGTGATTTAGCTAATTTAATAAGTAGTGGTGTGTGTGTATGTGTGTGTTATCATCTTTTTTTGCTGATCTGATATTCTGACGTTCCTAATTTAATCAAAGCCCATAATCTGTTCCTGTGAGCAGATTTCTGTTCCGCATGATTTTTTTTGCTCTTTTGCATGATTTTCTCCAATGCTTTTGGTTCAATAAAGGTCGGCCACGAGCCATTTCTCCACCACCCGTGGTTCCTGAGGGCAAGAAACCAAAAGGTACTTGATGAATTACGTGTGTGTGCGTCAAACTCATTTCCGTAAAACAACTGACAACGTAATCATGAAGTAGAATAGTAATTTTGCTCGTTAATGCTTTACTAATAAGTCAATATATAGTCCGCTAATTAAATATGTAGTTGGTAAAAAACCATCAGTAAAGTCCCCAAGGATGACGCCGTCCCAGTCTTCAAGGGTGTCCTCTCCCGTTTCGCCCAGCAGTTCAACCGGACACAATCCGTATGATGACGATGACTTTGTTTTCGACGCCAGTGAGTCTACTAGTTCCACAACCATCTGTCTTCTCGGGGCAGCATTTGGGTGTCTCGTATTGTCACAAGACGTGAACTTTTTATATATGGTTCATAATTCTGTCGTCTATTTAATTTACCATCTATTTTCTATGAACTTTAATGCTTTGTGTGTTTGTGTGACGTATTATGTCAAATGTATTATTATTATACTAATGTGCTTAACTTTTTGTCATGTTTTGCAAATTGTTTTAAATTTTTGTGACTAATCTTGCACGCTTGAAGATTCCAAGAAAGGCAGTCGGTCTCGGTCAAAATCACCGTTTAGGAGTTTCCGCTGGAAAAAATCTAAGAGTTCTACTTTAGAAGCTATTCCAGGTGATTTGAAATGCTTTATTAATAATTCTTGCAAATAATGTAGTGGGTAAAAAACCATCAGTAGACTATTCCAAGTTTAATTAAATCATTTGAGACAAATAGGAGAAATTCATCTTATAAGAGTATTTGAAACAATTAAATGACACAAAAAATAACTAAACAACAAAATTGATAACAACCTTCCCATCACCACCTTTCTCTAATTGACTAACTTCATTCATAACCAGATTTGATTCAAACAAGAAAGAGTAAGTAGACATGAGATCAACAACATTAATAGCACCATTAAAATGATTCAACTGCTTTGGAGTTCCCTTCACTAGCGCCCCTTTGTAGGTCTGACCGACCATCTCTCCAATCTTCAAAACTGAGTGTGCAAGGGTTTCATATTTATTGGCAGCCTCCTCCATTTTACAAAATTCCGCTTCTTCTTCTGGGTTGAATTTGATACGTTTAGTAGTGTAATTTACGTATTCCAACGATTTAGGGATAGGGCTTTGGAAAAGAACCTCTTCTTCATCCTCTTTGAACGAAATCATCCCCGTTTCAGCCTTCACATTTTCATGATATGAAGCTTTTGCCCCAGAGGATCGTGGTCTTATTTCAGATTGAATCCCTGTGTAGAATTGACCTTCATCATTTCTGCCGAAATAGACATACGGCAGAGAACGATTGACTTCTCCCGACACGCCTGGTGGAGTTGAGTTGGCAGACTCTTGAAGTTGTTCTCCCTTTTCGAATAGCACCCCGTTTTGATTTAAAAAGGACTTCATCCATGTCAAATCAGCACCATCGAAGAGAATACTAGAATTCAGCAGAGTAGCACCTCCCTTTATCATCACCATCAATGACACAGCCAACTACAATTACCGATATATAGGTTTTAAGTAATGGTTACAGTAATTATTGTACGTAGCACACTTACATATGCAGAACAACGGACTTTGTTTTTGTCGCCCTGAAAAGGCCATCGCCTTATGATCCGAAAGAAAGTCTCTTCTTTACTGGCCCTTTTCGTTACAACATATTCATAGAGTTTGATGCTTTGATTCCTTACTTCCGCTCCCCCTTCTATTTGGTTTCCTCTCCACATTTTCATAACCCCACATTCAGCCAGTTTTTCACGTATCTTACTATCTGTGTAAGGGTTAGCGGTGGGTTCAGGATTTAACAAGGCCAGCACAGGTGTAGTAGCTCGCATATCCTGGAGTAAAATAACCTCTCTAGGACCGTGAGACGAGCAAAATTTTCCAACCTACGAAATAATATAAACGTTTATTCGCTCACGGTAGTTATAATTGCAATCATAATTAACGATCATGATTTCATTTACATGACAAAGAGCAGTACAAGTATCGGTACTACATTTTTGTTGGCGACCCGACCACTTATTGAATTTCCATTCATTCCCAACTTTCTCCATTTTTACCACTTGTAGCAACCCATCCACCAATTGCATCGCAATCTTGTCCTTCTTATAAAATACTTCGAGGGGGGTATACTTTTCCGTGTCAGTCTTGGATTTCTTAACGTGACTAGCCCAGTCATCAGTCAATGTCTTCCTCTCATCCGATTTCCAGAAAGACTCCATTGTCCCTGTATATCCACTACTGTCAATCATCCCCTGCAGCACAGCTTTAAGGATTGAATCCACTTTCACTTTAGACGAAGTCGACGGTGATTCGTCTTCAATTTGTAACACTACAAATAAATACATTATTATTATCATGTCATAAACAACAATTTTTATAAGCAGTACGCTCACCATTTACTTCAACATGTTCTCCTTGAGAATTACAGGTCATTAAATTAAATGGGGCTTTTGACACGGGCATATCCACCAAAATCCTGATCCTTTTGAGAGGGACTGGATTCTCCTACAAAAGAAAACATTTCATAACTCGCTAACAACAACTAAATTAGAATATGGACCTTACCTGATTAATATTCTCGTCTGACTTATCCATTTTGTAATTTTAAAAATATAATATTTTTGCACTGGAGAGTGGAGAGAGAGAAAAGCCGGCTGACTGATAAAAGTAAACAAATATTTACTTTCCAGGCGGTAGCGCGTCTGATGACGAATCCAATATTCAGAAATACAAAGGTATTGTTAACAAGTTTATGTTTCGCTACATCAATTTCTTTATCAGTAGTACTACAAAGTTCTTGTAGCGGTGCTAACTCTTTATTATTACATCTGGCCACGGTATTTCTTGCGGTGATGGGTTGACATGATTCTGGTAAATCTAATGTGTTTGACAAGTAATAATGAATATTAGTACATGTAAAGTTCGCTTTATGTCCTCTATTTTCGCCGTATTCACGTAAAGCTGTTTGCTATAATTCGTGCTTTTTATTTATACCTCTTAAACTAAATAAACTTTAAATTTCACTTTCGAAATGGTTGTATTATTGTTAATGCCTTGTTGCGCTGTTTTGTATTATAATAGAACGGCCAGGTCCAAGTGAAGATGGTGTAATTGAAGGTTCCTTGATAAGAAAGCATGAGTGGGAATCAACAACAAAGAAAGCATCCAACAGGTATGTCAGAAAATGAAAGTTGGTAAAGTTTTGTATTCTGAAATGTGAGACAAAATATTAATTATTATGTGCAGATCTTGGTCTGCAGTCTACACCGTGTTGAAGGGAGGTTCTCTGCTCTTCTAGTAAGTAAACTGGCAGTTCATAGTGTAAAATAAACTGTTGAACACAATGTGAATATGAAAATCATATTTCAGCAAAGACCAGAAGAACTTTAAAACTCAACCCGATGCGTATTTCCGTGGTGAAAACCCTGTGGACCTTTCCAGTGGCAATGTTGAAGTTGCATCCGACTACACCAAGAAGAAAAATGTCTTCAGGCTGAAGTACATACATTGATTACTGATTGACTAATTATTGACGTCCGTTGTAACTTATTTCTCAATCTGTAAAAACTTAATCATAGGTTATCCTCTGGAGGAGAATACCTATTCCAAGCACGAGACGATGAGGAAATGAACCTGTGGGTTCGAGGAATTCAGGAAGTTAGCCTAGAAGCTGCTGGAGCAGGACCATCGAGAGGTAACTCATTTTAGAACAAGAACAATTTATGGATTGATGCTTAAAAATCCATGGTTGACCTTGTAAATTAATTAACTACAACCTACGTAGTAAATTATCTAGTAAACAATTACTATTTAAAGCAGAAAAATTTAGTTTCCCTTGTTGATGCATTTAATTTATATGCTTACAGCTCAGACACTTCCAGCCTCCTCCATGGAAAAGAAGGATGAGCCAAAGAAGAGAGGATTTTTTACACTGAAGAAGAAATAAAATTCACCAGAAAGGCTTTATACTACAATTTAAGCTAGATTATGTATGTTACAAGTATTTATAAGACGAAAACTTGGCTAGTTGGATTTGCTTTAACACTGACGACACCAAAATAAGAGGATCAGAATTAGCCTTACCCCCTCCTCCTCATAATTATTAGGTTGAAAACAACAACATACATGAAGACACTTTTACTGCTTCTCAACAGCAGCATTATCTGGTTCGCTATACATAAATACGTAGGTTCAACTAATTATGGAATAAGGTTTCTAAAATTTCTCTACTATTTCATTTTTGATGAACTATATACGGTGACTTCATGACTTTTTCATATGGACAACAGGTTACAATTAACATGCTGACCCTCCTGCTCCCAACTAATTCTTCTAGACATTCTCTGTAAAAGCAGTTCCTCAACATGGGCAAATTTACTTGGACAATTTTTGACATTGCTTACCATGCCCAACCAACAAATAGATTTAGTAGATTCTATTTAGTTTGATGATATGCGCTTCCTATCTACGCTGTATGCCTCTCGTTTATAAAATGTTTCTACGTTTGGACAAGAAGATTTGGTGTTGTGACTGAAAAAAAAATCGAAAAGTGATTAGTAGAAACGAATGTAATACTGTTTATGAATAATAACTCCCCATCTTGTACATTTTGACTACTTGAACCACACCAAGTTTCCAATATCTTTACTTATCTTGTCATATTCAAAGTTGTACTGCCATTAGTGTTAGCAAAGATATAAATCCACTCAACACACACATGATAAGCATTAATGGATCCTGAGCAAGTGAGTGTCAGAATAACAATAATACTAATAAAATAATAATGAGTGCGACGACATGCAGGGCAAATGCGAATATATCGCCAAATACCAACAAAACAAAACTTGCAGAATTGCCTTCAACTGTTTTGAACCCACAGTCACTGCAGTGATACACAATAATAATGATGATATGATAATTTTTTGTCTCCTCAATGTTGTATCGACATGAATTGTTACTACAAACTATAAATACTAGAAAACAGTTAGTGGCTAATCGAAACTGAAAAATTCCAAGTTCGTGTTTCACATTATTATCGTTATTATTATTATTTTATTCCCGACAGTCGACAAGGGAAAAGTTCCATACTTGTTTAAAAATAGCAAAATTTTCATAGTTGCTACTTGGCTATGTATAATAATAATATTGCACTGAAGCTTTTCTTACCTGCATTGTATTCACGGATTAGGTTTTGGAACATTTATGAACTAACGTAATGATATAAAAGCATACTATGTGGGCACCAAATTGAACAATTAGTAGCGTTAAATAATTATGAAATGAAGACTATGCAAAGCTTTGTTTGCTTGACTATTAGTTGTTGTAAATAAGTTGGTTTATGCATGTAATACGATAAAACTAATTACTATTAATTAAGGTTTACCTAACGTTTAGGAGTTTTATTGGGCCTGCTAGCAATTGTTTAATGGTGGAAGCGAGAGAAATGTCAACTAATCTATAAGCTAGAAACGAATGTTACCTTTTTAAATGTCTAGTGAATTGTGCTTGAATCAGAGATATATGAAATACTGGTGTAGCAAAAAGGTTTAAAAAAATGTCATACATGTCGCAACAAAATTATTATGCCGATTCCTTTAACCGACTAAAAGTAAGATGTTGTTAATGCTGCTGCTGACGATGCTGCTATAATTTTAGAACCTCTGTACGTAAGTAAGTAGTGTTGAGTGTGTGCTACCTACCGTGTCTGCCTAAGCAGCAATATAATAATTCATGACGCCAACCATCCCACCAGCAAGTGAGACAGAAATTAAGTAATCCGGTTACTAATTATACTTATTACAATACCAGAGAGACAAATGCTCTTTGTCATGTTCAGTTTTATTTTTAGTAATTTTGACGTTGGCATCATTATGTTATTCATAGCAGTAGCGAAGAAGAGGATGACGAGTATTTTAATTGTATGATATAAATAGCTCTTTAAACTATTTGCCCTTATTATATGTTGAAGGTTTGAAAAATATTGCAACTGCCGTGGATCCAACTTCACTCTGCCACACTCATTGGTTCGGTGTTCAACTATGTGTTTAACTATTTAACGTAATTATTAGCTTTGTGCTTTCTTTTAAATAAAAATTTCCAGTAATGAATTCAGCGTCTTTCAGATTCATTTATTTGCTCGTTCGCTCTCATCTCTCCTGAACTTTGGCATGCTCTCATCCGGACGACGACGATGGGAAAAAGTCTAAACTTTGGTCCTCGGTCGTCCAAACTTGTTCCACGTTGACAGACAGTTTCTCTCTGGCAAAGTTTTACTTAAGTACATACGCAGATATGTATGTATGCATATACAGTGTCGGACAGATGTCTACGTCCACATAGTCGCGTCAATTTCATTTTCAAATTGTCACTGAACTACTGAACCAATTTTCATCATTGATATATCAAATTCTCACAAATTTAACGTAATTTCATAGCACATTATTAGTTTTCCGCTAAAAAATTTATTTTAGGCCAGAGATGTATTTTAATTCAAAATGAAAACAATTGGATGGACAAAAGTCAACGTCCAGTCAGAGAAAACATACAAAAAAAACTGTAATTTATAAGGAATGTTATAACAATTAATTTTTAATATTTGGTTGGGCCTCCGTTCGCTTTAAGGACGGATTCAAGGCGTCGAGTCATAGAGTTTACCAAATTCTTGGTCACATCTTCAGAAATGGTTTCCCAAACTTCAAGAATTCTGGATTTTAGGCCCGGAATTCCTGAAAAAGATTGTTTTCTTATTTCTCTTTCAATGTGGTCCCACAGATGCTCAATGGGATTCAAGTCTGGAGATTGGGGAGGCCATTCTAGCTTCGAAATTTTTTTTTCTTGAAGTATTCCATGGTGGACTTGGCAGAGTGTTTCGGATCGTTGTCTTGTTGGAAGACAAATCGTCGTCCAAGTCCAAGTTTTCGAACAGATTCCTGGATATTACGGTCAAGTATTCCCTGGTACTTGTATTGGTCCATAATTCCGTCAACAAATTCCATTTTTCCTGCCCCACTTGAAGCCATGCATCCCCACACCATTACCGACCCGCCGCCGTGCTTAACTGTGGGGTTGAGATTTTTTGGATTCAATGCTTCTTTTGGATATCTCCACACTCTACGACGCCCATCTGACCCAAAGACATTGAACTTTGACTCGTCAGTCCATAAAATACTGTCCCAGAATGTTTGTGGCTTGGAAATGTGGTCTCTGGCAAACTTCACTCGTTTGGTTGCATTCCTCGGTACAATAAGAGGCTTCCGGACTGCTCTGTGGGATTTCAAATTTCCCTTGTTCAGTTCTTTGGATGGTCCTAGGACTAACTTGTTTGTCGAACATCTCCTTGATCTCGATAGCTTTGGAGCACTAAGTGAGGGTCTAACGTTGACTTTGTTGAGCACGTGGCGTACTTCTCGGTGAGCCAAAATCGGTTTTCGACCACTTCTGACCTTGTTTTGGACTGAACCATTAGCTCTAAAGTTCTTAATGATTGTCTGGATGGTTGTCCTTGCTAATTTATACTTGGTCCCTATTTGTCTCTGCGACAGCCCCCCTTTTTGTCCACCCTTCCAGTCCTGAATGACAAGATCTCGAATAGCGATAGGAATTTCCTTGCGTGTCGACGCCATCATATTTTTCTGGAAGAAAATTATTTAAAAATTAATGCGGCATATGTTATTGATAGATTTATTAAATTACCTGATTTTATAAATTGGAGAGATTTTTGTTGTTGACAATTAAAGTGAAGTGGACGTAGACTTTTGTCCGCTCAAATTTCATCCTCTCTCGCTCTGCACTATGATTCTCAGTTTTCCCAGAATTTTCAGAAATAACTCATATGTTTTATGAAATTACGTTAAATTTGTGAGAATTAGATATATCAATGATGAAAATTGGTTCAGTAGTTCAGTGACAATTTGAAAATGAAATTGACGCGACTATGTGGACGTAGACATCTGTCCGACACTGTACGTCTATGCAGGCGAGCTTGGTTCATTAAACTTTGTACCTTTCTCCAATGACTGAGAATGAGGAGCAGGCAGACAAGAGAGTAAAGAAAGTAAAGATGAACTGAAAAAAACTCTTACAAAAGTACAGCGTCTTTGGATTTTATTCCAATAGTTGGATTGTATGGAACGAGTAAGTATACATAGAAGCAGAAGTGTGATGATGATTACACCATTTGTCTACATTTTTTAGACAAGAAGAAAGTATAAAATCTGACTTTTGTGAGTCTACGTTGTCTGGATTAAGAAGAAGAGGAGTCTCCTCGAGTCGCTCGAGTCAAGACTTTAGTGGCTTCTTCCGGTTAGTAGCTGAGCGAAAGGAGCTTTTTCCCTGCTACGAGCACTCGAGAATTTTACGTTATTATTGTGAGAAAAGGAAGCGAAATTACAAATTGTTGCCTGATCGTGAAAACAAGACAACGGCGAAAAACGCAATCTTCCATCCATCATGTTTTCGAAAATGTGTATCCCTATTCATGTATGTATGTATCAAGATTGATAACAAGCTATTGTGCAAGGAACGGACGTACAAAAGCATGCGAGGTTTGTTACATAATAATAAATAATGACATTGCCACATACTCCGGGCCGCAGGATAAGGAAAAACTATGAGACATCTATGCATCGTATGAACTTTGTGCCTACGTGCTTGTGCTTACTTGCATATATGTAAATATGAACCATCTCGCTATTACAGAGAGCTCGTACTCGCTGTCTTTCACCCATTTCCACGTCAACTTGCCTATTTGCATACCTCAGTTCTAGCCAGTAACCCCATTGCTTTAGTAATTCAACGTCTCACTTTTTCAGAGATTGATGGTTCAGGGTGATAAAAACATGCATTGCAGCATCGTAAATCATTATGTACCATTATTATGTGGTATAATTACATTGGTTATTGGCAAACCGACGACTTGGCCGTATGAATATAAATAAAATACGTATATTCCATGTATGTGCATGAGTAAATATCTGTGTGGATGGGAGAAAGTCGTGAAGGATATTCTTATCGGACTTTGCTACGTCGTTGCCTCCTTGCGTGCATTGTCTGCGTAAAGTAAACGTTTTGCCATCTGGAGCTGATGAATTGTTCTTCAGCCAGCTCATAAGCTGTTCAAGCTCAGCTTAGTTATGCTTTCACCGTGGAAAATGCTTAGTTTTTGCCCCCCTCCTCCTCTTGTGTTGAGCATTAATCCTATTATCCAACTCATTTTCAGCTAATAGTCCGGACAGATGTGGAGATTCCGTTCCTCCGATTCCAGGAGATTTGTATAGAAAACTTGAGACGGAATTCTCCTCAGCCCAACCCGCTCTTCGTCTTCGTCCTCCATACAGTTAAATTATTTTCTCACAGGCCAAACTGCCCATTCAGCTCTCTGAGCAGTGAAAGGATCAAGATTTACCTCGTGTCGACAGAAGAATAACGCCGTGATGGTGGCGATGAGTCAGGAGAAAGTTTATGGAAAAGTCCTTAAAGGAGGTGTGCCAGCCAGCGTAATTGTTCATAGCTTTCTCTGTATCAGCCTAATTCCGTATTAGTTAGTGCCCACTGCTCTTTCTCGCCCCTCTCGTCCTCCTCCTCGTCCTCGTGCAGTAATAAGCTTTCTCCATCCTCCTCTCTGCACAAAGTGTGGTCGGATGCTGCTGAAAAAAGTATCTCTCCTTCTTCTGCCTTCACTTTGATGTTATAAATTAAACGTGGTGGAAATAAAGTGCTTCTTCTTGTGTAACCATTTTTTGCGACTCTTCTTGCTCCCATTTCCCCATTCGTTTGTTAGTGAACATCTTCTATCCTGTGACTGGTGAGGGAAGGGAGAGAAAGAGATGGGTTCTCCGTTCCTGGCTCAGAGTGGCTCGATTTGTGCACCTGTAATGATGTACAGCAGTGAAGAACGCTCATCAGTTCAAATTCATGTTTGACTTTGTGAATAGTCGTCTGCTGGATATTTTCTTACTTTTGGAGGAGAATGATACTTTCCCGTTCGATCATGTAGTCAGGAGTGATCCATTTTCAGGCCAGGTCGCCTCGGTTACGTGGACGCCTGGAGAAGGCAAAATCTCTCTCTAACGAGTTGAAAAGTGAAATTGGGAAGGACGGCTTTCCTTTCGACTTTCTTTTCTCCGCTCAATACCTCCAAATTTGAAGTGTTATTAAACTCTGGAATAATAATAGCAGGAGACCTGCAACTGATATCGTCGTCATCATTGAGACAGGTTTTCCACTCAATGCGACATTTGATCCCCAATTTCCAACTAATGCAGGCGATCAGACCATTACTCATTCTTCAGCTTTCGAGCTACATATTCTAGCTGAAAATAAGTAACTCGATTCATTTCGATGTCATTTTGATGCCTACGTGTACATTTTCAATCCTAAAGATATGCATATTTCCTAAATGTCATACAAATGGAGGACAATTAGTCAGTTTTTGATGTTTGAAAACTATTTGTGATAATTGGAATATTGAAATATTTTCGTCGCATTGAGCCAATCTCACATCAATCAGATTGGCTCTGCTCCGTCTCACTTGGAAACATTTTTAGTACTTCTTTCCCCTCATTGTGAAGCAATTATGCTTTGATGTAGCTTATTTATTGGTACGGCTGTAATAAATAAATGTATCTGGTCCTGGATGATGACGCGATTTATCTCCGTCAACAACTGGCTGGAATGTGTTTGAAGTGACAGCACTGAAAGATGAAACTGACGCAGTTTGATGTCTAAATCCAGCTCATCATCACATCTACGACGTTGTCTCTCGTGCACGGTCGCGGCGTCTGCATTTGTTTAATATTCGCCGACTAATTTCGAAGCGTGTCTCTTATTGATTTTGATAGAGTGCAAAAATGAGAGTTTGGAATCAGTCATCGCTTGTTTTGCTCTCGCTCTGAGAAAAAAACGGGGACGGGAAAATCCATCATCATCGTTAGTCAAGGAAAAAGGTGAATGGATTTCTGTAGATGCATCGCTGAGCAGGACGAACGGAGGAAGAGGAATGATTGTGATAAAAAGAATTTGGTGGCGGAAGTAGAAAATCAGGAAAGATTCGTACGCCAGATATGATGGAATTTTCCTTTGTGTACACAACGTTATGGAAAAATTGTCC